TGAGTCTCGAGGGGGTCGCGGGAAATGGGATAGTGCGAGGGATGATGAACTTTAAGTGGGAAAGAGGGGAGGGGTAACGAGGAACGGATATGTACCCACTTCTATACAGTTAGCATTGGTAATTAGGCTAGACAGAAGGTCGCCCACGAGGATCCGCTTCACGCCACTGGGGGCGGGTAGGATAGTAGTCCTAGTGCAAAAGGGAAAAATACTTGTCACGATTCCTACGACAAGTTAGTTTGCTGTATATATAGTACTCTGCTATGGTTGTTAGCGTTGGGTGGCGATGATGTTCTTTTTTGGGGGGGGTCGTGGGGGGTCGTGGGGGTGGCGGATGGAGACCAGGATGCCACCCTCCCCCAGCAGGCTTCAAAGCCCATGTCTATTCTGTTACGCAAGTAGGCTACGGGTAAGACGCTGGATATGGAAAGCGGGCTTATTACGTTTGGCGGTGAAGGAGTGGGGAGTGGGTTGAGTTATACTATCACTTTTGTTAGTCAAATAAGCTTCACTGAAGAAAGAACACCGAAAGATCTTGTTAGCCCCGAACTACGACAACACTTTACTCATATTTGGCGAAAAGGCTTCAAACAACCCTCACACGCTGAGGTTGGTTGAGGACAGATATGCCTACGGAACCCTCACTGCGGCCTTACACAGACAAGTTGAGTGCCTGGGTTGGGGTTATTTCTTGGCAAGGAGGACGAGCGTGTGCAGCGACCAACAGGTGTAAGCCCAAGCACAACTGCACACGCTCACTCCATCGCAGTCGCGCGGCACTAACACTGTCAAATAAGATGCATACGAGTTCTGGAGACATACCTCACATCCCAAAAAGGTAACCTGAAGTAGTCAGGGGAAAGGGATGGTCTACAGGGACATCGGGTATACTCTTGGGATAGGAGTTGGTTCGTGGGTCACTGCTTCCTTCTACGAGCGGCGTCACCGAAATGTGGCATGCCCGCAGTGCTATTCTTACAGGGCCACCTTTCAACTACAGAAGATAATGTTAGCACAATGCCATACAGTAACTGCCTCCGACAGCAATAATTCCGTTACCGTAGAACACTGAGGTATTATTCTATGGAAGTGTGTTGCCTACTATTGTTGCAATACAGGTGACGGGAGGATGGATTTGGAGATTCTTACCTCGACAGGTGGGCACCCTACTCGCCCAAGAAATAAATACTGCTGATAACCTCCGCGCTACTTCCACGCAAGATATCGGTAGACTCTATTTTCGGGCGAGTGCACTAGTTCGTACCCCAACGAAGCCTTGCAGCTAGTTGTTCTAACAGAAAGGGAAATGTTAGCAATCTAAACCTTCCACAGAGATTCTATTCGCAGCGGGGAAAGAGAGAGTGAAAGGGTGAGTAGGAGGGGTAAGTGTTTTAGTGTTGGGTTGAGTAGGAGTAAGAGAGGGAGCAGGTAAATGGGGGCGGATACATACAGTGGAAAACGATCTTTTTTTCGTAATCAATTGCCTAATGTTTAGCCAGTTTCGGCGGATGGTAGAGGTAGCTAACAAAGTCAGCTTGAAGCGGGTAAGGACTTCGGGAAGGAAGAGAGGGGAGCGGAGGGAGAGCGGAGGGAGTGAAAACGAGAGGAGGTTCACTTAATGCAGCGGAAGGAAGCAAGAACGAAAGGGAAAGGAGATGCTACCTTGAAAAGGACAAGCCTGATGATCCCCTGTAGCGGTAGAGGTACTATAGGCATTGTTAGCACTTCCTTCGACAATGGGAAGGTTTACTTGATGCTGGGATACTCATGTCCTCGTTCCAAAGAAACTGAGGACTCTAACCAGCGGAGGAACGAAGGACCTCTGCTGATTGACGGTGTGTTTGTCGCATACTATCTTCATTCTATTAGCGAATAATCATTGTGGAGGAAATAGAAACTTACCGGAAAACTGATCAAATTGGTTTTACTAAGATCGTCAAGTTAGTAAGAGGTAGGCGTTCTGCTGGTTGAAAGCCAACAGAAAGCAGCGAAGGAAGAGTTTTTTACCAGAGTGTTAGTAAAATCTCAATGTGGTTTGGGTCAGGCATGTCCATAATTGCTAATTATGGAGTTATTCATCTACGGTTTAAGGCAGTGTCGAGCCAGCCACTTGGCTGGTCGACACTATTGCCAACCGAGAGAACAAAAAACAAAAAAAACAAAAAAACAAAAAAATCCTGGGCCGAGTTGCCGAGGAACCTAAAACCTAAAAAACAACACCGGACATAGATCGGGAGCAATGACAGACAAGTGACTAACGTCGACGCCGCAAAGTGGGGAAAACTTTACGGCGTGACAGAAAGCCACTTGCTGTCCTCTCCATCTGCTTAGTATTTTCAAAAAAAAAAACAAAGGGGGGAGGGGAGAAGTTTGGCGAGGTTGGCGAGGTTTGGCGACTTAGCTGCTGATGGTTAGTATCCGGGAAAACGTACCAATCCAAACTGGCATGACAAAGGAGATCCCAACTGGCATGACATAGGAAATCCTGGTGGGAGCACTCCCACTCCCACCCTCCAACCTACCTGGGCCTACCCAGGCTACCCCGCACCCCCTCACCCTCTCCCTCCCTCCTCCCGGCGGGCCCAGCCCGCCACCCCCACTCACCCCTCACCCTCTCCCTCCCTCCTCCAACACGGTACTAGCCCGCACACCTCCTTTTACTGCCTGCGGTTAGCTTCTGTTCTATAAAAAACGGGAGGACTTACTGAGATCGAGGAAATCCCATGCCACCCAACAAACACCCCCCCCCCTTCTTAGAGTGCGGGGAGGAGGGGGGGGGGGAACGACAAGAATAAGGGGTACATGTAAGGGTGGGCCTGTTCGGCAACAGGAGAGAAACACAATCTTCAAGGCTATTAAAAGCCTAACAAAAGTGTTGCCGAACAGGCCCATATTTTCTTTTTCTTCTTTTTTTCTATTAAGTTGAATAGTTAGTAATTGTAATGTATTAGAGACTGATGGAGACTTACTATTTAACTATCATATGCTGTTGTCTTTTTTTGCTTTGGGATCCCGTTCGGCAACAAGACAACACAGTTTCCAAGGCTCAGAAAGCCTAACAAAATGGTTGCCGAACGGGCCTTTTCTTTTTTTCTTCTTTTTTTTTCTTTTTTTCTTTATATTTTTCTTGGAGCACTATCGAATGGTTAGTAATTGCACAAGATGAGATGGAGATTGCGTGGCACGAACAGTTGTGACTTATTGCCGTAAGCATAGAGAGTTTATTCTCTTCTTTTTTACCGGCTTTTTTTTCTTATACATGCTGGGAAGAATTAGTTATTGTAATGTATATAGTTCAGTAGATAGATAATACTCACAGTCTAGCCATCTACCTAACGTAGGATGCTGCCACCTATTCCTTTTTTTTTTAATCTTTTTTCTTTAATCTTTTTTTTTAATCTTTTTTTTTATCTTCTTTTTTTCTCTTTTTTTTTTCTTTTTCTTTAACGTTTTTCTCTTCTCTTTTTTCTCACATGCTACGGAATGATAACGATTAGTGATTGTAATGTACATGGCTTTGAGGATGGGAGCTACCTACCTTAACTGTTTACACGACCATACGTGTTTTTCTTTTCTTGCTTTTCTTTTCGATTTTTATCTTGACCGGTAGGTAGACAACCAAGTTGCTTCCCCAAGCCGGCTTTTAGCATTGCCAGTCATCGAAAGTGCTGGTTGCTGTGTCTTTCTGTACATTCTGTGAAACGATTAGTGATTGATTTAATATAGGAGGCTCTGTGGAACTTACGTGCTTGGCTCTAACATCGAAGGAATTTCTAATCTAACGTTTTCCTTTCTTTTCCTTTTTCTATATTTTTTTATTTTTTGCCCCACGAACGTATTCATGGTCTTTATTTAGCATTGCCAGTCATCATGATGCGCTGGTTGCTGTTTCTTTCTATACATTGTATGATACGATTAGTGATTGATTTAATATAGAGGAAGATCTGTAGAACTTACGTGCTTGGCTCTATGATCGAAAGTATTTCTATCTTTTCTTTCTTTCCTTTCCTTTTTCTATATTTTTTTTATTTTTTGCCCCCACGAACGTATTCATGGTCTTTATTTAGCATTGCCAGTCATCATGATGCGCTGGTTGCTGTTTCTTTCTATACATTCTATGATACGATTAGTGATTGATTTAATATAGAGGAGGATCTGTGGAACTTACGTGCTTGGCTCTATGATCGAAAGTATTTCTATCTTTTTTTTTCTTTTTTCTTTTTTCTTCTTTTTTTTCTTTTTTATTTTTTGCACCACGAACATATTCATGATCTTTAGCATTGCCAGGCATCTCAACGTGCTGGTTGCTCTTTTTATTTTCTAAAGGCACATTAGTGATTGCTTTCATAATAGGATGATAATTGGGACCAACCTGCATGACTTTTTATCGTCATGGTTTCTTTGATTGACTGATGATTTGACTTTCTTTAATGATTTAACAACGAAGTTAAACATTATATTTGGGACTGCCACTGATCTAGACGTGCTAGTTGTTTTCTTTGACTTTTCTATGAGTTGGTTAGTAACTGATTGTATAGACAAGAGCAAACTTTACTAACCTGCATGACTTATTATTGTCACGGTTCCTTTATTGATGTTTTCTCTTGATGTTTCAAGTTTGCTACCAACGGAGTTGGTATTAGAGGATTGTCAATCGTTTGGACGTTTAGGATAGTGTCTTGATTTTTACCATGACCTTAGACGGTCATGGTTTCTTTCGTTTGGATTCTTGATTCGACCGATTTATTTTGAGATCTTTCAGCATTGCCAGACATCATAACGTGCTGGTTGCATTTTTAGTTACTGTGAATAATTAGTAAGTAGTTTGGCTGAAGAGAAAACTTTGGGAAGAGCATACCTATTGATTGTAACACGGATATTCTTCTTTGTGGTGGTATCTTTCATGGTATTCTTGCTTCCAGTGACGATGTTTCCTTATCTGACCGAATGGCCTTTTCGGGATTCAAAGTCAATTCATTTCCAGTGACGAGGTTTCCCTATTAAACCTGAAGGCCGTTCAGGAAGATCCTCATCTCATGAAAATTCTGGTTGCTCTTTCTGTACACACCTTGGAAAGATTAGAGATTGCTTTGGCTTCAAGATCTACAACTACTTACCGGCTTGGTTTTTTGCCGTCACAAGAAACTCTTGGTTAAGAATTTTTGACGAAATTGATTTTTGGTTTTTGGTTTTTGGTTTTTGGTTTTTTATCAGGGCGGAGCCTCTGAGCGTGCGACTTGCGCTTTTTGGTACTTGAGATACTACAAAACGGTGAGTTCGTGATGAATTATGTTAATGTTATAAAAAGATACTTACCTATTTTCTTTGTTTGGTGAGCTCCAATTATTGATTAAACTTTCTTTTTTTTTGCTCCATTGCACATCAGGGATGTTTCGATTTTTAGGTGCACGGTAAGAGGAAACAATTTCCATCTAGTGGAGAAGAAAGGGGAAGATGTTCAAAGATGGTACATCCACCAAAACTCAGGACGGTTCTTAATTTCCTTGAGTTTTGGCGCACGCCAGAACAATGGTTCTTCCTGTGGTTTGTGTTGTGGTTTGTGGTTTAGAAAAAGTTTTTCTTGGTGGGGGGGAGCCGTGTCATTTATTCGTTTCTGTGCTGCGTTGCCCTAACGTGCGGGTGGGACACGTAGGCTCCCTGTGACTGCCGAAAAAATTTTCTCAGGTGGCTAAAACACATGACCTTGCATGGAAAATTTTTTCCAGGTGACTAAAACGCATGACCTTGCATGGAAAAAGGTTTCCCAGGTGGCTAAAGCGCATGACCTTGCAAGGAAAATTTTTTCTCGGTGGGTAAAACGCATGACCTTGCATAGAAAATTTTTTCTCAGGTGGCTAAAACGCATAGAAAAAAATTTTTCAACTTGCTCAAAACACATGACCTTGCGTCTAGGCCTGGCCCACTGCCAGGTTTCCCACTTTATCACATTTATCATGCATCCCACATACGTGTCCTCCCCCCAGGTCTAGCTCTCTCTAATGCCGCAATCGATTGTGTACCTGGGTGTTAAACACAGTTTTTTTTCTGTCATGCCCTACAAATACACACAGTTTTTCAGAAATTAATTTAGTAGAATAATCAAAACTCACGGTGTTGTGTGGAGCGCTGGAGGTGCATTCACCGTGCAATTTCTATGTCCAAAGCAGAACTTGCCTAGCCGCGCTGTTGTTGTGACTCATGAGCTGTGGTGCAATATTGCAAAGGTTCCTAGTGGTTTCTAGCAATTTGGCATAGCTCACTAGTCACTGATGTCCTCCCGCGTCTGAGCCACCTCCTCTCTACAATCTATACCGCAATAAGGCGTGAGAAGGCCGTGATTCACGAGCTTGTGATGTGACAGACATGAAGAAGACTTGGGAAAACCTCACCTCACCTGGCTTTGGGGGAACTCTTCGATCGGGCTTACTCTCGAGACAACAATGTACCTATGTAGTTTTGCCTCATTAATAAACGGTCACTGAGCTTTTGCTACATCACTAAGCGAGGTAAGATAGTGTAAAAATTAAATCAAGTGGTGTGAGAGCTCGCAGCATGCAACATCACTCGTTTTTACAGTTTTTTTCTTGTCGTGGTTTTCACAATAGATCGTGACCCACACCTAACGATTCATCGAGCAACTCACTCATCGATTGTATACCTACATGTAGTCGTGTATGAAAGAGAGGGTACTATCATGTCAAATAGTTATTACGATACCACGCTTATACAAAACACTTCCATCCTTCACACTGTTTAAACCCGCTATCCTGGTGATATCTTCATCTCGTTCAATCCTCGTTCTGAATAGCTAAGCGATACACTCAAAAGGATCATTAAGAATTGTAGGCTCGATAAGGCCAAATAGTCTACCGATCTCTAAAAATTTCATGCATACCTTACCGTCGAAACGCATACAAATCTGAGCCTTATTCAGTCGGCTTATCCAGAACGTAGGCTCACAATAGCTTTATCAGTACAAAAATCCTTTTTTAAGCCTTATTTCATCCTTAAAACATGCTTAAATAATACTTATTTGAAGCTTATTGGATTCATAAGCCTATTATGAGCCTACGATCTGGATAAGCCGACTGAATAAGGCTCAAATTTGTATGCGTTTTGACGGTAAGGTAATTAAAAATTTCGTGCGTAGCATGTATGCCGCCGGTCGACGTTAACATACATGTGCTTTTGCGGCCATCCAAGGTCAACCCTAACCCTTGATTTTCCCCTTACACCTATTTACACTAATTCTCGCTTAACCTAACCCTCGAATTCTACCACTTTTTAGGATCGGCTATTCTGGTTAAACACTACTAGTTTTGAAAAGCTATCTCGCTCAACAAAAAAATGATTAAAAATAAATAGAGACAGACAATTCATAGCTAATCACCAGCTTAAGCTCTTCTATGTGTTAGATCTTTTATCAATTGCGTTGTGTGGTTGGGGATAGATTTTCTGTGGAGCATGAGGTTTTCGTGGTATTTTGTGTAGGTTGTGTGTGACCGGCGCCATATGTGTTCTTTAATTGGGGCACAACCCTGGAGCCCTAGCCCTCGCGCCTTCGTTGTAGTCACTGGGTGCCAACAAGAAGTGGATTAGTCAGCCCACCCCAAGCAGATCTCTTGTTGGACGATCGCCTGTTGCCGTTGCTCTCTCCCCACCTCTTTAAAATTTCTCCCTTTTTTTTAATTTTAATTTTTTCCTCTAAAATCTCATCCCAACGGATATCTTGTCATGTATTTTATCCTAGCCATCCTTCCGCCGAATTTATAATCAGGTACAATTTGATGTGTTTGCTCTCTAGGCTCTTCGTCCCCCTCGAAAATCTACCTGGCCACTACCACCGCTACTATTACCCATATTCCCTCGCCCTTGTCTAAGCTGACCCCAAATTCATAGGTGATTTGGGTGACCATATCTGCTCAGAAAATTGCGTGAGACAAAATGTAGCCGTTCTTCTGCTCGCTGTCCTGAAAACAGACGAATCTGGCCACAATAGGCTATCGGTAGGCCAACTATTTAACGAACGGATTAAACGACATCGAGGATACTAGTATGAGGTATGATTTCTACAGATTAGGTTTTCTGCCTCTCACCAGGCCAACCCACGCTTCAGACCTATCAACTCATATAATATCTCGCTAGGTCTGCCGATGGATACAAGCGTTTCGAAACCTCCACTGCAGGATTAGAGTAGCACCTACGGACGTAAAATTAACATGAGACAAGGGGGGGGGGGGCGGAGGAAAAGAAAGAAAAGCAGAGACCGGGAAGACGAAAAGAGAAGTATAGGGGTGAACGATGTCAAGAACCAGGATTTTCTACTCCTCCTAATACCCAGCGTCCATACATCATGTATATACCTAAAGATTAGCTCCTAGACCGAAAATGAGAAAGGGCTCGCCAGCCACTTGCGTGTTCTAGGCATAAAGCCAAATCAGCTCTTTGTGGAAACTACCGGAGGCACGAGGTGTGTTAGAATCATTGAACTGCACTCTACGCCCGGCGGCGACGGTGTGTTGTGAACTGATAGTCTCTCGCTTCCGTGGTACCCAGAGCGTCCGAGTTGCATATATGTAATTCACAATCAAGACCATTAGGACGGGTTCCATGTTGTGGGTGATCTGGTGCCGCCCTGGCTGATGTGCTGTGACAAACTTTATTTCAGGCTGGGAACGAATCTACTGGGAAAGGAAGACTACATATCCAGAGGAAGAACGTTTAATGATTGAACTCTTCCATCTGGATGGGCTTCTGAGTAGACACTCGACCAACTTTTGCAATGGGAGGTCGGTTTAGCGGTACAAACCGGTAAAGAACTAAATAATAATGAGATAGTGAATACAGTTTGGGCCTCACGCGATGGTGGTTATGCTGAGACATAATGCACCTAAAACGATACAAGCCAACTAACCAAATAATACGGAATATTGTTTTTCCGCCTTCGGTAGAACCTTTGCCCCTCCAGAGCAACATTCAGCCCTGAAACAATGGCCCTGAACTCCAACCCACATGCCATTTATAGAAATGGTGTTACCGGTTTAACCATTTTGTCAGAGGTGGTTAAATAGTAAGTACGATTTTGAGATCATTTTGGTATAGGTAATACAATACAGTGACTTTTCATACCGGTTTCGACCGTTACAAAGTTTCTACCGTTGCAAACACTACACTCGACCCAACCCCATCCCTCTTACTGGACAACACCGATTTGACCAGAGCGACCCACGGGGGTGTAATCGCCGGGCATGAAGGGCCGCGTAACCAACCCGTGATAGGTCAACAGCGGATGAGCGACCCCCCCAATTTACTGTCTTTCTTTCCTCCCAATTAGGCTCTTCCTCGTTATGTCCCACGACGTACAGCAACCTTGTGAACGTACATGTACCTCCTTCTTCTCAATGTCTATATGTGTCCAGGGGTTAATCAAACTTCCTTTCTTGGTCTAAGAACGGCATCTCGGTGAATGAAAAGCGTAACGGCTGGGATGAAATTCATTATTGGGCATAGAGAAGGAGTGCATAGTTATGATTTTACGATTAGATTAATAGACAGCATATTTATTAATTATACCCAGTTTGGTAGACATTGTTAACGGGAAGTTACTTCGCGGCCACACATTGTATTTTAATATTATATATCAAGTGCCTTTAGATCGACCATAATACACGTGAGTCATGTAGTTGGGAGGAGCTTAGGAGTAACCCCGTCGCCTGGGTGGCATCAACACAGTCTAGTGTAAAGTCATGGCCGTGGCCGGCCGGCACTACACCCCGGCCCATAGTTCAGCGTGTCATGTATCCACGCCAACTATTGTGAAAGTTTGACCCGATGTGAGGATCCAACCTTACTATTATACAGCAGGAGACCTGTTCTTCCCTCGTCTTGTAGAATCCAGATAGAGGCATCGACTCAACAATTTATGAAAAGATGCTCACATACAAGAGTATACGATAAACACGAGCCAGTGGGAGTGTCTTTTAAACCGAAATGAAGACAGAAACTTTTGAGTCAAAGGACGAATGATAGTCCTATTATATATTCATCTATTTAAGTGTTGCTTCATTGGCTTTTCATAACGAGAGAAAGGGGAAAGCAAAAAGCAGTGACTGGGAAGGGGAAAACAAGAAAACAACCTCTAAGGAAATGAGGCAATATACCACGCACAATAACAATCATACCTTTTCTGTGACCACTGCGCCCTATCAAACGCCAGATCCATAGCTGCCTTCAGGCTTTCACAGCCTTTATGCTGGCCACCAATGAGTTCTTCGATTATATCATATTGAGAAATAACGTTCGTTTGGTAGTCCTCCCACGCATCCATCTGCACCTTTCTATCGGCAATCCAAAAGCTCTTTGTCTGTTGGCCAAGCTCCTTGAGTGAAGTCAGGTCCTCTTCAGTCACGCGCCTGAACTCCGCGCTGTCCTCAATCATCTCATGAAAAAGGGTTCGAGCACGAGCTAACTTGCCAGAGCTACTTCGTAGACCACTAGTGTTTGACGACATGTTCTATTTGATTTGTTTTCTAATGTAATTCGGGAGTTGCAGGTAATCGAGATATTCTAATGACTATTAACATTTCACAGGCTGGTCCAGATTTGGCTATTTTATACCCGTCCAAACTATGTTAAGTGATTGAATGTGTTGTTATTGCCCGACCGTTCAATTAACATACTATGTTCAATTCTGAGCTCTATTTACCGAGAACCAATAAAAGTTGTAGTATCTCTAACAAATGAAACATTGTGCCTGAGGTCATGCCCAACTACGTTACGATAGCTATATTACTATGGACAGCAAGGTATATCCCCACTAACAATTTAATAGTTTAGATGGATACAAGTAACTAACAGAATTGTCTCTTAAAATGTCAAGCCAAATTTGGATGTATAAACCTAGGTAGATTGGAAATCGTAAGATAGGCCGCTCCAGTAGGAACGAACACTAAAAACTGAAACCATCATGGAGTTTGTGTGTTACTAATATGCATCAGAACATATATATGCACATAAAAATTTCACTAAGTGGATTCCGATATTTCTAATTCGCGTTAGGTTCCGGTTAAATTATGCCCGACAATTTTAGGAATAGCGCGCTGCATAGTACATCTTTGGCCCATGCGTATACAGCAGAGCACGTTATATGAACGCCGGTCAGAGAAAACTTGATTATGGGCCCAAACCTAACAAGTCCAAATTCGCCAACCAATCCATCCAAAGGCTTCTCCTACTCATAGAGGATGTTTTAAAGGGTCTGTATTCTATTTCTCAGAGGTTCCTTTATCTAGTAGGAGACTCGACATTATGTTTGTTGAAACCTAATTATTGTTTGAAGATACTAGAAAGATATCAAGCGAATACTCCTAAATCCCATATTCTGATAGCACTATTGGGATATTTGCCCTTGATATAATTTACCTACCTAATCCTACTTGTTTCCCATATCTGTTGGTTGGGTAGAAATTGATGTTTGTTAGGTTTCCTTTTTTCTGGTTGTTGCGCTGCGCCCTGGCCCTTCCCGGCCGGCCCCACCATAAATTAAGTTTTCTCAGTCCCCCGTTCATATATACAGAAAAACTATATACGTTCTTTGAGCAGTTTGATGGGCCGCCACGGTTTGCGTATGAAAAAATGTCTCCCTGCGAAATCAGAATAACGAACACATTTAGTAAGTGGCTGTATATTGAGCATTAGTAGACAAAAACGTGTTTTCTAACACGAATATTTGAATTTATGAATCTCAATTACACTTGCTATTTATTTGAGTTTATATATTATGACAAGTTCGGACATTTCCTTTGACCCAGAGAAATACCCTAAAATTAAGAAGACTCTGCCTGTTTTCTGCAATACTCATCGTACAATTTTTGAGATACATGAGCTTTATCAAATGCGATATCCATTGCCATCTTCAAGTCCTCACAGTCTTTATGATTCACTCCAATATAATCCTCAATTGTATTGTATGTATCAATTACAGATTGCTGGTACTGATCCCAAGCAGTCAATTGAGTCTTTTGATCATCAAGCCAGTAGGACCTTGGTCTTCTGCCACTCAATTTGTTTAACCTCAAACCTGTATCAGTTAAGTTTTTGAACTTTGTGCTATCGCGAATCATGTCCGAGAACAGGCTTCGAGCCAAAGTTAATGAATTCTCCGAATCACCACCTTCTTTCCCTTTGTTTGAAGACATTATAACTGAATGTGTTAAGCTTGAGTGTTTGTTGTTGTTTGATTTGATTGTGGGTGGTAGCAAATATATCTGTTGGATTTATGATACAATACAAACCCAAACTTGGATCGAGCTGTTCTATATTGCGGAGAAAGCAAGCCAAACAATTAAATCGTGCATTATAGCTCAATTCAATATACTTTTACAATACTAAAGATGATCTGTAGTTATCATGAATTCAATTCTATTCTGTAATGCATGGCTATAACATCCTGTTATCATCTGAGGCTACTTAATAGAATATAACATATTAATCTGTAATCAAAAGATTAAGATTTGGTTCAGTATAGATATTGCGTTCTAAGGAAAGGTATTAAGTATGCTAAAACCTAAGAAGAAGGGTAATGCGATGTGATCTAAAACCGAGTGATAATTCAGAACAAATTTAAGCGAGAGCTTTCTCCTGCCAGCTTCCCGTATTAATGTCGACGCTGTGGTCTTTGTCGATACCGGGGCCATTCTGGATCCAACTCACATTGCTCTCTACAGAGCTGATCAAACTCCTTCATTGATTCATTTATCTTGTCATAGTTCTCATCGACCGCTCTCTTCCTCGCTACCAACGTTGGATATGATGTGTACCTACCGCGGTCCTCTAACAAATCGTAGGTTTTTCCGATGTATTCCTGTAGCTTGGATAAACGCCCTTTTTGTTGCTTAGCTTGTTGATCCCAGTATTCCCAACTCTCGCATACAGCGAAGTCAAGTCCTTGTCTGTTCTGCTCTATGTTCTCTGCAAATTTTGAGATGGCTTTCAATAGGTCGTCGAAGCGATCATTGCAGTACTTAAATCTCTGGTCAGACATTTCTAACTCGCTACGTTATATTGTTGAAGGCGTTAATGTGCGGAATTAGTAGAGCTCCTCTGAATGGTATTAGTAAACCTTACGACGTTTGACCTGGTTTTTAAGGACGGCATAGCTAGACATACAATTCAATGACAAGAAAGAGGAATAGGACCCTTACAGATTCTACTGCAATCAGAATATCTGACCTTTCCATCGTTCGCTGACTTTTTTTTTTTTTTTTGTTTAATTCATTAATTGCATGCAACATTACAGAATTGTTCGCTGACTAATTAAACCTAGGAACATTAATATATCGGTCACATAGAAAAACATATTTAGTCATTGAAGTCTACAACTTCCTTCGACCGGATCCTATACTATTCCCTATAATCTGCATAAAAATTGCGCGAAATATAATGACTATCTAGTGACTAGAATGACAGGGCCTTAGATAGAGAACTATAATAAAGCGGAAGTTCGTCGTACATTTTTCTACCAAAGAACACTGAAGAATAAAAATGAGGCTCCTGACTCCCCCGCCTCCTAGGAAAGGACGGGCTTGTCGTTCATTAGGTGCTTCATGTGCATCTAGCTAGTGGTAAGGATGGGGTTAAGAGATTATGTGTTGTGGACAATCACGAACTCAATGTGCAGTTATTAATTGCTTATTGTAAGAGACGATATAACGTGTATATGTGGTCTGGCTGCACGTTGGGAATTTGAAGTGTTCAGGGAGTATATATAGGTAGGTGGATTGAGTTGAGAATATATTAATATATCTTAAGGCGAAAGCATGTATATAATCTAAGACCTCCATCCCTACAACTGTCTTGTACGTTATGCAAGTTTTAAAGGGGGGTCCTCGAGTGTTGTGGGTTGCACAGATGGAGAGGCGCTAGCTTGTGCTAAGTCGTTTAATATTATCAAAAAATAATTGATCATTACTCGTCAACAGTCACTCTTATAATAAGGGGGGGAGTACCTTTGTAAAACCAGCTATAAATAACACTAATAACCTCTCCGCGAGCTTATATACTCTGCCAGGGAAGAGCCATTGAGTATTGTTAATCTTGAACCACAGGTACTCTGTCCGGCGTCCCTAATAACAGTATACGTACCAAGCTAGGCAGGAACTAGTAATGGCAAAAGGGTGCTAGAGGCAAAGGAAATCGGGAGGCATGAGGAATAGCAAGAACCTCTGCCGGCGGTGTGGATAGCACACTGCTTAGTTATATCAAGGGTCTCATAGATATACTTACAGTGCGACAGGTACGGATGCTAAAAAGGCTTCGATAACATAGGATAGTCATGCACGTGATTAAGTGCTAAAGTGTATTCCACTGGCAGGTGGTGTTGGCGGGTGCAAAACCTATTCTGGCTGACACTGTGCTGTTAAAGACCGCGAAAAGCAACCAAGTCCAACTATCCTCAGTCAAGATTACAAAAGCTGAAGAACAGTATTCTAACAACCAATTAAAATCACCACCAATATTTAAATTGTTCCTTACTCTTTTAATATCTTTATCTCTTATCCAATTGCAGGGCGATTGATTAAAAAAATGCCAATCTTTCCAAATCGCCGTCCTGGAGATAATCTCGGTGGATACATTCTAGGTCGTTATCTGGGGGAGGGAAGTAGTGGCCAGGTGTTTGCCGTCAGAGATGGCGACCCAGATAAGAAATATGCTGCGAAGCTTCTTAACAAGAACGTGTTGCTTTCAAAGAACTACCCTACTCGTAGTGTAAGTATCATATCTCTTATAATTTCAAGCATAGACTCTCAGAAAACATTCACTTACCTGTTCCATGAGCATATAGATTGAAAAGGAAATTTTGGCTATGAAAGAAATCTCGGAGATGAGTGGAAACTTTGTCAAGTTGATCGAATGTTTCCAAACCGAGTACGAAAGCAAGTGTATCTTAGTACACCGATGAAAGGAGGTGAAATACCTTATGATGTAGATCCTTTACTGATTTTTATTCTTCGATAACAGTTGTCCTTATCATCACCCGCGCTGATGGCGGCGATGTTTTCGAATGGAGAAGACATCACATGGTTCCAGACTACCGTGTCATCAACAATGTCGTGTTTCAAGTTGCTCATGGATTGGCCGTCCTGCATAAGGGTGGGTACGTTCACCGAGGTATTATACCCCAGTTATCTCGGCGTACTTGGCCTCTAGTTGATTGAGAATGGTGTTTACTAATCCATGATTCTAACAGATATCAAGCACGATAATGTTTTATTCCTCACCAAAAAGCAACCGTCGAGCGTTATTATCGCCGACTTTGGTCTTACCACCAAGTACAACATTAGAAGACCATATGATTCCGCCCATGGGTTTTGTGGGAGCCTTGACTATATTCCGCCAGAGGCTTGCAGAGACATGCCATACGGTCCATCCTTGTTAGTAAACACTCTTATCATTAGGTAATAGCACTATCTAAGTTATTGTGAAATAGTGATATGTGGTCTCTGGGTATCTTCACCATATCTTTCCTCACAAATCACTTCCCATGGGACCCTAGCTGTCACAAGGATCGTACCTTTCGTGAATACATTGGAAGTTTGACTGAGGGCTGGATTGATCCCTACCTTGATGCTGTTAAACTTAAATCCGGTAATCCAGTTATGTAACCTTAAATTAGCACGTTGTGTCACTAATGATTTTGCGTTGTTGCCTCAGCAAGGGATTTCATTTCTAAGTGCCTCATTGTCAACCCTAGGAACCGCATGACCGCCATTGAAGCAGTTCATCATCCGTTCCTTGAAGAGGTACGCGAAGTGGCAGACTTCTCCGTCATGTCCTTGAAGGAAGGATCAATAGGTGGCAATAGCGCCTTCCGGTCAGTCATGTCTGCAATGGCAGAAATCGGCCGAAGCATCATTACGAACTAGAAAACGGGTCTTCCCTTTAGCTCCTAGGTAAGGATATTCGTCTCATCTCAATTGATGGACACTGTCTGTCTTTAGTGGTAAGTGCTTTAGCGATAGTCCGCCTTATCCTTTATGTTTGTAGCTCTAACTCTCCTATCCCGCAGATATCGTTTCCCTTAGAGGTTTTATAAGGTAGCCTAGGGCTTTCTCCTTCCATTCATCACTGACAACTACGAACACCCTTAGTCTTGAATTGTCCTGTCTACCATTATTTCTCAATGATTATTTGCATTCATCTCATGCACTTGCCCTACCAGCGTATAAAGGTTATCGGTCTACTGGTTTTAAAAATCTGTCATAATCCATGGTTCCACGAGTGGCTTGTATTTGTGGAAGGTGTTATGGAAATAGCAGACTGTGGAACAATAAAACATTTTCAAATTACAAGTGGTTTCGTAGCCCGTGAATATTATCGCACATTCTCTTTTATTCTAAGATCTTCTAAATAATTTAGCGCTGCTCTTCAGGCATGCTATCTTTCTTCCCTTTCCTATTTTCTTTATCACCGGCCATGGCCATCACATAGCGATATTTCGTAATTGATCCTCTTGATGAGAACCTCCGCGTTTCTACATATCATGTAGGTTCTAGCAGGGATTTGGTTGTCGCCAAGCCTTCCTAAGAGAAGATCGGTTGCTTCCAAGCCTTTTCTAGAAACTGGAAGGAGCTTAAATTTACTAGGATGCCATGGCAACCAGTGTATACACCAAAGATCCCAAGACTTCGCCATCAACGAAAAAAATAAAAAATAGCGACAGGTGTAAATTTGCTAATTTGCATCTGTCCAGGTCATTTCGAAATATTTGGGATTTGTAACTTGTGTTTTGGGGGGTTGATTAGGCGGTTTCTATGGCCAACGGCAGCCAACTTTCCTCCTTGTGTACCACCCCCAAAAGTGAAGCGAAAAATAGCAGAAAATTAGAGAAATTACAGCCCGAAGCTGAAATACTTTCTGATATTTGTATTGCATAATCTTGGTTGCGGGACTTGGGTTTTTTGTTCAAATTTATAGCCTTGCGAGTTTGTGTAGTGGTTGCCATGGTATCCTAGATATATATCGCAAAGGTCTGTGGCATTGTAGTCTTTTCTCCACCTATATTTCTCTATCTGAGAATTAGCCCAAGATAACGTGTCACCGAGGCTCCCGAAAGCCATACACAGTGGCTCTAAACTGTGGATCCCTGCTGGTTTAGGTATTCCCAATTGCTTAGGATCAATTGATACCGCAAAACAAAGTCCCTTTGAGTCTCACCTAACGTGTTTCACCGGGAAAGCGATCGTCACCGGGAAAGCAATCAAGGGTGACAACGGGATGATCTAAAGTTGGTGAAGAAAGCCGAATTTATATACAATTACATAACCAAGTAGCCAGAGGTGTTATTTAGATGTCTCCCAAATAGTTTTGACATGATTTACCTCTATCTAGCGAGAGTATTGTTTCAGAGAGGTCGTTGACTGGGTTAGGGAGTGTAAGCTTTATCGACTTTACCAAATTTTGGTTTATATTCATTATAAAATAACTCCAGGATTCGGAAAGGACACAGTGAACCCTCTTATATGTGCCTGCCTTCATATATTGTGTTTTAGTGCCCACAACCTCATTTTGTGAGGTTCGGTTGCTTTCCCGGTGAAACGCGTTACCAAATAGAACGTATGATGTTTATAATTATCTTTCTCAGCACTGGCACCACAGACAGGCTGAGCTTTCCGGGGTCCTCGTGGGGTGGCTTGAAGAACTGTTTTTCTGTGTGCGTGCAGTGTAGCCGAAGATTATACATACCACTCGGTAATGCTCCGATCCTTATTCAAATTCTTAAAACTTAGGGTAATAAAATCATCTCATAATGCACAAATGTCCGAACCACTGGATCCAAAGAAAGACGGCCATCCTCTTCGGGCGGCTAGTTCTGATCCATCGCGTGGCAGACCCTCGCGTAAGGCCAGTTCTCCTCTGTTTCCTGTGAACAAGGACGGTTCCTCTGTCGTAATTGTATCCCCCACCATAATTATAAAATACGACCGGTGGTGATTTGATTCAGTCTGGGGAAGGAATGGAGCAATAGAAACGTAGGATAGTGCCTTTGCATTTCATTTGGAGTCGGCTCAATTTTAGCTGCACTTTCCACTGCCACGCAGTTATCTCCGCAGAACTGGCTCTTGTTTTGGAGACAGAGTAGCAACCAGATCCTCGAATGAGAAGACCTCCTCTCGAATTTCTCTCATAATGGAACTCAACCAATATTTACCTGATTGAAAGGAGTTTGGCTTACTGGATAGCTGAGAAGTATATCTGTCACTTCCTTCATTTAGAAATATGGAAATAGTCCCATTTCTTTTTTACATGCCATCTTGAGTAGGTGCGTAATTTTGCCGAGGAATACTTCGAGGCAACCAGGCCGGTAGCTGTCCAACCGGTGGCCACAGCCACCGACCACAGCACAACGTGAATAAAGGTCCAGCTCCAACGCCATTAGTGCGATGAACTTTGGAGCAGGCTCTAAAAACACAATGGATCTAATGCCATTCTTCTAATAGTGCTTATATTAAGCACCTGGAATTATCTTTGGCTTTTAGACACTAGTTACCTCACATTTGTTTTTTGAAGTTGTCTTTACGTCTCCCGATCCCAATGGAACAGTAAGTTATAGAAAGTCATGGCGAACTCCATGAACTCGGATAGTACGGTGCTCGGGATCCGGATACCTGCTTCCTGCTTCGAGTGATCCGCCCTACCCCTAACTGAAAGAAAACCATCGCCTAGTTGATCGTTTGGCTGAGTCTTATAGTAAGGTTTGGAGGAAGGACACAAGTGTTAGACGCTGGGTATTTATTTATGTTGTCCCCCATTTTCTCTGGCGATCATCGGGGTGTGTGACCGCGGTTGTGCGTCTGGGGAGTCGAGAGTGCGGTGTACGGATGGTAGACGCGAGGAGTGGCTTCCACTATTGAAGAGAGTGTCTGTGGAGGTTTAGATCTATAGGGGCGAGCTCTTGTTGTGTGATAGATGGTTAATCGGTGATTTGGGGAACACGTTTCCTGTTAATTTCCATTCACGTTGTGACCTACATAACCTTCCTACATATATTCACAGGTGAAAAAGTGCCGTCGAGTGAAATTCTACATTATTTAGCTGTCAGGGGTTACATACTTGTATACATTGAGAGTCGGAGAGGGAGCTAGATACTAAATACAAAACACATATGTCAAAACCAAGACCCATAAGATGGCCAGGAGAAACGGCGCGAAATTGGCCGTATGGAACGAGGGTTAAGGCTTAAAAAGTCTGGCAGTGAGATTAGCTTCAAATAAGGAGACGGTCGCTTCGAGGCTCCCGACTGCGCAGTCCAGGATCTAAACCTAGCAGGGCACTAGTAATTGTTATAGCAAGATGTCCTCTTTCGGTTAATTAGCATCCATTTAGGCACTACAGCAGGTGATCCGGGCGTAAATACAACTGCCGCCCAGCATAATTATAAGGATCATCGTGACGGGTGGTATTTTCTCTAATCTTATCGCACCGCTGATGCAACTGGGGGGTGAATTAAGCGGCGGGATTGGGTAATCGCATGAGACCCAACAGTAGCCGTGAAATGCTAAGTGGGGACTCGGATCGCTTGCAAGGCATCTTTGACGGCGCGGGAACTTCTGCAAAACCAGCTAACAAAAAGGAGAAAAAGGTATGCAATTCACCGAGACCCCGTAGATTATCATCTTGAACGTTTTTACCTAGTTGTTTAAATATGTAGCAAAATTAAACAAAGGATTTTTGCAAAAGGGTGTTTATCAAACAAACTTTGGACAGACTCAACTAGCGGAGGTTTGTATATCGATAAGAACAAGTGGACAAGACTGGTCGCTAGCCTATATAATGAGAATATTTTCGGAAGTAGCGTTACTGATGTAAGCAGGCTTTAGGGAGAGTCTCGGCAGGCTCCGACTTATCGCAGGTGGTGGAAAAGTAGCAATCACAGCAGGGAGAGACCCCACCAAAGAGTGCTCGCAACGCGCTCCTCCTGGTGAATTCCTCTTTCACATTACCCAGCGGTGCATAACCTGGATGCCGCTGAGGAATTGAGCTCAGGCACGGACTCTGTTTATTCCCATCTCGATTCGCGCTACAACCTCTGCCGGGGCTCTTTCACCCAGAAGGATGTGTGCATAAGCTAGTGCATGGACCACCTTGTCTTTCAGGATCGCCCTGAGCGCTCGACACCACCGCCGTAGAGTTGGCCTCTCATCGTCCGGTCGCCCCTCGATAGAACTACTCTTGGGTTCTCGGTATCTGTCGTTTGGATACCTCGACAGGTTGAAGAAGCCCACTGCATGCAAATAGTATATTCTTCGAACCTTTGCGCTATCCGCGCTCCGTCCGTGGCATAGGAACTTAAAAATCCCGGAGAATATAACACCGCGTCATTCAATGATGAGGTCCCATATTAAGACCTCTGGCTGCTGTCATTGGCGACGAGAATCGGTGTCATCGGGTCCTTCGTTGCCTTCGAAACGTCCTCCATGATAAGAAGGAGTTGTAGTCGAAAAGAAGAGCGCGACCGCATGAAATGCTCTTCTTCCGAGCACTCTCAAGGAAAGGTTTCGCCTTTAGTATGCCCGACTCATGCTGAATGAGCCATATAATATTATCTTTATTTTAACTCAATACTTCTTTTGCTGTCCTTGAATGGCCCTTTATTGCCCTCGAAGACCGTTGTCTTAGACCTTGAGGTCAGACAAGGACACTGGTGATAAAGACCAGGGAACAGCCGAACAGAGAACAGGCACTTCAAGGACACCCTCAATCCTCTGCTCGAGTAGACTGTGCTATCTGAGACTAAGGCCCTAGCGCAGTTGTAGGTCTATTACCCTCGGGCTAAAGAATTTTTGATGGTGCTGCCATCCATGAAGGATGGCAGTGATATATTGAGCCGTTACTATAAGGACTAGGTAGCTGCTCGGAGTAGAGATTGGAATCCGAGGTGAGGGTATTCACCACGGGTTATGGACTTGAATACCTCAACCACTTCTTCTGTTACATGGGGATATTAGCTTGGACTGGTCTAGACTATCTATCTTTCCGTATGGAAGGACAGATGCCCACCTGTGCAAATGACATGGTAGATCGTTGCTGCCTCCGACCTCCCCGTGAGAGGAGACTTATAGATCTTGATACGCCTGTTCCACGTTTAGCCTCTGACTGTATGAGGAACTGAATGGATGACGGTCAAAAGGCCTACAAGATCTATCTAAATCTTAAATGGTCAGCAGCCAGAGCCATGACCTCATGTACATACATCGGAGTGTCTTCGAAGGTAGTGAATAGTTTCCTTAGGACATACTCCCAACGAAGCAGTTCGGCTGAAATATCCACAATTACTTGCACACTAGTTGGGGGTTCGTCAGACCACCCAGGGCTTCCTTGCTATGTTATGTTGCAGGTAGGTGCCAAAAGCACTTCGGTGCGTACCATGTCATGGATATCGCAAACATATTGAACGAATCTTCATGGGGAGTTGGTGGCTGGGTGTCCGGTCCATGAGGCTTCAATGGCGAATTTATACATGGAACACAATGTCTCAAGATGAGAATGGTGAAGCAATATTTCGGAGAGAGAATCAAGCGGCCTCAGCAGCTATAGTACGGTCTATGATCCACGCTATTTAAGGTGCTATTCTCCCAAGCGGAAATGTTCATGGGGAGAGGAGTTGAGAGAGTTTCACATGGTCATACCAATTTACACTACACCGAGCAGAATTAGTGTTCGCTCTATGGTTCAAGCCCGGGCCAACCAGGTACCCTCTCCTGTTCTTCGAAATCTGTGCTTAGAGAGAGGCCAAGATACTTATTCTCTTGGGTAGAAGATGGGCTTTTGACGCGTAAGTATAACTGGCTATAACATGTTTCCATAACTGGGTATAACCTGTTTCCATGGTGTTCTATCTTGATAATGTCCACTTCTCATTGTATGCTGCCGTATACTACGGTTGCAGATCATTCCAGGTGGTTCTCCCGGCACAGGTTGTGCGGGCCGGGTGCAAAACCAGTTCGCCCGTCCACCTACTACAAATACATTTTCGCTATATCTGTTTCACTCCTTGACTTCTGTACACACCGCACCAAAAGATTACTTCAAACCTGTGAAATTATCATCCCCTTCACTGGCAAAGAAGTTTCTTCCCCTGCATCTGTTCGATCGATTTTTGCTCATCAAAACCTTCAAATCGAGAACCCGTTCACCAAGGAAAACACAGAAAAGAAAATATGGACGACGAACTTATGAGACAAGCCGCGATTGACCTCCCCACATTCACGTTTGGGCATCTCCTCGGAATTGGTGGGTACGGTGAGGTAGTAGTAGGAATTCATATCAGGTCTGGCATCAAGTATGCCATTAAGATTGTCCCTGCTAGCGACTATCCTCCAGACCGCAAGATGGTAAGCTTCCAGGACTCTCTCTCCACTCTTGCATCGTCACTCACTTGATGATTCTAATGTCACTTTGAATATAGTTCGATAGAGAAGTCCAAATCATGAAGGACTTGCTCGGATCTTCGACAAACATCGTCCAACTGGTGGATAGTCAGGTACGTGTGTCAAACTGTAAGTACAATTATATCCTTCATCTACCATCTCAACATTCCCCCCCCCTTCTGATACTAATATGTTCATTTTAGGGTACCTGATCATGGGGCTTGCGCTTGGAGGGGAACTCCTCCAAGCCGTTCTCTATACCGGTCGTGAAGACAGAGCGAGGTCAATTGTCCGTGATATCACTGAGGGACTTAAGGCTATCCACCGGAAAGGGATCATTCATTCGGGTTTGTTTTACTCGCTTTTCCCACTTGCTCAACTCCCTATAGTAGAAACTAATTTCGACATATTCTCTGTAATAGACATCAAGATGGCAAACATCCTTCTCACGTCAAATGACGAGAATTCTGTTGCAATGATCGCCGATTTTGGTCTGTCAAGATACGTCAAGGATACCGCTACCGCTTGTGGCGGTACCACGGGTTGTATGGCGCCTGAACTGGAATTGAATGCTTACACCTGTGGGACGGAGATGTAGGCACACTTTGCTTTTGACATCATTAGTGTGTTTGCTAATATCGTATGTTTAATATAGCGATATGTGGTCACTGGGGATTCTGGTTTGGGATATGTTCTTCGTGGGCCGCCCCAAGATGCAGTGGGACTTCGTTAGTAACACCAATGCGAGAATCACCAATTTCCCTGTGGGTAGAATTTCTCTTGAGGGTACGTACTTCCCGCAAACATTCAGCTGATCCACCTTATGTCAATAAATACTAATATCTCCTCTCTGAATATAGCGGAAAGCTTTATCAGACACTGCTTAAATGGTGACCCAACCAAGAGAATGACTGCGTCCAACGCTCTCGAGCACCCGTGGCTCAAGCAAGGTGGTAGGTTCGGTGTAGCTCCTCCAACTGTTTCAGCTATGCCAATCATCACACCTCTTCCCGTTCCTGCTCCAGGTGCTCCAGTTCGCAGGGCACGTGTTCGCGAAGCAGCCCCGGCTGTTTATCGTCAGAGACCGAACCGTTGCCTTGGCGACAAGAAGATCAGGAACGCCTCTTTCATTTGAGTTGCTTCATGGGCAAAGATTTGGAGTTATTATAGATTTATTTTATGAGATTTCAAATGTTGTTAGTGGGGGTGGTTGTACGCATTAAGGGCATCAAGTGGAGAGTTATTAAGGAATGGGCTTTATGGGTTTTATAATACCACGAAAGGGTGGTTATAAGAGAGATTGATTTGCTACAGAATAAAGCATCCCAATAGGAGAAATTGATGTGCTAAAAATAAAGCGTTTCAATAAGTTATAAGAAAATCTTGCTCATCGTCCTAGAACAATGTGATTCAATCGTGACTTTCAAGAAAACTCCCAGCCCACGTGGATTGATTGTGACTGGATAAGTAATATGATCGTGAAAAAAGAATCAAATGAAGTTATTAAAAAACACTGTAAGATAGCATGAGCAACCCAAGTTTCATTCGAAACCCACTTCATTTATCATCTATCCTTGGGGCTTGACAATTGATAATTAGCTCCAGTGAGGTAATAAGTATAGTTTTTGGTACTTGACGAACTATAGAGAATCCTGTCCTTCTCAAAATTATGTATATCTACTGCCTGGTAATCTCACTATAGGAATTATTACTCCTTGCCAAGCATTTGTCGAGTGATAACACATGATGAAGCCTATCGATCATTGGCCCGAGTGATACATCATGAATCACTTCACGCCAATATTACCGTTCTAGTCCTATCAGAACATTTTCTTTTCCTTTCTAACACGGCAGATAATACGTAAATTCATACTTTCACACCTTCGTACGATATATCAAGCTAAGGGTCTAATTTCCCAATTAATCTATGGTCTGGGTGAGACCTGTCTCTACGAGAGTGCATGGTTTGCAACTTCTATTAATGCAGAAAAGAAGAAAGAGAGTACATCTATTTCTACACTACCTCAATCATCCAGGTGGAACAGCGGCACCTGATCACTCCCATTGGCTGTACCGGTCAACGTTTCTAGATCATTAGATATTTTGTGATAGGAAAACCTAACTCTCCCAACTAGCCCTACCTCACAGCACCAAATAGCTTGGTTGTGCCTGGATTGGTGCACATAGACCTCCCTACCCACCTATGCAAGCAGCGGGGCCTTCGCATGTCGTCGTTGGAGACTAAAAAGGCAGGGTAACCTGGTGTCCAGGGATCTATCGAAGAACGCTTGTGTTACGATCGACACTAGATGCGAAGAGGAATTCCATCCATTCTCCATTAATCAAAAACCAGTGAAAGATCATGACTTCACTTTGAAATTAATGGGGCACTTTGGCTGAGATTGTTCACTTTTGTGTCTTACCTGCCTTTGTGTCTTGGCGCCAAGACGTGATCCTCATGTGTGCTCTTGGGAGTAGAGAAAGTCGCGCACGCCTGGTTAGGACTGAAGGTGTTTGGGCAGGAGGATTCCTCCTCATTGATGATCCAGCAATGATATCTACCCCCAGTCCCTTCTATAACAGATCCTGTTAAGTGCCTCTATCTTCTCTGCGGGCACTTGACCTGAGGTCGGACCTGAAGTCAGGCAGGGTAATGCGAGCCACTTGTCCTCCATGATCATGACAACGAGACCGACAGATCTAGATATTTTAACGTCTATCGTGCGCGAGACAATACACTGTAATAGAAGTTCAAAGAAACTCCTAATGGAGTGTCCTATATTAATTATAGATATAGAAAAGCTAATAGCCCCAACCACTTCACTTCCAATGGCAAACACACTCCGTGTGTGACATGTACATTCTACGGTGCTTTATTGTAATAGATTCGTGCACGTCTGGGGACTCGGGGTATGCTTTCTCTCTTCACCAGTCGACAGGTTGGACCTTAAGTGTAGCCAGTAATACGAACTGTACGAACTACCAAAGGTTTTAGGAAACCAGAGTGATAACTTGTGACTGGCACAAGACCTACCGTGAGAGCTGCTCATCAGGCTCTGAGCTTTATTGCATTCATTGATTTGAAGCCATTTAATTACTTTCCTATTTCCTATTTTATGACAATATCCTGTGTATATATTTGCCTGGCCTTATAATTCGAGAATGTAACATGGGAAGTTAGAGTTTTTGATTCAAGGAGGTGTCTCTTGGCCGTGCATTGTAGAGGTATTAGCGAAAAACCATGCAACCAAAAAAGACAAAGAAAAAAGGGGGGTAGAAAAATCATGTATTTCATCCGTTGAAGTAGGTTTCGATTTTCTGGGAAACCTGTTTGAGTCTCTTCATCGAGAAGCGCAGATGCAGTTCGTTGATGCTCTTCTCGCACAAAGTGTGCCCAATTTTACACAACGCGCCAAACACGCACTAGCGCCAATCAACCACAGCTCCTGCATTCCCAATTTCTACTATTTTCTCTCCACCCCGCCATAGAATGTCGCACCGTCACAATCCCAATTGACAATCACCTCGCCTCTACTTTAACCCGTCGTTCCCCCTTCTACGGCTGAACACCACTGTCCTGCTCTTATTCCACAGCTCTGAGTCCTCTTGTTTCCGTCACAAGAAGCTGGCTGTGTTGCATACCGTGAGGGACATTAGCTTGTAGCTTGACTTGACTTCACTGAAAGAATACTTCACGCCCTCAACGACAATACTCGACGACGACGCTCCATATCTTCTTCAGGTCTTCTAACTACCTACACAATAGCAACGACAACTACCAGCATCACACCATCTTCTCCCAATATCGACCTCCTTCAACACCGGACTGTTACGTTATCTTCTCTTAACACCAGATCCTCTCTCCTCACCCCAAGGAAATCTCCATAACCATCAACATCAACTCACTACCAACAACGACATCAACCTCGTCAATAAAATCAACATCTTCAACATCGACATCTATCTCGCCGCTCGCCCCACCTATCACCTCCCATCTCAACAACAAAAAAGAAGAAATGTATCGCCACAATGTCCCCCGCACCCCCGAAGTCGTCCGCGGCTACCTTCTGGGCAACACCCTCGGCGCCGGCAGCTTTGGCGCAGTGCGCAAATGCACACATCTCGCAACAGGAAAAGAGTGTTGTGTCAAGGTTCTCCCGAAGCACAAGAATTTAAAAGAAGAAGTATGTGCCATTGACACTTTCCCTCATCCTACGTGCGCGTAGTTACTGATAATAGGATGTGCAGGTAATGGGAGAAATTGAGATTCTTGCAGCACTAGAGGGCGGGAGTGGGCTTTGGACGAGGATGTTGGATGTAGAGCAGGAGCATGATGAGAATTGTAGGTTTTTTCTTCTCTTCCTCGTCTTCTTTTCTTTCCCTCGCTTCCTCGTCTGCTTTTCTTTCCTCCCTTTTCCTTCCTCTCATTCCCTTCTATTTTCTTTTTTTTTCTTTGTGTTTTTTCTCTGTTTTTTTTTCTCTGCTTCACCTTTTTCCATTTCGTTTTCTCTCTTTCCCCCGCTCTTATTTATTGAGTTGCTCTCTTCCCTCCCCTTTTGCCCTTTTTCCTTGTCTTGTTTTTTTTTTTTGGCCTTTACGGGTTTTTCTTTTCTTCTGTAACGCGCATTAGCAGACTTTGATCCTGGCCGTGAAATCGAACTAACACACAACGCACAGGGTACATCTTCCTCGAACTCGCCGATGGCGGCGACCTCTTTGCCCTCTACGAGTGCCAGAGCCTCCGCACCCCCTTCCGAACCAAAGAACTTCTCTACGACATCGCCAAAGCCCTGCAAGAACTCCACGAGCGCTCTATTGTCCACCGTGGTAAGTTAAATCCCCCCCTCATAGCCTACCTCCATCTAACGCACACAAGACATTAAACCGGACAACATCCTCCTCTCCACCCGCACTCCAGCCGCCCGCGCCCTGCTTGCCGACTTTGGCGTCAGCACATGGTGCGACGGCGCGCAGGTACTCGATGGACGGTGCGGCACGGCGCGCTACATGGCGCCGGAGATTTGCGCAGATCGGAAATATGGGTCTCAAGTGTTTGTCCCTCCCCTTCCTCCTCCTCCCACCTAATCGTCACAGACAGTAGAGCTAACGGTTATTCGTGTGATAAATAGTGATATGTGGTCGTTCGGATTAATTGCCTACATCCTAGTCTTCGGCAAGCCCCTCCTTCCCGAAGGCGCCACCGACGACGAAAGCATGCAACTCAACGCTGCACTGAAGCCCGGCTTCCTGAAGAACACCGAAGGCCACAGTGCAGAGGCATTCGGATTCATCAAATCACTCTTGCGCATTAATCCCGCGAAGCGACTAACTGCGCATGCTGCAGTGAACCATCCTTACCTCCGCGCGGCGAGGCTGAAGAGAGAGCGCGAGGCTATGTTATTCAAATACTCGTCCGCCGGGTTGGAAGCAAAGTTTAAGGAGGAGAAGGAGATGAAGAAGCTCCGTGAGCGACTCAATAGGCTGCATGTTGCTGAGCAAGTAAACCAACGTATATTGTTATCGACGCAAGCGCCGACCGTTCCAGAGGATACGGAGGCGGCGGCACAGAGAGGGTGGAACGGTAGCGGGGTAGAGATTAAACAGGAAGAAGAAGACGATGAGGATGTGTGGGTTTCAGTTGCGCGTGAGAGTGTCCGTGAGCGAGGTCGGCCTGTGAAGAGACGTCTTGCGATTCCACGCCCTCGTAGAGCTGCTGCTGCTAACAGCGAGGCTGGACCATCCAACATTGCGTCTGCAGCTGGACCATCCAATATTGGTACTGAAGCTGGGCCGTCAAATACCAACACTGCTATCCCATCAGCCCCTGCGCCACAGAACCGGCGTATGGTCTACCTTGTTGCGCCTTCAGCTCCACGAACGCCCGCAGCAGCCACAAATACGAACATTAATATCAACACCAACAACAACGGGCCATTGATCAACCTCTCGTCCACTCCTTCGTCTGCTACCCCAGCTCCCAGAGTCCGAAGTGGCATCCCCCGCTTCACCAGCATTCCCAGATTCACTGGTAACCGTGAGCAAGGTGATGAGTCACCAAACTCGAGTCCTCCTGTAGATGGTGACCTTGATGACCGCTATGAAGATGTGTTTATGCATAATTTCAGGATTGAGCAGAACTATTATCGGTGCCCGCCGGGCGTGGAGATGAAGGATTGGTACAAGTTCATGGTTCCAGGTCCGCGGTTGTGAGGATGTTTGTGGGAAATGGGGTTGCTGAAAGTTATATCATAGCGTCATTTGGAAAGAGTCTAGCTGGCGTGGAGAGATCTACGTGGCATAAAGACGGAGTATCAATTGGAAGAGTATATAAGCATTGTTGGGTTAGCATTTGGGTATATAGGCTGCAAGGCATTGTCATTCTTTAGTATGAATACGAATAAAAAAATATCAAAATATTTTCTGCTCTCTTCTCCGTTTTTAGTGTGTATTTGATGTTCAAAGCAATAGTTTTATTCGATAGATATTCTTTATTATAATTTCGAAGTCCTCCATACTGGGCCGGACCAATCTGTTGGTATGACTTTGTAAGAGTAAATAATACAACCTGATGACCGCCTTTGTGTCGGGAACTTTCGTACGAGAGCGCCCACCAACTATGGAGAGAGAAAAAAAAGGAAAAATAAAAAAGGAAAGAAAGGTAAGCCAACGGTACTCTATTGAACACCTCCCTTGCAATATAACATTCAGCACAGAATAATGTCCCATGCGCTAGAGACCTATTACACACCAACCTGTCGTCCCCTTGCCTCGAAAGAAATCAGACAATTAATGAATTAAACAAAAAAAAAAAAAAGAAATCAGACTATGGTGCGGTGAGTGCGAGTGATAATCCATGATCACCAGTTCCCTCTGCGTGTCGTGTTCACCACGCGTAAAACATTAGAGCTGGTTGCAGCACAAATAAAGTAGCATTAGTTCATGAAATTTCATAACAAGCACCCATGTCTGCGAGCAATGGATAACCGGTGTAAGGTCGTCGTTTACAGACTGTCAATCGCCAATCTATGCGCTTTCTTACTTGCATGGAGTAGTCAGTTATATCTATATCCCGATATCACTATGGCAATCGAGAGGGCTCTCTCAAGCTTTGTTGTTTCGACAGATGTGTTCGGTGGTGCTCCTTTTTGACCTCAAATGTTGTCTAGCTATGTATTGTATCGTTTTCTTCTTTTTCTTTAATAATTTACTCCTAAATCCAAATAGTAAAATGCCCGTACTGGAAAAAAGCCCTATAACTCAATCCAAACTTCCTCACGTTCTTCAGCGCAAAACGTTGTCACCAGCACCACTAATTCCAGTTCTATTTAAATACTAAATTTCTCGTGCTTGAAAACCATTGAATGACTTCCCCATACCACTGAGACATTAAGGGAAGTTAACAAAGACGTAACCTCGCCCAGGTGCCAAGGTAAGTCCGATGGGTGCAAAACCTCAAGTTGCTACCACTATGTGTCAAGAAGACGAACCGACAGGTTGGCCTCTCTCTCTTCTTGTTTCTCTTTCTTCTTCCTTCTCTCTCTCGTAGACCTGTGTATTATGCGAATTTACCTGCAGATTTCAAACAAAATCTGGAGTTTGACAAGACGAAATACCTTTTCGAATCTCTGCCTTCCTTTTCCATCTTTAATTCAGTCCACACCCACGACGTAATATAGCAAAACCTGCTATACAACCTTACGGAAATCAACAACTAAATTGGATTAGTTCTGGTTGTTTATAAATCGGGGCGGAAGACAGAAACATTTACAACCCTATTTCTCCAAGCACAACTTCTTTCCCCTCCCATCCTTGGCCGTCACATCGAGATTCCACGACGACTACAGTATAGCAAAAGCTCCTATAGTCTCAACTCAGTCAAACAACCAAATTACGTTGTTTAAGAGTCTGTATAAATTAAGGCAACTTCACTCAATTTGACTGAGCTGAGTGTACCTTGCGGAAAGGTTCTCACCAATTTATCAGTGTCAACTACACCTCGGGAAATCAGCCAGTGCTTCAAAACTCGCACACAAAGAAGAAAATTAGAAGGACACATTTCACAACTTCTCCCCACTTCTCCCCACCTGAACCCAGCCAGACATCTCCAAACTCCCTTACTGCACTCCATCTCCCATCGATCCCACCCCATTTACACTCAACAATGGCCTGCCACCAACTAAACCTTAACCCCACTCCAACCAACCCACCACCCGCCTCCCCTGGCTCCCCCTCTAAAATTCCCGACACTCTCTGCCCGGGCTATATATCCACCAATGGCGAGTGGAAGCTCATAGACAAATTGGGCGAAGGTAGCTTCGGCATCTGCTTCAAAGCCGAACACACCACAAAGCCCGGCGTTTTCGCGGCCTTCAAGGTTTTGAAACTCAGAGGCGATGCTCAAAAAGACCGACTATTAGTATGTCTCAATCCAATATCCAATTGATAGGGAGTACGTAGACTAATCAGGCACATGTATATATAGACTAGGAGCTTCAAAGAAGAGTACAACGTAATGGAGCGGATCCAGAAAAAAGATGCTTATACACCTAAGGCCTATGGCTTCACTTCCGAGGCGGGACGATGTAGGTTCCACTGTTGCTTTTGAGTATCATTATTGTTTTCGAGTGTTAGAAGTTGATTTCTGGGTGTTGTATATACAGCGTGCATCATCATGGAGTATTTCGACCACAACATGCTCACCATCAAGGGCCACCGCCTCTTCGGTTTTGCCGCTATCCGTGAATACGCCCACGACATTGCACAGTCACTCTATGCCATGCACTTTCAAGGTGGCACGATACACAAAGGCACGCACCCATATCTCCCACTTCGACCCCTATCCCAACAGCTACTGCTATTGTTATGTATATATTAACACGCCTGACAGACGTGAAACCCGATAACATCCTCGTCCGTGAACCTCACAGCGACCCTTCTGAACGCACCGAACCCTTCGCACCCATTGCCTTCCTCGCCGACTTTGGCACGGCCTCCTGGGACGTATGTTCCACAGTTCGCAGGGACCCCAGCCTTGGGTGTGATGGAACAGCGGTCTACACCAGCCCCGAGTGCTGGGTTCTGGGCGAGTCACAGCGTGCCCCGGCCGATATGTGGGCTATGGGTATGGCTCTCCTGTCTAGGTGGCTGGGGTACCATCCGTTGGATGATTTTCTGGGAAGAGATCGGAGTACGAGGGGGGCGAGATTTTGTCTGTTGATGCTTAAGGAGGGCTGGCTGGAAGAGGCGGGGTTCCTGGAAGGGATGTCGAGAGATAGTACGTCTTCCTTGATGTGTTCTCCTTTTGTTGTTCTCGCCCCTTTTTTCAGTCAGTTTGAAATCTTTATATCGTCTTCATCTATCGATATATATATATATCAAAAGAACCATACACCTACGTCACCTCTCGACAAAATACTTTCCATCCCATATCACACATATATGATACTAATCACCCCCTCCACACAGTGAGCTCCTTTTTCTCCTCCCTCCTCACCATCTGCCCCCGCCGCCGCCTCACCGCTGAGCAAGCACTCTTCCACCCATTTCTCACCACCACACGTCTTAACCGCCAACAACACAACATGTTAAGACACGGCTGTCTCCTGCATCCACTCCCAATCCCCCCTGCCACCGTCAAGGCCAGCGTGGACTCAGACCGCAGCATCCTCCCCGTCTCCTCACCCACCCCACACCCGGGCTCCAGACCTGTCAGCCCATTCCACACGCCCACCAACATAGAAAGAGCCCTTGTTGATGCAAGCTTCAAGCTGGACAGCGGGCGCCTCCTCAAAGGGGCGGCCGTGGAGAACTGGTCGGCAGTACAGCTTTTTGTAAATGGCCCCAACTGGGATCGCGATTACGTGTCGGAGCACGAAGAGGTGCTGGCTGGTAATGCCCCGCTGAGGAATATTGAGAATGCACCGTGGCAGCTGAACCCACCCATTGGTGCTGTTCAGACGAGTGATACACCATCAGCGGGAGATTCTGAACATCTAATGGCAGGGAGGGCGTCTCAGTCTACCCTCCGACCATCAGAACATGCCTCTCAGATTCCGGCCGCGAGAGCCTCTCCAGGAGCACCACTGCGCCCTGTTATGAACCGTACTACAGGCATCAAGAAGAAGGCGAAGAAGCCGGCGACTCCAAAGCTCCATGGTACCCGAGCCTTTACTAGGGCGCAGGAGCTTGTCCTAGTTGCGGCTGCGGAGGCTGCGAAACCGGCTGTTCGCCGCTCTGCAAGGATTGCGGCTAAGAGGGGAACGAAGGGGGAGCATGATTAGTCGTGAAGCAGAAAGCTAGGATGTTAGGGATTATTGAACAAGGAAGTTAGTCAATTATCAAGGAAATTAAGGAATTGGGGGGCGACCCTTGGGTATTGGATGCTGGGTGGTTGGGTGTTTAGGGTTTTTTGTATATAGTTGGATGAATTTGGATGGAATATGGGCATCGTCACAGAACGATATGGGTGAACAGTTGAGGGATTGAAGAAATGAAGAATTGAAGTCAAGTAAAATGGTTCAGCAGATCGTACGTTGCAGAGATTTTCCGCATGAGGATACGTTACTCGGCCTCGTGTACAGCATTAGTTCTTAGCCTATTGTGGTTACCACAACTGAACTATACCACAGGCTAAAATAAATAAAGTTTGGGCTAATTGATACTTGTACTGTATTCTCAACACTTTTCCTCTTAATGGAAGTAACCGGGCTATCGCGGGTGTCATAAGGACGATATACGAGGAGGTCATTGTGTGGTCTCTGTGCCAGTAGTAAGGTTGCATGCAATTAATGAATTAAACCAAAAAAAATCTCTGTGCCAGTGGGGTCATGGGATATCACTTGTGTGATCAGAAGAAAAAGGAAAAGACACGCAACCCCAAGCAGGAGCAGGAGCATGATCACCTCTCCCCTAAGCCTATTCCGTTTCACAACCAGCAGTTCCTCACCAACCCAAACCACCCGGTCTCGGATAAAAAGAATTATCCAGTTGGCTCTACCTGGCTTGTTCTTTATTTCATTCTGGATTCGCACCAAGTATCCCTGCTGTCGGCACAAGTCTCCTAAATCAAGGTGCATAGACCACTATGCCAATAGAGCTTAAAGGACTGCATGCTAGGGGAAATAGTAAATGGACACATAAAGTTAAAATCCACTAGTGGCCTGCACTACTAATGTATGAATGCTTACGTACGTACGACTAACACCCAATATAAACACCGCACCTTAATCTGCGACTATCACTACATGGCCTACAACCCTTCATTCATACCCTTCACATCCCTCATATTCCCCTCACTCTACGTGCCTTCCTAATACCATACCCCCTCGCCTCTTCCGCCACCAGCTAACACGCCCACTGACTGTGATTCACGAGATACATCCCCCTCACTGAGCTCTCTACTTATCTAATCTAGAGATGACGATCCCGCGCGACACATGCACTTTGTGAACCGTTTTAGGGGAGCAAAATGCAGTATATATCTCTATTGGAGGGCATATTCTATCTTTAGGTAGCTGAACCTATCTGGATTGAGCGAATGATATAACTATAACACGTCAGGAACTACCACGCGGAGGACAGGTAGCGCCCTTGATAGATCTTATGCTTTTAGGCCATGAATCTCCCCCCATGTCATCCACGAGATTCCCTCGAAGCAAGGACACAAGGACGTTTGTCCTCATGGACCACATCACGTATATACTTCCACTACACCCACCTTCTGTCCCATGCACCAGAGCCAGAAACAAAACCAACACGAAAAGCTAAGCTTTATATAGGTTTCCATTGGTGGAGGGGAGCAAGCCAAAATCAAATAAGCATCAGGAACTCAATGGCGTGGCAGGCACTGTAACTGCAGCAGACGAAACACTCGGCCATATAAGTGTACGGGTAGTAGCGCAAACTTAGACACAGGGGGGAGCGACTCTTCCAGGCAGGGAAGTCCTGTTGGGTGGCTCCTGCGTGTACGTGACTGGATTCTTGTTTTCGTTCCTCATCTATTAAGGGAGAAAATCAGTTGAGCGAAACCACCGAAAAGGCATAATCTGAACACCTTCAGTCTGTTGAGCTGAGCCCCTAACATCACATCCCAATGAATCCGATGATACATTAGTTTAATGGTATAAACCGGTTTGAGCGTTAATAATAACGAGATAGTTAGTACAGCCCGGATCTCTGTACTTCATGGTTGAACTGAGACGTGCTTCTACTTGAACTGGTTCAAACCGTTTCACAATTAATGCGCGGGATTACCTGGATCCCCACATTGGATAATCACTGTGGATTACTCGAAATCGGTATCTCCTCTCTGTGACACAAAAATGCACACTCAGGGTTCTGCAGACCGAGTGTTTGGGGAATCGAGGGGACCGGAGATCTCAACATGACTCGGTGAGACCATAATGTGCCTTGATAAGCTCAGTATTTGCGCCATGGTGTATGCAGTGCAAACCATACAGAAATCCGGAGCATGCAGTTGGTACGGTTTGGACTTTCAACTAAATGATAACGGTGAAAGTAATACAGTTCTTCTTCACATACGAACCGGTTTAAACCATTGGATTCATTGTCACATCCTGGTTGCGTATATATATTAAATGTTGGCCTCCACATACACGGCTAACACAATATTATAAACTGGATACATTTTCCTTCTATATGGCCAGAACCTTTATAAGGCCTGTAAAGGTGTTAGGGGGGATAGAATGACACACACCGAGACCCGAGATCGCATGGAGGTATATATAAATTCAAAGGTATCTACGGCAAGGTGCCGTTTGGGTACTTCGATCATACTAGACCCTGTTCGCAACGAGGTGCATGATCATTTTTTGCCTAAGGAGAAATTATAACTTCAGATACCGGAGTTGTCGAAGGGATAAAGAGCTGTGATTGATCAGCGGCCGGTGACCAGCATTTTGCAGGGACACTGATTTGAATAATCTTTCGTACATATACTATTGGCTACTGGTCAATATGAGGCTGCAGCACCTTCCAAAAACACTTCATAACTTGTGACATCCAGTGGGCTGTGTGGGGTCGTTGTTTTATACCGTTCTTCAAAACCAGAGACAATGAATTGATAGCAGAAGGGTCGCAGGGAAAGTAAAGCATCTACTATCAAATGAGCAAATACTTAATTGTGTAAATGCTTATGCTGAAAAGAAAAGGAAATAATTAAGTAATAAATATAGTAGTAAAAAAGGCACGACTCCCAATGCGCTGTTAATGCAGAGTGAGGATAAAAACAAGTGCCCGGTTCAGGAGCCATATCATGACAAATTCCCCACCTCGACCCCAAACCCTTTCATATTCCTCACAGTTTTTCCTCTCTACTCCATTCTCGATTTCGTCCTCTAAGTCTTCAATCCGATATTGAAGTCTAGTAAGCCACGAATCAACATGATCTCTAAGCTCAATATACTCATCGTATATGGTTCCCTCAGGTAGAAGAGGCATCTCAACAGTCTCCATATAATCAATAAGAATATCTTCCTGGGCTTCGAATTCCGTAATGAGTTTTTTCATGTCTTCGGTTGTCATCTCCATCAATCGCGGAGCAAGCAATTTGTGCCGCTCTTGGCACCTTTCAACCCCATCGGTTTGTTGTTTCAGTACTTTAACCCATATTTTAAACTCCATCATATATTTCTCACACATTAGGTCAAGTGCATCTCTCTCTTCAAGATTCTCGATATTCTTCCGTCTTTTGTCAGTGATAAGATACTCCTCAGCGATGATGAGACAGTTTTCTCTTGATTCCAGTTCTATATCAAGGAGGTTTTCCAAATCGATAAAGGTGACACTGACATGGTGGACATAATCCACAATAGTACTTCTCTTCATCAGGGGCCACAGCTTTGATCCGGGGTCGGCAGCCATAACTGAGTTATCGATAAGTGTTTTGAGTGACGAATAATGCGGGTAAGAGACCTTCAAGCTGAGGACGATAACTTAAACGTTTTGTCACTAAAGATGCTACAATTTGGCGAAGACACTCTATAAAACACTACTAAAAATTTGTATATCACTTCAATTACCATGAGAGCCCTTAAAGCACTATTTAGATAAGAAATCTACTGGTATGGTTAAGGTTTCGATCGATACTATTTAATTGGCCGTCATGCATCGACCACAAATAATCCCATGATCCGCTACTGGTTTCACCTTACAATCTAAATCATAAACACCCCACCTCGTTGCCACGGGGATGTACGAGGTGTTCTATTCTGTAGCACAAGGACCATCTGCTGTATACACGATGAGCTTTGATTCGCTACAGAGTATATCTATATGATCACCGTGCCATATATAGTGCTCTATGAACGAACACCTCGTATCCCAGCTAGCTCCCCTACATGTCATCCCAACACACAAGACGAGTGACCTTCCAGGCGTACCCTCCCACACTTGATCCGCAGATATAACTTTATCATTAGTACCTTACCGCATAAGGTAAGCTTTTCGTCATTTGAATGTCTTCCATAGGTTAACGCTAGTCCAGGACCCGAAAAACCACACTTTCCACCATGTCTGAGAGACCTAGGTTAACTGAGAACTATGGGCAACGAGTGCTAAATTTCCGATATCCAAGTGCGCATTATAGCATGAATGTTAGTCTGATGAGATCATACGAAAGCTAGATGGCGGAGTTTCATCTGGGTAAATAGAGATACGGACCCCTTTGCTGGCCTACTAAACATTAAGCTTTCAAAGTTAGTGGTTATCATCCCCTTCCGTGTGGTGAGTATAGAATTTGAAAGTCAGGCCTCAGACACTCAGGGATAGCGAAGATTCGTTCAAATTCTTCCCCCTCCAGGTCAGTTTTAACGCCCTGGCTCTGGTCCTGGGGTGCAACTTTAAATACGATCAGATGTAACGCCTACTAGAATCAGGCAGAAAGATACGTATATATGACCTCATCACAAATGCCTTCCACGAAGACAGAAGGCCATGAATACCCCCGATCTGTAATAGGATCTGAAACATACCAAGCTCTGATATTTCGTACAAACCAGCAACTTTAAGTATAAGTGGTTTCTGAGACATTTGACTGACCGCATACAGAAGATTAGGAACTCAGTAGACTACCCCGGCGAATGTGCCTAATCCAGCGTGAAGCGTTATCCATCTTACTTATCACCGGCTCTTGTTTTTCCCTCAACCTTCAGGTCCGGGGGGGCGTAGGCTAAACATCCACGATGGTCATAAGCCATCAGGAGTATTCTTGATCCATGAGGTCACCTATTCCGAAACCGTATGGTACTGGCACAGCTGTCCAGAAGAATCTCTCCTCTAGCGTGGCGGAGGTTTCGCCTAGGCCGGGCTACATTTGGCATCATCAACATAGTGGCGGGGGCCACGGAGAACTAATATGAGTTTCTGCAGCTATGGACTGAAGGCATATGTTAAGGGTTGCGGGAAAAAATGATGACTGGAGGTTGCGCCGTTTGAATAGGGTGTACACGCGTGGTCTTCGAATCCATGCGCTTAACAGCAAAATGTAGTACTTCAGAGACCTTGAGCTTTTTTGATTCATAGAGAGTATGATGGGTAACGGGAGTAAGCGCTTGATTGAGACAACACTCTCTCTGCCTGTCAGCTTTGTCAAGCAAAGCCACATGTATATGTCGAAACCAATATTGAGTCAAAGATATGTGGCCATTGATCTTAGGTACATAACCATACCAAGCATACAACAAAACTTTTCATTCTTCCTTCCCTATGCCCTAACCCTAACCTTCCCCGCCGTCAGCCTTGGCGTTTTATTTTCCATTCCTTTAAAAGCTCGATTTCCCCCACACCCGAACTCTCCTCACCATCCACTCGATATGACCTCTCCCGCACAGAGGCAACAACAAACCCAGCAGACCCCGGAAGCCCTAGCGCGAAGGGAAGCACAGCGACCATTGGGTCATGCTTCCCGGGGACTGCGAAAGGCGGTCTTATTCACCGGCCTCCCCGCGCGTCCTCTCCGCCCTCAGCCTGGCGAACTGAGGGTGATGGCGATGTCGAGGGGGGTCCCTCCCTCATCTCGGTTTTCCCCTTCGTTTCTCTGTCCTGCTCCTCACGGAGAGGACACAGCCCCCTGTTGGTCTTTGGGTGTTCCGAGGGACCAAAAGGGGACTTTCACCTTTTGTTCGTTTTTTTCTTCCTTGTTTTCGAGATCTGGTTTGTTTCCTCCCCTTTCTTTTTTTTTCTTCTCATTTTATTTCCTGTATTTTATTTATTTATACTTTAAATTTATTTGTCTGTATTTGTATTTTATTTATTTCTATTTGCTTTAATTTATCTGTACGTGCGTATTTTATTTACTTTTGATTTAATCATTTTAAATGTATTTATTTTAATTTATCTTTAAATGTTTTCTTTCTTTTTCTTTCTCATTTTCTTTTATGTGAGGATCTTCTCGCTCATCTCCGTATCGAAATTTTGTCATTTTAATTTTAATATTTGTCGATTAAACAAACGTTTAATTCTCTTCGCTTTCTCCAAGTGAACTAGTAACCATGTACGTCTGGCTTCTGTGTCTAGCTCTCATACTACCCTGTTTACTATCGACTCAAGTCCTTCTCCCTTCTCTTCTGTGCTTATGGTTCTCGCCTAGTCTGAAACCTATCCTAAGCCTTTTCTTCTTCCATATACCCGTTCTTACCTCATTCGCTCTCCCAATTCTCTTCCTCATTTCTTTCTCCAAACGTCTGTACATAACTTTATTTTGTAATTGATTTTTACACCAACCTTAATCTATTCCCGCACTCTTCCAATGACGGATATATAATCCTTGATCCTCTTCCCTTCCACCCCACACTTCTCAGGCGTTTGCTTATAGCAACCTCATCCGCTTCTTAGCTTTCTTTACTTCTGCGCTTTCATGATCAATGTCCAAGTTTCAAAAAGCGCCACCGCTGACCGTAGTAAATAGTGGAAAACAGTAGCGATCCCTGATCTGTTTCCATACCCAGTATATTTCGTTTTCCGTACACCCTACCCCTCGTGTTCTCCCCCCGAGGAAATAGTACTAAATTGCAGCATGTACTTCATCAGCTCTTGAGCCTTACCGATGGCCGCTGCACTGTCTCCCCCGAACGCTAAATATGTAGGAAGATATTAAGGAACCGTATAAGAGAACGAGACGTGTGCACCAAGTAAGTTGCCACGATAACGACAAACAAATGAAGGACTTTGGAGTGATAGACAAGATCCATAGAGGTCCTCAGTAACACAACGATCTTTCGGCCAGCTAGGATTCAAGCGCCTCCTGCATAAAGTCTTGTAGCAGCGGATAGGATTTTCCGTCATGCCCAAAATCCGCTGTCTATCAGTAGTGTGGAACGGTTACTGTCCTCTTGACTGATCCTCCGTTATGGGTTGGAAAGTGTACCGCCGCTCCGGGTTCCGTGCCGTCAGTGGAAAGTAAAGGTCTTTCCGTCAGACCAAATACACTACCGTAGATGAAGGTCCAAGACATTTCTTCCTTATCTTGATATCCCGATACAAGAATGATGACATCTTTGCCGGAATTATTTCCTGCATTTAATATCACCTCCAATGCTTGAGTACTCCGGGAGACGACAAGAATATCAGAGACGAGTGAAGAAGGAATGGGTGCATGCTGCACAAAACGGGAGTAAACGGAGGACGTTACGGAACTAAAAGCCGTCAGCGGGAAGGAGATCTACTCAGTATATACTCCATGTTTGTTGATAGATATAGTAACATCACCGGCAATACACAGAACACGCAAAGGAGGGCGTGCTTGCTATGTTGAGGTAAGGGTTGATATGCCGGTGTTTTCGGTGGTCCTCCATCAGAAGTTTAACTTCGGAGGTTTTGCGAATGGAATAGCTAGAGATCCTAATAGATGTAGTACAGATAAGACCCTGTCAAAAAGAGCTCCGCTCCCCATCTTCATCTCCCTAGAGGTTAGATTTGGTGTTTCGATTGGGTTATTCAGATATCGCAGGGCACAAATGTGGAGCCAAATCATATACAGTCCCGGGTTTGATGTGCAGCTCTCCATCCGAAACACATGTCACAAGCCATAAATAGGGTAAAAATCAAGTAGTTTATGGATTCTACCATCATCCGCACGCCCCTACCCCCTGATCCCATCCCTGCCAAGATATTCAGTGCAGCGTATCTGGGCTGCCAGATCAATGTAGTTCCTTCGTTTCCATGTTCTCTCACTGCTGATGCGAAGTTAAGGCCTTTTCCGTTTCCTTGGGCTAACTCACTGATGATGGCTTGACTGACACCTGGTCTTCGGAGCTCGCTATACGATAATGCGAGTGCGTTCCGTGCGGTTGAAACTCATTGGGGCGATTGATATTCGAATACGGAGGCGGATGAGAATCGAGGTGCCGTTGTTGGTAGACAGATTGTCTTTCGGGGCGGTGCGCAGAAGCAAGATAACCGGGGTCTATGCAGTTTCCACATTTCGCTGCGCCTGCACGATATACATCTAGTCATGACACGTAACCGATTCCAATCCGCATTTCGAGTGCAGGACAACGCGCCCGTATATAGCTTTCTTTCTCCTGCTTTCCCCCTTTCCCCCCCCGTATTTCTGTATTGACCTATCTTCAATCATATCTCGACGGTTCCATCACTGCATTCACAACTCATCAAGTCCCTTCTTCTTTCCGACCTTTGCCGCGGTTCTGTATAGGGAGCGAACTCTATTGACATCCGATGATTATGAGACTTTAGGCGAGGTGGCTTATGGCTTGTTTTTCATCATCCAACTATCCTTCGGATGATGTTCACCCCAACCTCCTGGGGGTCTATTCCGGTGTCTCTGTGGAGAACCAGACTGGAGATAGAGCTAGAGGCCCCTATCCATCTATTTACATCACACGAACTTCACCTTACTACGAAACAATCTTGCCAGGAACGATCCTCGTTTTCACAAAATCGTACCAAATTCCACTGCTCCCCCTAAACCATACCTAGGAGATTCTTACCAGAATCGATATCACGCCCCTTATGAATCATCTTCCTCTGTACGGGCCTGATAAAATATTATGGGTTGTCAAAAATAACCGGAAATATTTTAAAAGTATGACCCTTGAGACTGTATCAAAGTCCTAGGGAATACAACTATAGGGGATTACTGGAATGAAACCTCCTGTCTTCTACCTCCTATGGTGTATAAAGCGACGCTGAAGCTGCACTCCCACACAGATTTTCGTTGCGGAGCAAATTTCCGGTTATCTTTGATAACGCACAATACTTATGATACCTGAACGAAACAGAACGGTCCAGCAATCTATTTCTTCCCATATATGTTCACACGTTAATTAAACGGTCGGAATTTTTTGTGGGGATTTACCGCCAATGATTTCCGGCCTTTTAATTAACTAGCAAGTACCCGGGCGCTCAAGAAAACTCGGCTTCCATTAGGGACATTTTACTAAATGCCTAGCTATGGTTCCAGGTCGTAAATCATGGGAAGGCACCCATTTTATACCAAAAATGCCACTTTTCAACATGGTCCTAGACCACCAATTGTCATTAATTACTAAATTCTGAGGATTGAAAGACCATATATTTGTATATGAATAATCGCTATGTCAGCTGAGAATGGCAATATTACACTTCTAGCATGAGTTGTGTTGCTTTTGTTAAGTTCAGTTGCAAAAGATGCGCCAAGCCCCAAATCCCCAAGTCTTTCTACTTCTAGCTCATATGACCTTTTCCACATTCAACTTCAGAAAGTGCCCTTTTAGTTTTATTAAATTTTATTAAATTTGATAGCCAATTTTTCACCCCCCAAAGCCATTTTTGTTATTGATGGCAATTGTGTTGTCGGTGGTGGTTATATTTAGACAAATCTTTGGCAAATTTTGGTGTGGTTTGGTTGCCTTCCCATGGGAAAAATCCTTACGGGAGAATTAGCAAGCTAGAGGATGCCTAATAAAGTTGCCTGGGCGTTGGGCACTCGAGAATGCGTGATGACACTGGATACTTTTGATGGATACTGGCGAACGAATACGCCCCTAGAATCAGTAACGCCCCATTATTTCCGCACGTACACCTGAACCTTGCACGAATCCAGAAATTCGCTTTTCACTCGATATAAAGTTACCGGATACTAGTTTATAATCATAAATTGATTCAAATCTGCATAATACCCAATAAAAGCTGGATAAAACCTGCGTAACCCACCCAGCCTTTCCTCGCTTCGACACCCCAACCCATCACAGTATTTCGAAATTCTTCCCGTACCTACTTACTTTGAAACGGATACCTAACGAGTGATGGGAAAGGTACTCCCCGTGCCTGAATCAGGTTCCGCTTCTCCCTTCTCCCTCTACGTTTCCTCCCCCTCCTCCCCCTCCTCCCCCTCCTCAGCACTCATAGGTTCTGGCAACGCACTTGTCTTATACCACATCTTGTTTATATCACGAGACTTCTTCTTCTCTGGGGATTCTGTGAATTCAGGAAGCCCCTCAAAAATATGGTACTCAAGTGCTTCACGCGCTGTCCATCTCTGGGCCGGGTTGGGGGCCAAGCAACACCTTAAAAATATGTCAACTAGCAATCTCATGTCAGCGTCAAGTGGATCCAGGTGATAGGTTTCGTCTTACCAGCGTCAGAGCAGCAGATGGCTGGAAATTGATCGCAGGTCTCGAGGTAATCCTCTACGCTGCCACCGAGGTCGAAAGGCATATCTCCCGTAATCATGAAGTACGCTGAGATACCAAGGGCCCACATGTCACTATTTAACTCATCAGTACTCTTTCAGCTAATAGAGATACGTTCAAGCTATGAGGGATTTTTTTTTGTTTAATTCATTAATTGCGTAAGCTATGAGGGATACAACATACACTCCGGATCCATATTCTAAGCTCCCACTCTCGCGAAATATCTCCGGAGCTTGATAACCAAGTGTTCCTGGCATACTATCGTCTGTCAATATGCAGCCGTCTGGGCCGATATCTAGCGCTGATCCAAAGTCACAAAGCAGAACCTTTGATGGTTCGTCGCTTCGAACTTCTTCGATAACGATATTCTCAGGCTTCACATCTACTTTACAGTCAACAGCCGCATCTTCACCGCGCAGAGCTACAAAACCTACCGCGGTGCACGATGCCATTCTCGTGGCAAATAGCCAGTGCCTGTAAGAGCTGGTGGACGACTTTAATCATTGCACCCTCCGTCAGGTATGATCTGTTCCTAACCCACGTCCACACATCGCCTCCAGGTGCGAGATCCATAACAATGTAGTCTAGAAAAAATCATGTCAGCTAGTGAACATCCCAAAATCAAATGGAGCAGCCATTCTCACTTTTGCCTTTAGCGCGAAACAGATCTACCATCTTTATAAAAGGCCCCTCGATATCCTGAAGTTTCTTCAACAAACACACCTCTTGATCGAACTTCAGGAAAATTAGCAAAAGCTTGAAATTAAGACACAAAAGAATAAATCATTACCGCTACCACCTCTTCCCCAGCCAATATCTTGACTGCAAAATCAATGCGGCTCTCCAGATGTTGACAGATATTCACTGTTGAGTGGCCACCCTCAGCTATTCCTCGCCCCAGGCTGTAAAGACATGATGGTAGCATCTCTTGCTCTTTCATTATAGTATTCATAACAACTTATTGGTCTGATTGAGTTTTCTTGTCGATAAACGATAAAAGATAACAACAGCGATAGCAATGAAGACAAGATGGGGGTGAGATAGGGGGTGGTCTCAGACTCTGGAATATCTCTTGCTACTGATCTTGGGGGTGCACTAAAATACTATGGATTTGCGGCCAGTGGTGATGTGTTTAAGGTAAGCTCGGGAGTGTGGTTGAGTATACACACGCAGTCACCACATCCAAGAAGCCTTCTATGAGTGGACACTCCTTCTGGACGCAACGACGCTCGAACCAAGATGAGCTACCACAACCCCCAGGTTATGCGCTCCCAAGCGTGCCTAATAGTCAAGATCTTGAAGCGGTACATAACTTGATACTCAAAAATCACCTAGTTAGAAACTCAAAAGAAAAACAGCTAGGATATAGGAGAGAGCCTTTGGCTCGCTTATATCTAGGTTCTGAAGTGCTAGTGCTAGATTTACAAATGTCCTAGGCCCAAATCCTGCTCGCTAATCAGAATAGAGGGAGCTGGGGCAACCGCTCATAGAAGTAGCTCTGGACATCAACGCTTGTGAGGAGCTCGAGCCCTACAAAAAGGGATATACTCTTGACTCATTCCTCCTCGACCAGTTATTTTGACGATCGTATGAGTCCAGTGTGCAACGTAGATACGTAAGCTTGGAGAAAGAGCAGGCTCAGCACACTCTCGTGAAGTTTGACTGGTCAGCAGGGTCAAGTCTATTCGATCGCACAAATACCCCAATGCTAGAACCAGCTGAACGAATCACAGGGCACGTTTTCTAGGACAAAGAAAAACTAGCCAACGATTGGCTCCCGTTGAGGAAGTTCATCGGAGCTTGAAGGTACCATCAAATGCAGAATTACCTTCCAGATGTCGCAAGAAAACGATTCTCAGCAATGTGGTACATTATTTTCCCCATTAGGCACTTTCTCGAATATACCTTTACTCCGTGGAACACCTGTTCCCCGGCCACGAGCTCATCCACTCGATTCTATTATTCTACAAATTTTCTCATGACCACCCAATTGCAAGACCACCAGCCATCTCTTGAGTAGTAAATTCAATTCTCTACAGTACTAGTAATGAGGGACTTCCTAGATACATTTCTATCCAACTATTAGCCCCTCATGAATATGGATTTCAAATCCTTCGGTTCCTTTCGATGATAGTGAGGCCTTTTATGACACTGTTATGTTCATTATATATTTCATTTTGTGACCCCTCCCTTTGAAGCTCTGTCAACTCCGTCGCCGGAGCTGGGGTTTTAACCGTCTGGTATTTTGGCTAACACTGCAATTAAAGACACACGCACGAGCCTCGAGAAACAAAAGGCTAATGGTGGAGTTAGCAGGAGCTCTACCCTGTGCCTAGAGAAGTATTCAAGCCTAATTAGATGCTACCCCTGCACCGTCCCCGTCATTTATCGTTGGATTCCTCTCGGTCTTCCTATCGATACCTCAGTGCTCACTTATTCTGACACCTCCGAATATCAACACACCGATAATATAGGCACTCTGGGGATATTAGGATCACAGAATGTGAGTTTGTAAAATTCTTCATGCGCATTTTGGGTTCTGGCTATCAACCTTTTTGTGCTGACCCCAGCTGCAGTGGTGTAACGTCTTGCGAGTGATAATCCATGAACCTCCGAGACTTTGATTGATTGAAGATGTCAACACGTACCTCGCTATGACTGGAGTCTCAATCAGAGAAAGATGTTTAGGATCTTATCACCCTGATCGGCTTCCGATCAGGAAAGCCAAAATTCTGCCTATCGGGCTACAGGTAGATGATCTAACGGGGCATCTCACTCCATTGACAAATGTGTTAGTTCCACTAGTGTATTTAAATTATAGCCCTTCTTTTAGATCACAGAACACCACCCCTCTCAATCCAGGGAGCGCTTTAGAGGGACCTTCTACATTTTAATAGCGGCCATATAACACCGGCATTGGGGATATCTATTACTCTAGAATACCCGACAAGCAACGGCATACCACAGTACTATATCGCAGCGTCCTCAATACTACCAGAGGAGTTATAAACCTCAGAACTGAAGCCGATAACCTCCCTTTCGTTGCATATAAATTCCCGGCCTCTAGCATGCCACCAAGTAGACTCTCTTCATCAAATTACACCGATCACGACCCAAACCCTTCAAGAGCTCTCTCAACTAATATCAACTATCACTACTCCCTACAGGCACTCCGAAATGCACATCCCACAGCCCGCACTCCTACCTACCACACATTCCATGCCCAGAGATGTTAACGGCCTCAACAGTAAGCTTCGAACCCTTCCCGGAGTCCTCATCCCCGTCACACACCACAAACAGCAACGACGCACTCATGCTACCGCGTCAGGACCGGCGCAAGAGAGTCCATGCTCAGAATCAACCGTTGAGACGCAGCAGGTTGTTGGTGAAGTGCCGTTCAAGTTTTGCTTCATACTATAAGAGTACTTGCTAATAAGATATTTGATCATGTGCATGGCGGATTTCTGTCTAGTCAGTTAGTAGGATAGTGGTGGATAGGATATGTAGGTATTAAGTGGTAATAAATTCAATACATCAAGTCGTTTTACCTTTCTCTCTGCTGTGTCAGTTCCTCCAGTACACTGCGCTGTCCTCTTGTGAGAATAGATGCTCCCTCAACTACCTTGCTATATGCGAGGCTCACCACTACATGTCTTAGAAAGCTTCATATTAGCTCAATAATGTCTGCATGATATGACGTCCTAGATCTCGAGATAGTGGTGGTCCCGATTTATATAGATGCTACTCAAGGTGTTCCTAAATACCAGTGGTAGCTAACGTACGGCTTCCTTTTTATATATAGATCCTTGGCATGGCATAGCAGCACATATACATATAGAACACCGGGCTGTGGTTCAAAGTTTCTGTGCGAGTTTCAATCAAAGCTAGGCGCCCGTTCAAGTGAGTCAAAATCAGACACAGAGACTGCCAAAAAGAATCTTAATCAATGACCAAACAAGCAGAGTCGAAACGTTTACCATCAGAAACAAGAGGGTGTATGGCGCTTTGACAAAACCGGTAACTCAGAAAACAATAAGGAAAAGAAAGAAAAGAACGCATACGAATTACTTTTGACAGAGTATGAATAAATCCCGAAATCACACTGAGTCAGTTATCTTTAGAAATAACAGGGCTCGGTTCAAAAGCCACATCAGAATGAAGTCTTGACGCGCCTGACCAAACTCCATTTCATATCTCTCACAATCCTTTCGACCCTTCCCTGTCTCAAGCTCATCTTTCAACTCTTCGATGCATGCGGAGATCAAGGTAAGGCGATTATCAACATCCTCGACTAAGGCTCGGTACTTCTCGTATATCGGCCCTTCAGGCAGCAGTGGTGTTTCCAGCGTTTCCATGTAAGAAATCAGGATCTCCTCTTCCTCCTCATATTCCACAATTTTCTTTTGCATGCCTTCGGTTCCCATCTTAAGAAATGCTTCAAATATTACTGGCTGTTGCTCATGACACATCTTTAACGCTATTCTCAGTTTTACTAAATCCAAACGGTTGACTCTGACATTATTGCAGTAAAACCTTCGTAAAATCTTGAATTCCCGTCTTTCGGGTTCCGTTAGGGTGCCCTTTAGTTTTTTGTCGACGGAAAGAATTTCAGTTGCATAAGCAATGCTGTTATCCTTCAATCGTTGTATTGAAGCTATACAATAATTGATATCATAGAGATTGCGTCTTACTACATTCACCTGGTTGACGTTAGTAGTCTCCGGAATTAGAGACCAAGGTTCAGACTTCCGTAAATTCTCCATGACTTTCTTATTCGGAAATGAAGCTAGGAAGGAAGAAATTTAGCTTGACAATTGAGGAGTGTAAGGAAATCTCTGTGATTCTGTGTCGACTGGTTGGCCAATGTTCTGGTGATTTTAGCCTGGTATGCATGATTGCATGTTATAAACTATTTCCAAATAGATACATCTCCATTTCAATGGTTTTCGGGGCCATTACCCAAGCTTCTTCAAGGAGAGATGACTCAAGGTTGTGTTGTTTGAAGCATTCAATTGCCGTCACAGCGCCTGTGGGCAATGCTTCTTATACCAATCACCACGATGTAAAGGAAACTCACAATAACTCCTGTGTCCATCATGGCAGAGTATTGCCACTCCCCTGGGCTGAAAAAACCTAAATTCCGAGATGAGAAAATGCTTCAATTTTACTGGACGCACTTCGTGTTCTTTGGCGTACTAACCAACTCTGGTGGACCAATTAATCCCGAACCCAATTACTTGTAAGATCCAATCAAATTAACTGAATTAGATTAAATGAGATTACTCATTAAAATCTATTCCCGTCCTGAAACCATTAATACATACATGTATATATAGAAACAAAGTACATGTGTAATGTATATATCTTCCATTTAGAAATAGAATCGACCCTGCTGGACTGACCCTTAGTTTTAATAGCTTTAACTTAAATACAGTAAGAAGTCCTCTCCATAATTTCAACGAGCTTTTTGCGCTTGATTGATCAACCATATACAATTTATTCCACTCATATCAAATCCTAGCCACAATATCAGAAAAGCTTAAGTGCACGATTCAACGATTTTCTCCACACCGAATCAATGGAAGACAATTCAATATCTTCACCTTGGTCTTTAATACCAAAAAGCAACATTAAGAACTATGTTCATCTTATAAACCTCGACCTTGAAATACTAAAGAAATTTCCCAAGGATAGAGCGCGCTATATAGATCTGTGCGAGTCTTACGCCAGTAAGGCTGTTGGCATCGATGGTCTGCTTCCAAGCATCCAATCTCCTTCTAAACGCGAGTTCTGGGAGTCCTGCTACGAAATGTGGTGTGGATTTATCAAACTATATACTTTCATGTTGGAATTACGCGAAGAGAAGTACAAGTCCTGTCTAGAGCGCCAACCTGAACTCCTCCAAGGACTAGCCACTATGGATACCCAAGTGATGGAAAAGCTACTTGGTGAATACACCGCCGAGGAAGATATTTTGATCAAATATATGGAGACTTATGAAACACCCCTTTTGCCGGAAGGTTTAGTTTATGAGAAATATCAGCAATTGAGATACCGAGTTGACGAGAGACTGAACAAACTTGAAATCGAGATCAAAGAGCTGAAGACTGAGATCAAGACTGGCCAGGTACTCCAAAGCCGCATTGAGTATGAAAAGGAATTTGGGCAGGGTGCTAAAGATTTCATAATGATCTGGATTTTGAATCGAGCTCTTGTGTTTGTACTTACTCTACATTGATTATATTCGAGATTTAAGGTGGCTTTTGTTATGTTATTCTACGGTTTCCTTCCTCTATCTTTCCTTTAAGACTGTAAGAAGTTTTAAAATAATCCTCAATGTTCTTAATGATTAATTATATTTCTTGTTTACTCACCTGAGAATTGCGATATACTAGTATAAAGCTCGCAATATTCGGGCTTAGGACTATTGCGCGAGCTTTCTCTGACTCTTAATCACAATTAGAACTCGAGGTATTCGAGCCTAAAGCTCAGATCAGATAACCCAAAGCTCGAGCCAGCTACGGAGGAGCGTATCTTCTTCTCTACTTGCTTATCTATATACATGTACTTTAGTAACGTTTACGACCATTCGAACCATCGCATCCTCGCCACTCATCGCTAGGCATCCCCGGGCTCCCAAATGAACAAAGTACATCTAAGCTACCGCCTTTCGCCCTCCTAGTGCTGGTCTCCATAACGCACCCATACTCACTTTAAAACAGCACCCCGCATCTATCGTTTTACGGTAGCTACGTAGAGCTGTTTTTCTATCCCCCCCCCCCCCCCACCATGGAGCCCAGATGGAAATATAGGTTGACTACAAAGTAGTTTCAAGTGAACCAGTTAATTGCGAGCTACGACAGGCATCTTTGGTCTAGTGCTTCCCGGAAAGAAACACCGTTCGGTAGTGACTGCCAGGAGGTTAGAAGTTATGATCCTTCGATCCCTAAAAGCTAAAGGCACCCAAAGCAACCAATGAGACAGCACGAACTTTAGAATTAGCGGTATAACAAATGACAAGTCTAATTACCCACCTTCCCAGATAGAATGAGTTCTCCTCCAATTATTTACACCTCCGGTGCTGCTATCTATCTACTCTTCATATATATGCCCACTCTCTCTGCGTCCACCTGTACCAACATCTCCTCCAGATCAACCCAGTTCCCGCCACAACCTCCCATGATACACGCCCCATCATGTATCCACATACAGCGAATACTCGCTCGCCACAGAACACAACAGCACATACCTTGAATATCCCAGATACCCAGCAGCTCATCATCATCATAGCTCATCACCCCCCCCCCCCCCCCCCGGGCAGCCCTTTCACCTCCGGACCCAGACAAAAAGCCAACAGGGACGCCTAACCCCCCTAAGTAATAAAACGCTCACATGCAAAGCTCATATCCGGCCTTCTTCCCCCACCGCTTTGAACTCCGCCCTAAACCCCGCGCCAACAGGACGCCACGGCGTTACGGAGAAGACGGGCAGTTCATATAATAGCAATTCCCCATTGATTAACTGTCCATGTGCGGTACTAATAGGAGAGCTCTGGCAAACCCCTCTCTAGTCTCTGCTAGATGGCGAATATGATCATATGCCGGCCATCCCTAGCTAGCACGCCCAGATCCCAGCGGAGAGGTGTAGATGTTGACCTGAGCCCAGAACCGAATAGGCGTAATGAACCTGTTATACCAAGTACCTATCAGTGCTCGGAGCAGCCCAGAAAAACAGTTGCCCCTACACAAGTACATGCCACATACACATACCTCCGCTGGCATTTCCGAAGTCGCCCCCGTCCCCCCCCCCCCCAACCCTCTCTATCCCTCCCATCAGAGGGCTAAACGGAGTACAAGAAGCCATATACCTACGATACACAACGTCAAAAACGTGCTGTCGGCACCGCAATGCACTCCACGCCCCCGCTTAACCATCCGCCAGGCGATTCGCATCCGGGTGATAGTTCATGACTCCAGTATCAAAATGTAGTATGGATCCCTGTTGACGTGCTGCGAATGAATATAGCAAGAATATGGTGTTTTGATGGATTTAGTGATGTAGTGTTGGTTTAGGTTCGTGTTCCTCACCTGCTATGGTCTCGTTTCTTCGGATGTGTACCGGCTGCTTAGCCAGCCATCGCCACCTTGCAATTGAGTTTTGAGGTAAGTGTCTTCAACCTCCTCCACTGAGATATAGGGCGAGAGACGCGGATTGAATATGTGTAGGGCCCACCCATCATAATAAGCACAGCATCTCATATTCCAGCCGTACCTCTGCAAAGTATCCACAACATCCCCACCGCAGTTCACCTCCAATCATCAACCACGTATAGCAACCACCAACCCACCAAGCACACCCCGACAGGTCCAAAGCCAACCCCAGGAGCACCCCGCCCCCACCTGCACACAAACACCCGCAAGTCCAACTCTTCCCCGATGGTTCCTGTCAAGACTGCCGTCATAGCCGGCTGGAGAATTCATGGTTACAGCATCTATACCAAACTCACACGCCCTACCTTCCGCTGTGAAATATCCATCCAGCTGGCCGCCATCTTCTCACCACCCCCACCCCCCACGACCCTCCACTCTCTACTCCACCCCAATACCAAGCTGCCACCCAGCTAGCTCCACTACCAGCTGTCATCACCACCAGCTACAAGGTCTTCATGCCAGGGCCCGAGAGGTAGCAACAGCAGATGTGCGAATCGATATGCACATACCCACCTCTCATACATCGTCGGGGGTGAAGCTGCACCAGCTAACCCGCTTAATGGGCTGAAGATCACTCCCCAAAAACCGTCTGTATCACTATACCTACTGCCAACACTAAAGATACACCTCGCCCTGCACCCTCTCTTCGCCCGCGAAGTAACAGGCCTAGGACCTCCAGGAGAACGACGATGGACACATACCAAGACAGCGATTGCGTCACCCTTGCGGTACTCGCCGATCATAGGCCCTTCCAAGCGGTCCCAAAGCTTGGATACGGTACATCCCCGCGCTGCCTCACCCCGATATATAACCCAACCCCAGTCCGTCAGAGCCGCTAGGGCCGTTATCGAGTGATATCCTATGACGGCCACTCAACACAGCCATGCAGACTCCTCACCACAGCAATACCAGACTTAGAGTCTATCAACTCCTTCTTCTACACTCACCCCAGCGGCCAGCGAGCGGTCGAGACACGTGGAGAAGCTAGAAAACCCTTTGGGAAACTCGGCCATGGGAGTTACCGCGGCATCGGGAATATTGCTTGAATTCAACGATATGGGTTTCCTCTTCGATTAGCTAACTGGCATGGGTGTAGGCTTGGGTCCAGCACATCCTTCTCTGTTATTTACGAGGGGGGGGCCAAAGATCTTCGGCGAGCCATAATTACAGACACAACGAGCTCGTCCCCCACCACCTCAGGACACGCACACACAGGAGGGAGAGTTCGCAACAAAACTCACAAACCGCATGCAATCCCAGAAACATTAGCACAGACTGAATGATTCCACCCCGTTTTTCATCGCGTTGTATAGTACAGCACTAACTATGGAGAGGCCTAGGTAACAATTACACAAAACGAATATCTCGACCCATGCACACCACCGAGACCCACCAAAGCCTCAGTCACACCCCAGCACTCGATCCACAACTCAGCAGAACACGGTTCCCCTCACCACTAGTACTAGCAGCGGGGGAACATACCGTGAGGCAAGCGTCTACAAGCCACGCCAGCGGTCACAGTCACATATCAATACGTCAGACATACAACCTGATCCACCAGATTATTATATCTAGATCCACCTAGCTAGCTACAATCAGACCTCACCACCAGGCAGTACTTACACCGGAAATTAACATTCCCACAGCTCCCACCCGGCGCACAACCCACACTTCCAACGAAGGATCTACACGCCGTGTGTTATAGATTCATCCATATTGTGCGGGGGATATCTATACTTGTACCTACTGTCTAGAACACACCTAACACACCCCACAGTCAGACTCCGCGGGGTACACAAAGACACCCCCTTATCCCTCCATCCCCCTACCTCCCTACCCCCTTACCCCCCCCCCCTTCCATATACCCCGCCCCCTGCCCCTGCCCCCGCCCGCCCGGCCACCTGGTTACATACCATCACCAGTTCCAAACCGGCCCAACCAACACAACAGAAACAAACCCACGATGTCGCACAAGGCGCACGGACCACACCCAAACCCACACCCACACACACACAACCACGCAAACTTACGCGCGCGCGCACACGAAATGAGCGCCACGCCACATCTAGGGCAGATCAGATCTAGATGTCATCGAGCTTCACATGTCAAGTAGTTATCATACGATATTTTTCCGGACATTCTTTCTACACCTCTACACAGAGTACATAGTGGTTTGGAATTGGAATTGGAATTGGAACCGGAATTGAATTCGTATTCTTGGGAGAAACTTAGTAGGAAGGAAAAACCCGTATTCTATTTTTCCCGCCCATGACTAGCACAACGGCCTAATGGTATTGCAAACTACCAAGTAAAATATTGATATGCAGACAGCGCGATATGCCCTCCCCCCCATCTCCATCATGCAGCGCAGCGCCGGATATCAACCCAGCGCCCAACCAAACCAAACCCATGGGCGCCCATGAATCCCAACCCAGGAACTAAAAAACATATATGCAATGAAAACAAAAGAAAGAAAAAAAGAAAGACAAAAAAAAAAATTTCACAAAAGAACAGAACCCAAGCGAACGCGACTCCCCCCGCCCCCCCCCCCCCTTTTCCCAATCATTACCCCCCTTTTTCCCTCCCACCCTTCGCCCATCCCATTCTTCTCGTGTCGTCCTAAAAAATCGCATCCAAACAGCAACAACACGCCAACGCGCCACAAAACGCCGCCAACATCGCCCCCAAGCCACTATCCGACTTCTGCGCGCCGGGCGGCGGCGGCGGCATCTGGTAGACCATCGGCTGCTGCGGATATCCCTGCTGCTGCTGCTGCTGGGGCGGCGTGTAGTATTCCTCTTGCTGTGGTGGGTAGTAGCCCTGCTGCTGCTGTGGTGGGTAGCCCTGGGTGGTAGGGGGGTAGGTGTTGTAGCCGGGCTGAGGCGGGTAGCCTTGCGGGGGGTAGGCTTGGGGTGGGTATTGTGGTGGTGGGGAGGTCTGGAGGGGTGTCAGTAGGATATGACAGGAGGAGGAGGAATGGAGGGGCGGAGGGGGAGGGGGGAGGGGGGATGGGGGATGGGGGGAAAGGGGTACTGACGTAGTTGTCTTTGATGCCTTGGGTCATCTTGTTGATATTGTGCTGTTGGTCCTTCCTTGGTGATGCAAACTCAGCCTGTAGCTATCTATCTCTCTCACGTACGTACGTATATCGCGGTGATGAAGTATCCAAAGGCGCAGTGGTGCAGTGGTGAAGTAGCGAAGTGGGCAAAGTGAGAAAAGTGAGGTTGAAAGAAGGTTGTTACAGGCCAGGGCCCACCTGCCATATAATACTCTAGAGTAGACAGCCACCCTGCAGGTCGTCGTAATCACACAAATCACACCTGTTCAACGTGATGAGCGAGGCGCAGCTGGCATGCCTCGGGGGAGCGTTGCCGCATGTGGAAAAGGTATGGAGAGGCGCTTATCGGGGACTTAAGCGAGATGAAACAAACGCCCGCGAACCGGTGGGTGCGGTGCTCTAGAAGCTCTGGACGGGATGGGCATGGGATGGGATTGGGTGTGGGTTTTGATTACCAAGGGTACTGTGTTTTGATGAGTGACTGCGCGCTCTCTGTATTGTATATAGTACCAGGGGATTCAAGAGGAAGTGAACCCCTGCGCTTTTTACTCACACTATGTTTGGACTTTTCTTCACGTTTTCACACGCGTGGAAAGAGTGGAGTGAAATGGAATGGATGAGGGCTTGGGACCTGCGTAATCATTTGCAGCCACATCTACTACTATTCTACTTTACTTGGCATGTGCAGGGGTCACGTAATAAACGGCGTTTGCCAAGTTTTTCAAAACTACATGTGTTTAGCCTGAACACACGGTGTGATTTTTGGTGTAGGACTCGCAAGATGAATATTAGTCGATAGCGGGGTATGGTTTAACTTAATATGACGGGAGTATCGGTTTAGGAGGCGATAAACTGAGAAGAAAGAGCCTAGAGTAAAGAGGTAAACCTCAAGCTATATAGAAGTCGACATCGAGCTAAGAGTCGATTTGGCCAATATATTAGAACCGAAAACTCAAACTATTAAGCCGACCAATCAAACCACGTCAAACCATATGATTATCCAAGGTATCCGTTCTCCGGCGTGGGGGGTTGCAGGTATTGTTGTGCGATTAATTGTATATTAGGCAGTTTTGGTGAGGATACAGCAGGACAAGCCCGGAATCCGGATAGTATATTGGAGCGAGTGATCTGGGGATTTACCTTTCGATTCTGCCCCAGAAATATGCTAGATATAAATTTCTGCACCATACGTATTTACCTTGATTCCTCTCGTAGCCATATATACTCGTCGAAGGGATCTAGACACATGCATATGCCTCCCAAGCCCGGGGAAATGACAGTTCTCGTACGTCAAAGACTTTCGGATATGCTGCCGTACACGCTGCCGTATATGTAGCTTGTATATGTTCTCTCTCTGTGCTCTTTTTTAATTGTTGCGAGCACTATAGCCTCTTAGTCCGGATTCCGGAATCCTCTAGTACAGATGTTTTAGTCAATAAGTAACTTAGTCCCCATTAGTATAATAGATAAAGCACTAGGATAATATCACTAATCCATAACCCAGCCCTGGAGAACCCATGACCCCGTATATGCACATCCGTGATGCTAGCTCTGTACTTTCTCATCGCAGAGACCCGGTAAAAAACGTGGTATGCAGACAATGCCCCTCAGCTCTCGGGGTTACAAAACCCTGCTATGATCCGGTATCTTCCAAGCGCTCTAATCAGCGTGTATCACCCACACTCCAAGATTCCTCATTCCCCCGCTCCCGATTCCACACAGTCCGACAACATCTCCGAGCTAAGTAAACTTGAATCTCGAGACTGACAACCTCCTTCCGAAGCCCCGCCCAGAGCTGCATCCCACACCCCGGTACACCATGCCCGACATGTCAGTGTCATGCCGACTACCCCACACCTCTGACAGTTGGTTGTTTCAGACCAACTGGACAACACCGAGCCAGACGCTCGGGCTAACAGAGGGGTATGGCTTGCATGTCTAAGTTATGTTTCTCCCGCAGGTTGGGCTTTGTTTCATGCGTCCCTGCATACACGCTCTCCAAGAATCCTGTTTAAGACCCGTTAGTGTGCATTATACACCCCACTTAAACAGCCAAACAGGAAACCCAACCGAGATAAATTTAGCCAAGGTTCATTTTGAGACTGTCATGGCGTATGTGGGGTGGGGGCGGCAATGTCGTCATGGATTATCACTCGATGTGAAAATCATGATGCCGGGCCGTGCTAATAACAAATTGGGCGATAAGATGATGAGTGACGGGTAGCTGAAATCTATTCCCTAGTGCTAGCTCCTTCGCATTTTGGCACTCGTGAGATGCTCCACAATGAGGTCCTCACGGTGGTGGGGCGGGGTGGTTTAGATGTAGATAGCCTATATATCCGGATACGTCAGGTTCTATAAGAAAACGACCCTCAACAGACTGCAGAACAAGGGCCTAATATCCCATATCCTATGCACGACAAATAGTGGACTCTAAGATAGTAAGCGATATACCCCTGTCCAGTGCCCCGCCGATGATGCTTTATACACCAGGAGCGTTAAGCCCAATCCCCATGGTTCACCAAAATTTCGAAAGGAGACACTCATCACCTCGCTATCACCGCTGCTCCCCCCATGAAGGTCCTAGACTATTGTAGGCTATGTCGGAGGGGAGATCATGATCGCAGATGTATGTCGGAGGAGCAGCTATTCATCTCCTGCTCGCACCTTTATAGGTAGTATTGGCGTTGCTACCCTCGTGTAAATGCCTGTTATTATCGATCCCTGAAATCTTATCACAGCACCTAATAAGCGTCTTTTTCGCATAGAGCAGTGACCTTAAAGTTCAGGTGCGTACTCCTACCTTTAAGTTCTGAAAGCTGGTAACATAGACAATCCCAGCTGAGTCCAGTTCTGTACCAGCCTTCTCTTCATCTGGGCGTACGGTGAAAAGCAGCGGCTTTTTTCACAGGGTGAGCGAGCGAGTAGGTCCATGAGATGCCGGAATGGAGATAACTCTGTGTGGCCGGGAGTGACATCTACCTCCTCGTAACAGAGAAGCTTTCAATTCCAGGTGTTGGGGGCAGGGGAAAATATATGCGGAGACTGGGCGAGGGTGTCTGTTAGTGCTGGGTGAGTATACGGGTATATCTTGCAGAGAAGTCAAACCCCCGGAGGGGGATGGTGAGATAAACTAATAAAGCTAGAAGAAGCACAGTCGTCCAAAAAGAAAAACAGGTGGCACGAAAGAGGGAGAAAGGGACCGGGACGTAGGCGGTGGAGTATGATATGATGCGTATGAGCCCTGAGCGCCACGATAATAGTATCAGGAGTTCTGGTTGAGCGAGATGGATGCCGCTTTGAGGGGGAATGCCCCTCCTCCTATTTGGTATGTAACTCTAGGCCCGTCTCGTGGGTGATCAGGAAGAGATGTGTAGTTGAGTTCCACGGGCGATAGCTGGATCCGATCGCCCTGCAACTTCCATCTTCGCCCCGACAACGTGATAAGCCGTATATCAGCACCTAAATCGAGAACATTAGCAACGGGCCAGGAGCCGGTACCAGCACCACAATTCTTCTCTCCCCTAGGCCGGTGGAATGACCACGGTTACTTCGATCTCCTTCCTACGAGATTTCATATGCTAGAAAGTCTCCCTGATGTATTCCAAGTAGGAGGGTAGAGCCCCGGAACTCCAAGGCCGGCATACCGCGTGATGCTAAGTAGAGAGAGAAAGATCAGCTCAGTAAGAAGACGAACAAACAAGCAGAGAAGCGGATGTGGCTTGACGGTGATGTGGGTAAAGGCTGTCCTTGATAACTAGAGATCGATGTCTTCACGGCTGCTCCTGTATCGAATATTCCTTACTCCACCACTATCTTTCCCATTGCTGGTTTTTATGTGATTTCTGTTCATATATCGCAACCCTCCCCATTGCATCGTTCCCGGCTCCAGAGACACCGGCCACAATAAGACTTTAACCTAATATCACAGAATCAACATGGTACTCATTGAGTGCTTGGTCAGGCCGTTATAACTCTTCTATACCTGCAATTGCACGTAGCCAGCTTCCACTTTCTACATCTTCATACTACCGAAAAGTGCTTCGCAGATATCTCACCTACAAGTATCACGCTCACTCACGCGTGGAGAATCAATTCCTCCCTATTCGGGTATCGATATCAGATGTAGAGCCTGTCAGGTTGGCGTTCATCACAACGAGCTTGATTCGTAGATGGGAAATTACAGTATCCGGCCCCGCAACTACGACTTCCGATAATGCCACCACCACCCACACCTCCAGCGTATCCCTGAGACTACTAGCTATGTACACTAGCGCCATTTCCACACCACTAACATATCCGGCCCCGCGACCGCGAATACATTACAACCCAAGCCACAGACCACGCCAACACCTCAACTCCCATCGATTGAACCACTCCATACTACCATCTACGCCTCCACCTCCGCCCATTCTACAATTTGAAATACAGCCATTACTCTCTAGGAAACTGAGCCCAAAAAAGTACTCTCACTCGCATCCCCAGCTCTTAGTCCAACCCTAACCCGCGCCAAGCCTTCCAAGGAGACGACATACATCTCTACCTGAGACTACAAAAAAAAAAAATGGATACAGGTCGATCACCTAGCTAGCCACATAGGCATGTATCATGTCTACACTACCCATCACCGCCATGTACCAAGACGACACACTAGAGACGTCGAGCCGGGATGATATGGCCGGCGGAGGTAATATGCTGTGCAGCTGGGTCATGAAGCATCACTCAGCCACTCACAGCGGCCGGCAGTCGTCACACCATGCTATGTATTTAGAAACGTCAAACAAAACCACATAATTCTGGAGTACATACATGTAAGTACTGCAAGAACAGTGTTCGGAACGACGGAAGCTGATTACGTGTAATAAAGTCCGTTCCTCCCCGACAAATAGAAATTTCCGTTGTTTAATTGTTTCTCTATTTTCATGTGGAAAGCTCTTTATTTTCTCTTTCATATCTTTGGGAAAATTCAATTTCCTGTCACGCGGTATCTTCCTAGACTTCCCTCTCTAGTAGCTACATAGTCTGAAAGGAAGGTTTCACTACTATAGAGACCCAAATTAAAGCAGAAAACAAAACAAAAAAATCATCCGCCATAAAAGGTACAAATGCCTTGCATGTCACGTCAACTATATATCTACACCCAGCCTTGACACATACGGGGAGCATCGGTATCCATACATGTATGCAACTATATTTTGCGGCAGTTGAGATACAAGTAGCCGCTGCAGTAAACCCCGCAAAATCCTTCCCGCACCACTTTTAATTCCGTCAAGAACTACACTGCAGATGTCGTGATCCGCCTTCACTTATGTATGCAGCTAGGCATAAACCACAGTGGCTAACCACTTGTCATCAAGCACCTCCATCTATTACATACCCTACTCTACCCTACTCTACCCTACCCTACTCTACTCTACTCTACGTCCCACACGCACTGTTTCATGAACCGTCACGGAACACACTCAGTTTCCACGCAATCATCCACATTTACGCACCTCTCAAGACCAACGGAAGGGAAGAAAGAAAGAAAAAAAAAGAGGACATAGAAATCGAATTTTTTTGATATCAACGAGCGGCTGGCTGCATGGCATGTCCCACTCCACTCCACAAAGAGCAGGGCGGAAAAAAGAGGAAGGAATAAGATACAGAACGAAGAAACAAACATACCAATGCAGCCCACGTAGGCACAAGTCCCACGGTCAAATAAAAAAAAGAAAAAGAGGTGCAAAAAAACGATACATCAATAGCACAGCCACCAAGAAACGAACGAACCAGAAGAAAGAAAAAAAAACATCGAGCACTAAACCACACTACCATTCCAAATCCAAAACGAAAGAAAAAGCACAACAACCCATACGCCCCCACGAACCCAAAACCAACAAAGGAAACCCACCTCACCCTCCCCCAAGCCCACCGGGCTCACTCAAATCTCAAACCCTAGTCCCTTCCCACTAGGACCTCTCACATATCCAACGAGCGAAAACTCCTCCCCCTCGAGCTCGCCACCGACGGCGTACTCCTCCTCACGCTCGCCACCGACGGCGTACTCCTCGCTGACGCGCTCGTCGACGACCCCGACTTTGGCGGGGGGCCCTGCCCGCTACATCTCCTGCACGTCGACGTCTGCCATCCCATCCCATCCACCCACACACATCAGCCACAGCCCACGCCACAACCAGGATCACACACACACGGGTAGCAAAACGGAGAGAGAAGAAAACACACCATAAACGTCGACGCCCTCGAATGCACCATCGGTGGCAGTGCCGGCGGTGGGCGATGATACGCCGCAGGGGGGGCCGGGTGGTTAATTTCTGCCAGCAGATCCCGCTGCGTGTATGCAATGTATGTGCCCACATTAGCCGGCCAGTTCCCAGTCCTGCAGCCGGGGAGGGTGGGAGGTGGGGGCGGGGGCGGGGGCGGGGGGGACGAGAGGGGGAACTTACAAGCATGGCGACTTCGCGCTCCTTTGCATCAATCATGCGTTGCAGCATGATGAGGACGTCCGTCGCGCCGACGGCGGACTGTCGCTGCCGTGAGACGCGGCGGGAGGACATCGTGTGCCCAGCTGGCTCCGCGGGCTGCTGATGCAGTAAGACACCGGGGGGGGGGGGGGGGGTTGGTCGGTCGGTCGGTCGGTGAGTGGGTGTTGGTGGATGGATGCTAGCTAGCTAGCTAGCTCGATGGGCTAGATAGTGGTTATCTCGGAGCAGGCAGGCGGCTTCGGATTTGGATGCGGATTTCGGCGGTGATGTGTGATGTGTGATGTGTGATGTGATGTGTGGAGTCGATGTTATGTTCGAGACGCGGCAGGCGGCTATGTATGTGTAGGTATGTGTGTGGGTTTGGGGTTTTTGTTTTGTTTGTTGGGTGTTGTTGCGAGATGAGCAAAAAAAGGGGTTGTACTGTAAGATTAACTCCCAACTCCACAACACAATACATTCACCACTGCATGAATTCACAGATCTGAATGAAGCCCTCTGTATAATTATCCCACCGCCTTTCTGAGATCCCCCGCCTCTGTCCCTCTCTCTCTATCCACAGATAACCTGTGAATATCGATGACAGCTCGAGTGTGCAGTCCGACATTGTGACGGGCCGAGGAGACGTTGCAGGGACCCCCCACCCGAACCCTAACCCACATGCAGGCTGCACTCACTCTTCTGCATGCATGCAGCAGCACAGGGAACACCGCCAAGGGGACAGGTAGAGCACAGATACAGAGAGAGACAGAAGAGAGCAGAGAGAAGAGGCACCCACAGCACAGCACACGTCCCTCCTCAACATCATCTCGAGGAAGCTCTGAATAGCTCATAATTCATAATGCCCCCCCAGCACTCCTCTCCACGCCCGCCGTGCGGCGCCAGAACCTCTTGATCGAATTGTATGCACCATACCTCTACCTCTCTCTCTGGGTACTTCTCCTGAAGCTCATATATAGCTAACCAACAGCTCCCTTAATCCAGTGCAAGCCTAAAACATGCTGCCCCCGCCGGCGTGTACATGTCCCTCACCCCCTCCGACCCCACACTCTGGTCCGGCGTAATCTTCACCCGCAAAGGTCACTCCCCCCCTTTTCCCTCCTCTCCCCATTCCCCCCCTCCACACCACACACACTAACACCCCCACAGGCCCCTACCACGGCGGCATCTTCAAATTCACAATCACCTTCCCACCCACCTACCCCACCACTCCACCAACCATAATCTTCACCACGCCCCTCTACCATCCCCTCATCTCCCCCTCCCCCCCACCCGCCTCCTCCCCCTCCACCACCCCCGGCCTCTTCTCCCTCCGCCACGGTTTTCCCCACTGGTTCACGCCGACTCCAAGTGCGCCAGCAACACCCACGCCGACGCTGGACGTGCTGCAGTACATCAAGGCCTCCCTGACTGAGCTGTCGGTGCTGGACGACGTGCCGCTGAGCGCCGCTGAGGACGCGGGGGCGTGGCGGCTGTGGAGCGGGGGGGAGGGGCGCGTGGGGCGACGGGGGGTGGGAGGAGAGGGTGGGGAGGGTGGTGGAGGGGAGTAGGGGGGAGGAGGTGGTGTATGGGGTGGGTGGTGGTGGTGGTGGTGGAGGGGGCGGGGGTGCGGGGATGAGGTTTGTGGAGATGGAGGAGGGGGTGGTGGAGGGGGTGAAGGAGGTGGCGAGGAACGTGGTGGAGGAGAGGGTGGTGTTGGTGTAGTGGGGGGTACGTCGTGAGGGAAGTTGTGAGGGGAGGGGGGGGGGGAGGGTAGAACTACTCTAGACTCATTTCCACGACTACTTGCATGCTAGCGTTTATATGTATATAGACCGCACGCCCACTTTTTAACTGCCGCACAAATCATTACCCCTCTGATCTCACAACCCCGTTTCCTCCGTTCCGCTGCCCATGTCTCCGCCCGCCCAGGATGTTTTCTGTTAGCCGTTTCGCTAAACCCAAAACCACGTAGTGCGACTTCTTAGTATTACTAATTTTAGAGCGGACAGAGAGCACCCGTGTGTTGTTGGCTGGTTGGCGCAATGGTAGCGCGTGGTCCTCCTACTGAAAAGGTAAGACCGAGGTTGCGGGTTCGACTCCCGTGCTGGTCGGTGATATTTTGCTGGTGGGGTGTTTGGCGGGTGGGTTGTGGTTGTTGTTGTTGTGGGATCTGGTTGTGAATGGTTTGGGTGTGAGGCGGAACGATGTGGAGTAGATCGGTTAGTTGAAGAATTGAATGGCTGTCTTTTTGTTTGCCGGTGCACTGGTCTGCAGCAGTACATGGTGGGTTTCATTATGGCAGGATAGAGTAGAGTAGAGTAGAATAGCAGATATCATACTAGAAGGTTGTTGCTGTCTCGCTCATTCTCCTTCTTGTTCCTTCTGCGCACGGTTACGGTTACGGTTACGTGACATTGGTGCAAAGAAAGGGTGAGGTGGGGGTGGGTGCATCATTGATTATCACGCGACGGGACGAGTGAGAACACATGCACCAAGCGTACAAGACGCAACTACATGTAGCCAGCTGCTACGCGCGCGTGCGTCCGAGTGAGTATCCGTGACGTACGCGAGACGAGCAGCCATTTTTTTTGTACAACGCCTTGCAATTTTACAGGCGGCTCTTTGTTAGTGGTTGTTTGCTGGATGTGGATATGAAGATACGAGGGGTTTCCGTAACCTGCTATGTAGTATGACGGTGATGCGTAAGATCGCTCTTTTCCTAATACTACTTCACGACTTCGATGCGGAGGAGGCGCGTATATTACGTAGTGAAATATGGGTGTCCTTTGTGTTCTCTTTACCGTCTATCTCTAGCTAGACTAGATACTGCTGGAACCCTTATAGCTTAGTTGTTCTGCATTGCGGTATCAAGGCGGTACGTGGTGCCCTGCGTGAGATCTGGTCTGTTCGTAATACGGCTATACGTCTTCACGTCTTCACGTCTTTATGAATTGGGTAGATATATCTAGATCTAGCTACTAATAGAGAAGAAATGGGTATATAAGCCCCTCCCCCGTCCGCCCATTATTTGATCTCATCATCTCATCCGCTCTCAGTACTACAATAAGATGTCTGCCTACAAGATCTTAAGAATATTATCCACTACGCACTCTACCCAAACTCCCAATCAACATATATCCCTCTGCCCACAATAAATACCTCAATTGGCACATCATTGTATCCCTCAATTAACCCTATATATCCATACCGCTAGCTATATGGCACCAGTAAGTACAAGCCATCCAATGTATTGTAAATTAACATAATAACATCCAGCTAATATAATTAATCCCGCAGTCAACGCCGCTCAGCAGTTTCAGACGTACAACACCCCCCAACAAGCTGATAGCTCATTAGCGGGTGTGGCTTAGCAGGCCTCCTCCAGCCAGGTGCTATATCACCGTCATCCATCCATCCATTGCACCTATCGGGATCCCACAATATGGGCCACCCACGTAATAAACTACTAGCAAATTATTCACGGATATATTCCAAACTCTCGCCACAGCTGCATGACCCCTCCAAACAATCCCTCGTCTGTAACTGCAGCTGGATTAGATATAGATATAGACATCTTTGCGAGCACCAGCGGATAGCGCTTCCGGTACGGGGGTGCATACTAGTTAGCCCGTCGGGTACTATATAAGCGATATAGAACATGCCAACCAATATATGTGGGTAAGCAAGCTGGGAACCATTGTCTTATCACAATGGGTGGAGGGCAAGTATCCGTGCCTGTGAAGGAGGAGGAAGAAGACCAATTTGACGCCTCCGGGACTGGTAGTATAATAGCTAGTACGGAGAGCTATCTGTCGTAGGTGCATGAAGATACAACTAGAGACATTATCGTAAGAGCTAGGTACGTGCAGTTATACCCCCCCCCCCCCAATATATCTACTATCGATGACAGCTTTAGTCTTATTTCATAATCTAACTATGTGACTATTAAACCTCATGCTCAGTAAATCAGCAATCAAAACCAACAAGAAACAAATGTATCCTCGACTGCTATATATACGTACCCCCAACACTCCCGAACTAAAGCCGCATGCACCCAAATCTCCCAGAATCCTTTGCTTTCCGGCCGGCGTGCTGTATCCGTATTTTCCTCCCTATATCGCCCCAGCCGCTCGAACAATACAACGCCGGTTTTCAAACACCGTATATTCCGGCTCCTGTCCAATACGTTTTCAATCAATCTTCCACCCGCCGAAGCAATGACCCAATATTCATCCGTAACGCTAAATATAAATACCGAAGAGAAAAAGGAGAAAAAAAGAAGATACCCATATACCAAAGCCGTAATGGCTTTTTCCCCGGTCCCGCGAGACGACACTGAAATCATCATCATCGAGAAGCTACCAGAGATATCCCCCACAACTTACCCACTCTCGTCTTGCTGCACAAAAATGATCCTGCTATTGGTGCCTTCCCAGGTCTTAAGGTCTTAGCCTTAGTATAAAAGCAACGTCCTTCAAATATACCAATACGACTACTATACGATATCACCAGATAATTGGTGGCGGTGGCGGTGGCGGTGGACTGCTGTCTCTGGAAAATCCTGCTCAGGAATTCGGAGATATCGATCTTTGTCTGAATCCGCTTTCCTCCGCCGGAAGCCAATATATAATATAAAGAAATTAGACGACCGAGATCACTTGGAAAGATGCCGATAATGGTGCCTAACTGTCTATCGATCCAACCTTTGATTATAACACCGGCACCCTCCGCCCAATTTCTCCCATATGAACTTCCCGGTCATGTTGTGGCTCCGATCCTCTGAAGCGGAACTGTATATAATAGACGAGCCGACGTGATGCAGGCGGTGCAGGCGATTTCCTGGTTTGATATATATCGAGTCTGTAGGGTGGACGTGGTGGTTATTATATTGCCTTGCGTGAGATATGTTACCAAGCAAGTCGCCCCAAAGCTCCAAATCCTGGGTTTAATCCTCCGCTTCTCGACTTTCAATTCCTCGGATCTGGGCTTTGCTTTGGCTTTGGTAGATTCGATTCCGATGTAATAATATATATAGCTTCTTGGGCCGGCTTCGGTGGTGTCTGTATCCAGACGGAGACACCCCGGGTTGCCAGTGTATATATACCGATGTTTTAAAGTCTTCTCTAGAAATTACTAGAAGAGGCACTTCTTACTGTTCTTTGTGAAATACCGAAGTCACTAGTCCGGTCCAAGATTCCAGCAATATCGAGTTTCTCCTGGTTTTGGACCCTTTTGGATCTAGTCTTTGCCTTCAGCTAAACCGCCTATATATCGTAATATGTGACTCCGTGGACTGGTTCGGGGATTAAAGTCATAGGTCTCGATGGTCTCGATCCTGCGCTTCTTGCTCCCGAGAGGTCATTCGAGACATAACAGGCCACTCTAGCCAGTATCAGGGGTCAGTGTAATAAACAACATGGTGAACACAAAATGTTAATTAATCGATAAAACACTATTCTCAACACCAAATAATGTGTGGGTTTCTCACTCAAAACAAATCATCTCTCGCTGGACTAAACATCTGGCAACAGTCAAACCTACATACTGATGACAGAAGGGCCAATGAGTACCGCCGTGTACCGCAGGTATGATCAGCTCAAGCATCACGAATTTCCTATCGTAAGCACCGACGATCGAATAGCAGTTCCATGGACGACTTTGCCTTCGACGAAGAGAAGGAGATAAAAACATGCGTGGTCGAAATCTTCATAGTGCACATGTTCAACTCGTTTGAGAAGATTGACATTGGCGAATACTGTAAAACCATGTGTGCTTCCGGCTGTAGTACGTACAGTAGTTGTCTTCCATAGATTTGTCAAAGTTCGAGAAATTTGAAAGACCAGGGAATTCTTCGGAAATAACTTTTTTCGCGCGTGCTAGATATACCCTGAGGTTTCATCCGGCCTCATCATACTTTATGATTGAGGTGGTTATCGAGAACGTGTCCGTATATACTAGTCTCCAACTTCACGAACTGTCTGCACCACGTGTGTCCGTGTACTATAGCTACTGGATGCTTCTGATAGACGATTACACTTGGGAGTACTTATACCGAACCCGCCGGAATATCTGGGTTTTCTTCAACTATAGCACAATACGCTTCGCCAGAATTCGGTCTATATATAAGAGACGACCATATAATGGGCCGGTTACTAGCTCCTGAGGCCGATCCAGCCATATCCCTTATCATGAAACTTCAATCTGCAGAGAAACTTCAATCTTCAGAAAAAGAGCAACCTTACCTGGTTATTTGGCTACTCCTTCTCCTGCTCTGTTGAAGCCGGATCGAAAAGAACACCTAAAAGCTCATGCTCAACAAAACCTTTCCGACAAAGCGGTCATGATCACAAAGGCATATCAGTATTATCAATCCTTTCCGAGGGATAAGCAGAACATCAAGTGGTGGCACAGAATGAGGAAGCGTGCTTCGGTTTGGGAAAGTTGGGTTACAAAGTTGGGAGCGCCAGGCTCGCCATTTTTGTTCCCGGATCTCCAACCCCCCCCCCCCCCACCTAGATTTTTCACCAACTAGTAGGTTCTCCTCGGTAACACTTGATTGTTATAATATGTGCAGATCGATCATTGACTAACGGTCATCGAATGACAGCTGGTAAAATGTCCAAACTCACTCACAATTCGGATCCGAGCTCGAAGGAGGTACTATCGGGTTTCGGGTTTCGTATTAATGGTAATGTGGCTACGGATGAGCAGAGGCCTTATATTTTTGATGGTCTCTATTTTTTTTTTCTTGTGTGTGTTTTTGTGATACTGTCGTCGATCCTTGATCGAAGTCAAGCGGGAGGAGAGACGTCTTATACCTGCCAAGAGTCCAGGCTCATGGGCAAGCCAAAAGAGACTCTTGTCCTGTATCTTTTTATCTGTCAACTGGCTTTCTTTCTCTTTTCTCTTCTCGATCTCAACGCACCACCATCAAGTATTTACGAACTCTGAATCTATCATATTTGTTCCTATAACAGTGGTTACGAATTTAGTTTTACTTGAGTAAACGATATAGAAAATAATTGAGAGGTTATGGTCAGCGCATACTTGTTGAATTTATATATATTTATTTTCGTTAAAGTCATGAGGTTATATTCGTAACGTCGTAAGTCATAGAGTAGTCTACTCAGATATGTGAAAATGAAAAGGAATATAGGCAAAAGAAATATCAGTATAAATAGACAAAGGAGAAATATACAAAAGAAGTACTAGGTGTCGTTCCCAGCCTCTCCGCTATGGGTGGGGCTGATTCTGCCACAACCCTAACCCATTGGTTTTTATCGGTTCAACATAATCTATCGAGCTTTGTGCTCAGCCACCGCTATCCTCTGCGATCTTTGGCGCAGTTCTGCCCAACCGCGTTATATCGTGACCCGCCGTGTTATTCGGTCCAAAACATCAACAATCCTCCCTATCCTCGGCCATTTCGTTGGTTTAATACTACTATTTCCAACGGTGTAATAAACAACCGTATATTGTTTAACCACATTCCCGCACGACGCACAAGGACAGCAATTTTCATAGTTTTTAAGTCTCAGCTTCTTGAGAATTCTCTTTTTCAAGCCTCTGGTGGAGCTCTTCCGCTTAGGCTGATAGTAACCGATGGCTGATTGCGAATCATCATCTTGATCATCTAGGCTTGTGCTAGAGGTGGCGCTGAGAGCAGAAGTGGGGCTGATCATGGTTGCGGCGGCGGGGGATTGAGTAGTGAGGAGCTTATGTGGGGTGGTGGAGTTGGTTTTATTATTTAATCTCTCATTATGGCAGATTCAAGATGGCGGTCCGCATCGTGTTGTGATTTCATGGTGGTTTGGTTTTCAAGGTTGCGGGGGGGTGTCAATGAGAGGGACGCCGGCAAAAAAATGTCTCATGCGTCCTCAGCCTTGTACAGCCACGCCCTATACTGATTCTTGAATCCCTTTGAGGATTACTGGTAGGTCCACGTTGCATGACAAACATTTTGCCATTATATCTAGCTCGATGCTGCTATCCACCAGCTAATCGCACGGTGTTCTTCCTGTTTTCTAGATATTCGGAACTCAGGTCTACTAGAACGCATGCTGTTTCTTTTTTAAAAAACTTTTTGATTTTCTCTAACTCGGTAAAAATTCTAAACTTCAAACAATTGCGCTCGCTCAAAGTTTCCTACTACTTTTCCACTTTAGAAAGATCCACAGGGTATGGCCTCCTTTACTACCACCATCACCTCACGGTTCTCCTCTTCATCACCAGTTTCCTCGATCTACATCAAGATTTTTGCCTCCCATCACGATCTCTCCCCCCACCACGATTCCCCTCCCCCAACTCTTCTTCTTTGGATTACCACTCCCGGCCGCTCCCCCACTCCTGCTGCTCTCTCCCTTAGCACCCCCATCTTCTTTCACCTCAAAAAGATATCTCCCAATCTCAATCCTCTTCCCCTCACCCCCAGCGTCCCCGGCGTCCCCAGCGTCCCCGGCGTCCCCACCCCGGCGCCCAATACTCCACGGCCTAGTCATAACGTCTCCAATATTCTTCGCCACCTCATCAAGTACTCCAATATGCATCTTAGCTGACACCTTTCTCATAGCCAACCCAAATGCCCCTCTCTGTTCCTTCTTCCCATACCCGGTCTCATCGCGGTACTCCTGTTCTTCGGGTGGAACCTCCTGCATCATACTGAAGGTGTAAGCTCTCTCAATTGGCTCAGTCCTCTCTACACCGGTGACCGTAGCTTCGGGTGGTGGTGTTGGTGGTGGTGTTATCTGGATTGCTGGTATATTGGTGTTTCCGGGGTTGTGGTATCCTATGAAGTCCGGCACTGTGGGGGTTGTGGTGTCTGGTTCTTCTCTTGGGGACTTGGAGTGTTCAGACATTGTTACTTTGTGTTTGTGTGTTGATCAAATTATATTTTTACATTACATGGTAAGCCAGGTCGTTTTTATATCAATTGAAGTTGAATGATAACATAGTCGGTATGCTTTTCAATAGATTATTACGAACTCATGCACAGTCTTGAATGGGTACTTGATCACGAATATTTCAAAACATATATATCTGATTCGATATGCTTGAAAATGAGTGAAGCGCAATGACTACGAGTGATATGCCATGAACCTCGAACTGTGTAACAAGATCTAAGTGCCGGGGTGTATCTAGCTTAGGTACTCCTCATAGATTAATTACTCCAGCAAACAGACAGTTATCGTCGATTCTAAAAACCTAAAGGAAAGCAGAAGATGCACCACCGCCGAAGCGATTAAGAAAACCTATCAAACGCTTGGCATAACTTTTATAACGACCTCTTCAGTATATGTTTTTTTAAGGGAGACTTCAGTTTTATTTACTCTTAAACATACTAAAATCACACTTATCAGGGCCCTAGGTATGTAGTGAACGCGCTCCTTACAATCACATAATTTCGTTAAGAAGTATCTAGTGAGGTTTAGAGTATGTCAGGCCTATAAAGATCTACGTTTCGAATCATTTCAACACGGAAGAGACATTGCCGGTAAATCAAGGCCAAAAGCCATCTTAGCCCGACCATATACATATTACCCAAGACCATGCATGGAAGCCTTCCTCCAATATACCGGTGCCCAAATCCCGGGAAAACCACCACGAGTGATACTTCATGATCCCAGAGCAACGACCCCCACCGACCCTATTTAGTGGGAAAATATAGAAATACTTACCCATATGGTTATTTCACTGCTTTTAAATGGTCCTAAACTTAAATATGCTACTCTGTTCGATCATACATTGATACATCTTATGGCGCATCAGGCTGTGGTTACCAAGTGGAGCTAGAGAGAGAACTGAGCAGTAACCTTCCCCGGGTCCGTGCAGCACATGGCCGGGTTCATGCATACATGTAGAAACATCTATTACCGAATCAAAACTTGTATATCATCGTACAGTCGATACATGTACATGTAAATTTAAAACTGGACCCGTTCCTTGAAATATCTTAGAATGACCTGTTCCTCACCAATCCCCCCCAGCTGGTAAAAGGGACACGCAAAAAGCTTTTAGAAGGAAACCACAGCAAAAGACTGGACGGACCGGGGATTGAACCCGGGACCTCCTCAATTTTCAATGTTGCCATTGCAAATGAGGCGTCATACCACTAGACCATACGCCCATGAACTTGTGGACAAAACAGGGTGTATATATCGTTTAAAATCTTGGGTTACTTAATATCAAGTTGTAGAGCTTTCTGTGGCATCTACTAGGTGATGGTGAGTTCGAGTTTCTGTTTCGGGGGGTCCCCGAGTCGGGGTGGGCGGCACGGATGTTGTGTGCGTGGTTTCACGTTGGTATGGGGTGTGTATGGCTAGATCTTCTCTAAACCACAACTTAAAGAGCTGTCAACTTGAGCGTACGTGGAAAATACTCGGATCTACATATATGTAGTTGAGAGGTACAAGAACTGAGATAGCATACATTAAATCAATGAGTATATACATACTAAGTACTGCGTGTGCTTGTAAGAATCGAGTTCCGATCCCCCATAATATGTCCAAGGAACATCGTGTTCAAATTTGTTTATGATCATTAGAAATTTTATGGGTAACAGAAAGAAATAAGATTTGAATTTTAAAAATGACATAGATAGACGAGTGCAAAAATGGTTTTACAGTTTTCTGTACATATGGCGGGGATGGTGTAGAATTCGAGTGATAGGGGGTTAGTGGTAAAGAAAAAGTTCCTATTCTAAATTCACTACTAAGAATTGCACGGTCCATTTCTTGTTTTTGCTCTTCGAACTCGGTCATTCTAAGGATAATTTCAGTTTGGATTTTATTTCTCATCTACCCGGCTTTCATTCAGCACTCGCTCAACACTCCCAATCAATATCCTATCTCAGTATCTGTAAAAACAGATAACCATAGGGAAGATGCATAACGGTTCGAGAATGTACAGAAGTAGAAGCGATAATCAGAATACTAATTAAACACTTTGTGCCCACAACACCTCGTCTTTTTACATCGCCCATGGTCCAAAGTCTGTCTCCCTGACATCCCGCAAAGTCATCAAACTCTTGAGAGTATCTTGTGCCGAGCTATCGCTCCAGTCCACATTTTCAGCTGGCCCTTGTGTATCCTTTTCATCCTCATTATCATCTTCGGATGTATTTCCCGAGGCATGAACTGTACTGAGAACATCACCATGCTGTTTAATGCCGAACCGGTCATCTAATGGCGGTCTAACATAGACAGGGCTAATTTGCTTAGATCTCATAGATCGTCTCTTTATACTTCCACTACTAAAACCTCGTTGCCGGAGTTTCATTTCAAGCCAAATACGTTGGGCTTCATCCGCGGGTTCCATATCGTCTGGAAGTTCTGTTTCCGGAGATGAGTCGATACCGGCAATGAATGGTGCTCTATCCTCGTTTCTTAGTTCTCTACTTCCGCGGTATCGGCAATCGAGATCTACAGGCGTGACAGGTAGTGTCTGCAAAGAAATACCCGTTGGTTTATCGGGAAATGTTTGGGAACTCGATAACCAGGCTGCACCGCAATCCCACCCAGACTCTGCAAGGTCATAGTTATCTCTCTTGTTCTCGGTATCATAACTTAACCTACACCCGGAATCATTTGACTCTCTCGTATCCCTGAACCTCTTCTCGACTCTTTCTCTATATTCAAGTTCCCTCGATATATCAGTAAGGTCGATGCCCCATGTCGGCGTCCCATTTGTTATCTCTTGTACTGCCTTTATTGCCTGGGTTGGGTTACTATGCATACTAGCCACACGTTGAATCAAGACCTTCTTGACGAAGTCTTTTGCGGTCATGGGTGAGATCGGTGGTGATTCCTGTTTATCAACAAGCTTATTCCCTGTGGGAGAAAACCTCCATAATGAATCCTCGGTGAACCGTGAAACTTCTACATGACGCTCTGTAAAGAACGATGTTGACTCTGAGAAGTTTGTATGACGATATGTCGCCCTGACCGTCAAAAGACGAGTCTGTAGTTCTCCAAGTGTTGCCTCCAGCTGTCGTTCAAGATGAAGCCACCGGGGTAAAACCTCGTCTTCACAGCAGTTCACAATATCAGGCAACGTAATGTCGCCAATGTGAACTTGTACTAAGAGAGTTCTCTTCTCCCCTGGAAGGAACTTTGGAAACCGCACTTCTCCCATCACCGCTCGCACCGCACAATTTTCCCCTGGAATAAGATCGATTACAATATCGTATAGAATGCCTAAATCAACTGCTGTCCTCAAGAGGCGGATCATCTCTTCAACCTTTATCTCTTTCTTGACTTCCTTACCCTTTTCTTTGTAAGTGCTTAATCTTTTGTCTTCAAGATTGGGGCGTGGCCCTAGTGATGCAGTTGGAACACACCATCCTGAAGCACCCATCTCACTTCTTGGCCAAAATAGAGGTCCAATACCAATGACGTGAATTTGTATCTCGCCGAAAAATACCTCGGGAACCAGCTCTATTTCACCGTCGTCCAATCTAGCTGTCAACAGAAAAAGATGGGCATGTCTGCGTGTTCCGTAACGTGTTGTATCAAGGGGCATCCCTTTTAACTTCGTTATCGAAGCTTGAATTGCTGAGCGGACATTTCTTGACACGGGGTCGCTGCACCATTTATTCTGTGTCAGTGCTGCGATGTCATCAACAAGCTGTTTTTTCGCAACACTTCCGGAAGAGTTCAGCACTTGTACCGTATCTGGCCTTACTGTCGCGATTCCTGTGATTGATGATCCGCTAGGAAAAGTCATAACAGCAACCCTATCCCGCGATATTTCCATTGCTTCAACGAGTTTCTTGGCGTGAATCTTCATACTCGCAAAGGATGCACTCGATGTATATGCACTTTAAACAGTTAGTGGGTGGCTGGCCCTACAAAATAAAGGAAAGGAATGCCTCACGAGGTATCGATTAGAATTCCTACATCCAGTCCAACTTTGCTTCCTTGAAATCCCTCAGTGCCGCCGTCGACAGAAGCATCTAGCTCTATTGATATCCAGGTAGCTTTCTCAGTTCCTTGCGACCCCGGGTAGGATATCGGGACTTTTTCCGTCTCTGAGACGACTTCCATTTGAAGTTGTAATATCGGAGGTTTCCATTGGCCTGTTTTTTTTAATCTGGTCCGAGTCATACCACCGGTACTTCCTTCAAATATGCCGAGAACACTATCATTAAAGTTCCCTTTATTTCCTTGTCCCAAGAAATTTCCGGTATTGTTGCTCTCACTAATAGCATCCCAGTGCGGTCTGCTAATATCATTTGCTTTCCTCAAGGTCCCTGGCTCGCACCAGCTCTGGCTGGTTTTCAAAAGCACACGTTTCACGGAGGTTGACTTTTCTCCATCGTTTAATAGTCCCGTAGCTCCTATATTTTTTATTGTTGTTGCCATTGTTGTAGAAGAGCTACTACTACTCCGTTCCTTTACTTTTGGTTTGGTTTCTTTTTTCGGAACATTTGCCCCACCACCACCGACTCGAGTGAAAAAGTCTCTCGAGAAAACTTTATCCTTCCACCCCTTCGAAGCAACTTTTTCGATTGGTTCAGATGAAATATTTTCTGACTTCGAATCCACCCTTTTCTTAGATCCATGTGCTCCTGTGCTTGAAGCCCTGCGAAGTTTGAATCCCTTTTTCCCATGCTGTACAACATCTGTCTCAATCTGATCTGGTGAGATTTCAATTTTCACTTCTGCTGACCCATAAGAACGCGTTCTATATGAACTTCCAGCTGTTGCATCCCCGCTGCTATTCCGACTCCCTGGCTCTGTCGGAGAGCGGTGTGTGGGGGCCGTCACATAACCAGACTCTGGGGTCGGTGTGTAATCATCGAGAGAGTTCCTAATTGAAGAATCCTGAGAACTGGTAGTAGGTGTACTGGCGGGTTGTCGAGAATTCCGTGGCCTCTGTAACCATGCCATACCTGCACCAGGAAGATCTCTCTTTTTATCAGTCTTAGCAGTAGAGGATCTTCGTAAAGTCTCTTTCCCAGTTCTTTGTTTGTTAATATTATTTTTATCTGTTAGCAAAACACCCGTGGAGCTGCTACGTTGTTTTGGTTGCGGTGGAAAAGTAACTCCAAGGAAGCTTCTTGATTGCGGCGGTGGTCGTCGAGGAAAGTGCACCTGTTTTGACTCACGGCCCACAGGCAATGAAGGCGATTTTCGAAGCTTTCTGATGCTTAGCGGTCGAGGTGTCTGATCCGTGTCTTCGGTCATCTTTTCAGCAAAGGCACGTGTTGGTAATTTTGCCCTGAAAGAGTTGAGTGGCTGAAGGCCGAGGGGGTGAAAATTGAGGTTTTGCATATTGGGTGCCCTTAGCATCGGAAGTGAAGGAGATTTATGCCTAAGAGGTGCCACATAAAGTGATTTTTGATACGGCGCCTCAGTAATAGCAGCTCGATGAGGTCTTTGGCCTGAAAGCATTGTCTGTCATCTGATCAGCCCCGCGTTGACCTAGACTTCTAATCCAGTCAGCATATATATTGTGAAGGGCTTCATACCAATCGCCAAATGATAACGCAAATCTGAATAAGATCTAAAGTACGAAAGCAACGCACAGATTAAAGAGACTGGAGGAACGATACTTTTGGGCGTGCAAACTGTTGCTGATTCAGACAATTTTGATGAAACCATGTAGCAATAGAATGGCTGTCGATGGGGAAAATGGCGGGAGGTGTGCACGTGTACTGCATAAAACAGTACAGAAGCTGCTACGTAATACATAGTGGGTGAAATTGGAGCAAAAATCAAGTAACTGACCATGGCACATACATGTGTGTTAAGTGGTTGAGACCACCGGCAGGAGCTACATGCACATGGACATCGTATCTCTTGTGGTTACATGTAGCCAACACCGGCCTTACGGAACTTCATCTAATCTGACCTTCTATCATCACTTTGTAAGTATCTACATCACCTGTATTCACCTATAAATAATACAGATTATCTATTATCCATCCATTAAAGGCAACCCTAACAATCACCCAACGCTGGCCTCCATGGCTGAAACCTACAAACAGCACAAGTCACGCGCTGAACCCGAAGCTGATTCCTCAATCACTCCTACCGGTAGTACCGAATGTGTTTATGAGAAGGATGGTAGCGGTAGGAGCACCACAACTACTGTATCCCAAACACAAGGGTATGGTGGTTCAGATAAAAGGCCATGTCTGGAGCGTGCTAGGTATCTACGGAACATCGTCCGTGGCCGAAATTCGTCTGGTAAGTCGGTATGGTACAATAAGAAGTATAATATCTGGTTTGACGAGGCATCAGCAACTTGGAAGCCCTCTCAAGAACCTACTTCACATTCCGATGGAGTTACACTACAGAATAATCCCAGTAATACCGAAATATCAGTCGGGACAAGTCGTGCTGACCCGCCTCAAGCTATCCCGATAAACAATTACGAAAGGGCCCAAAGGGGAGTATTCCATTTCATAGGAAAGCTCTCTTCTGGTCCGTCCGAGATACATTTATTAATCGTTTTCAAAAGCGACAAAAGGATATGTTGACGATACATATATCTCATTTACGCACCTTCGGTCAAGAGAATACATTCTTTCACACTACACATCTTGTTCCCACATATAAGCTAATCGGTCACCTATTTATTTTACACACAATGGAGGGGGGCGTTGCACCACGGCCGAATATTGCACTGGTACAACAGGGAGTGCTGAATGAACATGGAGAATGGGTGGTTCTTGATACCAAGGTTGAGCCGTATCACTGGGATCCACTTGACGAGACGAGTGTAATGGATTCTGGGTGGCATCTTTCCGGGAATGAGTTGTGGCTAGCATTGATCACTATCTAGTGAGGTTTGTCATAAGAGCGCAGTATTGTAATTTTTCACTCCATTGGAGTGGTATCGTCAAGCTACATTGTTAGGTTGATAAAAGAGAGGACGGGGAGGGTTATGGACTTTAAATTGGCGTCTCTGGGTTTTCTATGGCTGAGGAGACGAGCATGTGTTATAATCTCAACCACGTTTTATTATTTGGCGGAAAGAAGGCAATGGTCCATCAATTGACATATTGATTTGAGTCCGTGAAGCTTTCAATCGTACACCTAGACTCATTTTCCTACCACAGCACGGCCAGGGAAAAGAGACCTTTGTACACATAATATCTGAATTCCTTATGTAAAACTCGTAATTACCTAACTAGCCAAACCACTGGGAGAAAAACTCTAAAGCCCGTAGGATAATACTTACTTCTTTTTTCGTTCTCCTGAGTTTAAAACTGTTTGGTTATTCGATCGCTTCTACTTGCTACTGGAAGTTTTGTCTGGTCCTTGCGCTTCACGATAATTCAAAAGAAGTTGTGAAACACAAAGTTTAAAAACAGTATTCAACTTATTAATCCTTCAACTCCTAGATTTACTCATAATGATAATTTCATTGAGGGAGTGTCTAACTTATTTGGCAGTAAGATCCTGCCTCTCCCCCATATTGAAAAAAGAAAAAGAAGAAAAAAACTATTAAAGACGTCTTTCCCGAAGATGTCTATACCGCCTCCCCCGTTTCGTATATACTACAATCAATGGATATCAGCCCTAAACTACATGTATTCCAACTCTCTATCGTTGAAATCTGCTGAACACTATTGGTAGTCCACTTTACTCAGTCATGGCCTCCTCCCCCATGCCTTTCCCCGCCACCACCTACACACAGCCCGTGCTAATCCCTTCACCCTAACAAATTTCGACAGCTTCTTTTTGGAATTCTCGTTCAAAGGAATGAAATTTGGGTCGGGATGTAGATGGGTCAGTGAATCTGTGAACTCTGTACTACATGCCCATCTATCGTCATATCCGCTTTCTTTATCCCATCTACTACTGCGGTAGATGGTGTTATAAGGGTCTTTGTAGGGGTTTATTCGTGGAACATCCATCATATGGCTTCCTAGTTGAGAGAGACGAGAGGGCTTAGGATCCAGTTTGTATGCAGTTGTAAGTGTACCTATATATATTTGAACGCGGAAGTAATAGTGCTGATGGTATGTTCGGGCTATAGCGAGAAGGTCCTAGATACTTATATCTACCCATGTACAAGTTTGTTCTCGATGTTAGCTTTCTATGTTTTGTGACGCAGTGTTGGTTTTAGAAGATGATGGTATTTGGTAATTGTCGATGAGTGGGATATTTTTCTCGTATTTTTTTCTGCTGCGGCACAGTCTATTAATTTGTAATGCCCGGGAGTCAAAGGCACAAACCTAAAACCAGACTTTAATGAAGCAAAGTGCTTTCTAGCTGAGAACCTCTGAAACTTGTTATTTTTTGGATGGATGCTTTGTTGTCTAAATGTACTGACCCGCCGTGTACTGTATTAGTATGGCCGAGGTGCATTTTGGCGTTGGATTAATCTTTCAGGAAGCATACGCCACATATGCGAGGAAGATTTCACCTTCTAGGTTCCGAGCCGGGGACTTTTTCTCCTCCTGAACTTCCATCTCTTCATCATCTATTAACTGCAATACGGGAATCTCGTCTCTCGGAACCTCCTACCATATTTCTAAGATGCTCCGCACTAACACTATTTGTTTAATCACACTTGTTTTTCTCAGACTCTGCTATACAGAATCCAAATTTGTCCGTCATGACGTTGCAGCTCTGAGCTGGGCTGTAAGTATCCCATGCACTCATAGCCGGTCTTTTACTATATATATTCGGCAGAAGGGCTGTGGCTAACTGCATGCAAAGGTTATTTGTTGTACCCATAAACCAACCCTTCCTGAATGCTATAAACTTCCGGTTAGCGATGAGATATGCACATGCTTCCAGGAAGATGGCACTTCCTGGCCGGCGTGTATGAAAAGGTTCTGCCTGGAGCAAGAAGTCTTAAAAGGTAATATTGCCTCTTGAGCTCAGGACTAGAGTTGTCTCTGATGTTTTTAGTTGCGAATACGACTGAGAAAGATGTTTGTGATTTTATGGAGGTGGATGGACCGTTCCCCGATGTTGTTGTCATCGAGGGTAAATTCCATGCCTCGCCGAGTTGATGTTTTGATTATATATCTGTGCGTGGCAACTTGACTTCATTCTACTGAAACTGGAATACTACCCGGCACTGGGCGCCGCATGGCGGAGAAAGCCAGATGAAATATGGTAACCTCAAGCAGACATCACAGTTGAACATTCAGTTCTTACTCTGTACTTCATTTAAACTTCACCAATTGTAAACTATTGTTTTAAACAGTATCTTAACTCTCTCGCCAGCTGTGGACCTTAGAGCATCTGATGGCGTGATATCTTATATACGTCTATGTAGTGATAGAATAAGAATTACAAGGCCTGAAAAGCAGACGTCACCCGGGCTAATATTTACCCAGAGTTTTCTTCTCGTCATCAGTTACAAGAGAATGTAATGTATGTATACATGTAGTACGTACCCAAGATTATGTTTTATTTAAAAAAATAAAAATAAAAATAAAAATAAAAAAAAAAAAAACGTCGTCCTCAATTCTATTCCTCGGCTAAACCTATATTATATCAAAGTGAAGCTCAAATACAGAGAAAAAACTCCACTTCTACTTTACGGTTTCGAACTATTTATTTTATAAACGTGAAGGAGCGTGCTCATGCTTAATTGTGTTTATTAATAAGATTTATTATATTCTCTTCTGCTAGTAAGTTAACTAATTCCCATATGCGTTCCATAAACTACTAGTTCAGCTGGAATAATAACCTCTATCTTCTTCAAATCGTCGTATCCGACAATATCATATCATAACTTCCTCAATGCCCAAACAATCTCTGCCAACCCCCAAATTGGTATCCACCATACAAGCCCTTACACGTAAGCCACGCCCTTCCAATTTGATTCACATGCTTCTCTGACTTGATTCCGCCCCTAGTAACAAGAATATCTACTACTTTGACATCCTCAACCTCGGTATCGCTGTCATCACAATCGAGCCAACGTCCATCATCAGGTTCGCTATTCGTAAGGACTGCAGGTCCATTCTCTGTAAAATAAGTTGCAAATGGGTCGTTCTCGGGGTCCTCGCTCAAAATAGAGATACCGTCGAAGTCACCAGTAACCCCCTTAAAACTAGTAACCTCGTTCAAACTAGTAGCCTCGTCCAAGCCAGTAACCTCGTTCAAATGAGCAGCACTCGCCGCACCAACGTCAAGATTCTGTCCTCCGACATTTGCAGGACCAATGAACGCATTAGCGCCGTTAGCACCATCAGTGTACACAAACGCCTCCCAGATCTTCCTGTCGAAACTCTTCTCCTCCTGCACCGTACCCTCAGGCTCAATGTTCTCTCCAGTTGCATGACAATATCCGCAATCAACATTGAGATCCCAGAAAAGTTTCCACGGATCTGGCTGATCCCGATACACCTCTATCGGCTTGCAAGTGCAATTCGCACATTTCTCGCAGCCAGGCTGAAAGACAACTTTCAAGACTATGCCGCCGACGGTGGGAGATGTAATTCCGACAGGGCAGCAGACGCAGTCGCGAAAATACATGTATTTGGGAGAGGCGTTAGCGATGAGAGATGTCATTGTGCTAGCCGGCGGTTCTGGTGCTGGGGGGAATGCGGCTGCTCGATGGGCCTTCTTGTAGTTCTGGGGGCTTGTGGGGCTAGCTTCTTGAAAGTCTGTTGTTGAACTTGAAAATTGTGAAGGCGAACTTGATATGCCATGGGACGGCGTTCAAGTCCCCGAGCCTTGTCAAGTCTGGGAGGCATGATGAAAGTCGCTGGTGGTGATATGTTCTTCTATGGATATACGGCTAGAGGGAGATGGCGGTAGTGTTGATGTGAGAAGAACTGTTGAACGGATGGTGCGAGTATCTGTAGCGTAGGAATATCTGTTAGTATCGAGCAACGACAGGCGAAAGTATGTTTAAGCAACTTGTGACTACCTTTCAGACTCGAAGATGATGGGGTTTGGTAACAAGATCAACTAATTGAGATGTGAGCATCTGTGAATAGTTAGCTCATTGAAAGAATAATGTGGTACTATAGTCTGTCCGGGGAAGGACGCCATTGCACTTACATACGTGCTTCACAAAATAATAGAAGGATCGTTGGTTCCTAGAAGGGAAGTTGGAAGTAGGCTAGTAGAGGTGGTTCCGGGCAAAGTTGGTGGCTGTCGGTCCTACTCTTGTTGCCAAGATGAGTGGATGGCCTCGGGGGTCGCAAGGGAACCAGTTTTTGTCCACTGATAATGACCAGGCGTTCTTGTGTTAGGATGTTTTTTTTTCCCCTCTAGAAATAAGCTGTGGAAAGTAGCTAATTTCTCTAGTGGTAGTTGTTGGGTGAGGTGAGGAGGAATTAATGTTGATCGTCGTCCAGGCTTTATAGTCCACACAAAATTTACACCCACGCATATTAAGAATGGCTCCCATCCAAACCTTTGCACCCTTAAAAGTGGTCCCCATTCGAACCTTTACACCCTAAACTATGGGCCTCATTCAAACTTTTGCACCCTCTCAGACAGCCAGCACGATACCGCGGAGAAGCTACTATAGCCTGCCACAGGCATCCCTATTGTAAAGAACATTTAGGGCCAATTCCTCAGATGAAAATACCAATTGGCGATGAGCAGCAAGACGCAAAGTAAACCAAGGGAACTGGAAATAGTACGGGATAACCTAAGAGCACCGATTAGAGGAAGGAGAAATTAGAAAGCGAGATGCAAACCGAGCTAACGGAGCTGGAAGTGGGGTGGGGTAGCATAAGGGAGCAATGACACTGGAGCTAGAATAAGGAAGAGGATAAATTCTTTGCGGAAAGGACAGAGACTTTTGGTTTAGATTATCGGATTTCTATTTTACTTTTATTTTCTACTTATGTTTCACTTCCACCCACATGTTCTGGTATGTCACATATTGCCATAGCTTCCAGGCCACACGCTATCAATGAATTATCAATGAATTATCAACAAACAATCAATCAACTTTTTATCCTCAGCTCAATCACCTCTTACGTGCGAACATATGTTAATACATGAAATTGTCTTTATTGCCATAACTGTAAGGTTGCATGCAATTAATGAATTAAACAAAAAAAAAACATGAAATTGTCTTGCTCTAATATCTGCGAGTGATAGCTTGTGATTAATTCTGCCTATGCAACCATTCACCTCCGCAACACCCCATCTCCCCCGAGGTCACCATGACCGATCCTTACAACCGCCCCACTTTTTCTAAACCTCTTAAACCTGTCCTTCAAACAAACTTCCCACAGTAACAACCATCTTTGCTAGTCTTAAGCATTCCATCTTCCTCTACATACATAGCAGATCTTTACGGATCCCAGAGTAGACCTTCGAGATAGAGTCGCGCTGGAATTCGTCCCACGATGAGAGACTCGTATTGGAAGCGGGGGGGTTTGGCGAAGTCGGGACACAGTCTTGTTGGATGTTATAAACAGCGGGTAAAGGGCCCGCCCTAAAAACCCCATGGATACATCTCCTCCCGGTTGCATACGGACCAACCCATTTATCTCTGCTTATGGCGTACCTCAAAGTATCTCCTTACCCCACGACTTTCATTAATCTCAATGTACCCACCCATCACAAGGCAATTGACGAACCAACCTCAGCAAAGATTCGGGACTCGGGAGAAAGGATGGCGGGTTATGGCAATACGGCGGGCTCGAGTTTTGTTCCCCGCCGGCCCTGTTGGTTTTAGTTTTTCTTGATTGGTTCCGCCTTTTGTCTACTTAAAACACCACGCAGCTGAGGAAGGCAAAAGGTACTGTACTTTGGTGCTAAGTAGCGCAGACAAGCAATGCAGCCCTTCGATCCGTGTGCTGAAACAAACTCGACATCGATCCATGGGCTCGAAGATTCCCCCCCGATCCTCGCCGTCAACTCAGTACTGTTTGTGCAAACTCGAGCACGGTCTGCTATTTCCTGCGTCTAATGTTTCGATATTAACACAATTCGAAGTATCCGCGAGAGTAAATCAGATTTCCCTCCCATATTCAAACCTGCCCGACGTAAATTAATGATCTAGTTAACAGCATCAAAACAACAAGATCGACCTATGGATAGCAAAATGAAGACCGCCCCGATCTCACAGATAGCCTCTCCAGCCGTCGCTTGGTGCCCTAGCTTACAGTCGCACCTACGAGGATCAATCCGATGAACTTCGACACTCTACATCGTATTCAGCATTCACCGCACAATTCGGGGCATACTCACCTCTCCTTAGCCGCCTCTCCTCGATTTTATCAGAGCAAGATACATCTCTGCCACTCTAAAGATATATTCCTTCATAAGAATCGTTGCTACCCGGGTCCTTGCCCTCTCAAGCTGCGTCCACTGCCTGATCTTGATCTCTCCCGCCTTCTTCAAGAAACACCTACCCTCCTTGAGGAGGACTCGCCATTCATCAATACTTGTTTGAAGCTCACCTTGACGTTCGGGGTTCTGTACACTGTGCCAGTAGCGGAACTGGAGGTCGAGCTTAAGATGGTGCATGTAGTAGATCTGCGCGCGGAGGTAAGCTATCAGGTAGGTGGTCAATTTATGGGCTCTTTTGGCTTCGTACAGATTGTGGATGGCGGTGAAGAGTGGTGTCGGCGGGGGAGGGGTTGAGGAGGGTGTTGGTGGAGGGACTGTTGGAGGGGCTAGTGGAGGGGAACCCAGGGAGCTAGGTGGAGGAGTGTTTGAACTGGTAGGTGTCGACATTGTAGATTTGAATTTAACACTGATTAATATGTGGCTTAGTTTTATTCCCCAGTTGGCGTATCGTCGTTTTTATCAATCGCACTGCTTTCAAGGTTGAGAAGAATGGTCAGAGCTTGGAATCCTTTACACTCCGGATTGAACTTGAAATTGTCGGTGTCTTGGAAGACAGACAGCACGTCAAATCTTACACAAATTACAGCTTGAAAATGGGAACTCAACGGCTACACTCTTATCTTTCAAAAAACTACAAAGCCAACTGGAGAAGTAATGCGAACCTACAACATACTATGATAAGTGATGAAGCCTGGATAGGCCTTGACAATGTCTTCCATTCACACCCCCAGTCATGAAGCTATTTGATACGGATGGGGCTCTGGTAGAGCTCTTTATAGCAAGACCTTAAGGAATCCATGTTTAAACAACACCCTCGATCTCTCGGCCAGCAATTGAGCGGGGCAAGGCCCATGAAATTCAAAATCCAAAATCCAATCCCTTCCGCTCGTTGTAATTGACATCCAGCTCAATTAAAGGTGTATGTAAGCCTCATGTTTCTTCCAGTACTTCCTTAACTGCAGGTAATAAATCCGGTATCACCCACTAAATTTGATCAGGACACTCACTGCCAAAAGGGCACTCTATTTGGATATCTACTCTCAGCGGCAAATGACATTCCTTCCGAATTCGATCACTGCTTGTAGCAGTTGACCATGGACATACAGACCGTACTGCTTATACAGAAGTACGCACATTGGAAAAAATTTAAGAGAGGCGCTGGGGCAATCTACTACATGCAACTTGAACCCCTTTCCTCTCCAGAGACACAGACACCGATTTCCCAGTCTCCAGCACCCCAAACTCTATCGAAAACAGCAACACTCCATAGGCTACTACCTACACTGCAACCACTTATTGCGAGCCTGCTATGATTGCTTTCAATACTAAGTCCTTTAACCTTGTCGCGGTAGCACAAAAACCTTATTGGTAGATTTTCCAAGGCATGATGTCCAAGTTGGTACTTAAGCCAAGGATGGCCGAGTTATGGCGCAAGCCCCAGGTCGCAGGTGCAAGGTAGGCTGGCCGAGTTGGTTATGGCACCAGTCATAGATGCCAAGGAATGACCCCGGCCTGGCGCCATAACCAACTCGGCCATCCTGCCTTGGCACCTGCGACCTAAGCCTGGCGCCATACCACTCGGCCACCTTGGCATCTATGACCCGGGCCTGCCATAACCAACTCCTCACAAAATCGAAAAAGGCTTCCAGTAAAATGGCACTCTTGGTGGCTCCTGACAGTTAAAAACGGTTTGCAAAAAATAGAGCATATTCTCAGGAATTCACTCCCAGGATTGCGTCTAACTCCTAACATCAATTTCTGGTTCGGAGCATGGGTTCAAGTCCCACTGTAGTTCTCTGATCCCTCCTGGGATCAGTTCTTTCGCTAATGCACCACGAAAAACTCTTTAACCAAAAAAAAAACGAAAACCCTCATGCCCAGGGGCAAAAAGAGATTGATGTGTGTCAGAAGTGGGACTTGAACTCACGCTCGTTTCCGAACCAGGAATTGATGCTAAAGCTTCAATACCTTAACCTGGCGCCATAACCAACTCGGCCATCCTGCCATAAAGATATTGTTGTTCTAAATACATTTATGTTCCTTTTGCGTGACTCACTTGGTGCTGGAGAAACCAAAGTCGAGGGCAATTCCCGGGGGGTGGGGAAGTGGGTTTGTACACTTGATTGTAAAAAATTCTGGCTACTAAAACGGTAGGCGAGGTGGAGCGTTTGTACGGTTTACAGCATGGGGTTTGGTGTTGCAGAGACGCACGAGATGTCACTCGAGAACAGGGTTTCCGCACTACACTGGTTGCAACGCTTCCTTCAACCTAGAATATCCTGCTATAACAGCAAAATAGCAACTCCAGAGAGTGCAAAAGTCTTTCCCCGCCCCACGGAGTGTGCTGAACCCTCCATGATGCATGCCAAAAGAGTACAAAAAAGTACTGAAAGGAGGGGGATTCGAACCCCCGCGGGCTAGGCCCATGAGAAACCTCGCTTTGTAAGCAAGAAAGCAGAATCCGCTTGAGTCACACACCTTAACCACTCGGTCATCCTTCCATGCCGCTTTCGTCAAACATAACGCTTTATCAAGCCAGGATCAGCCCCGCATGATGTCATGAATTCATCGTACAATCCAAAAAGAAAATTTACACTACAACGCCCTCTCTCAAAGTCTTTACAAACTCCTGTCCAAACGCATACGCGCTGCTCGGGCCCTCACCGCTCACAAGTTCCCGGTCCCGCACGACGTTCGGCATCAGCGGGATTGTCGAGACCTCCACCTTCGCTCCGGCCTCCCGCAACGCATCCTCAACCTTCGTCTCCAGCTTCGCGCCCCACATCAACTCATTGGTCATTTCCTCCTTGTTCGCGTAGCACGTCACGCGGTAGTCCTTGTACGCGAACTCGCCATTCTCGGCCAGCTTGGTGGACAGCAGCGCAATTGGGCCGTGGCAGATCACCTATCGAACACCAATGTCAGCACAGGTACCTCTGAGGTAAGGAAGAAAGAGAGGGGGGGCGGGGGGCACATACGCCAGTGGGCTTATGCTGCTTGTGGAAATGGTTCAGGATCCTGCCGAGCTCTGGGTCTTTCCCGAGATCGCCCATGGGGCCGTGACCGCCGGGGACGAAGACGCCGGAGAAGGAGGAGAGCTCGGAGTCGCTGATGGAGGAGAGGGAGCGCGGGTTGCTGATCTCCTTGTCGAGGCGCTTGATGAGCTCTTTCTCGCGGTTGAGTTCGTAGTAGTTCCCTGTGGTGCTGGTTAATATCCTTTCCTCCTCCTTGAGGACCGGGCCGGGGAGGAGTACCTAGGAACCAGAGGGAAGAGTCGGAAAGAGTGTCGAGGCGGGGCACTTGACCGCCGGGAGTTGCGAAGGTTACGGAGTAGTCGTTGTCGAGGAGGAGCTGGAGGGGTTGGGCGAGTTCTTTGAGGAAGTATCTGGTAGGTTGGTGTTAGATCAATTGTTTCTACGACTGGATGGGTGTGAGGTAGGTCTGGTTTGGTTTGGTTACTAACCCAGTTTCTTGCTCGATTTTCGAGCCGTCCTTCTTCTGGATTGCGATTGAGTGACATCCAGAGAGGACGATGAGGACTTTCTTTTGGTCTGACATTTTTGGTGACAGTTGTATGGTATAGTGTACAAGTACGGTGGGTTTTGCTATAATTCGGTGTTCAGCACAAGGATGAGTATTCAGATACTTCAGCTCGAATTGTGCTATTCTTCAACCATTTATCCTCTACTGCTGCCAGGATTACTGATCTCAAAGATCTCCCAACCGTGCCTTTACGCCTAGATGACATTGCAGATACGTCACACAGTCTTCCAAGAGATTTACAGTCGTGAGCAAGGATTGAGCAGGGTTGGCTTGACACTCAGTGAGTGGCTTGACTGGCGCTCCTGCCAAATCATTACTATCTCCGTGTACTCCTACAGGGACCTGAGGAACTGGTGAGCGATGACATCATGAGGCTCTGTGCTGCATCTCTTCCCAGTCCAGCAGAGAGAGCATCGACTTGAGCATCCCCTTTCGCAATCCGGCCAACAAATTAATGCCCATAGGGGTAGAAACGCCCAGGAGTAAAAACAAACAAATCACTGTCCGCAACTCCCCCCACGGCCGGCCCCAAAGCCCACACTCCGGCCTCTGCCCTACCCGCACTCAACATCCCCAGTCCTCTCGCTCACGCCAAGCTGCCCAGCTTGTACTACCCGAAATCCGAAAAAAATTGCCCAAGGATGATAAACTAACTCCTGCCCCCCATGGCAGGATGGCCGAGTTGGTTATGGCGCCAGGTTAAGGTCTTAAAGCTTTAGCATCAATTCCTGGTTCGGAAACGAGCGTGGGTTCAAGTCCCACTTCTGTCATTTCTCTTTTGCCGGGCGGGCGGGGAGCGGGGTCGTGAAGTTTTTTTTTTTTTTTTTTTGTGGCGCTTGGTGGGGTTTTTGTGGGTTAGGGTTGTTGGCTTGGAGGGTTGGGGTGGTGGTGATCGTAGGACTCGGTGTTTTGGGAACTGGGAGTTGGGGTCTGTGGTCTTCGTTGATTTGCGGTGCGTGGTGGTGTTTATGTTCGAGGAGAGGGAAGGGACGCGTGCATGCGGTACTGGGCTCAGGTTCGAAAGTGAGAAATAGGTTGTGGAGTCATAAGCCATCACTCGAGGCGCCGAAACCCTTGCGGCGCGCGTTTTGATGTGAGCTGCTAAATGCAGTGCACCGCAAACAAGATCAAGTCCTATCCGGCCGCCAACTAGCACGTCCATAAACATACTTAACCGTTTCGCGGTCTACCAGGTTGCTCGGACTGTTTATTCGTCTCATCTATATATCCACACTCTTGCGTATATAATGGAGTCGGCCACGGGCATGCTCATAGATCAACTATCTTGCCGGCCGGGGGTGGGGTGGCTGGGGTCTTTCTGTGAACATTGGGGTGAGGAGGGAGGGGGCTTTTAATCTCTAACTACATGCATGTACTTGATTAGGGCTGAAATTTAAAGTATTTGCTCTTGAGCCCTCGGCCTCGTGGGTGTGGGTGTGTGTTTTGCGGGTCGCTAAACTTGACCTTCCTTCACCAGGCGAAGTTCGGCCTGGGCCTAAGCTGCAATCGTAAAAGTATTGGGAGTATGTAATGTAGGTGACACACCGTGACATTGGGGCCCATATTCTACGTACTAGTTCAAAGCCTATATACCTCACAGCTCCCTCTAGGAGGAGCATAGTGAAGCAGAAGTAGTATTGTAGAAAGATATCCTATCGAATGGTGGGCAATACCATATATCCAACTGCAAGACTGTTTGGCGGCGAAAGCTGCTGTGTGGAGCTATCGGTTAGTGTTTGGGCATGGCGTCTGGGAACCATAAACGGCGGTGTTTAAGTATGGTTCACGAAAAATAAATACAGCAGCACGAGTGACAACCATCCTTCCCATCCTTCGCATCCTTTCCACCGCCGAACGGAGACGATACAAAGCCCACCCCCCTCCGCTAACTCCATCCGTATGTAACATAATTCTCGCACCCTCAAACTTTTCAAGGCCTCGGTTCGGGCTTTAGACGGAGCGGATGCGAGCGGCATCCGGGCCCCGGGTGGGTCGGAGATTAAAAGTGGGCGGGTGTGCGTGACGGCCTGCAGGGGTCTGTGTGTGTGACAGGAAGGATGTGACGGCGGTGCGGTGCGGATTAAGGTTTTTAAACTTGATGCGAGGAGTTTTGGGGAGGGGGCTGGCTATGTCAAGACTCAAGAGGAGCCTCAGCTTGTGAATTACACTAAACACATCATCCCTCTGTTTTCAGCCATCAGCGGCTCACCACAAAGGATTGTCATCAAAGGTCCGTCAAGTTGGGATGGCAACCAACAACTTTAAAGGTTTATTCACTCACATGTCGACGTGAGGGACCAGATAGGTAGAGCAGATACACGGCCTCGAGTAAAGAAGGCTGCTGGCATTGTCTAAGCTCGGGATGCTTTTTCTTCTGCACCGCTGACCAAGCTTTTCTTCAGGGCTGAGTCTGATTGACCAATCAACCCAGCCAACGGGCAAACCAACCCCCGTTCCCCACCACCCACCTGCCCAATCAGACGCATTCACAGCTCATCACTCGCCGGCAGCCCCTGTATGAATCGCTGGCACCCTGGTTACACGAGTGACTCTGTGACAGGAGGCGCGCACATCACACACACCCGTATCCGTCGCGTATAGATTATATATATATATATATACAGCTGGGGGGATAGCCTTCTCTCTTTTGTGCACACACCACAGACAGATATACAGTATATATACGGATATCCCCTTTTTATTTCGGACCGCAGAGGAAATCATACGCAGGAACGATTGACCGCATTAAACACGGACTGAGAAGAACTAGCTAGAGCAAGATGACCACCGCGACGGAAGAAGAAATAGAGGGGAGCGTGAACAACAACAACAACAACAACAGCAGCAGCAGCAGCACCACGAAAGCCCCGGTGGCAAAGAAGCAATCGATCCCGCAGCTCGTCACCGAGCCCGATAACGCGCAGCCCGCCCTCTCACCAGACAGCCCGCCGTCCCCCCTCAGGCAGCCCACGCCCACACCGTCCTCCGAGAAGCCCCCTCGATCGCCCATTCTCAGTGCAGCACTCCACCCATGCACAACCATCCCCTGCGCAATCACGCACCACAATCTCTCCGCGCTCAAGTCGCTCCTCGAGACGCACCCCATCAATGACCCCAGCATACCACTCCTACACCTCGTGATAATATCCGGCGACGAAGTGATGCTGCTACACCTACTCTCGGTCGGCGCCAACGTGGCCACCGTCTCTGCCGGACAAACACCACTGCTTCTCGCCGCCGAGGAGGGAAAGCCGCGCATGGTCGAACTTCTACTCGCCAGCGGCGCAAGCCTCAAAGCGCGCTGTGAAAAAACTGGATACACGGCGCTACACCTCGCAGCCTTCTACGGGCACCGTGATGTCGTGCAGCTGCTGCTTGAGCGCGGGGCCGACATCGAGGAAACGGTGGGGCGCGGACACACTGCGCTCGTGATGGCCGCGCAGGAGGGACATGTGGATGTTGTGGCCTGGCTGATCGAGAAGGGTGCGCAGGTCTCGGGGCTGTGTGGCGACGGGTTCACGGCGCTGCATTATGCGGCGGCGAACGGCAAAGTGGAGGTCGTGAAGCTCCTGCTGGAGAAGGAGGCGGATGTGAATGCGGCGACGGCGAGGGGGTATACGCCGCTGCATAAGCCGGCGTTCTTTGGGCATCTGGAGACAGTGAAGGCGTTGCTGGATCACAACGTTAATGCGGCTGCGAGGATCGAGGGTGGCCATACGGCGCTGCATCTGGCGGCCCAGGAGGGCTGGGAGAAGGTTGTAGACTTCCTGCTGGAGAAAAACCCGGAGCTTGCGGAGCTCAAGAGCGATATCGGGTCCACGGCGCTACACATGGCCTCTCGGGAGGGCCATTCGGAGGTTGTGAGGGTCCTCCTAAAACGAGGAGTTGACCAAACGGCAGTCGACAAGAGCGGATACACCGCGCTCCACCTCGCAACCTTCTACGGCAAGACACAGGCCGCCGCAGTATTCTTCGAGTCCGGCCCCAACGAGCTGGTAAACCGCCGCGTCAACAGCGGCCACACACCACTGCACATGGCCGCGCAGGAGGACCACGTCGCAGCCATGAAGCTCCTCCTCGAGCACGGCGCCGACATCACCGCGCGCCTCGACAGCGGCTACACCGCGCTGCACAAGGCCGTCGAACGCGGACACGAGGCGGCCGTCACCTTCCTCCTGGAGCACGGCGTGGATGTCGCCGCGCGGCTCAACGACGGCCGTACAGCGCTCCATCTTGCGGCCATTGGTGGGCACGAGGCGATCGTAAGGGTGCTCATTGAGAACGGCGCAGACGTGAAGGCGAAGGCCAAGGACTACCATACAAAGTCGCTCCCGCCATCGCGCGATGGCGCACAGCTGCCCTTATCGCCCCCAAAGACACCAGACAACGATACGACCCCGGCGCCGGCGAGTCGACACCCGTCGATAAAGAAGGGCGTGAAGCAGTTCCTAGAGAAGAGCCGCCTCATCCACGTTGACGAATCCGGCGACACCGCGCTACACCTCGCAATTATCCAGAAGCACCGGCACATTGTCGCACTACTACTCGACAGCGGGGCAGAAGTGAACGGTCGGGGCAAGACGGGCATGACGCCTCTGCAGCTAGCGGCGTCCACGAAGGGCGGCGAGGGGATACTGAAGCTGCTGCTGGAGAAGGGGGCCGACAAGGGCGCGCGGACGGCGGAGGGGAATACGGCGCTGCATTTGGCGGCGGGCGCGGGGAACGAGGGTGGCGTGAGGGTGCTGGTGGAGGAGGGGGCGGAGGTGGCGGTGCGGAATAAGGCTGGGGAGACGCCGGGGGCGCTGGCGGTGGGGGATGGGATGGCGGGGGTGCTGAGTGAGGGGCGGAGGGGCAGGGGACGGTCGTTTTTGGCGAGGTTTAGGAAGGATTTGTAGAGGGTGGTGAAGGGGAAGAAAAGGGGGGGGGGGTGTATATAGAGGTTCTTTTTTATTTATTTAGGGGTTTCGTTTTTCTTTCTCTTTTTGTCTGGTTTTTTTTGGCCGTTTGGTTTTTTGCTTTTCTTTGGTTGCTCGGTTCTTTCCTTTTCGGTTTCCTGGGAAAAATGGGGGTGGGGGGGGGGGGGGGTTTATGTCTTATGTCTCTCTCTTCTTCTCTTTCCTATCTTTCCTATTTTTATCTCTATTTTCGTTTATTTCACGTACCCCGCGGGGACGGGGACAAAATCCATTATAGGGGACTCTTCCACTCTAGTTGGCATGATGCCGAGGGAAATGTGGGGCTGTGGCTAGGTTATATCCGTGTTGTAGGTCGAAGGTCGTGGGCGGGGTGGCGGAGGAGCTGGGCCCGGGGGGATGGGGGGATGGGGGGACGGGGTATAGAAAATCTATATATCTACTCTATGCAGACAATTATTATTATATCGGGGTCATATCAGAGAATAATATACCTTATTGAAGTCTATCCTGTCCGTGGCCGGCCGTGGGGATTGTGATGTGCGATTGAAGGCTGTAGTACTGGTATGTACTCTCTACGTCTGATGTGAGATTGGGGTCCTGTTTCTCCTCCATGTGATAGTACTAGGAGTCTCTATATCCCCCATGACAGGGTGAAAAATGAAACATGTGCACGTATGTACATCCCTTCGTCTGTATTCAGAACTGTAGCACTCTGTGGCAGAAGGCCGATTGGGTAGGATAGTATGTATTTGCACATATAGTTACCCGTTACCAGCTAACTCTGGGCTAAATTTTGTGTACCAGCTAGTTTCCGCGTTCATGAACACTGGAGAGGTTTGTAAATAGTTGGTTTTTGGGAATGCGGACCGTTTGGATCCGTTGGCTCCCAGTCCCATAAAGATCCTACTGTTGGCAATGATTTCGTGAGCTGGTAGTTTTTTTTTTTCATGAGCGGGAGATAACTGTCGATCCCCACACAGTTCTAACGCCGTTTAGTACCTTCTTAACCTCCCCTGCTAAACTACAGATTCGCTAACCCAAGCAATAAATGTCCCCCCTCCATCTCCATATCCACCTCCACCCAGATATGTACGGCGCGGGTGCAAAAAAAAAAAAAAAAAAAAAAAAAAAAAAAAGATATGTGACAGAAGTGGGACTTGAACCCACGCTCGTTTCCGAACCAGGAATTGATGTTAAGAGTTTTAAGACCTTAACCTGGCGCCATAACCAACTCGGCCATCCTGCCATGGTTGCTTGCTGCAACGCAAACATATACAAAGCCGCGCTGCGTCCTGGAGCAGTTAGCTTGAAACAGATTTTTTGGGTTGTTTGGCAAGCGAGGATGTGTGTGTGTGTGGTTAGTCAGCGGACCGGGGGGGGGGGGGGGGGGGGGTAATGATATCTGGGCGGGTTTGCAGGGGATGGGGTTGCTGCGACTGGATGGAGGGTTGGCGCGGTCGGCCGGGTTGGGTGAATCGCGACATTGCTATGTATATAGCTCTTCAGTTCGCAGCATGGTGCCACTGGGACACGAGTATCGAAGTTAAGAAGTAGCTGGTCTATCGAGAGCGGCCGGCTGTAGAACCAGCACAGATGTTAATCTTGCCTCCGGCGGAGAAGGAGTGGAAGTGGAATTTATATAAGCAGTACCCGGGGTGTGTGCGTTTAACATATATAGTTTAACACATCTTGGGAAGACACCCGAATTTTAGCTATGGAGGTGTGAATCAGGATCGAATCGTGTTTCCGCAGGCCGCGCGAGCGGAGACATACATATATATACATGCCCGGCCGACTGAGCGCGGGTACTAAGGCTCGAAAAATGGGGACGGTTTTATTTTCGTGCAGCTGCAGGCGAAGGGTCAGCGGTGTGCGTGTAGTAATAGGCGGATAAGGCCTATATGTAGCTAGTAGCTAGGTCCGGAGAAGTACTGATTATAAAGCTCCAAGGCATTACAGTGCTGTCTCAGAATCCAACCCTCGAGCTCTGGCAGTTCCACCGAATCCGAGCTACCATCCTTTTCTGTAGGTACAGAAATGCGCTGGAAAGCGCATGTTGCTAGCATCTTCATGATCAGTATATACTTCCGTGATCAGTGAGTAGTATAGTCCAGCCACTGAACGTATCGAGAAGTGATTGAATTGATTGATAGTAAGTAGATACATGACTACTCGAGATTCATATACAAGTATAACAAAGACCGACTCCTCCTGCCACCCTACAGTTCCAGTTCCAGTTCGTCATGGTCCAATCCCCAATTCGCCTGATCGACCCGGCGCAACCATCCTCCGCCGGCCCTACCATGACCCCGGCCTCGCGGCCGACGGTCCTGATACACACCCCGACGGACGGCTACATACAGACCTCGACGGTCCTCCACGGCTTTCAGTATAGCCCGTCCGTCAGTCAGCCACCTATAGCTACCGAGTAGTCAATATGTAGCTATAGACAGATGATTCCAGGATCTCACTTAGTAGACAGATGAGCACAGCTACAGTGATCAAGCCGAATTGGTCCCACCAAAAAGCCCTCCTCATCAACCGCAACAGAGCGTAGTTTCGTGCACAATATTGGTATCTGGATCGATGTGCTGCCGTGATAGTTTGGTCAAAATGTGTATATATATATTGCATGTTCAGGGTGAAAACCTTACTAGTGCGGGCCAGATAAGATGTACAACTTTGCAGACGGACAAGATGGATCTTCCTAACCCCCGGTGGTATCTTAGGCTCACTACAGCCCAAGAAGGACACATAGCTAATTAATTGTAAGTACTTCATATGCATGTAAGTTCGTGCCAATATCTTTGCTCGAACTCCCTTCCACACAACCCCCAAGGTTCAATTATCAACCCCAATAACCTTCTAATTCTATACACAACACAAAGCCAACGAACTGGACAACTACAGACCTACATAGCCAAAATCTCTATGCCCTCTTCATCCTCCAGGAGTGTATTGATACCACGACCATGACTATAACCAATGATTCTTATTATGTTTCTGAATCGTAGCGGAAGAGTCCGCCCGAGACAGTCTAGGTCATATATCCATATGTGGGGAAATGTTTTGAATAATTCGATCAAATCCAATTAACCAGGATCGACTGGACCAGGCCCAAGATTCCCATAGAGTTAAGTAGTTAGGTACGTATTAGCTTCTTCAAAGCCTACGTCCTGGGACTCATGGTGATGATCTCAGGGAGGAGTCGTCGATTATGGCTTGATATATAGTTCGAGAGGGCTTGGACTGTGCATGTGAGTTTTTAGCTCGACATGCTCGCTCCTGCATATCAGTACAAGTATCAAAGGGCACGAATACCAACACACAGAGATCCGGAGACAAATCGAACCCGGCAATACGGCACGAAATCGCTACCATCCACTTCGACGATTAAGGCGGGAATCTATGTATTTCAAGGCCTTATTATAATGACAAGCTTCGTCTCCCGTTTTATAGCAAATGCAACCTAACCTTGGATGTGATGCTGCATGCCGGCCTAGTGCTAAGATCAATGATACTAAAAAAAAAAAAGAAGCTCCCATTTCGCCGCTGATGTAAAAGTCCAGAAAGGAAAAGAAAAAAAGAACCAAGTATCCACAAAAGAAGCCAAACAGCAAAGAGGAAAAACTGTAAACCACAGTCAACTCAAACCAACACCCCAGCTAAAACAAACCACAGCCACATCTACCTCCCGCCAATGATACCCCCACATCAAACACCCACACGCTCTCATCCCACCCCGTACTCGCCGCCCACCCCTCCCCACCAAACAGACACCAATCCACGCCCGCACAAAACTCCGTATGCCGATCCATCACCCCCATCATGAGCCCGACCCCCGTACCCCCCACCGCACCGCCAACGCCCCCCAACCCGCCATCATTCCACACCCGCACCGTCATATCATAACTCGCACTCACCAGCACCTCCGCCCAATGGGGGCTCCACGCAATCCTGCGGACCGCATACTCGTGTCCCGCCAGCTCACTCACCGGCCGCGCGGGCTGCCGCACGTCCCACACCCTCACAATCTTGTCCACGCCGGCCGTCGCCACAACGTCCGGCCGGTACTTGTTCCAGTCGTGCGTGAGCACCTCGCCGGGCGCCATGGGGCTCACGGCGATCACCGTCTGCGGCGCCGGCGGCGCCCGCGTGTCGAACAGCCGCAGCGTGCTGTCCGAGGACACGCACGAGAGGAGGTTCGCGGTGTGGGGGCTGAACACGGCGCTGTATGTGCAGCTCCCCACGGGCAGCGTGAGCAGCGAGCGTGACAACGTCGGCGACCACTAGTACCACCCCGCTCACAGCGTCAGCATCCATCCCCCCCAAACCGCCCCCGCACAGCAGTCACACAGACAGATTCAACCTACCAACTTCACCGTTCCATCCCAGCTCGCGCTGCAAAACAAACCCTTATCCACGCCGCCCCACTTTACCGAAAACACCTCGCGGGCATGCTCCTGCCAGCTCGCGATCGGGAACTGTTCGAGCGTGGTGTCGAAAAGCTTTATGCTGCCATCGCCGGACGCGACGGCGAGCTGGTTCTCATGCAGCTCGCTGAAGGCCACGTCGAACAGCGAGTCCTGCGTGTCAAAGTGCTTCTCGGAGACGATGCCCGTGGGCGTGAGACTGAGGATGTACAGGCGCCCATTGCCCACGAGGCCGAAGTTGGCGGAGGCGGCGCAGGCGAGGCGCGAGTCGTAGAAGGGGGAGTATTGGACGGCGTAGCCGTTGAAGCCGGTGGTGCGGTAGTGGAACATGTTGGTCGAGAAGGAGGAGGAGGAGGAGGAGGAGGGTGTGAGGGCGAGGGAGGGGAAGGCGGGGCGGGGAGGACGTCTGCGGGGGTATTAGTTTGGGGTTTGTGCTTCATCTGGACTTGTCTGCTTTACTTATCGCTTGAGTGTCGGCGCCGAGCTTGGGCGGTGTTGCGCGTGTGCCTCGGCTGTTACTGTCGGCTTGGTGACACAAGATAATGTCTCTACTCTAACTGGATTCCAATATCAGAAAATCAATCAAAACATGGAGAGTTCGTAATACTACATAGAAATACATATTCATCTAAAAATAAAATATACTACCACTGCGTTGAAAGCTCTTCCACGACTTCTCTTAGAACCAAACACATAGTAGTATAGAAATAAACCCTTACGCTGGTGGTACGGAATTCAAGCTATGTATGTACTAAGTAGACAAGAGAACCAAACCAACATGGTCCAAGACTGACGCTCTATCACTATCGATACCAAAACAACCATATGAGTACGTCTTATTAACCCGTTCAGCGAGTACCAAAGAGAGGAGGAGGATGGAAAGACCTCCAGCAATACGGACTTGAATCAAGACAGCGACTTGGAATAGCCGTATATACGTTAATAGTATTTAGTAGTATTAATTACAAGTAGTGCTAGCCTATATTGCTAGAGTATACTGCCTAGTAGTAATGATTGAATACACCTTTTCAGCCCTGCACGTAGTCTTACACGGTAATGATTTATCAACACCTTTCCCAGCGCCCAGCGCGACACTCACCTCCCCAATATCTTAATACCAATCCTAATCCCAGTTCCAATCCTATTAAACCCTGATCTCAACCCTCTCTCCTTATCTCCGCTACCCCCCATAACTCATTCCCACCCTCCACCACCACCAACGCCCGCAACCAACCACGCAGCCACGCAACCACGCAACCCAAAATAAAACCCACGATACCGCCAACTCCAACGTGTTCAGTCATAGAATGATGAAAGCTAGGCATCCCGTCCGCTCTGCCATATATAAGCCTCATATCGCCCAGCTAGTACTGCAGTGGGTGACCATGTGGGAATCCTGGGTACTGAACTCGATCTAAACTTTTGTTTTTTTTCGTTGTAGGCCCTGGAGTGTGGGTGGGTGGGGTTACTAGGCGGGGTTTGGGGGATGTTGGGATGGATTTGAGAGGGGATGTTGCGGGTGGGGTGTGGTTTGGCTTGGTTGGTTTTGTTGAGGTTGTCGAATATCAAAAACGTTTTCTCAGCAACCCACCACGAAGATGAAGCTGAAGTTTGAGCACACCCAGCACTAATCGAAAACCCCGGGGTCTGTGCATGCTCTACTAAAAAAAAGTAAAGAACTTGAATCTTGAAATCCAGATTCTACCACCCTGCTACATAATCATTGACCCACCAAAAAAATATAGCTATCATTGATCATGACTATGTAGCTCCGTATATAGTGATTGCTCCAGTAGAGATTTGAGCTCCAGATCTTCGCATTACAAGTGCGACGCCTTACCCCTTGGCCACAAGAGCTGAGTACTGGGGTGAGGGGACTTGGCGGTTATGGGTGTTACTGGGGAGGTTGAGGGGGTTGATATATAAAATTTTGTATGGCGGAGTATGGAGGTGGAGGACCTACATATGTAGGTGTGGGTAGGTAGGTAGGAGGGTGTGGAGGTTGTTGTGAGTATTGTAGGTTAGAATGGAGGGGTGTTGGTGTTGGGAGTGCTTAGTTGGTGTGAGTGTACCGGCGCGGGGGTTTTGAGGAATGGTCTTGATTCTTGAAAAGTACATGTAGACAGAGTGCGGATAACGTATGGGATGATTACATCAGTAGGATGCAGAGTTAAGACCAAAATCTCGAACTTATTCAAGTCGCTTTGGTTTACTCCCGGATATTAGAGAGAATTGGTGAGGGTATAGTAGGTACACGCAGTACCTAGATATAGACCCCAGAATTAATTCGCATGATTGGTCTGATATCTAGCTAGTGCCAGGCCCAGGGCCGGTGATCTTTTAATTATAACTCCAGTTTTCGAAGGCGATATATCGGTGGTTCCTGGGCGCGCGGGTGGGATGTGTGAGTACTTACTAATGTAGGCTTTTGCTAAGCTCTAGACCTCGGCCTACATATTATGTATATGCCGGTTACGGCTTTCTCGGGGGTTATTTTTGAACAAAGTACCATCATATGGCTAGACGTTGATCATGAAGCTACAGATTATGTATTGCCAGGTTACAAAAATAACTACGCACCCCGCATAGCAACCAGACACGACTCTCAATCCGTTTCATTCCGACCATAGACAAGAGTACTACATATAGTTCTCTAACTCTCTAGATTCATAGATATAGAACCATCTTTCCCATATCTATTGTGACTGTCGAAATATACCTACTCTGACGGTTGGTAGTTGTCGTTGGTGCGTAGTTATTTTTGTAACCCGACAATAGCTTTCCGCTCTGTGCTACTTGTTCTTAGTACTGTACATGTCAGTATAATCGGACAACGTCTATTTTGACAATTCTCGTATGATGCATATATGTCTCCTTATGTTCGCCTCTTTAGTACTTTATAAAAAGAACAAAAAAGGGCTGCAGACAGCTAGTCGGCCTTCATTAATTCCTTCTCTGCTCGGCCTTCTGTTCCCGAAAGCGCTCCGTATACATATTAACCACGGCCACATCTATTCATGAGCTGAGCTGCGCCGTGCTCATGCCCAGCAAAGGTATTACCTATTCAGGTATGTTAAAGATAAGAACTACTAATAACTGCTATTAAAGTATTCTCATAAACTCTGCAGTGGTTATGGAGGGTGTCGATCATGAGGGTCTTATATACGATCGAAGTTAGAGAGTTAGAGTCTGGCTCCAGACTACTTCATGGAACTTGACCCGGGAATCGAATACGCCCACGAAGTCTAAACTCAGCTATCTCTCATATGCATCTCTCATTTGCATCTCTCACTCGAGATTAAGTTATGATTTCTGTTGTACCTCATATGCATGTCCGCAGCCGTATACGCGTAGCAGCATAATGATGACTAAGTCGATCAGACTGGGCGCAGGGTGTGAATTCCGACCAGCCTACTCAAACCCAAACCCCAAGTCGTTGCGATACTTTGCTACACAGTGGGAAACTTAGAGCGAAGAGGAGGGATCCTTTGTACTTATGATGTGCCACTTGGTGCAGCCAGAAACCAATCAGGTATGGGAACAGAGCTGTTTTAACTCGAGTCCTGGGAGCGGGCCCTGCGATTGGCTGGGTTCCGCGTGGCACGGAGGGGGGCGGAGATCCCAGCTTGTCACAGTAGGCTAGGCTCGGCCCGCTGCATAAAACTCGGCAGACACCGTGAGGAGGGCGGATGTTGTGGGGTACGTAAACAAGCGCGCGTCAGAGGTGGGGAAACTCTACATACATATATCTACAAATATGCCCACATAAGACTCGGGGGAGAAATACCAGCACTACTAAACCCTGACCTACCTTTACCTTCCCTTGATATATCTTGCTAGTCGATTAGTCTAAGAGTATCGCTGCTCGCAGTGATTGATAAGGTATGCTATATATAATATTGTGATTTGGATGGCCTTTTGACTTGGTTGCTGATATTTATTTTGCATTCTTTTGTAGCATACGACACATAAACTCCCACATAAACCACCATGTCAGTCTCTTTCCCTCAAAACGGGACAGTCGACTGGACATCCTTGACTTCAATGACGGTATCCGTACCGCTTACTCTGATGAGTCGACTATCGCAAGCCGGAGTTGACCAATACACTCTTGAACTTGTCAAGTTCTATGGGCAATTTATGAACCTACCGAGCCAACATCTCGAGGTCGTGGAAAAAAGCCTCCTCCAAGCAAAAAAATTCGGTTTCTCAGCTAACGCACTTTTCGTGGGTACCGGAATATCATTGGTTCCATCATTATTGGCGAGAACTAGAGGAGGAATAGCCTTTTCTGCAGTCACAATGGCTCTTCGGGCTTCCTTCGAGGCAAACTTCACAGCGAGAGTATTATCGGAATGGCTGAGCTTTTTTGAGAGACCAGCAGAGCTTTCACTACCATCAGTAAGCCAGCTTCAAGCTGTTAGCAATGAAGTTGCTGGCTGTCCTATCGACCCGGAAATAGGCCATGTTATTTGGGGGCTCGAGCAACTGTTTGAAAAGAATTCAGGGACAAAGCAGTTCAAGCCACCCACGAGCTTGACAGCGCCTCCTCTTGCTCAAGATTTAGCAAGGGCTATTCATACCGTACTCACCATACGACCAAATCAGAACGTTGTTATGAGGTTCAAATCATCTGTCGGACCAAGTGCGACCTGGCTCGCAGCCTTTGCCTCTAAGACAGTTGGGCTAAGTGTCTCCTTGGAGATTGGCAATAAAATCGTCTGGGAACAACAAGAGAAGTATTGCGCTACGTTAGGATCTCGTGGTCACCTTCGCCTGGTGATTGAGGTGTCGATGGATGCGGGAGGCCCTAAGCAACTTCAAGTCATGAAATCAGCATCCGTTGAGATCACCCTACAACGTCATGAAACGAGTGTGGAAACCTCTTTCAGAATATCCCCCAAGGCAGTTGTAGATAGAATGCTTGAAGAAATTTTCGATAATGCCGAGCAGCAGAATTTGGCGAGGGAATGCATTTGCAAGGCAGCACATCATATTTCTCAGAAACCAGCCGTCTTTGTCAAGCAGACCGGCATGTCCCTGAAAAGCAGTAACTCACCAAGTGTTACCGCAACATACCTGATAAACAAGAATCAAGCAAAAACCGCCCTTACATTGCTCGGGATCGATCCTGACTCCATAGACCTCTGGATAACAGAAGCAAAAGCAGAGATAGCCAAAGGACAAACACAAAAGATTCTGGACAGAAACGGGCCACTGCCGAAATGGACCGTGGAAGAAACGTTGATAGACTATCTTGGTCTCCCCTTTCTGACCGCATTTAAGAGGCTACATGATGCAAGTCAGCAGGTGTATACAGCCAAAGAACCCGGATCTTGGACAAAACTGCGTCTTGATGATTTCAAGAGGATTCTTACGCTTTGGACAGTGCTTACATTTGTCTCTGTACTGGTTCCAGGAAAGGATGTTATAAGTCTTGATGGCAGAAGAGTGTACAGTACGATAGAGAGGTCAAACGGGATCTTTTCGTCCTTTGGGTCTTTGTGGCAACTGTATTATTGTAAGTTGAATGACGAGGGATTTATGGAGTACGTGCCGATTAGGTCATTCGAGGCTTCTACTGGCAATCAGGAAGGTATCTTCAAGACGCACTGTCTTTTAATTTCGGCAATTCATGGATTCGCTTTTAATTTACTTGGAGGTCATATGGAGTTGATCGGTTCTTCGAATGACGACACTGCTGGAGTCGTCAGCGGGGGTACTTTTGTTGTGATGAGCACTCTCCTCGAATCGAATCCAGCACGACCAAGAGATGCAATGACTATTTTCGTAGGCCAAGGGTCAATTTTTGTTAACCAACAAGCAACTTTCTGCTTGAAATCTCTCAGCCGAGCTTTTAATGAGCCATCAGACTTTAAGTCATCCTCCGAGCTTCAGCAATTCGGCCAAACACACCCATATATCTCAGAGAACAACGATTCAAGCGATCTTACACAGATAAAGATGAACATGAGTCTCTACGTTTCCGAGAAGCCCGATATATCGTATGTGGCTTGGTCACTGAATGGTCGCGATGGAACCGACGTGCTATTCGACGTGCTACTCTCCCCACATCAAATCTTGCACAATCTTGTTCATGCCCACTTTATAGACTTTGACACACCAGCCGGTCAGCCCCCTCCGTATTTTATAAAGAAACCCTTCTCCGAGAGATACAAAGCGGATGAGCTATTTGCCGAGAATGTGGAGGAGTTGTGTTCTGGGCGCACCAATGGTCTGGTCCAGCTGGCTATGGCCTCGAAAAATCATGCAGCGCAGATACTAGCCTTGCATTACGCTTTATGCGATAGCTTGGTTGTATATGTTTGCCCCTTTGACCAGCTGGAATCCGTTTCCCCCCGATATCCGGGGAAAGCTTATGTGATAGTTACTTGAAAGTCAAGCAACATCTATCTATATATTGTGAGTAACCTATCAGCTTATAGTTATTTAGTATTCAAGGCTAACCTCGGCACTGCTGGCCCTCATATCTAACGGCTCGAATTTTGGCGGTCTTGGGAGGAGAGATTAAGTACCGAATATTGTAGCTTTCATTGACATGTATTATGGGGGTCGTTTATTGGTCGGAGATTCTCTTGGAGATTCTCAGATTATCGCTCACCTTGTCCTTTCACTATTGGACTCGTAAATTGGGAGAGTATGGCCCGAAACAGCTTTGTTAGTTCATTATATGTGCAAGTTGTACATATCAACGGGGACTTGCTATTTCAACTACAGCCACTCTGCGAAAGTGTTCGTGATTCCAATTTTGAAGTGAGACATTTCTCCGTATGTAACCGTGGCGGGCCATCAAAAACTCCCAACAGAAGACCCTCCTAGTGACCAATGGCGCCCGGAATCAATGAAGAATAAGTAAGATCAATGACCTACCTTATTTTATATATAGTTACGGACTATATTATATGTTTTTCATTGTTTTAGATCTCAGCATTAATGGCATCAACATTAGGGTGCCCACACTGCACACTGACGTTAAAACGAAACCACGAACACTTTTGCAGAGTGGCTGTACATACCATTCACCTAACACTACTAGCTCGCTATCCTATCTCCTTAGAATAAAAGGAAGATCTGGAATATGCCTTTCGCTTTCTTCTCGCTGATAGTCTTCCAGGGATGCCGAGAAGGAAGCCTGAAACCTGATATAAAGTATGTAAGCATGTATTCTCGCATCTAATGTGATACACATATCTGTCCTATAAGAACTTCCCATACAAATATTTCTGCCCGCACCGGCGTTATTATGTCTCCCCGCACAAATACCGCAGCTCTGCAGCGTTGACCGGGCGGGGAACCGCCGCGCCTGGGATGAGAGAATAGCGTTGGACCAGAGTGAGTTGCAGTTGGCAATAAGCTCTCATTCGGTGCTAGAAATGCGGGAAGGAAGCAGGATGGGCGGGTACGGGCATTGTCTCGGGTGATGACCTTGATCTGATGTGTACTAGGTGGTGGCATTGCATGCATCAAATATCACTCGCCCTCGATTGATTGGCCGTTTCGAAAAATGTCTGTTGCCGGTTAACTGAGACCTCGTCTATGCGAGCGGCGGGTCCAAAGCGTTAAGAAAATGTATATCACCGAACCTGCTCTAGCTCTAGGAGTAATTGTTTCAAAAGAGAATAGAGCTCTCATTCCAGCTTTCGTCATGGTAGGTCACTCGCACCCGATCCAATTACCAATTCCTTTAGTAAGCTTAGTGGATGTAAGCACACCACCTCTAGCCTTCCCGACTCAAGCCGGATGTGCCCACAAACATTCCTTATACAGCATGCACTGATCCAACAACAATTACCTTTATGCAAGTACGCACCGGTGTGCTCAATTGACCTCACCACACTCCCTATACCGCATCACTGGCACAAATCAGCGACTGCTCACTCGAAATTCCGCAAAGGATACACAAATCTCATTCACACTCCCAGTCCCGGCGGTTGGGCCCGGCGGCAACGTCACTATACCCGAATCCCTGGATCCCAACGCCTTTGTGTAACCGTCTAATACGGAACGCCGGACCTGGAGGTGCGTATGGCGCTGCGGCACGGTCGTTACGTAGGTCTTATGTGCCTTGGAATGACATGCCGGCGGGGAGCGTGTTGGCGCCAGCGGAAACCACTCCGATCTGAATACATCCATGTATAGATACGCACTGCGGGCAGGCCACTGGTGTAGGAGACATTGCCTTTGTGGTGGCAACCTAGAGGCGGGGAGGTACATGTATATACTTGCCGGGAGTGAGATTGGTGGTGGTAAGATGCTTAGCCTTGCTGATGTGCATTAGCTAGTGGGACAAGAGGTACTGATGTGATACAGGATCGAAGGGGAGTAGTACGAGGGAAATGAGCTTGTTCTCACCCCTAGGTGGATATTGTACCGGTACCTTGAACAATCTTTGCTCAGAGATTTCCAGCGTCGTTTCTCGCAGTGGGGGCTATGTATGCGGGGTTGACCGGGCCCTCGTGGGCTATAGTTCCCACTCCCAGCATTAAGAGCCATGCAAAATGGCAGAAATGTGAACGTGCAGGGAGGGAGTCCAGAGACGCAATGAAATAACAGCTAGTCAGCCTAGAGTCATGATGCCACTCAAAGGTGAACTTGTCACCAGACTTGACTGAGATCGATCTTTGGCGGAATACGAGAGTCATCGAGTATCTAGTTGTGAATGATCATGAGTCCACGAAAACTGAGAAACTCTTCACTGGATGTCATATAATATTTCGATAGGATTAATAATATCTTACTACTTGATTAAAGTAGCTATATGATGACCATGCATAGGTGTGTATCTTATTTCGCAGTATGTCAACCATCAACCAACTTGAAGACGCGAATTAATTTCACATAGAAGTGTGAATGAAAATTAAGGAGAGATACGGTCACCATACTTGAAAGATAGAGCAGAAACCTGTCTCAGCGGAGAACTCCTATGCTACCAGACCACGAAACGGTAGGACACGAAGTGGTAACAGCGGTATCAAGGTCCGCACAATGGGCACAGCGCGCCAGATAGACAAACCAACTCAAAGGATTTTGAGCCCGGTACAATACTAGTCGGCCATCTCCGGGCGAGCTTTGTCCCTTTTCTGCATGAATAGAATCGAAATAATAAGAGGTCAATCAAATTTCAGTACTGAGCAAGAAAAGAAAAACGGTTTTGCGGGCCTTAACCACCCCCAAAAGCGCCACGAGTCTTGGCAAGTAGATAGTATTGGTCTGTTAATGTGCACCAAATCTTGCCGTTGAAGACGGTGCCTCCAATGAATCCTATGAGTGGAAATATAGGTATGTATATAACGTACTCACGTTTTAGTAGAGAACAGCCATTGAGTGATTTATGTCAATCCAGGATGTTGTTGAAGTCGTCTGGTAAAGAAGTTCTTGATTTAAGTAATTCATCTTCCAGTTGCCTATCGATCAGTATCCCGATTTTTCTAGACCTAACGAATTCTCTATACGAGAGGAACTCATATAATACAGGTCGGCCCTTCCCCCCCGTTTATGACTAAAATTTAGTCTTACCTATTCCTTGAACCTCGTTTTGGAGGAGAGAAGGGAACTAGGGTACGGGTGGGGGACGCTGAAAGACGCGGGAAACGAGGAATAGAACAAAAAAAAAAAAAAAAAAAGAGGGCTTTAGTGTTTTCATTTCCTATGTCAGAAATACGTGAGAGGAGGCGGAGGAGAAGGGGCAGTTCAGGGGTATTGCCATAACTGTAAAGTTGCATGCAATTAATGAATTAAACAAAAAAAAAAAAAAAAAAAACCTCGTTTTGGATCGTCCTAATATGCTGACACTAGAACAGCTCGAACACATGTACTTCTGGGGGTGAGTATGGGAGGAATTTCTTCTCCACCCAGTCGACGTCAGTATTAGCAGCCCTCTAGGGATAGCTACTTACTCATACGCCCACAGTAAAGCCGATTTGTAAAGGTAAGTGAAATAAGCCTGCCTTGAGTAGTGAAATTATTAGCCACCTTAGACATGTTCCAAACTGCGCCCCGGAGATACTTTCAGAGGATATACTGTTTCCTTTTGCTCAAATACTGTTTCCTCGCTATACCATCGTGCTCATGAGCGAAAATCTGAGGCTGGGACTGATGATGATGATCGGTTTTGCTCACTCTAGCCCGAAAGGCGTTTGAGATATTAGTGGCCATAGATGGAGGGATAGGTGGCGGAATAATGAAGCCCTTAGAAAGCAGACATTACATTTTTATTGTGTATGTATGTAAGTAGCCAATTATAGTTTACTCGAACACAATCATGGATGCGCTCTTAGATGTCGTGTCAGGTGATCATGACCGATCGGGCCGTTCGTCCCATAAATTTAAACTCTCATCGTGATACACATACATACGTGCCATGGACCAACGTCACACAACTCTATACCCACCTCCTACAAACCTGTCAATATCAAGAAACCGCCGGCGATTCATCTTCCCCCCGAAACCTCTAGGATTCCAAATCAGCAACAACCGCTATTGAGAGGACTCCACCAAATCCGAAATCTAAGATTAATGAACGAGGCCAGGAACGCACTGAAGGCACAGTCAAACGCCCCCCCCCCCCCCCCAAACACACACACACACAAACACAGACACACTCGAGGGGTAATGGCGAATCACATCTAATCGTGGATATAGGCTTGAGACCAATGGTAGAGCTGTCTTTGGTCATTGCGAAGCCACACTCAGTTGTACTGTATATATATACATTTATGCGCTCACTGTCCGCCATCAGGCAGATATATATATATATGATCCCCTGTTATCCTATCAGTAATATATAGCCCGGTGGAACTGGTAAAATATCAACCTCTTGATAACTGCTGCACTTGCTCAGTCTCATTTCATGTTTTACGAAATCTAACTCAACTGGCGTGACTCGCTACGGCAAAAGGGGGCATAAACCACTTGATGATCTAATATGAGCCCATGGCTTTTTGCCTACAGGCTACACTACCGGTGAAGTGGCCTCTTCCCCATTCTTTTTGGACTTCTGAGTTTTGTCGGAGTAAGCGTGGATTCTATCCCCCCATTGGGTATTTTACCTGTGCGACATGCAGATGTCATTACGATCACGTGTTTAGATCATCGTCTATCACTCGAGTCTAGCAAGTGGTCATTGCGGCGAAATTAAGCTCTTTCGTATTACATATCCAGGTCCAGGTCTACGCACATTATTTGACAGCAAATATAGCCCTTCTTAAAGCCTCCGTTCCAGATCGAGAGCGAAACTGGCACAGATGGAAGCAGCGTGTTTTAACATAACAGTTTTATCGCTTATCATCTGGAAGAAGACTGATAACATTATTTTAATATAATATGTCATTTTGCGGGAGATCCGGGAAATCTATGACAGAGCCGAACGATACTCTAGCCAGTTAACTGGGTTTGAGTAACCACAGGGTGGCGGTGCGCCCAACCATGGGATCCGGGAGCTCGCACTTACAAATCCTGAAACTTTCCAAGACATCCTCTTCTGCTATTCATCTCGCTAATTTGTAGCAGGTAGATCATCGCGTGGCTACAGCATCGAAACAAATTAACGCCTAGTGGTCCCTGCACATTAGGTGCTGGGATTTATCCATAATATCCCTGTCGAAGAGTGAATAAACGTCTAAGCCCTCTTCCCTCTGGAGACGAAGAAACAACAGAATAGAAGTTAAATACTCGCCATAGCGATGCATACATACTCCACGTATGCCCAGTCCCAGTTGGCGGTAAACGACGCAAACTGAGTGGTATATACCACTTGTGTGCATTGTACATTTGATCCAGGATTAAGTAGCCCCTGGAGGGCTTGCATACATATTAACAGCGGATAGTTAACGCCCATAAATTCACTAAGATCTGCATGTGGTAACGTTTCAAGTGATTCTTTGACAAATTAAGACTAATACCCCTAGACTTAGGTTCGCGGAGGAGTTTTATCACACTAGCGCTAGTAGGAAGAAAATTAACAACCCCCACGTATTCATTACTGAGATCTACAATACACGCAGCTGCGCGTTCCAAGGGAATAACCGTCCTGACTATAACATTCATGTGGTATCACTCGGTGGCTCACATTTCACCTCAACTCTTACGCCGCACTTCTCGTATAATTATAGTTAACTTATTTGAGGAATTTTGTGGTTTATCCCGAATCTAGTTAATTAGCTAATTAGCAAATTTCTTTTTTTGCACTGCCCCATTTTCGGGCCACCAGAGCACTTCACGGGACAGTGCCGCAGGTGTCATAGAAACAGACCACTTATCGCCCCTCTTAACCTCCCATCTTTGCTAAGTATCATGTCTCAATTGTTTGGCTTGCGTGCGAGAATCGGCTTATGCTACCATGTCTTAAGTTGGCATACCCGAGTTGCATGTAGATTTGAGATTCAAGGGTTGATTGTGACTCTTCTATCAAAGAGAACAGCGCGCAATTAGAGGGCGCTACTTGGCTCAACATCCGAAAACTATCCTAAATCTGGGGCGCCCATTATTGATTGCAATACAATGACTCTATCCCCACTATTATAATATAACATAGTTTTTTATTGGCGAGAAAGAGGGTTCTGATCTGAATAAGAAGGTTGGTAAGCGAAGAGAAATGCTTTAAGATGTGGTTATGAAAGCGGATATAGTTTTGGCTTTAATGTTGCGTCATAGTAGTAAATTTAACCCTTGTATATCATACTGTATGTAATAGTATTCACAAGTTAGTTCCCAGTTAGTGGGAAATGGGAAACCCGAAGGTTATGAGAATATAAAAAGATAGACTAGAGGATTCTTCTAAAAAAAGAATATCCTTTTTATGTGTGTTCCAGCAAGGAACAATTTCAGTTCTGCCCTCAGTCTTCTAGTACTGAATCCCTCAGATCTATGGTTCATGTACCACAAGAACATGTAAGGGTAAATTCTATGGTGCATTATCAAGCGCTTCTGATTTTTTATTTTTTGTACCTCATCTCTCACCGTCCATATAGATCTGGACGCAAGTATTTAGACCACATGTACACCCGCAGGAAAAAAGTGAGAAAACAGCGGGTGCAACCCGTCCGAACCCCGGTGCAAAATTGGGGATAAAAATGAAAAGAAGTAATATAACTAAACAATAAAATACAGAATAGATACTATGGCCTCTAAACTATATTCACTACCCCCTATGATCTCCCTAGTCCTTTACTATTGCTGCAATTCTCTTTGGCATGCTGTCAATGATTTTTATATACATTTCCCCCAATCCGGCCTTTCCTACTCTTCCCTAGCTTGGGCTTCAATAACTTTTATGTTTTCATTCGGAGTAGCCTCTATCCACTTTCCAGACTTGCCAAAAGGCATGGCCACGGAATACTCGTGGGGTTGTATTGCGGGTGTGGGGGTGTCAAGTTGGAGGCACCCGTTGTCACGCTACTCGCTGTTTCCTCACTTTTTTCCTGGGGGTGTACGTAGAGATATAGGAAGAAATCTCTAGTCTACATAATAATATAACGCTCACAAAAGGCCAATTAACGCCATACTAAAAGAAGAACAAAGGAATAGAGAATACCAGCTCTTTTTATAGGAATTTTCTAGATAAATATGCAATTATGACAAAGCAATGCGTGAATAAAAACCTCTAAACTCCTTAAACTGGACCCCGGTACTCCCCCCTTGACCAACAAAAAACAAAGAGAACGAAAAAATGAAAAGAAAAACATCTTATGTAGCATGCATATTTTGCAATACCAGTGAAATGAAATATAGTAAAGCGTTGATAAGACGACGACCCTTCGACTCTTCATTCCGATCTCACCCAAGACTCGAAACAACCATAACTTCGACAGAAAACAGCTTTCCGAACTCAATAAGCTTTCTAGAGAGCTCATCCTTCTTGAATCCATCGTCCCTAACGCATATGAGGGCCACCGGTCTGAAGTCTTTCTCTGAGATAACCTTTGGCTTACAGAGATCTTGCCAGTCTTCCGACTCCCACCACTTGCCCTCTTCCCCTTGGGTCGCTTTCTTAACCGGCATTAACAGGAATTTTAAGACCCAAGTGACATCTAATGGTGATCGATTTCCGTCGTACTCGTCAAGATAACCCTTGAGAATATCAGCCGGGCCGTTTCCTGAGGGTTTGATGACCGGTGTGGAAGCAATCATTTGCTTGAATTTCTTGACCGACGGGTGATCGTCCCAACCATGAAATATCTGTCCCACTCCGTGAACTTCGCAGGGGTGGGCAACAGACGCGGAACTATATTCCCCGACGCAGATCGCTGTCGGTTTTTGACAGGCGGGGCGATTTGTGATATGCTCCATTCGGCTATTCAAGAATGACCCCCAGCCATTCCCTCGAGAACTTGGTGTCTTATTTTCTTCTTCTGCGGACGGTGCGCTGAAGACCATTTCAATCTCTGCTGCTGAAAATACCGGAGACGAAAGATCATAAACGAGATGCGCACAGAGAACAGGCCACTTAAAATGGCGGCGTTTCCTTTCTCTGGTTGTGGGAGACAGAGCTTGCTGCGATGAGGCCTGGGAGAGGACCTGGGCGGCCTCAGGATGGTTCATTGAATTCATGCTTGAGATATATATCCACTTTAAGGAGACCTTTGGATGAAATGTGCTTGGATATTATCTTTTCGACGTATGTATGTTTGTGTATGTATGTATGTATGTCTGCTTGTTTGTCTGTTGCATGTAGATTTTTATCAGAGACTTTGTTCGCCTTTTATTCTAAACAGGTGAAGTTTCAATCTTATATATGCAAAGTGTTGTGTGCCTTAATCGGTATAGCTTGGAAAAGTTCTGACTCCACGAGTGCCAGTCGAGCCGGGAGAGAAACCGGTCTATGCAACGCCTACAGTATTACTTCTGGTGTTTAACTAGCAGGACGAGGCGGTACCGTAGTAATGCCTTTTTCTTTTCCCCTACTCCAATTCATACAGCTATGTTTGCGGCGTGGCGTAACAAGATATTATGGATCATTATGGAGCAGTACGTTGTTGTCAAGATAAGGTAGACGTAGAAGAATGGACGCTCTGTCTGCCTCGTTATTCTCCAGCCCTTGCGTATGCTTCTTTTCAACTTTGGCCAGCGGGGTGGCGCATGGGCTCTTGGCTCCTTAGTTAGCCTTGTACAACAGTTCTAACGAACGACGGGGTTCTATCACCTTAATTGTGGTTCGCACAGCGATCAAACTAAGTTAAAACCTGGTTATGAACTCACGATCCGCATCCACTAATGGAGGCTCAAACTCCGGTGCGCATACCAATACAGCGAGGATTGGAAAACTCCCGGACCAAGAGTTAAACTATCAACATTCTTTACCGGTCCCCTGACATCCCGACTATGGTGGACCATAACAAATATAGTCTATGCCTCTTTGGCCGTAGCTTCTCTACCTGAGTTCAGCGGATGTGGGTAACTATCATAGTCTCAAAGTGAAGCCAACTGATTCCATTGCCAAGGATTTGAGTACTCAGTTCAAAGCCTTTGTGTAACCGTCGAAACATCTGGTAAGTTGTGTTGGCGCATAGCTTAACGTTTGGCAGATTTACCGGAGTATACACACCAATTACCCCTTTTTGTTTTTTGTTTAATTCATTCACCAATTACCCCTACATCATACTGCTAAAATGGTTATATCCTTCTTTTGCGAACTTCTCAAACAGTCACCCATCCGGGCGGTGCATTTCCAAGTTCGCGAGGTTTCGATACCTAAGGGCGGAGGTGGAGGTGGAGGTGGAGGTGGAGGTGGAGAGGAAAAGTAAGTCGTACCTGGGTGACGTGATAGCCGGGCAGTGACACCTCCGAGATCTGTAGACCAATGATATGTATACATTCCCGAATTTGAGAGCGTATCGTACCGAAAGGGGGATTAAAATAACCACATAACATGAACCAACGTCAAATGAACAAAAATCATCGATCACTGTACAAACTGGTAGGAGTTCGGGATCGTGTTACAAAAGCAGGATGTTTACATCCTAATAATTGCCTTGCGCCGGGGGGTTTTCACATGATGGTTCCATGCGAACACGGGGTTATTTTCGTCTTCCTTCAGTCTATACTCACCTACGTATACTTACACTCTGACTACCGCGTTTCGTTCCATTGCCCTAGTTATGTCAAGCATGGCACAAGCCTCATGTACTAGGTAATCAAGTATGTATAATGGTAAGCGTTGGTAGACGTCGGAAATTGGTCTGTTGGTCTAGGGGATGTAATGGGGCTGTGTGCGGGCCCAAAGTAATGCATGCAGCAGAAACGTTATGGCGGGAATTGGCCCATCCCAAAAAACGGACTGGCGGTTCAAAATTGGAACGTAAAGGGTAAATTAAACCTGAATAGTCTCTGAATTCAGTATATATAGAATTTAAGCATTTTAGTCTGGTGTTACACGGGTTTAGATTGCCTATGAGTGTTATCGTTACTAGACTAGTAATCCGAAAGCGCTTACTCACTACAACCACCTAATACGTCCACATATGTATCTCTGAGGTTCAATCTCGGAAAATTAACACTATCTCTATCTAGCATCCATTCCAAATAGATAGCTTCATTCTGCCTTGTTCTTTGTAAGTTTAACTGTGGGCCGCTCCAGGTGATTAGCGAATCATGGTAGGGAATTTGAGGAAGTGGCTCATCAAGAAGTTTCTCGATGATTTGAAAAAGCTTAGATAAATGTAGCTGAGGATTAAGAGTCACTCCAGTCCGGTATTAAATATTCCTATTCAACCGGTTCGTCAGATTTCTTGATTCAACCACGAAGCCGTTAGTGCCACTACACTTAGTCGATCTTCACCCGTCGGTAGAGTAAAGATATGCAGGAAACCTTCAACGGCGTTGAGTAATTCTCTCAGCCTCGTTGTGGCTGGAGTAAGATATAAGATCGACATGGAGGCCTAACATCTACATTACTACTCGTGCGTCTTCGCCAAGGATTTTAACGTGACTGAGATCAAGGCATTTGACCAATTGAAACACCGAAATCCCTTTCTTCACCGAGTCAGGTGAAAAATTCTTGGCGAAGACGCGCGAGTAGAACATTTATCAGTCCTTAATCCTTCTGTCACTCAAGCACCCATTAGGTTGTTGCTCAGCCTGAATCTGATCGGCATAAGAGATATGATTTTAAGGTATTTGCGTGTTCATTATACCTATGGCCTTACATGATGATTCCCAATAGAGACTTTGCGCTGGCTGCAGCCCGTCACAGAAATGCCAAGAATTTTGGAGCTGGAGCCGGATCTCTATTTCACTTTGCGCTGTGAATGCAGCTGTTGCCACTGGTTGCGCAGCCTGGAAGTGTTCCTCGCCAAGCATTCCCTCCTACTCAAGACAAGTCTTGCAAATCACAACATTTGTTTAAATACTTTTAAAACATGTCAGTGATAGATATGCTTCCAGGCTATCTTGAGAATCAAAAATCTTTTAAATTAGACAAGTATTGGTCGAGCTGTGAGGAAAATACGGAGCGGAGGTCTAATTTGGGGATTTGGTTATTGCTCTGGCTTCAAAACAAGAGCTGGCTCTGCTGAATAATTTGGTCACAATGCCAAGTGCTACTAAAATGGAGCTGGCTCTCCTAACGCAAAGTCTCTAATACTCGTGGTGAACGGATCAGTAATTAACGGCAGCCACATAAAATCTCTCATATATGTATGTAATTATCAAACATTTATGCCAATGTGTTATGCTTCACTTTTGCCACTTAGAGGAATCTTCTGGACAGACCAGAAGCGGTGGGTTGAAGAAGTATAGTCCTCGATGGATCCCGGTGACTGCATACTCAGAGAAGCCCTGGGAGCATTGTAGTGACTGCAGCCGCTAGAATTATATTTTATTAGGAACTCCGGATAACTACCTACCTGAGATGGCAGGTATCTAGATTAGCTACCGGCGGTGTGGTGGTCTCATCCATACTAAATTACCCCGGATTTTTTATGCATCCGGGTCGAGTGCCATTGCTTATTAGGGTGCCGAGGGAGCACATGTGTTTCTGCCGTTTTGGTGGAACCTGCTTCTAGAAGTATAATCTGCAAATCCGTTGTTCAACGTCGTGATCTAATCAGATAAAACCCCGTATCCTCGGTTAAACAACCCCGCGCCCCTCATAAATCCTCACCAGATCTCAGGTACAGGGTGTTTACCGCTTCCTTCTAGCTTCCAATTCACTCCTTGCCAGGATCAATCGATAAGAACAATGCCTCCATCCTCTGTGTCCGCCGTTGATGCCGCAGACCTCCCCATACGAACCGGCCTCCGACCGGACGACCTAGCGACACCAACGTACACCGATAAAGCTCAGGAGTGTCAGATTTTAAAGGAGCGGCTTGCTGCGGCGTTCAGGTTATTTGCAAAGTACGGGTTCGACGAAGGTGTCGGTACGTGCATCGTTTCCGTACCATGGCCCTGGGAAGTGATAATGGGCGGAGCCATGGATAAGAATAGTAACTCACTCTCACCTGTACCTGTTCTAACGTGGTTTCTCCTTCTCGAACTTTTCTTTAGCGGGCCATATTTCTCTACGGGTAAGGCTGGCCGCCCCCACCCCTTCCAGAACATCTAGAATTTCGCTTACCATCTACCCTGCAAAAAAGGATCCTGTTGATAAAAGCACATTCTGGGTAAGCATACGCCCGTAAAGCCTCAACAGCGGATTTCGCCTAATCTGGATTGACCTCAGGTGAACCCACTTGGCCTGCATTTCTCCCTCATCAAAGCCAGCGATCTCATCCAAGTAGACGCAAAAGGGAAAGTAATTGCCGGTGGTGCAAACCGCCGCTTAAACCAAGCAGCCTTTGCTATACATTCTGCGATTCATGAGGCTAGACCTGACGTGGCTTGTGCATGCCACTCACATTCGATTTATGGCAGGACCTTCTCGACTTTGGGGAGGGAGCTGGATATGATTACACAGGATAGCTGCTCGTTCTACAATGTAATTCATTGATATCCGGTACCTTCGTAAATATGCTGAGAGGCTTGTGCTGTAGGATCATGTCATCTATAGAAACTTTAAGGGCGTTGTTCTCGAAGAAGAGGAGGGAATGAATATTGCGGAAGCTCTTGGAGATAAGAAGGTATTCATCCAATCCCATTCTTTTGGCTCATGTTCTGACTATTCCATGTAAATAGGTCGCTTTGCTCCAAAACCATGGGATCCTAAGCACAGGAAAAACAATCGAAGAAGCTGTCTTCTGGTTCATCTCGATGGAGAAATGCTGCCACACTCAGCTCATGGCTGATGCAGCCTGTGCTGGAAGAGGTGGAAGTCCGATCAAAATTGCCGACGAAGAAGCAGCCACAACGTATGTTTACGCCTCCCTCTGGGAAGAGCTTTGCTGATTTTAAACACATTTAGCCACAAGGTGATGGGATCTATTATGTATGGGAGGATGTCAGGATTAGCACTTTTCGATATGATTGAGAATGAGACAGGAGGCCAGTACAAACTCTAAAGGAGATTATTGCCTATTATTATAGACACTCAATGTATACTATCTGGTATATCTAATCCAAACTATGCGTGGCTGCTTCCCTGGTTCGTGCAAGTTGTTTCCGTAAGGACAAAGTCATGTAGTCAACAAAATCAACTTCATGTCAACTGCCAGTAGATGGACATTATCAGTGTATCAATCGAGCGAGAAATGAAGGTCAGTGGAGTAAACAATGCACAAGGGCTGACAAGATGGTGAGTGGTTAGAGTAATTATTTGCCAAGACAACGGATCCTAGCAGAGCCTGCTTACTCGCAACGAGCGAGTAATAGATGACAAAAGTCAACTGCATACGTGCTACGTGCATGTAGGCATCCATTTAACTTAAGGTTGTCATAAAAGATTTTTCTTGCCTCCCCATAGTCGGAAGTCGTGACGTCACAAGCGCAGCCCGAGCGCAACACCCCCCTGCCCAACTGTCCAACGCCCCAGGAAACCGCGCAGCACCTGCAGATGATTAACGGCTTCTAAACAAAAGCTTGAGACCTACATAGCTATCCTAACAGGAGGGATCTCGAGTCTACTGCGCCTTTGCCCCAACCAAAGATGGATGGTAGAAAAGGAAAGAGCAGGCAGCAACAAGAATCAATAATCATCCTTCGTTTATGCCAACAAATGGCTTCTAAAGCCTTGGTCCGGAACTGAACTTGGCATTCGTGTCATCAAAACTTTCACTTCTAGCTGAGATTGCAAGTCTGTTGGTTCAACATTCAATACGATGAGGAGGAAAAGAGTGCGAATATATCCGGCCCATCAGAGAAGAACGTCCAGGCGCTTAAAGAATATTTGGAATAGATGGATATTGCGTATCCTCCGCCGACAGATAGGGTGTGCGTTTACATATTCCACCTTAATTTCAAATTAACATCGATTCGTTCTCACATAAGACGCGAAAAAAGACAAGAGATGTTTTGAGCTGAAGGATGTTTGGAAATGAGGAGAAACACCGGGCCAGGAAGATCCGGGAAAGGGCAATGACGTTGAGCTCAGGACAGACACCCTGGGCAGTTCTCAAGATGATATCACCTATTAGACATCTCTGGAGAAAGAAGGACCTCTTCTCTCCATGTAGGCAGCAAGGGTTACGCTTTAATTAGCTACACCTATTCACAAGGCTGCTCGAGGCGAGCAGAAATAAGTGCCTCGAGGTGTTTCTGCCTCCTATGGCCCATGTCTTTGCTTGCTCGTGCAAAGAGTGGTGTAGTGATGAGGTGAGGCTGCGCGAGAGTCGGGACTGGAATCACCATTTGAAAGAATTTCTCAGCAATAATGAGCCTGTTCTCATGGGATTCATCTACCCTGGTATCGAATATACGCCGCCATAAGGGCTCGCATAGCAAGAACATAGCTATAGAATTATAAGAATTGATAGCAAAATGGTTGAAAATTGAGATCAATATTTTGCTGGCTCTCTTGCCTTTCTGAAAGACTATAGGATTATAGGAGACAATTCTGCTATAAGGTTATAGCAGACGATTCTATTACAGTTTTCTCATCAGAATGATTCACTTACTCGCTTTACTATACTTGTATAATCTCGTTTATGCTAGTTCACCATCTCAGGTCTAGGACTTTTCTCGATACCAAGAACAAAAATCTTTGACACGCATAGTCTCACAATACTCTGAGAGGGAAATCTTAGGCATTAGGATTGAATATATCCCTTGAGTCTTGCGGTCAAAAATATTATATCACACCCTACTTACATCCAACTCAAGTCTTAGGAATAAATAATTTTTATTCATTGCTTTAAGGTAATGCCTAAAAGTCTCTATTCTCGAGACCAAAAGTCATGGGTTTCCCGAGAATTCTCAGGCTGATCCCCATCAGTAACGAGGTGATGGCAGATATTGCTCTATTCAGTTACAATTGAAGATGTAGTCAATACTGGTACGCAGTTCAAACGAAGCAACTACTTACATATTAACTTGTTACAAATATTGACCAGAATCCGGAAATGCTTGATCTGACATTCAAATTTCAATCAATAGCGGAATCATGAATTAAACAAAAAGAAAAAAAAAAAAAGAAAAAGCGGAATCATCAATCCCACAAGAATACACACCTGCCACCATTCCCACCAATACCCAATCCCCCACCAGCTCAAGGCGAGTATTACCTCGAGCAGACTCGCCTCGTAAACAGCCATACCTTAAGCCCACTCCCACCAGCAGCACAAATATTTACAATCACAGCCTATCACTCGTCTCCACCTACACCTAATTAGCTTCCGCGAGTTAATCAAATAGGCAAACACGAGCGCTACAAATCCGCAGCGGGAACAAAAGTACAAATGAGGCGAAGGGAGGATGACTACTAGCTACAAAGTGGCTGGTGGGTGAGGCAGTGCTGCAGTTATATCTGGGTACCGGGTCGCAAGGGCAAGGCGCGGTTGGCAGCCCGAGGAGGAACAAAGCCTCGCCACAATTAAAACCCAAGTTCACTGAAAATAATCCTCACGGGAGATGGCATGATGTCGATATACCGCACGCCTTAAAGCTGTGTTGTGTGCGCAAAAAACTCTCTGGTTTTTAAGTGTTGGTAAATATCAACGGTTAGGTGAAGTAATTTGTGCACGTGCAACCAGCCAGCCCAGCTAGAACCAGAACCAATGATCGCCGTACCAGTTTTTTTTTCTCTTTCTTCTTTGCACGTTGATTTGATTTATTTTTTTTTTCTTTTTTCTTTCTTTCTTTCTTTCACACCTGTATCTAATTCAACCATCAAGCACCTGAAGCCTCCAAGAAAAAAAGACCGCAGCTACATGTGTATATACGTGGAGTACTTTTGCAAAGATAAAAATAAATAAAAAGAAGTAGTATTTACCGCTACGCAGTAAGTAGGTATCGTAATAGCCAGCAGCCCTACACTACAAATGCAAAGGCAAAAAAACCTAAATAACCCCCTCCCCCTCCCCAAGAAAGAAGGGGGATCAAGGGGGACCCCTCTAAAGATCTAAAAGATCGTAATATCATCCATCATCCATCATTCATCATTCATCACACCACCACAAAAACAAAAGAGAAAAAAAGCTACCTACACTACCTACAACTATCTACCACTCGCTCACTACAACAACTCCACCTTCGGAACCGTGCGATCACACCCCTCCCTCATCCAGCTCGCCTCGCACCAAAAGTCACCCCCGAGCCTCTTCCGAGCCTCCACCGCATCCCTAAGTTCCGTAAACTCAATCACCACCTCTCGTCCCTTCGTCCGGCCGTCCGCCGTAACCCTTCCAGTCGCGCCCTCGCACAGCCAGAACGCGATCCTCTTCCCGCCAACATCGGACGCAATGCGCTGCAATGGCACTTCATTCGGGACGCAGTGGAGGATAAAGACACGGCTGGCGCCGTAACGCACTACTTGTGTAGCAAGGTCCCTATCGAGCATACGCACAGGCTTCTCGTTCCACGCGAACTCGACGTTGGGGAGCTTCTTCACCGCGGAGTGGGTCATAAAGGCGGATGCGTCGCTGGGACGGAGGAACCATAGAAAAGCGACGTCTTTTTCCAGGGCGATGCGGACGGACTCGAGGGGGCCGCCGGAGATGAGGTCGAGGAGGTCTGCGACGCCGGGTGGGGGGCCACGGAGGCGGCAGAAGACGCCGCGGGGGGAGTCCTTGGAGGCGGTTATGAGCGTGTCGATTTCGTGGTCGATGGATGTGTTGGTGTTGATCCGGTCGAAGAGGGAGCGGGGGTCGGAGGACTGTTGCTGCTGTGAGGGCTGCTTGACACGGTCGAAGAGGGAGCGCTGGGGAGGGGATGGCGGTGGGTGTGTCGGGATTGGCTGTGCTGCCTGCGGGACTTTAGGGGTGTCGGCGAGGGCCCGGATGGTGAAGTTGCTGCGGGATGTGGTCGGTGTTTGGGCAGTATCATCTTGATCTTCGGCGGTACGCTTGGTGCCGCGGGTGGTGCCCGGCGATATGGGTGTCAGGGGTTTGGCGACTGAGCCGTTGGAGTTGTTAGTCCCATTTAGCTTTGTGGGGAACAGTTCAAGCTGGTCATTTCGTTCCGTGGATCCCCTTCGTCCATTGAGCTGGCTGATGAGGTTGTCGATATTATCATTGAGGCGGGCTTTGTCCTGACGGAGGGTGTGTATTTCACCCAACATGCGCTCGGAGCGCTCCTCTAGGGTTACAATCTCGCTTTTAAGACTTTGCTGCGTTTGGGTTTGTGTTTCAAACCTCCGGGAAAGGTATTGGTTCTGATCAATAAGTTTCTTATTTGCAACCTCGAGGTCTGCACCTCGTGCGCTAGTTGTAGTTACAGTCTTTTCCGTCCTAAACAGCTTGACCCGGATCTCGATCAATTCGCTGTCAAGACGGGCCCGCTCAACCTGTACTGATTGTAGTTTTTTTTCTACAGCCTTTTTATCCTCAAGAAACCTTGCATTGTTTTCTGTTAAATACTGGGTTTTTTCTTGATATTGCTTGAATGCAGCCACTTGCCGCTTTATGTTATCCTGCAGTTGATTTATCTTGGCTCGAAGGGTTTTTTCAGACTCCTCAAACTTTTTCTTCAATCCTTCTATCTGCTGTGTATCCTCTTTGGAGGCAGTTTCGCTTTTCTCGGCCAATTTCTTCAGTTGATCCTCCAGTACGGCCTTTTCATCCTCCAGCTCTCCATTCTTTCTCTCCAGCACGATATTCTTCTTCATCGTCTCTTCGTACTGCGTTTCCATCGCATTTATCTCGGCCACAAGGTCCAAATTCTTCTTCTGTAGGTCGACATTACACCTTTCGTTAGTATTCGCCACGGTCTTCAGCACTCCAATCGTCTTATTCTGCGCCGCGATATTCTTATTCAGCGCGGCATTGCCATCCTCAAACGCCTTGAGCCTCAACATCAACCTCTCATTCTCAGTCTTCAGTGCCTCCATCCCCTCCCTATTCGCCACCGCCGCCGCTGCAGCAGCAGCACCAAGACCACCACCTGACTCCAGAGCCCTAACCTTCGCCGTCAGCGTCGACCGCTCCAATGCAAACCGGTCGTTCTCAGCCCTACGGGCCTCGAGCTCTGAGGCAACGGTCCTGTACTGCGCTTCGAGTGCCGCATACTTCTTCTCGTGCTCCTCGCGCGCCTGCCGCTCCCGCATATTCTTGACCTCCGCCGCGAGTGCACGGGACTTTGCCTGTGCCGTCTCAAGGGCGAGCGTCAGCTTCCGCTTCTGCTCTGCCAGGGCGTCGACTTTTGCTATGTGCGATTCTTGTGCCGTCTCGAGCGCGAGTGCCAGCTTCCGCTTCTGCTCTGACAGGGCGTCGATCTTGGCGGTCAGCGATTCCACGTGCGCTTCGCGGATCCCAAAGTCGATTGGGGGCTCGGCGGCAGAGGGGGGTTTGGACTCTGCGGCAGTGGCGTGTTGCTGGATGAACATTGTGGAGAGCATTGCATCTTTCTCTGCAATCTGGGAGCGGAGAGTGGCGAGTTCGGTTTGTAGGGCATCATGGCTGGCGCGGGAGATGAGTTGGAGAGTGGAGAAGTCGGCGTCGAGCAGGTTGGGAGTGGTGAAGTCGAAGAAGGAGCGGAGGGAGCGTGGGGTTGCCTAAGGCGTCAGTGAGTATTGGGGGGGTTGTTACCAGGATTGAAGATACCATCATGTATTTTCCTGTATATACGGACGATGCCTGAAAGGTAATTTATTGGGGTATTGGAATGGGTATTGGGGTTATCGTTTATTGTACTGCTTAAAAGACAGACAAACAATCAGGCAGATCTAGACAGTTTTAGTCGTGAAAAACAGACTTGAATGGTGTGCGGTTAGAGTGCTAGATGCAGAGAAAAAGCTGTTAAGAACTAAAGGGAGACAATTATGGAAGAAGTGACATTAATGGCTCTATTTCCACAGAATAACTGCTTCTTGCTTAAGAGACAGCAATCAGAGCACGGAAAGGAAAGAAGTGAACGAGGAAGAAACAGAACCAGAAGGGAAGAAGAGAAGGAGAATGATGATGGGGATGAGGAAGAGGATGAGGGGACGCGAGGAGTGAGTGATGTTGCAACAAACTCATGGCATCATCAGAAATGTGAAGTCTGTCCAGTTGGCGCTTGTTCTTGGGTCGCACAGATCGCTGCAAGTCCCCGCTCTTTTTTTCTTTTGTTGCAGGGATCATGCTGTGGATACTCCATGGATGCGTCTAACTAGAAGACAGCATGTGAGACACGTTTGCAGTCTAGCTAGAACACAGCACTCTGAGATTCATATATTGGGAGGTATCCTATCAATTGCTTAACCACCGCATATAAAGGAGCTCTGATAACCATGGTTATACGTGCTCTTTTGTTGTTGCGATTACTCTCTATATTCCCTCGTTTGAAGTATACGTACATACTCTCTTTTGACCCCTCGCTAGGCTCAAGCATGGAGCCGGAGCTAGGATGCGGATACGCTTCACGGCCGGCTATATCTGAAGAGGTGAGAACAATACCCAAAGTGGAGATAGAAGTGCCTTTAATCCTACTACAGTATTCCTATCACCCAGCTTGGTTAAAATATGAAACCCTTGGAATACCGAGGAGACTGCGATGGAAGGTCTAGTCACCACTGATACGGATGGTATGCTACATGATCCACTGATTACTCATTATGAATATCAGTGAATACCTATAGTTATATCTATGAAAATATAACGAGTATCTTTAAACCTCCTATAGATGGCGATAGCGGCCGTGTTTCTCTAACAATGGAAATAGCTTCGGTTTCGATTTCAATTAGGAAGTCGACCTTATAACAGTGCCTTGGCATCCATCGAGTGAGATCATATGATCATGCTTGAACATTCGAAACTATTATTGGGGAGAAATACGATCAACACCCACGTCATATATCCACTCGCACAGAAAAAAGGATAGATGATCTCAGGTCATATCAGGAGAGCGATAGTCACGTTATAATGCACATAAGAGTACTCCAAATTGAGCGGTAAGAAAGATATATTAGTTATTCGATCCAATTCATGGAGCACCGCAGACAAAATTTCCAACCCAAACAAACCCAAACAAACCAAGCAAGCCAGAAACAACAAGAAAAAAAGAATACAAAAAAAATGTAGAAACGAATTTAGACGGGAGAGAGAGACGGCTCCCTCTTGACCACTTCCACGATCTCGATATCATCAGACTCTTCCTCCACCGCCTCCAACACTCGCTCAGCAACCCCCTCCTGATCAGCTAAACTGGGAGATGGACGTTTGCTGTTGCTCCGGGTCTTCCTGACACCAACTGGCTGCGCCGATGCTGCACGGGTTTTCCTGGCTTCAACTGGCGGCGTCAATGTCTCGCGAGTCACCCTGCCTCGAACTGTTCGCGCCGATGCTGCACGGGTCTGATGCTTTGCCCTCTCTTCCCGGTCCTTCTTTGCCGCTGCCTTCTCTTCCCGGTCCTTCTTTTCCGCCTTCGCAGCCTGCTCTTCCCGGTCCTTCTTTTCCGCCTTTGCAGCCTTCTTTTCTGCACGCGCCTTTGCTGCAAGCTCCTTCTCGGCCGCCTTCCTTGCCTTGGTGGCCTCCCGCTTCTCAATGCGCTCTTGCTCCTTGCGTTCCTTCTCGGCGGCCTCAACCCTCAAGCGTTCTGCCTCGGCGGCCTTCTTCCCTCTCTTTTCGGCACGTGCCTTTGTCGAACGATCCTTTTCGGCCTCCTTTTTGGCCTTTTCGGCCTCCTTTTTCTCTTTTTCGGCCTCTGTTTTCTCAACGAGCTCCATCTCCTTCCTCTCTTCCTCAGTCATCTCGGCCCTTACACTGCCAGGCTCGAACATCGCGCTGTCTAGGTCGTGGTAAAAGGGAAATGGAGGAGTGCTCCTCCAGGAACTTGAAGAATTGTTCCTGTGCCAATTAGCGAGCTCGCCTGCACGGTCAGTCTCCTCTTTTTCTATTGTTGCCTTCATGCGCTGATAATATTCTTGATGGTTTGATTCCTCGAGCTCCTCCCTTTCTCGTGACAACGCGCTCGGAAAGTTATACTTGTCTATCATAGTTTGGTAAAAGATTCTGAGCTTGTCCTTCGTCAAGTCATCGCCTAGCTCTCCAATACTGAAGAAAAGTTCGAGTATTGAATCCTTGTGCTCTTGGGTCGATTGGGTGGACTTGAGAGCGGATTTGTGAATGGCCTTCGCATGTAAAATGCCCTCTTCGGAGCCGGCTTTCAACGCCTCGAGAAACTCTGCTCTCGCCACTTTCTCGAACTGGACCGCCTCCAACCATTCTTTTACCGCTTTCTCTAATTTATCAAAGGCCAATTGCACGGCCTTGCCTATCCCATTTTTGTTGGCGTTGTAAGCTCTCTGTAAATCGACCCAACGATTACGGAGTCCTTCATTTTCGTTTGCGTACGCCTCTTTCTCCGCTATTAAAACTTTGACTCGGTCCTGCTCTTTGCGCGACCTTCTCGTGTCATACTCAATTCCTTGGTTGACTTTTTGATTGTATTCATTTAATTTGTGTTGACCCTCTCTCTGTTGGCGATTTTTCGAAATTGTCACTAATGTTGGTAGAATAAGTTAGACACCCAACATTTATAAATCATTAAACAGAGTAGACTCTGATTTGCTGTGATTGCTATGCAGCAATGCTGCGAGCAAAACAGAAAAGAGAGGGAAGAAAAAAGAGGAAGAAAGGAGCATGAATGTAGGACTTACTTTCAATCCACTTGTACTGATGTGTCCCGTAATGGCGTCTAAGAAGATCGTATTGCTCTCTTGCTTGCGGATCAAGGAGAGTAATTTCTGCCATCTTGAGCTTTGAAATTTGGAAATTTATGGGTTAGTATATCAATAGGAAAGAAAAAAAGAAAAAAAGAGGGGAAAAAAAAGAAAAAGGAGAGAAAAGAAGAAGAAAAAAAAAAAGACGGCACCTACAATTTGAAGGTTTTGGACAAAAGTAGATCTTATGTTTCCCTCAACCCGCGAAATCATTTCTTCAGTATCGGGTTTGTTGGTCTCCAGTGGAATCTCCAACAAGTCATGATAGTCCGCCACCTTTAGCTCGTCCTGCACTTGGGGGAATGTGGATTCTACAACCGATGGCATGAAGTCAGGTTTATATCCTAAGATGGGGTTGAGTTCGGCTTGTCTGATGGCACCAGAACGGGGATCGGGGGCGTGGTATTGTTGATCCATTTTAGAGGAATATTTTATGGTAGGGAAGGTTTTTTTCTTTCTTTCTTTTTATTTTTTCTCTTTTTTTCTGTTGCTGCCGATACTAGTTCTACTACTGCTGAGAATAGTAGTGGTATGGAGTCGAAAGATTTAGGAAGCGGACGAGGTAGAAAGGTTTCTACACTTTGTAGATGTGAGGGAAGAAGGTGTTGGCGGCTTTGCTGATGCGCAGTTTCTATTCTTGCAGGTAACAAAAAAAGGTTGCTTCGATGTGTGAGAGGGTGAGAGTGTGGTCGAAGTTGCTTAGAGGCAGAAGACACCAAACTGAAGAGGACTGAATGGACGTTTTATGTATCCACAACAATCTTTTCTCTTCCTAAGAAGGCGCAGGGAGGTGAGGTGAGGTGACGAAAATGCTTCTACAGCTCGTGGAGACAAAGAGAAAAGAGTGAAGAAAAAACACCGAGGAGGTCAGGAAGTGTGTTCAGGTATTGGTAGCGGCGTTTCTGAGGTTAAGGGAGGAGAGACCGAACCAGAGGAAGGATAATTGACGATGTTGAGGGTGGGGTTAATTTAGCCAGAAGATAGAGAAATGGAAGAAAAATGTTGATGGAGAATGTCAAATTAAAGATTTCAACGACAGGAGAAAGATAGCGTGGAGGAGAGAACTCAAAGGTGCTCGAAGTGAGGGAGTTTTGATTGGGAAAGAATTCGATGAGGGAGTTGAAAATGAGAAAAGGTGGGAAAAGTCAAATCTTCTTATGGATTAATTCGAGAAACAGTGGGTTATGATGCGTAAACTCAAAAGATTCAAGTCTTTGCGTCAAAAAAACTGTCACGAACACATCTGGGGAAGAAAAGCGAAGAAGAAAAAAAGAGACAGAGAGAGAGACTGTGTGAAACTTATACCCCACTACCGTTGTTATCGTTGCCAAGATAACCGATTGATAGTAGATTAGTGTAGTCGGTGCCAAGACGATAAATTGTAGCTGTGTAGCCCGATTTGGGGAAGGAAATTTTTTTTTTTGAGAAAAATAGAAAGGTGGTGAGCCCCTTGATACAGGAGAGGTAATGATTGTTTTGCAGCTTTTTGGCGGATGTGGCAACGGGTTGGGCATGCAGGGATACGAGGTAGGTGTCAATAATGGATGTGTGTAGGATCTCGACCATCTTTATCTCCTCCATCAATGATTGTTGTGGACCTCGATATCAGCCGCGTGGAATTATCGCACACTCTTCCTATCTCATAGTCAGCTGCTGTGCACTTTGTATGGCCTTATTTAGCAAGAACGACCAAAGGCTGTCGCGAAACCTGCTTCTTTTTTCTTCCACTCTGCATGTTCCGCGATTCAAACTCCTGTATACATGCGTGTACGCAGCTGAATATGAAGCATGTACTGCCAGGCGCTGGGTACCCCAGTTATTGTAACAAGACCAAACTATTTAGCGAAAAGGGAGCTGACAATGTATCAATAGGACCTCCCGAGCAGTGTCAAGCTTTGTGCGGCATGATTAAGGACAGATTGTGATACCACCTATTCCTCGTCATCATTCCACAGTTTTACATGTAGCATAAGTACCTGACAGCCGCTTATGCGGAACGACAGTGCTAGTGAAATAAGGCTGTCCAGAAATGACTACAGCGTCACAAGTCACCACAGAATCTGAAAGCCATAGTCATAAACCCAGAGAGTCAAGGATCTGTGGAGCTTTTATATCTCTTGAGCGGAGTATGAACAGACTGATGGTGAGTGTGGAGATGGCAATGATGATTTTGACACAACCGCGCGGGGCAACACAGCAGGCGAGGCACCAAAGGCCAACATCTTTTGTTCGAAGAACCACCACATCTACATCTACACCAACCACCCTCTCCTCCATTATAAACAGCACTCCCGTACCCCCCCGCCTCCCACCAATGCGCGCCTAAGATTCAACGCCCAATACGAATGTCTTTACTATATTCCCCCATCACCGGCAAGATTAGGGCCAGCAGAACCCACCACCTAACTTACCACGAACACCGATTTATAAGCGGTCGACAACAATAAGATGAGCAGCCTTGCAGGCAGACTTCAACATGGGAAATACCGGAGCCACCTTCACTTATGCCCTACTCCTCGAGTTAAACAAAGAGGAATATGACAGCGGGGAGAGAGAAGCAGAGACACGGGGACACAACTAGGATGGTAACTGTTGAAGACGCATTGCGCCGCGGTTCTTCATCAGATCAGAGAGTGCTTTGATTAAAGGCTGTCGAAATTGTAACATCTCTTTATCGCCTTTCTCAGTCCGCAAATATGAGCTGATTGGGGCATTTCTGACCATGGGCTGTTCGGGCGTGCAGCCATATCCTCCCCGCGTTGATCACGATACCGACAGCTAGTAGTGCCGGTTGTTACCATAATAAGCACTTTTCTGTGTAGTCTTCCGGCTGTGCTGTCACGTTGGGGTTTGAATGACCGCTATGACACCGACGGGGTTATAGCAGTGGTACATACGGAATCTCTCTACATACAGCGTATTCTGCTGAACCATACATAAAGTACCTAGCACTGTCGATCTTTTAGAAACAGTAGAGCACCAAGAGAAACACTCAGCACCATTATGCTACAAAGCACCCAGTGGTATACTATGTATTAATATTCCACCTTTGCGCCATCTCCCAAAACAACAATTAATACTTCAATCGAATTCACTCAAGGATACATGTACTTGCTCGTGTCTGTTAGCATGGTCTATTCCTTTGAGCCCAGCATGGTGGAATTCGGGAAAAGGCCACTCGGGGAGTTCTACTATTGTTTACTCTTAGTAATACCTAGCGCCGCGCCCATCGCACAAGAGTGAGACACCAACTAATCCTTCGGTGGGCCAATTGCGGGCTCGCGTCTTAGTTAATAACGCTAGCTGTCTTGGCAGCAAAATTCTCTCCATGACCATGATGTTCAAACAACCCGAATCCAGGGTGATTCCAGACACAAGAGCATCATCAAACACAAAGAGGCCCAAACCAACAGAGGCTCTGTGCAACGTTGCCACCAGCGACAAAAGAGTTTGTCACCTTGGGAAGGCGGCAACACACATGGAGACGCAAAAAGAATGACAGGAGTGGGACTTGAACCCACGCTCGTTTCCGAACCAGGAATTAGTGTTAAGATTAAGACCTTAACCTGGCGCCATAACCAACTCGGCCATCCTGCCTTGAAGAGCTAGCTATTTACATACACTTTTATCAGGCGGGCTTTTAAGTGTATATTGGCCGAATCAGTACGGTTGTAAGCGAATTGGCCGCGGCGACTCTCTCATATGCGCAAGTTGTCGGCATGCCGACTGCTGTCGGACCGCAGACCCATGTAGACCTTATTCGGCACTTTCTAGGTAGAACGCAGGGTCAATGTTCCAACAACCGGTTTTCTTTATAAGCTTTTAATAAGGATTTTATAACACTTTACATTCCGAAAAAGCTGTTAACACCCTGTGCTCTACTCTAGATCAACAAGATTTTACACAATGTACTTATGTATGTGTGTTAGTAGTAAGGTACAGAAAAAACTCCAGAACCAGGACCCTTGCCGATATAAAACTCCCTCGCACCCATCGCAACCCAATACTCAAAACTCCGAACCCGCCTTACTGTCTCTAGTCTTCGCCCTCTAAATTTCCCCGCAGTCTCGAACCTAAACCGCACCGCTCGGAATTCCTCGGTCACAGCCATGCAACCTCTATTGCTCCAAAAAGAAAGAAGCAAAAAGATGAGTTCGGTACTCAGGATTCCCGCATGGTCATCTACTGCAGTACTAATTGAGCGATACGATGTTGAGATGGCAGAGCGGGCGGGATGCCCTATTTTCGTCGTTCTATGACCGAACACGTTAGGATGAGGCGGGCGGCGGTCAAAATCTTTGAATTCACTGACTTGGAGGTGATTTACTACTTTGCCGTTGAAACGGGTAGAGAGAGAATAAGCGTTAAATAATGGTTTTTGATCGCATAACGCTTGCTTCCTATATAATTATTAACCCCCAAAACAATTGTTTGATATTTGAGGCTTATTTCTTGAATAATAATATGTATTGTACCACTTGGTATAGACGTTAGTATTTTGACAGACGGTAATATAAATTTCGCACGAGCCTATGGGTACTAAGTAAGTATGTGTAATCTGGGCTCTTTAATTGGTGAGGTTATGCTAAATAAACTTGTGTTTAGACCCGCGGTCATGTATGGAGAGCCAACAAGTACATTGTACTTTACCACCGGAACAGTGGCTTTTTATGAGATTCCGACGGTAAAACCATGCTTGGCCTCTACGATAATCACAGATTATCACTCGAATCTACACACTCCACCGTTTCCGCGCACTGAGATCGAGATCAAGAGCGCGATCATGGAACGTAAGAATTCTTGGAATTTCCACCACTCTATCGCCGCATACAAGTATATACAAGAGCTTCTTCTCGGATCATTGCTTGCCGAACTCAATATCCTCGCATCTTATGGAGATTATGATCTTAGGTACAGCAGGAAAGTCCTTCTATAGTACCGGACCGCAACAGGCATTAAGATATTTTCAGAACCCAGTCACAGAAATATTTCTGCAAGAATCAGGACATTGTGTACGGTCGTGTCTGTCCAAATATGTACCTATACCTGCCGAGAATCAAGTCTGCAGGTACCCGGGTCGGCATGCATGGCATGGGTTAGAGTTGGAAAACCACCTTGGCACCGACGCCACCGAAGAGTGATTCTTCATGATGTGGCCAAATCTATCCAACCAAACCTACGTGTTTTCTCAGCCTTGATTTTGGCATCGACTCCATCCTGTCTCTTTGAGCCGATGCTTTCTTCTAAAGAAAGATAGGGTTTTAAAAAAAAGGTGATCGATATCTGCATATTTTACCAGACCCTAAAAGAAGGTAGATGCTACGAGTCGATAATTCTATCGTGATATTAACAGCTTCATAGTCCTCGATTAACCTATCCCCAGATACGTGAGAACATTATCTTAAGAGGTGATGAGTCTCGAGATGGTACCATGTCACGACGATATCAAAGAACATGAAGAATCACCTGAACCATTACATCAACTTGCTCAATCGATCTAATTAAACTACATAATTAGTATATCACTAAGACACCGTTCAAGGATTTGAGGCTCATCCCCCATGCACCATCTTCTGAAAAGCGAATATCACATATATGGCCAAAAGGCTATGCGCCAGTCAAATAGTACCCTCAGCATAGATCGGTTAGATCATTGGTTGGTCAATAACATTCAAACTCCAAGCTTCTGCAAGACGAAAATCTTCATTACAGCATCGGGCGTGTGTTGGCTCTACATCCATACCAAATCCCTCAACCAATATGCCCTGGCCTATCAATAATCACAATCAATCACTCGCTCAACATCTAGCCCTATTCCCGCAAGTGAGTCCCGGTAACTTGCGGGGACTGGGGAAATTTGGCCTTTATATTCAGAACAGGCCACTCGGAGACAATTTGGTTTCTCCAGTCAGAGCGCGTGGATCGTTCGTCTCGCACCAAAGAACCCTGGAAATGTCAGTGCAGCACGGACAGTGGTTATGGTTATATATTACCTTTTTCATAGGAAAGCAGAGGTAATTAAAGATATAACCAACGTTCATTTATGAAAAATATACTCCTATATACTGATATGGGAATATAAAGAAGTCGAGACCATGATGCTTACACCACTCCCATTGTCCCTTCGATCGATATATCATGATGATGAGCAAAATAGCCTAATATCAACAGTCGGTTCAACGTCTACATGCAGTCTAATTTTGTCGGTTAGGCCTGCATCTCTACAGATATAAAGTGCCTCTACATGTAGATAATCTATCTCGGCATGAGTAGCCAGACAAGAGGAGGTAGAGGCTCTTGGTAAAGGCCCCCACAAAATAAGGCCCTTCTTTGGTACGCGTGTAAATCATCATTACACAGCCGGGCAGCCACAGAGTCCCGGAGACGGCTTCGCTGAAAAGAAATTGGCGAAGCGATGAGGCCTGGTCAGGTTCGTACCCTGCGATATCTCCTCTGCATGCCCCCACTCGGAATAATCCTCTTGGAATCGACTGATGGCGCGTCCCTGACGGTCTGACCCTTGTCCACTTGGTAACTGGGGTGCATTGAAGTCTGTGCGGGGCAAGACTTGGCATTGATCTGCCCCTTTCTCGTCTGGTATTTTGTTTTCCAACAATTCTTCAAGACGGAGAGGGAGGGCGTGGAAGGAATATGGAAGGCAAAAAGAATAATAAAATATTCGCACGGCGAATACACTTGGTTTCAACTAACAATCGTGAAACATATATATATTAGGAGACTAAGGTCTGCAAGACATTGCCTGGAGCATTAGTGGCGCCCTATCAATAGCTGGATGGACTTGGCGGATTTCCCTGGGAAAATAGTGGAGATTCATTCAGTCAATACAATTGTGGACTCGTATGCAGAGTGTCTACATAATTACATGTAGAGCTAGCTAGCGCTCTACTTGACTTTCACTAGGATTCCCCTCGCTGTTAGTAGCTGCTAGTAAGGTTCTATTGATGTAGCTACGCAGAAATTCTAGGTACGTACCATTTACGGTTTGGAAAGAACAGTAAGGAATTCAATATCAAGGAGACATGCAGCTGCGGCGTCGATAAATGATTGCGTACATGCACCTAGTGTACCTACATGTACTCCCATGCGACGAAACTAGTCCGGCATTTTAGTCCATAAGTCCAGAATGAGATCTCTAAGACATTATTCTACTAGTATTTCGCTGACGTTTTTGAACTGGGCCATTATTGCATACACCCAAAATCATGAGCTTGGCGTATTTTTGTATGGCATGCAATATCAGTCGCGTCCACAAACGTCAGAGAAATACGAGTACAGTCCAGCTCGTATGCGTTTCTTTTCGGCAGTGCCCCTTCGAACTGAATTCTGCTCATGTCGTACAAATCATTACTCAATACGTCCTTCTACAGCTCGCTTGGTCGGAAACCATCTTTTGAAGCATCCTCAACCCCGTTTCAGGAAAGGCCAAACTCGCCAGAAACTGCCCCTCATGCAGGAACTTTTACACAAGCGATACCCCGGGACATCTTCCGGGGCCGATTAGTAGGTGCTTTGAGTACTAGCTTCGTTATTCCAGATTTCTCACAGGAATTCAACTAATACTGATTGCTTCTGCGCGGGCCGTTTAACTTGACAGGGAGAGCCCCGCTAAGCCGAGACACCGAAGATGATCTTCAACTACTCTTTCATGGTAGTGGTTAAGTAATAGTTAGTTGGGGTCGAGGGTTACCTGCTTTACCAGGGTTCTACTCTGTAACGAAAAAGGAGGAGGGGGGGATGGATGGGTATATACCTCGTTACATAGATCTTAATTCTGTTCTTTGATCAGGCATTCACCCAGCTTCTAGTTTGCTTGAGTCCGGTTGGGTTTCCCCTTCCTTTTCTACCGTGTATTTCGCTCTCTATACACGGATTTTACTTGTTTGGTGCTGGCCACTGTTTTTCTTCCCCATCACACTCTTTTTTTTTTTGTTACTCACCGCATCTGTCTGTCCTTCCTGCGTATTCATCCGGTTTAAGGCGGTTTCTGTTTTGGCTTCCATCTTACAAAATCTATAACAATATCGGATTCGCCTTTTAATTCGAATTCATCCACCCGCCGACCCCCCGGTGGATTTCCCCACATTTCAATCAATACTTTAACAGCATCAAAAAGAGAAAAAATCACCAGATTGTTGCGTGGAAATACACTCGTTCGAGAATTTCACCATAGGAAAAAATGGCAACGACTAGTGCAACAGCGCCAATGATGAGCGGAATAGGAGGACCGCCGCAGGGTGCAAACGGAACCGTGGGTGCGGGTGATGCGCCGGGAAAAACAGGCGATATGGGGCGGGTACCAGAGCTGCTTGCAGTTACATCGATATTGACGGTTTCTATGATAATCGTCGTTGTGCTGCGAATATATTTGAAGCTGCAAACAGGAATAAAATCAGTGCGGTTGGTGGATTGGATGCACGTACTTGCTGCTGTATGTCAACCAAAAAGACTGGATGGTCTAATGAATTTGTTCAACTCGCTAATCAGGATATTTGATTTTGCAGTTATTCTCAGTTGCGGTATCAGTTGCTGTAGCCATCTCTGTTCGATTCGGCGCAGGCAGACACAGATTTGAGATAACAGGAGATGACACCACTCAAGGGCTCAAAGTAAGTTTTCCAATTATCATTCAGGGCCCATCTCCTAATTACTAAAACTCGCGTAGTATTACTGGATTTCCAAACTTCTTTACATCGCCGCTACCTATGCCGTCAAGATGGCTGTCTTTACCACCCTCCTCATTGTCGCTAGTTCCCCGCCCCAACAAGCGCGGAAATTCCTCAAAACCATGTTGTACTTTGCTATGGTTTTCATGACTGCATACTCGGTAGTTTTCTGGGTTGCCGCAGTGATAGAGTGTCGACCTGCTAGGTATATATTTGACAAGTCTGGTACGGGACAGTGCATTCCCGGGAATTTGGTAAAGCAATTCGCAAATGTGCATGCTTCGATGAATACGGCGATGGATCTGTTTTTCGTATTATTACCTGTGTTTATGGTAATATACGGTGTCCGACGGTCAACAAGGGAGAAAATTGCCATCGCTGGAGTATTTCTACTCGCTTTCTTGTTTGTAACCTCTTCCCATATACTTTTACGCAGGCCAACACGCTAACAAAGACATCACTATTCAGCTCAGTAGCCGCTGCTACTATTCACACACTCTACGAATTCGGATACCACGAGACCAATGAAGTCCTCTACGACTCCTCCAACTTATTGATTTGGGAAATGTTAGAGATTAACGTTGGTCTTATTGCAATCAATCTCCCATCCCTCTCCCCATTTTTCAAAGCCTGGCTACAGCCTCTTCGCTCGCCCAACCGCAGTTCAACTTCAGCATCGGCAAACCAGAACCCACCAACGCCAACACCATCAGCCCTCCTTTCAATGTCCCACGCAAATCGCTCCGACATCAACCGCTCGGAAAGCCAGCGCCAGATCATGGACGAGCATAACCGGGATGTTGAAAATAACCCGTATCAGAGACCAACAGCGCCATTCGTGTTCGCGTCGAGCTCGTCGGCAAGATACTCGTCAGACTCGAAAACGAACCTCAGTGAGATTATGGTCCAGATGGACTTTCCACTAGAGGAGCATCCGGCCTTTAAGGAAAGAGAGAAACCGGTGTTACGCCCGCCACCGCAGAGCGCGCAGCAGCCAGTATCGGGAGGGCATAGAAGGATGCCGACTCCTATGTTTAATTAGCGTGTTTTGTGTTTTATGCGTTGATGCAATGATCTGATACTGTACTCACTAGCCTGTACTGCGAGAGTTATTTTATTGATTTTATGACTTTTTTTTTTCTTGGGGGGGGGGGGGGGTTGCGTGTGGATGGGTCATGGCAGCGATTACTTTACTTTTACTTTTACTTTTCACCCTAACTACTACTACTACTACTACTAGCTCTATATATACCGCCAACATATGGGGTGTATATACTTTACCTGCTTCTATTTACTATAGCTATTTCCCCGACTGGATCGTGCAATCTTCAAATTGATAGCTCCTTATACCCTCCACCTAAATTGAATTACAACGAAACACGTTTGTGATAAATAACCCGGCTATCGATCATCTCCTGCCCATCATCCCGCGCACCCTCCCGCGCACCCTCCAACTCTATATCAGAGCTACTATTCAAACATTCAGGGAAAGATATATTCCTAGATTTTTCTAGAAATAACGGAGGTATAGGGGTTATTGCAGTGAGGGGCAGTAGGATTGTGGTCTGATACATGAATTCTCACCCATCGCCAATTTTCGTCACGGAATATCACTCGATGCACGAGTTTTGGCAAATGAGGTAGGTGGAGGGATTCAAATGCCGAAATTCCCATCCGGTGTGGGGCCAAGTTTTATCAGTGGCTATGTTGGGTGGAAATGGATAAGTACATAGTAGATACCGTGGATAGTCGGATCCAGCGCTCATGGTTCCGGAATATATAGGTAGGGCTCCACATTAATTGAAACGGAAATACACAAGAGTAAAACTCGAGGAGATCGAGACATCCCACACAGCCAAAAGACTTACATTTACCCACTCAGTATATTTGTATCTTAAGGTGTCGAAATATGCTGGCCCTTTTGGTGGGGGTCAAATGTGAGGTTTTCCTAACAAATTCGTATCATTTATTCGACCTAGGTCAATCTAAGTAGCTAGAACTTACTGTAGCTTATGAACTTCCACAGAAAAGGGTTAAAATCAACGGCTTAAGGGATAGCCCACAAAACATCTACGAAACTAGCCAAGGACTCTTGGCAGAAAGAAGCAAAAGTCTCAAGTCTCAAATAACCCTTGATTCACAACAGTCGAAAAAAGTGCAAAAGAATGGACCTTGAGTTCGGTACCCAGGATTCCCGCATGGTCACCCACTGCAGTACTAATTGAGCGATACGAGGGTTGAGTATGACAGAGCGGACGGGATGCCCTATTTTCCTCGTTCTATGACCGAACACATGAGGGTTAGAGCGGGCGGCGGTGAAAAGTTTTCTAGTGCCTTGGCATATACCGACAGAATTTCAAGTTATGATCTACAACTCAAACTTCAGTTGATAAAAAGCCTTTTTGACATCAAATAAACATAACTGAAGCTTTTACATCCTATAATATAACCCATAGAGCCGGAGTTAAGTAGGCAGAATAGCTTTGCATTAAAAATAAAGAATTAGTTATCGCTAACCCCAACGTGTTCGGTCATAGAACGAGGAAAATAGGGCATCCCGTCCGCTCTGCCATACTCAAACGTCGTATCGCCTAGTTAGTACTGCAGTGGGTGACCATGCGGGAATCCTGGGTACCGAACTCAAGGTCCATTCTTTTGCACTTTTGCCTTGCAGATGGCAGGTAAGTTGTATATAGGGCGTCAATTCGATTAGGATAAGTACTGGTATATGGTCTTCATCAAGGAAATGACTTCGGTGTCACTATCGTCACCACAATTCCAGCTAGTTGGCCCTTGAACTAAAATGAGACTTTGGGAAATGATTTTTATGCAGCTATTATGCTTATGTCGGTCGAGGTGCAACAGTTAGTACGTAAGGGCTGTGACAAACGGCTAATAAGGCATTTTTTGCTCACTCTTATAACTCTTCTATTAAGTAAGTATAAATATCAATAATACGGAGCAATTGCATCCTCTCTGTCTTGTTTTCAGTAAACCCATTGTTATAAAGCAAATTCTTTTTCGATGTTTTACTCTAGCCTCTTGGCACCCAGCGGATGGCAAGAGAGTTTGGTAGAGGGAAAAATCTAGGAAGAGTTCGATCCACACCCTAAAAGACAAAAAAAAGGTTGCTATGTATACACTCTCAGCTCTTCTTTTTCAAGAGTGTAACTGAAGGGGTACAACATATGATTTGTGACTTGAACCCACGCTCGTTTCCGAACCAGGAATTGGTGTTAAGATTAAGACCCTAACCTGGCGCCATAACCAACTCGGCCATCCTGCCATGATCATGTAGCCCTAACAGGCATTCCAAAAGCATCTGAGCTAGTTCCTTGATTGCGGCTTTCTACAATCGTACAACACCAACTTGAAAGTGGCCCAACACCTCCATAAACGAAGCCGATCCACTGCTTCCACTATTTGCAAAGATAACCTCAGTAGCAGAAAGAGATCCGGGGGATCTTCGACATGAACCTTCTAGTTCGGGCCGCAGACTACAGCCCCTAATATAACGAAATGGGTACGTGCAAAGCCGACTTTACTACTCGGAATAACGGCACTTCATTTTGTATACCATGTTATATCATAAAGACTCGACATTATCACATCACCGCTGCACAGAAACCGATATTCCACAACATGTCTACGCATGATCGACAGATGATGTGTCAATGGTAACTATGTACTGAGGCCTTTGCTCGGAGTAGAGACTTCACAATTATTGGACTTCACGAAAGGTCTAGTCCGCAATTTCCACCTGAGTAGAGTACCGCACACCGTTTCTCTCCCTGAATGTTCCGATAAGACATCGCGGCGTATTGGTCAAGAACTTTGCTCTGGGTTTTCGTGGTCAGCGCATCACGACAGCGAACAATATATTCGCTATGATCGACGAGACCAACGCTAAACCCTAACCCTCGCCTGGTACCAATGATTCAATGATCCACGAGCTGCTTCCTGCGTTCATTTACGCATTCCTCAAATTTTCTTATTTATCCATGATAAGGCTTTCCATGTAAGCACTCTAAAAACCATATGTCGATCCTTTGCTGAGAAAATACGGGGAGATGGGCGGGGGGGCGGACTCAATGACGAGTTCTCGGAGCAACGTACTGATCTCCTGAGCACAAGTAGGAAGCCAGCCATCCAGCAAGGTATCGTGGTTGTGGTTGCTAGCTCCTGCTAGTCGTAGGAAAGTCAAGTACCGGTACACGTCCGCGGGTATCGGGTCAATGAGAACTGAGAAGGCGAAGAAAACTTTTTCCCTTCGTTCTCATCTCGATCGAGATGCAGCTGGGCTGGCTGTCGACCTGTAACCCGTTTGTGAAATTTGTGGACTTTCACATGTTGCAGATGTACATAGAGAATCCAGTCAATCACTACATGCGTCTGATTTTCGCTCAAACCAAAGATTGCATGTTGCACCTACCTATGTACATACTTACCTTCCTGACGTACTTACTCTACGAAGGAGACCAGTTACCGGGCTTGTGTAGGTATATCTTATCATAAGCGAGAACAGTTCGTACCAGGGTTCGAGTTCCACGTCGTGTCCTTTTTATAGGGCTCTGGCCGTTGATTTGGTAGACTTTAGTTTCTTGCTCCACCTAGAAGCTGGCGGTGAGCGAGCAATTGCCGCTTCCATGGGATTTGTTCTCTCTCCATGGCCACCATTGATGAAGTCACATTTTCTTTTTTCTGTGAGTTCAGCTGGCTCTTGCCACATTTACAAGTGGCCCATGGAGTATCAAATCTAGTAGATAAACCCAATCCCTTGAGCCTCAGGTCACAAATGATGGGTAAAAAAGGACATTATGTGGGTCGGTATTCACCCATTTATCCAGCAGGACCGGGGAGGGATTCCCCCTGTCAATACTCTATCTGACGTATGGGTCAATGACGGCCCTATTGTGTGCAGATGTATAAAGTAATTAAAGCACGTGTTATGTGCGTACTGAAGCTCGCAGCTAGCTCTATCTCGCGATGGCCAGGGCGATGATATGGCACACTAACACCGGGTAAGGTGAAAAATCACACTTGGGTTAGATCTAGCTATCAAACTAGCTAACTAGTAAGTTGGATGCGATGAGAATATACCTCTGGAGATATACGGCATTTCGGATAATTAAGCATGTCGCTGGGGGGTTTATGTGGGGCGGTGCTGTAGCTGTCTTTGGCTCGATATATGGGGTCGGAATATTCGCAAAAGTCCTGTAATGAAAAGAAAACAATATCTAACGCAGTCTTTTTTGGAGTTTCTCGGCCGGCTGGGGATATTGTCTGTAGTTTTGATTTCGCCCGAATTTCTTTTTTAATCTATTAGGTTTTTTCGTCCCCCTTCGATCCTGATAACCTCATTCCATTGGCGCTTCCATTAATTGCAACGGTGTAGCTACCAATGATCAGTTAGTAGGCACGGATTATTAATATAGGGTTAGGGCTCTGCCTATACATACCTCAATAATCTATTCTCCACCCAGGCACAGTTAATACTTTACCAGCACCACCCTGAAACATGACAGAGGGAGAAACAAATTGTCGGGTGCGTATGCAGGTGCGTAAACACTCTTCTTTGAACCCGATACCCGTTTCTCGGGGTGCAATGTACAAGCTTAAGCCTGGGTATGGCCAAACACATAGATTAAAATGGAGCACACCTAAAACTCCTCCTCTCGTTTTTTACCTCCGGCCCTTATTCCGTCACATTTTTGATTGGAGCTCCTGCGAATATCTCGGCGCGGGCGACGGGTGGGTACCTGGGTCAAGGGGTGGTTTTTTTCTTCTTCCCTTTCCCCACGTAAGTACATGTACCCTACCCACGACTAGGCACAGGGTTAGGCTTCAGCTAATCAGGACGTGCGTAGCTATATCGTAGCTGCATAGAGTACGGACGGGCACCGGTCCGTAGCGTGCGCATACTCTACCAGGTGCGAGTGATCGAGATGGGCACGCAGGAAAGGAATAGAAAAATAGTTTTGAAAATTCATCTTATTGACTGACCCAGTGGATATCTTGCGGGAGTAAACGTGTAGGGTATCCAAAGCCTTGTAGATAGCGAGAGGCACACATACCTTTCGAGGATTAAGGGAAAGTGGGGGCCGTTTTAGAGAAGAACAGATGATACTGCGCGTGCTTCGCCAGTTGGAATCCTCTGTTCCAGCTGCAATATATTTCCAGCTTCCTAGAAGTGCAGCTATTCGATTCGCGAATTCGGTAAATTCCTCAGCTCTTCTGCTCCAATGTCCGTAAAGCCTTCTAACTACCGGCGTGCGCAAGTCTGCCACTCGCTGTCGTCTCTGTCTCGTATGCTTGAGATAATCAATCAATCGCAAAACTCCCCACGGGGTTAGGGTTTAGTATGGTACAGTTTTCCTTATCACAAGCGAGAACTTGGTAATCTATCATTTACCTGTTCTATGCTGTGCACACATGCACGGATATATACGCAATCTCAGCCCAATATCGGTACAGCCGTTGCGGATATTAAGTACGTTACATATCCACATATCCACCCAAAGCACTATATGAGGTGCTATATAACTTGCCTATCTCAAAGGCGCATATTAAACACCAACTGAATGATTTGATGGTCCATTTAGAGAGTGAAGAGAGCAAAGATGTGATCTTTTTTCCCCTTTCCATCTCCGTGTCTGAGTGAAAGGGTGGGGTGAGGTGGGTTTGTTTTTATGTTCCAGACCGTTCTTTTTCAAACGCATCTGGGGTTCTTTTGAAGATTCCTTCTCCTCCCTCGTAAATTGCGTTGAAGATTTAAAAGTTGAGTTGAGGCGGTTCTGGTGTTCTTTTTCGGATAAAGTATCTCTTTCCGTCTAGCTAGTAGACTGACACCTATGACGGTAGACTACCCTAAAATACTCCTAGGTTCACCCTCGGCCGAGCCGTGATGGGGGAGATACCAGCCCTACGATGTCTCGGATTTCTCGGTACGGAGCAGGGCAGTCCCGGTGGAAAATACTGTTTGTTTGACGTGTTCACAGGTTGAGCTGGGTTGCTATTTAGAGGTAGGTATGTACTTGTGGTTAGACGTTGGACTCTTGCTCCTTCGGTCCCAGGTGGACCTACCCTGGACCCTGTTGATTCAACGGCGCTGAAGGTTCCGGAATAGTCTCTGGAGTGGGGTTGGGGTGATCTGGGGTGACCCATGTCTTACACACGCTCTGATTTTGTTCCACGATATATGGCAGAGCGCGCCCTTTCCTCCTCTATTACGTTTTTTTCGTCAGTGGGGGAAAATTACATTCTTCTGAATACGATGTAGGGAAAAAGAAAGTTGTAGGAAAGCCACACCGTTAGAACTCCATATGCAGGGCAGCGGCAGCGGACTTGAGACACTGTTAAAGCTTAGCGCCGCCAAATTGTCAGATGCAAGATGTCAGAAAAGATGCAAAACCGGGAATAAAATAAAAAGGCATATACATAAGGCATGCCATACATAAGTGATCCCCATACATAAGTGATCCTCATATGTATGCCATGCCTTACACCAACCTTGAATCCTAGCACAAATTAGGTGAGAACACTAATGTTTGTGTGATATATTTCCAGAGTGGGGTTGGTGTTGGTGTGTGCATACAACTAGGTGATAGGATGGAATGCTTGAATCGAGACTGACAAGAAGCGCGTTAGTTCGTAACCATAGGGCGGTTTCATAAGATCGGCCCGAGATTTTTTGATATTTTGGCTATGTTTAGTTATTGTATCTCTAGGAGCGATGGCGAAATGTCTCGTAGGAGGGCCGGGCGAGAGCACAGTGTGAGAGCAACGTTAAACGTTGTACTTTAGCCTCCCCGAGCAGCAGCAGAAGATCTATCTTTACTCGTAATCGGATGGATTGCCACAGCTGTGACTTGTTCGACAGCTCAACCAGGTTTTACCAGGGTGGGGATATAGCTAGGCGATCCTTTCATCAAGAACAATAACCACAGTAGGGAAATAAGGGACGATGTTTGGAGGGAAAATACGGAAGCTGATAAGCATTGGGGTTTTGTCCCATTACCATGTTGGGTTGACCTTACGCGGAAAGTTCCGCCGGAGATTTTCGCAGGCAATAGGAGAATGGTGCATGCATGTATATACCTAGGCAACTCGTTCAGACCAAGCATCCATCCAAGCGAGACCGGCCCGAGGAGGATTTTTTTGTAGTTTGTTTGTGTGTGGCTTTTATTTATGCAGCATAAAGGCTCAATATAGGAGTAATATATCGCTGTGGAGTTACTAGAGAAAGAGGAAATCTAGAACCACTTAGATGGCCCTGTTAGAGGTAAACTGCCCGATTTCAAACCTTCCCTTACTCTATTAATCCTACTTACCCGAGATAGCTATAGGTACATGTACTTTGTATGTTCTTTCGTTGTACCTGTGGCCCGGTCCTGGAGGCCGCGGACCATATGCATATTTTTTCTCTCTCTCCTCACATCCTTTCCATATCCTTTCTTTTCTCAGAAACTAGCTAGTTTCGCTTTCATTATACCTGGTCCTCCTGTCACTACTCGTTAGTTTCAAAGGGCAATTGCAATTTCACCTGGTTTTGGTTTGACATCCAGTTACTTATGGGGAAGGCGTATATTGTTAGTCTGTCTGATTCCTATATATTCTTTCATATCTGCCTCTTCACTTTTTTTTATAAAGTTGCCTACCTATTTTATTACACGGTGCATTGAAGAAAAACAGATACTCTACATTCATATCAAACTATTATCTATCGACGACGTTAGAATACTCCACAAAGATGCTTTTCGAATCCGGGAAACCCCCGATCGATTGTAGAACTCTCCAATATCCCCTCCCAAAGCTAATCAGAACATACGCTAACTCATGATCCGTATGTAAAGACCCCACCAGCATGCCCATATGGACATGGCTATTCGACTCTCCCGCTTCCACACTCACCACATTCCCGCGCTCCAAGGTATGCAGCTTCGTCGACTCAACGACACGTAAATCACTCAACTACAACACCGTCGCCGAGTTCTCCACATATGCCTCCACAGTACTCTCCCGTCACCACGGCTTGCAGCCCGGAGAAACCGTCTGCTTCTTCTCTCATAATACAATTTGGTATCCCGTTGCCATGTTTGCAGCATTGCGCAGTGGTGGCGTGATCTCGGGAGCATCACCGTCATACACAGAGGATGAGATGACGTTCGCGCTGAAAACCGTTAACGCAAAGTATATATTCACCGTCCCCGGCTCGGTCGAGATTGCGGTGGCAGCGGCGGCCCGTGCAGGAATTCCGAAAGATAAAATATTTCTGTTGGAGGGAATGAGGGCCGGATATAAGACTTTGAAAGAGTTGGTAGAAGTAGGACGTAGAGAGCAGACACAGATGCCGGCATTTGACCTGGGAGGGAGGGATAGTGGGGAAGTCTGTGCATATTTGAGCTTTAGCAGTGGGACCACGGGGTTGCCAAAAGCTGTAAGTTTTGCTCTTCTTTGAGCTAGAAGTTTTGGTATTGGTACTGACGGTAGTGGCGTGATGCTATTATAGGTTATGATTTCTCACAGAAATATGATTGCCCAGCTAATCCAAGTAGCCTCTGAGAAGGCATCAGACGTTGACAAATTGATTGCGGCACTGCCTTTTTTCCACAGTATGCTTCCCATCCATTGAGATGATTTTTTATTAATTGTAAATATCTAACAAGCTCTTTCCTTAGTTGTCGGCCTTGCTTTCTCCCTTCACCTCCCCATTGTCCAAAACTGCGATCTGGTACTCATGCGTGCCTTCACTTTCCCCAGCTTTCTGGCGACTATCGAAACCTTCCGCATCCCCGAAGTGACTCTCGCGCCTCCTATCCTCCTCCGCCTTACTCGTGATCCTAGTGTGCGCTCCTACGACCTATCCTGCGTCCGCCGGTGGCACACCGGTGCGGCCCCGCTCTCCCGCGACCTCATCCGCGAGCTCGCACGTCGCTTCCCCGAGGCTGGTATCAAACATGGTTATGGCCTCACTGAAAACTGTGGTGGTGTCACCGTCACCCCAGTAACCGGCTATGGCTACGAGAATGCACACACGGTCGGGAAGCTGCTGCGCAGCACGTCCGTGAGAATTGTAGGAGAGCGTGGGCAGGATCTAGGGCCATACCGGCAGGGCGAGATATGGTGTAAGGGGCCCCAGGTTACAATGGGTTATTTGAACGCTTCAGATGCTACCAAGAACACGTTTATGGAGGATGGCTGGTTGCGGACGGGCGACCTAGGGTGCATGGACGAGGAGGGTACTCTGACCATCACGGGCAGGATCAAGGACCTGGTGAAGGTGAAAGGCATATCGGTATCCCCAGCAGAGATTGAAGAACTCTTGATGGATCATTCGGCAGTCGAAGAGTGCGCGGTTGTGGGAGTGCCTGATGCCGTATCAGGAGAGGCGCCGCGCGCTTTTGTGGTGCTTAAGGAGGAAGCTAGAGCGAGGGGTGAGACGAGTGTTGATGAGGTTGGGAGACAGCTTGTTAGGATGGTGAGAGAGAAGAAGTATAGACCAAAGTGGCTTCGTGGTGGAGTGGTTTTCCTGGAGGAATTGCCTAGAAACCCGAGCGGAAAGATCCTCAGGAGGGTTCTAGTGGCGATGGGGGACCTGGCGGTAGTCGTGGAACCGGAAGCCCAGTTCGAGGAAGAAAGAAAAGGGAGCGGGAACGAGCTCGACCGCAAAAATTCCATGAGAGCTGGGTGGTTTGGTCAGGAAAAGGCGAAGTTGTAGTGAGGAATTGACCTGTTGATGCTTGATGATTTTATCTACTTTTGGGTTTGGGGTGTTTAGGGAAATCATATATACAAAATAGACTGTCATAAAGATATACGCTGGTAGTAGTAGCTAGAATGTCATGAAATTGTTATGAAAATATATTTTCTGTTTTATGCAATTAATGAATTAAACAAAAAAAAAAAATATTTTCTGTTTTTGCAATCCTCAGGGAAGCTTATGGTAACACAGGGTGCGAGTGAGCGTCTGTGTTCCGTAGTGACGGTATGTCATGTGACCGGAATATTCTGCCAAAAGATATCCAATAGGAAAAGTAAAAAAGGCTTCTAGGATGCTAGTGAATCTAGTTCCTTTGTTTTCTGGCGCAGTGATATTTCAAGATATAACCCTCTGTCTTCGTTTGCGCTTCTGCTCTTGGCTGCCGATCCTTTCCCTAGCTATAGGTCATTCTCGTTTTTTTTTCGATGAAGTAGGAAGAAAGTTCCTCCCCACATTAACGGCTAGATTTCCCTTTTGCTTTTCCGGTGCCTAGCCCGTCACGATGATAAAGAGTCCCTGCATGCATGCAAACTGGCTCCGCGGAAAGCTATTACATCCTTGTCTATGTTGGATATCGGTCATGGGAACTTATCACGAGTGCTTAGTCACTTGCAAATTGGAGATCTCTATCAAATTTGGTGTGTGCACTGTGCGCTGTGTCGACAGCTTGTTTGCTTTTCTGATGTCAAATATATCGGTAGATAAAGGTAAGATCAGAGGGTGGATGCTGTCAAGAGTGGATTAGAGTCAGTTATGACGATTTCATTTGAGCCAGAGAGGGTGTCGGACTAAGAAGGAACGTGATCAGTGTGTATGCTGATAACCCACTAAGTGCTCGCTTCCTTCATTGTAGCTGGTACATGCAGCTACATGCTAAATGAATACCAGACAGACGAATCAAGTTTTAAGTTTTTGTTGAATCGTGGCGTGAAAGATGAGGGGTAAGATTCTCGTTTAGGTTGAGAACTGCATGTCTACCGTTATTCTTCTGGTGGCTGGAATAGAACCAATCGAGAGACAGGAAGATGGTGGATGCCTGATCGGACGGTAGAGATGGCCGGAATACAACATATAGAAGTCTCGTGTCTTCTACAATCTGCACGAAGTCATTATAAACATACGACGGTGAAGCAGATACGCGTCATGACCAGGCCTTTAAGTCGAGTACTACAGTTGCACCTCGCTATGCCGGACGGCCAAGATTCACCAAATCCTGTACGGGATAGCAAATATTCCCAAGAAATCCAGGATAGCAAATTGATTTTGCGGTAGAAAAATTTAATTCTCAAGGAATTTTATACGGGACAGCAAGGTATCCGGCATATTGAGTTCCGCCATAGCGAGATGCAACTGTACATGTACTTATGTACGCACTGACGCTGCTACATTTTAAGGGCTTACTTTCATAAACCGTAAAGATACAGTCTAAAAAGCAGGATGAAATCACTATGAAATCACTATGATGTACTACAGTAGCATGTAGTTGAGTGGGTACATTGTATATTTCAAGAGAATATTGCATTAAATGTACAGCGATAGGTGATAAGTGATGGAACGCCCTGAGAGCACAAACACCAAATATTAGTGGCATTTTACCAAAACAGGTATCGCTGTGTTCCATCACTTATTACCTACCGCTGTACATGTAGTTCCGTATTCTAGTACAAATCTCAGCCAGTAAAGTTATTACTTCCTATCAGTACGAGCACCGCTAGTTGTCTCGACCGACAAAAGGAACCTTTATTCGCCCCTCGACCAATTTTTTCGTGGCCCTCAGAATGGGTGTGCATCACGTAGCAGTACATTTGAGGATATACCGCATATGAGCACGCGGTCATTAAAACAACCTGCACCGCATTCTCCCGGCTTCTTTAATCAAAAGACAAGAAAAAGGTTTCTGACAGAAGTGGGACTTGAACCCACGCTCGTTTCCGAACCAGGAATTGATATTAAGAGTAAGACCTTAACCTGGCGCCATAACCAACTCGGCCATCCTGCCATGCGTTCTGATCAAAAATTAACAATCATGAAAGATTTTCTCACTATTAGTATGCTAATGATAAACTAGCAGGATAGATTGCACATGGGGGGGTAGTACTAGACGTACTTGGTCTGGTACTATTCTTGGCGCCAAGTAATATCCCTCACTCATGCACTATCACTCGCAAATCAGATCATCCAGATTTTTAATCGAAATATTGATATGCACTTGACTGCCCTTTGATTCCTCGACAGACGTATAAAAGCTAGCAAATTAAAGAGACATGTCTACAAGTATTTGTTAGACAACCTGATCGCCCCTCACACTTCAGTTTTACAAGGCTCCGAATTAGAAATACAGACTAGAACTCCCGAATACTAGGGCTCGTTCGAATCAACGAGCTAAAACAACTTTTACAATGGTGGAAACTACATGTACATACCTTTTTATTAGTATACATTGAGCCTTGGAAACCTTACTTCTTAGTCTTGTTGACGAATGTGCCCTTACTTGTATACATACATCGCCTCGCTATTCTGAAACGTATAATGTAGTGATATGTACCTCTCGTAACCTAAAAGGGACTTGAATATTTAGTTTCGTACTTACATTGCCCTCAAAACAAATAAGGATACGAACCCTACCCAGGGTTTTCAGAACCTCTATACGGAAGACATTTTCTTCACATCAGACCCTAATAAGTGCCGGAGAAGTGCCGGAAAGTGCCGGGAAGCTCAAAGAAAGACCCAATGACCGCAACGCACAAAAAATGCAAAAGATTAGTTCTTTGAGTTCGGTACCCAGGATTCCCACATGGTCACCCGCTGCAGTACTAATTGAGCGATACGATGATTGAGTATGGCAGAACGGACGGGATGCCCTATTTTCATCGTTCTATGACCGAACACGGCGGGGTAGAGCGGGCAGCGGTGAAAAATTTACTAGTGGCTTGGCGGACATACATGCCGCCAAATTCCATTGGAAGAGACCAAACCTCTACTAGACTTCTTATGTCTGATAATATAAGTGGTTTTGTTTTGAAAGCTACGAGAATTATGCTGAATGGGTACTGGTTAGGGTAACTGCGCTGCGAGTCGTGTCTACAGTCTACAACTGCCCTGCCCACCACAAATCTCCCTTGACTGTAAGATAAGCGTGTTTTAAGGGTTTTATAAGGATTTAGTAAGTTCTAAGGCCTTGGTACATCTTTTGATTCTGTATGCGCACTAAGGGTTTTGTAAGGTTCGGATAGGGCTTAAACTATTGTGCTGCGTGGTTCTAGCAGTAAAGTAGAAAGTCCGGTCTCTTCAAACAAAATTTACCGGTGCCCATCTCAAATCTGCGGGCCCTAGGCCCTTTCTACTCCCCCGACCAGCACCATAGATCTAGACGTTATATGTATCTAGACCTGCATAGTTGATCTTTTATGTTCATAAGCGGAAGGGGTTTAATCACAGAATATCACTCGGACCTTCATATACATCAGACAAGGGCTGTAAACCTATAATTGTATTTCTTTGTCATAATTGATACTACTGCGGTAATTCAATATCAAGATTACGTTCAGGTAAGAGAGAATCAAATTACAATCTAAAAATGTATTTGAAAACGATCAGTAGGACATGAGGGGCAAAATCGAGATTGATCGGGTCGGCCGGGATATCTTAAGATATAGAGTAACTATAACGAGCCCGTCAATCTCGCAAAGTTCTCCGAGACCTATGAACTAAAGAGTCTTAATATTAGCATTGAAACGTCCAATATCACTTCCTCCGGACATCTTGTGTCGAGAGGGGGAACGATGCCTATGTACTAGTAATTCCTGGTGTTTCTAGCTCGTTACATCTCGCTCGACGTACCGTCCTACCTACCGGTGCTCTCTGCCTGGACCCATACATATACATTCTATATGACGGGCACCCTCTGATTTAAAGGTACACTACAGTAGGTGTTGTGGTTACTTATCAGACGGATAAGGCCGCAGATTCAGTGATACTTTTTACGGCCAAAAGATACAAGTAGCGCATCGGGCCCGTTAATACGACCGCACCTAAGAAAAAACTTTCCGTATTCTAACCCCAGTCATATATTAAATCCTAACCTCTTTAGACCATTTGGGAAGCCTCCAAAACAGGCTTTTATATGAGCCGGGAGGTTAAAGAGCCCCCTACTAATACAGCGTCTAAGCACCCTGACAACTCTGCCACAAAGTCTACCTTTTGAATTTGGTGTACAAGTTGTGGTAGTGTAATGGTACAAAGCTCTCACTTGGGTGAGTGGAATCAACGCTGCGAAACAAGTGACAACGACTGAGGTTCGATTCCTCACCACAACGTACAATTCATATTTTTTTTTCTAAATTGCTTGCGCGTATTTTTATTATTGCTGATGAAGACCCATGGCCAGAATACCTCATTTTTGTCTCCCAATTACCAACGATACTGACGGAAGATCGTGGGAGCTCTGGAACACATATCTCAAGTGTCTCTCTTATCAGATCTTATCGAGTCACCACATCCCACACACCCCACACCACAGACCACCCATCACACCGCATCCCCCGCCGTCATCTCCATATTAGTCTCATCAGAAGTGGAGGCATTTCTGCCTACTGCAATACCAAGGTATCTCTCCAGGTAGCTTTTCTTCCGCTCAAAGCTTTGTTCTCTATACAGCAACGTACATACATCATTCCAGAGCACAAGCTGGGCACACGTCGAAGTGGCCCGATGTATGTGAAGAAGCCTTCGGTGCGAGCACAGGCCCCCTCCTCCCCGTTTATGCCACACAACGAAAATAGAATGAGTCTGTATCTCTCCAAGGCCCCTTGACAGCGGAATCTTCTTTACTCAAACCGTCAAGGAATAGTTCCTAGAATCAATTACTTACTGGACCTTTGTTACTCTGGGGCCCGGTTACTGGCTGGGATAGTTACTTTCTAAAGGTCTGCACTATTTGCGTGGTGCGGATCGCTCGGCGGTATCACTATTGTGGGAGTTGGAGATGAAGTGTTCTATGTGTTAATCGGCCGTTTCTCTCTGTCCCGTGCCCAGGCTTCTGATTAGTCGAAAAAGTCGGGTGTGCACTCCGATCATTTCTCATCAAGCGTCAAAGAAACGCGAAAAATACCTACGGTGGATCCAACTCGCAGCGGCAGAGCTTACGAAGCGCGAGATTGAGATTTTCTCTTAGTGCGTGGCAGCTATGCCGTGGTTTGATTATGGTCCGCGATACCGGGTTAAGGGAATAGATATAATACCGTGCGCGACCCGCGATCCCGCATCAGCAACACTGCAGCTGCCGGAGATAGACTTACTCCCAGGTCCCGCCCGCAGCTTGGCCCGCTACGCACCACATGAGGCGAAGTACAGTAAATTACTGCCGAACAGCGGTTTTAGCTGTTTTTTCTGACAAACAAGAGCCGGCTGCCGGTGTTAAACTGGTCCGAGGTACGGCCGTGGGTGGCCGCTGTTCTAAAAATAATCAATGCCAGGTCGGTATATCGGAAAACAGAACCCGGAGCGCGAACATGGTTTGGTCATAGAACTCGGGCCGGTTTGGAAAACCCCAAGTTTGTTGGCGGTTTAAGAGCATCGGTGAAGCAACCTGAAACTCTTTGTGGGGTCGGGGACTTTCAGACGGAAGTAAACACTGGGTCCCGGGTTGGATCATCCAACGGAACAAGGGAGGGTTTGTAAATCTTAGACTTGCTGTAAGCCTGGAAATAATGACAAGTGATGTACCTAATTCAAGCATGACTCAAAGCTACCCATGATGACTCGGGCCGCTTTTGTTGAGTGCTCCGCAGAAAGAGTTTTTGCGTGGTATTTATTTGTGGTTAACGCATGCGAGTGATCGCGCATGACGCCGATTTCACAACATGCGAGACAAAAGTGCCACAACTAGATAGAGTTAAACGTGTCTGCCAAGTACCTAAGGTAGCACACGTAAAGAACAAATATAAGGAAATTTCGGTACGCGAACCAAGAACGGTCCCTGTAAGGCAGCTGGACACCCGCCTTAGACGCAGAAGTGACATTAATGCTAAAAAACTTAATTTCCACCCCCCACACGAACTGAGGGGCCCCGTTCGGTGGGATCAATCGATATGTAATTGTCGTTGCTCGATTGCTGGACCTAATATCAATATTTTGTGTTCGGGTGTGAGATTTCTCAGCATGTACGACCATCGACGCCTAGAAGCGGCTATACGCCTTTCGGCCACCGAAATATGAGCAAAAATCATACCGTCGTCTACCGGCCATTCTTCTGAGGACCGGGCCAAGAGGGGAAGTGCAAAGTCGAACTGCATACGCATAGATGCAACTGGTGTATTATTCCCTTGTCTCATAATCCTCATTATCTCACCGAGATAGTAGGGAATTCATTGGATGGATAGTGAAAACCCTAGCCCTGAAAAACCAAATGAGAAGCTGGGTGCGTGGAGGCGTTGAACACAACCAGGATCTGCTCAAACTACCATGTCTATATTATGCACGGAAGTGCGCCCACCCGGCATGCCGGCCGATTCTCGGCGTTCTTTACTCGATAGCAATTGAAAATGAGTGCGGCTCCAGTCTCAGAAGAGAGAGCTGCTGGTACAGTCGCTCAGCTACTGACGGCGGATCCTGTCTGATGGTTCTGTTTGCAGTAATTTGCCCTTGGCGTCCAAAACCTAACTCTTTTATTGGCCTCAAATCCCTGACCGCCATCAGACAGGATCCGCCTTCACCCCGTGAGTGTAGCATGCAAGATTTGTTGTTGTGTAACATTTATGTTGTGTTAGGATCCTGTGCGTGTGGCTTATTAATTTGGGAGTATAAATTTATGCCGTTCTTGTGATCACACAAAAAATATTAAACGATTACGATAGAAGTAATTCGTGCAGTATTATTCAAGTGCCCGATTTAGCAGCTTCCTAGTTGCCCCTTCTTGGCCCATGCGTCTGTCTGTAGAGCTAGTTCAAGTCCTTTGCCTCTGACAAGGTACATAGGTAGATCCGTTGATCAGATCATAACACATTATGTGGGTATATATGTATCGGCGCTCCAATATGGCAAGTGCTCGAATGAAGCTGTATGCTTAGAATTGACATTGACTTTCATGGATTGCGAATATGATAAAGCTTCGCCTTGAGAGATGTGTATTTCTCTATTACTAGGCCGTTTTTTCATTTATATAGTAGCCTAAGTCACCGGACTGACGCAAGTATGTATTTTCATCATTGACCGCATTGTAATTTTCACAAGACATATGTATATATAAAGCACATATAGCCGCTATATGAAAAATGCAAAGTGGCACGAGACTTCATATATTTCAGCCTTCTAGTGTTTGATTAAAGATGGGTGGATTCCCGATATTTATTCAACTAGGAAGCCATATTGATCTTTGTGAAAGATGATTGGATGTAAACTCCTTTATATGTACGTATCCTGATAGTCACCATCGGAACCCAGCTCCCACAAAGAGTTGCGGCCTTCTAGATATGGTCTGCAGTGATGAACTCAGTGTTTATATGTCGCTCAGTATTAACTCGGATGGTAGGTGTGTCTCCAGCTTGGCAATACATCACGTTGACAACCTCAGTCATTTCCTCCGACGGTGCGCATGCAGCCAACAGTAACTCTAGATTCCTCAAGTAAGCCATCTTTCCGCCCAACTTCCTATTTGGACAGCTGAGAAAGGATTCCATTGGGGTACCAATGATACGCCCCTTAGCCCCACTAAACTTCCCCGCTCCCGGCAGTGGGTGGTTAAGCTTTTGCAAGGGCAGGACACCCATCTGCACTCCTGTGGAAAATGTGGGAAAGGAATAGGTAGTCGAGATTGAGTGTTTATGTGGCGCAATAAAGCATCTAACAAGGATCATATTCTCAAGAAAAACAATAGTATCTGGCCGACGTTGAAATGCGGGGAAATTTTGGTTCCTGAAATTGGCATATTAGGTTTGCGCGGTTAGAGGAGGACTATCAGGCCACTTCCATCTGAAAATTTCATTCTTAGGTGGTGGTATAAAAGGCGCATACCTAAAATAGGATTGTTGAATGTCTCATGCTGATTATTTCAACTCTCGAGCCTTGAGAAGTGGTGAGGTCCATATTATCCATAACCTGCTTTATTTATTCTGTTGAGGTACATAACCCCAAGAGGACTGAACATCATTAATCTGGCAGATTTAGGTTCATGATTGTTATCGTGATTATCTTTTGATGTAATTTCTCCTACGTAAGGAGTATCACTGTTCAATTTTCTTAATCTTGTGGAGCAGATGAATAGTACTTTTAATACAGACACTGCCAGGATGAGCTCGTAGATGTAGGCCTCGGACGCTGAAACTTTCACCGTCCTTCGGATAATATTCGGGCCTAAGTCATTTTAAGAAAGCTGAAGAAGCGTGTTATCCCTCTTCAGAGGGCCAATGATAATATAGAAGGATTTAGCATCCATCAGGCCGTGTGCTATCGTCATTTATCAATCCTTTGAACGAGCCGTTCAATATAAAGATCTTGTCTAGAAAAAATATTGTTCAGGGTGCATGTGGTTTAGAGTATGACTTAGGCCCACTGAGGTTAGTTCTTTGGTTTAGGGATATATATTCATCCGAGCCCTACTAAAGGTTGGCTGAAATAACCAATGAAACAGGGTATGAGGATACGGATATAAATATATATTCACCTTTCGGTCTCTGTACGCACGAACCACTAACTGAATCCTACTAATCATGCTCCATGGGTAAATGTTGGCGGGTGGGTAATCCACGACTTCTAAGAGGCTACTTGATTTTTGATCAAGTCCGGACCTACCGCGAGATATGTAGAGTAGTTAATTTGAATCCGCTCGTCTCAATCATGAAAATCGAATCCGAGGATTACATAGAAAAATAAAAATAGATACCTTGTAAATTTGAATAAGGCAGATACCATGTAACTACCAGCTTCAGTGGCAAACTGCTATCTAGATCGTCTTCTCCTTAAATTCCACCCTTCCTGTTGGATTTTAGGAGCTTAAAACTTGAATAGAAAGAATTTATTACGCCCTGTGACGTATGATAATGGTGATGGCTGCCAGTGTGGGTATGTACCCATCTCATCGCATCTCATATGGCCCCGGTGTTTATTATGTTGTGATGCTAGGTGAGGTTAGTGGCTTCGCTTTCACATGCACTGCCAAGACTTAAATACTGGGGACTTTAAACTCGGCTTTCTGCCACAAGGCAAAGCTCGACGACCACCAAAAAGGAAACAAACAACCCCGGTGCCCCGGATAAAAGCTGCATATTCAACAAAAGCAAAGAATTGTGGGTACTGACGGAGAAACAAAACGAAATAGGCAATGTACAGCAGTTCTGCTACATAGCCGCGGTCTCGAACCGTGGTTATCTGGTCAGGTACGAGTACTCTACCCATGAGCTGCCTAGAAAATCTTCAATAAGAGATGATTGACAGGAGTCCTTGAAGTGAGGCAAAAAAGCTCCAGCCAATCGAGAGCATTGGTGGGGAATGTGTTTCAAGGAATTCGTAGGAATGAGAAAGACCAGGTTCTGGGAAGGGCAGCGAATGAGGGCTGGCCGTGCCAGTAGGAGCTCTACGCAGGGTTCAGAAGCTTAAGGTCTTAGATTTCTTGTGCAACACCATGATGGCTCTCTCCATGTCTTGAATGACGTTTAAGTGAGTGTGAGGCGAACACAAACGTGGGGGTTTGGAGAACTCCCCCCCCCCACACTGAAGAAGGCTCGAAGAGAAAAATCATCTCAAACGGTGGATGAACTCTATGAGCACCTTCCAAATGTATGATCCATCGAAGAAGCTTATCACGATGGAAGGAGAATTTCGGTCTCGAAGACTTCTACAACATAACGCATTAAGATCCTGCAACTTGATGGATTTGAGGATAGAGGAATTGCCCCCCCTGTTCGACAGCCGGGAATACCGAGTTGTCGGGATGGCCTAACTTGTTCCAGAAAAATAGTCCTCCACATCTCGCCGGACGTTTGGTGGTTAACCGCAAAGAAGTACGGCTGGGTCTTGAAACCTCGAATGGACTTTTTTTTGAAATCTTAGACCATCCCGAAATCTCGGTAATATCGGAGAGACCACCTCGCCTTCCGATTATCTAGGTCCCTTAAAGGATTGGGTAGAGCTCACGAAGAAAGCACACTTTGTCGTAGAGGGAAGTCGAGACTCGAAGGAGACGGACTAACGGCCGCCAATGCAATTTACACTGGACATGGACACTTCAAAGGAGGCAGTGGTACCTTTGAGCGCATAGCAGTCAATATTACAAACCTACCCACATGACCATGAAGCTGGTTGCTTGATTCAGAAGGTGAGAATAGGGGACAAAGATCTCACTTGTCGAGAAATTAAAGCCCATATCAACGATAGGTGCCTGGATAACTACGCATGAAACGATCCAATCTTAGACCCAATAGTAAAATAAGTTGACGCATTGTGAGAGTGAGGCTCTCCCGGGAACAACATGTAGTTAGGGTGGGAGAACGTCTGGATCATCAATCAGGCTGACGAATGAGGATTTAAAGAACCCTTACGTAACTGTTCAAGCACCACACCTGCCTTTCTGAGCGATAAGCGTTTCTTATCACTGGACCGTTGAAGTGATGGGTGGAAATCTCGGCGAATTCTGAGAGAGAATACACCTATGCATATATGTACCTACGAAGAAAGAAGAGACGAAGGAGAGGAGGCTAGACGTAGGAAGTCAAAATAGACGAGTGCTTGAGAGGGGTGGAAGAACAATCCCTTCCTTGAAAGACATCACATTGCCCATTTGACGAAGACCTTCAGCTCCAGAATCTCAGAGGCAACAAAATTTCCATCGTTTACTCAACCAGATGCCCTCTCCTTGACCCGAATCGATCTCTCAGCAAAAAAGAAAGAAAGTAGGAAGAAAAAGAAACACCACGATTTCACTAGGACCTCAAACTCACGAAGAGAGAAGGGTACTCAAAAGGGTTCCAAGACGACAACGATTGTCCAGCTGTCTGACCGAGTCCCCTGCAAAGGCACGGTGATATCTAATCTGCTGACTTTGGGGCTCAGAAAGAATAGCTTCTTTTTCTTTTTCTTCTTTTCCTTCTCCTCTCCTCTTGGCCGCCCATCTCTTCCACGAGACTCACCTCCTCATCCATCCGTCCACTCTCTTTCATCCGATCTTGTCCAATACGGATAGTTGCTGATATCCGCCGCTGCACTTTCCCGTATCCCCTTGAGATCCCATTCATACGCCCTATGGAACAATAAAAATTCACCCTCCTCAGCAATCTTTACAATACATTTGCAATGACTACCAAATCTATCTCATCGAATTCAAATGCCACTTCCGGTGTACACAAGCGCCGCCGCCGTGCAACAAATGACGATGGCGCCCATGCCCACGTAGCGACGAGCGACTCGCCACCACCTGTTCCCGCTCAGAAACCATCGCCGCCGACCACCTCCGGTGCTGGTGGGGGGTCCTCTTCGTTCAGAAACGTGAGCGCGTGTAATCGCTGCCGTCTGCGAAAGAATCGCTGTGATCAGAGACTGCCGGCTTGTTTGTCCTGCGAAAAGGCTGGGGTGAAATGTGTGGGGTACGACCCGATTACTAAGAGAGAGATACCTCGAAGGTGGGTAGTATTCTTATAATGATGTCCCTGATGATCCGGGGACTTCTCTCGATTGTTCCGTATCTCTATATTGCGGAATTTGCGGGAAACCCCGTGCTGAACCAACCCGGAGGTGATCTGAGCAGTTACGTGCACTACCTTGAGACCCGATCGGCGTACCTGGAGTCATTATTGACCGCGAACAACATTCCATTCTCTCCGGCGGAATCCTTCCCCGATCTTGCTCCGCCTCCACCTCCTCCAGTAACGACTACCCCCACAACAGCGACATCAACTGCCGTTCCCGAGTTTCCACCCCCACCATCTTCTCAGCAACAATCCCAGACGCCCATCGATCCGGCACTGACCAGTATCGAGATCCCTCGAATTGCCGTTCCAGAGCCGAAAGTTAAGCGCGAAAGATCGCCGCAAAACTCAGATTCATTGGAAGAAAAGAAATTAGATAACCTGGTCTCAGATATCGGGCTTGTGTCGTTTGCCGGTGCAAGCGACCCGAGATATCTAGGCTCCGTCTCAGGCATTTCGTTCGCGAGAGTGGTGTTTGCTGCTGTAAAGAGCAGTGCAACAGGTAATAGCAACCATGATCAATGTAGCACGGCAGCCGACGGGGCATCCGGAACTAGAAGAAATAAACCTAGGATTGGCTCGACCACACGGATTCGCGGCACGAGAGGATTGGGAATCGGAGCTTCCGGGGCTTCTGGGAAAGAGGAAGACCTAGATGTAGATGATGATGAAGACACACAGATGCGGGATTCGTTTTTCGGGCTTCACACTAAACCCACTATCACGCCTGCGCCATTCCCCACAAGAGCATTAGCCCAGAGATTGATCAACCGGTATTTTGAGTATGCAAATCCTCAAATACCCATACTGCATATCGGAGAGTTTGAGGGGGTTCTGGATAGGATATACGGTACTGGAGACAAAAAGATCAGTGGTGGTTCAAATGAAGGCGCCTATGGAGGCAGCCCCAAGGAGAAATATATGCTTAATATTGTGTGTGCTATTGGTGCGGGAATATTCCTGAAAGGGCCCGATGAGGCATCAGACGCGGAGGAATCAGAGGACGAAACGAAGGACGAGGATGTATACGAGTCGCCAAAGGTGAAGGCAGAAAAAGGGAATAAAAGGGGGAGGGCACAAATGCATTACGAGCCAGAACAATACCATGCAGCAGCTGTACTCCATCTTGAAACATTCTTAAGCCAAAGCAAAGGTGGATTGGAAGAGCTTCAGGCAGTTTTGTTATTGGCTGGTTATGCTTTGTTAAGACCAGTTTCCCCGGGGCTGTGGTATATTGTAGGAGTTGCTCTGCGTCTGGCGGTAGATCTTGGATTACATTACGAAGATTCGGATGCTAAGGAAGTAAAAAAGGACGGGAAAGAAGGTAGGAGGGAATGGTCGAGAGAGCTACGACGAAGACTATGGTGGTGCGTATATAGTCTTGATAGACTAGTAAGCACATGTGTTGGAAGGCCTTTCGGAATAGCGGATGAGGTCATTAGCACCAAGGTAAGCACCACCTTTCCCACTAGACTAATTGATTGCGCTGATTTGGTATTATCTTTAGTTTCCCTCGATACTCGATGACCAGTATATTCATCCGACTAAAGGAATAACTCCGCCCTCACCTAATAAAGAATTACCATCCTACAAACTCATAGCGCATCATTACTTTCGCCTGCGTCTCTTACAGTCTGAGATACTGCAGGTTTTACAGCAGCAGTCTCATTCGTTTTCGTTCACTTCCTCAAATGCAACCGCAAATCCATGCGTGAATCCGCCTTTACCAACTAATCCGCCAAGACAGAACGAAGATTACCCATCACATCATCCATATCATCTTCAGACGCCATATCTAAGGGGGTTCAAAACGGTTCAATGCTGGCACAAAGACATTGACCGTCGATTGAAGGAATGGATGGACTCTTCGCCCAAGAGTAAAGACGAAACGGGGGTGTCGTTCTCACTGGAATTTCTAGAACTAAATTACTGGCAGACGAAGATAATGCTATATCGACCTTGCCTATCGGTTCCAGTTCTGCTTGCAGGTGAACTGGGAGGGAGCGGAAGCTCTGCCAGGGGACGGGCGGCGGAACGAGGGCTAGGAGGTAGAAAAGATCGTGTAGAGAGGGCTGAAGAAGAGGAGAGGGTTTATCTTGTTGTTGCCGAGGCTGGTAGTAAGGTATTAAGACTTTACAGGCATTTGCATAGAGTACACCAAGTAAACTACACGTTTTTGGCTACTCATCATCTATTCATGGCTGGTAAATAACCACTCCCAAGCACCCTCCAACGCCCTAGAGACTTGACTAATAAGAACAGGGATTTCATTCCTCTATGCTATATGGCACTCACCTTTAGTCAGGTCCCGTCTCTCCATGGACGAGGTCGACTTTACGATTTTGGCTGCTACTTCTGTCTTGGGCGATCTAGTGAATAAGTGTCCACCCGCTGAAGCTTGTAGGGATGCATTTGAACGCATGTCAAGAGCTACAGTCCAGATGTGTTTGGCAGGGAAACGAGGGCCAATAAATAAAATATTGCCTTCAGGAACATTGACTCATCACACGGGTGTATCCGGAGCAACTGGAATGACGGCCGGGATGCAGACAAAGGTCCAGGGAATGACTCCGTTTCAGCATGATGAAGATGGAGAAGGGGAAGATGTGGAAGAAATTGAAGGGGAAAATATACAAGAGCGAGAAGCAGATATCAAGTTCCCGGATACAGATTCGATGGTATTCAAAAACGAGTACCCTTCGGAATTTCCGCAGATGCACCAACATCAACATTCACAACAACAACATAACAGCAGGCACGGAAATGGATACTCCGCGACACATCAACAGCAACAGAATCTTGCTCAACAACCCCGAAGGGGAATGATACATTTTGACGATGGATTTCGAGAACTTTTTACTGCAGCCTCCGCAGGAAACCGCTACTCGAATCCCAACAGCAGGAATACTAATAACAATGTTCACCCCCACGTTCAGCAGCATCAACAGCCCTCTCCCCAACAGCAGCAGTACGGCTTATCACCCACACACAAGGCCGAATCTATGCAGCAAACGGCTTTCCACCCCCCGTTGTCATATAGCAGCGCGGAGCAACTATCACCACATCTACCGCACTCTCCACACCCACACCAGCAACAGCACCAAAATATGTGGAACAAACACCAAAGCCACATGACACATTCGTCCGCTGGCTCATCTCCGCCCATCCTTGCAGGACCTGGCCTACCATGTTCTGGACTGGCTAGCGAAGGCGAAGAAATGATGATAGATCCACAGTTGCAGTACCCACTGGACAACGTACCGTGGGGAAACCTGGATATGGGCACGTTTGGACTAGGAGGTCTAGACTGGGAAGGTGACAACTGGAGTGATAGCGGCAGCGCTGCGGGTGGAATCGGTGGCAGCAGTGGTAATCCAAGTGGCATGGATTTGTTTGATGGGTTTTTCTTTGGAGGTGGGGGTTCAGGGCATTAGTATTGAAGATTTCTGGAGTTCGATTTGAAGGTTTGGTTTACGCTTAGTATCTCTGACAGCTCGGTTCTTTTCACGGTTTTTCTTATGACGGTGGGACCAAAATAATCTCTGTTCATTTTTTGTGTCGTTCATAGGTGTGAAGTAATGTTTTTATTGGGGTTTTTTCTTTCTTTTGACACGAGGGACTTTGTTGATATTTTATAGCTAAAAATTTCTTTTGTCGTGGAAGTGGAGCGGCGGAAAAGTGAGGGTTGGTAACAAAAAAAAGGAGCAAGCGGGGATGGGACCCAAAAGCAATTGATGACTATATGACTCTGTATTGATATAATGATACCCATTGTTTTTTTGTTTTTTGACTCATATTTCTAGATTTTCTATGTTTTGTCGGGACTTGTAAGTTTTAGTGATGTTGAATAGGAATTGTCTAAAAGTATCTTTAGAATTTGGTCTTGGTATGAACTACCTTATGAAAGTGGCCCTTCTTTTGAGCCGTTTGAAGTTCGTTCCACAATCAGGAGATATTACTCGAAGCACGTGCTCAGTATGAATGACGAACACCCCATATGGCCTAAATATTTCGAGACAAAGGTAAACCAACCTAGCCTATCAGTGATAGCAGGTACTCATATGGTGGTAGTTGGACAGCCGCGTATCGTCGATCTATCTATTGGCAACTTACTTCAATTACCTACGAGGGTACAAAACTCACTCACAAAAGTCCAAGACCGTCCAGAAAGCGAGTCCTCGCACTTTACGAATAGCTTGCCGCCGCTTCCGGAACGACATGCCCATTGTTCATAACTAGACTGGTGTACGAGCTGTGAATTTTGCAAGTGTCGAGTGCCGATGACCATATCAGTTCCTTTGGAACCTATAGCTAGAGTTGTGACCATCAAGGATCACCCAGTACTTTAGTCAAGCATACGGGCCATTCAAACTATACGGGTTTATTCTCAACTAACGTAGTAAGCACAATCCAGCAGCTAATCAGGACTGGAAGTAGAGGGATAACTGAATTAAAGGTATGTAATTATATTACCTACTCACCCCGCTGTGGCCTCGAAATCCCGACAAACCCCACCGTCGATGGCGCCAAATATACCATCCCCGGAGCCCATGCAACCAAATCCTTAACATTACGTCTGGCGAGTATCCTCACAGATTAAAAAATCTTTCAGTAGTTGTACACGCGGATCTCCTCTCAATATGCCTCAGGATCAATGAGGCGACACAGCCCAATGGCGGCTGCTTTACAATTCAAATCTCAAGACCAGTACACAGTGTCTTCTTGTTGCCTGCAACACGATTTTACGGCCGCGATAGGAGGCTGTACTAATAGAGAGTTCCCTGAGCTTCTTCAGTGGCACGCGCAGAGTCGACCGTGTTGCGCTTAATTCGTGGTGCTGGGGTCCTCAACGAGAGGGCCGGCAGTTGTAACTGAAGTTGTGATGTGGGTCTAGTCTAGGTAACTTATACAATTGAGAGATTTTGAAGGCTGGACCCTAACTTCACCATCTCATGCTAGATCTGTCCTTTGCTAAATTCTCTATTAGCTGTATGGATTATGTTTTTCTATATACATAACCCATCTCTAGATCTAGAAGCGGCAGCTTACATTATGAATGTCCATCACTCTCTTGTTCGTGGGGACGAGTGATCTGTGGTGATGCTCCCGGCGCACAAAACACAAACATCCAACAGAACGTGGTGCCCTTATCTCCATTTTTCATGAAACAACGGAAAACAGAGAGCTTGCCAGTATAGGGGTTGCATTCCCGCGGAATCTTTTCTCCCGGCGCTCCCAAACTCTCACTCGCAGAATCGCACGAGCCCACCCAACGTAACAGTGCCAGCAACAAAGCGCCGTCGAATATCGCTGCAGCTACCCAGTTATTCTTTCTTCCCTGGCGCTTGTTATTCGGCTTTACAGTTCTACATAACTGCCCTTCTTTGGTGGTCGGGCGTCGTCGAGGGTCGTGGTGGTTGGTCAGAAGTGAGTTTTTTAGGCCCTCGAGAATTAATTTATATGTAGATTTAGTTATGTGCAATATATTATGGAGGAGGAAAACAGACCTTCTGGACAGGATAGGAGATGGGTTATCGGAGGATTCACGGAGTCTGCTAGTGCTATAGTTTATAATATACTTACGGGAAGCAGGCTATAGGAAGTAGGCAGATTTAGTATCGGTGCTCCCCGAAAGCATTTAAGCTTTGCACTATATAGAGTGGTAAGAGTGGTATATATATATATAAAAATGAAACTCTTACGCCACATGATCTACAACATGTGGTGCGTGGGGATTAATTGGTACACATGTACCTACACGAGAGAGAAAAGTCATCCAATAGTGTTTGTATATACGAACTGGGGCATCTCTTTCCGTTTCATGTCCAGCTCAACGATGGTATTTTGAGTGGCTTCCAGACAGAAACTATCTATAGCGGATGTCGGCACATCCCATTGAAAATATTTGGGGCTTGCCGTATATGCCGTGTCACCTCATCCTTAGTAAGAAGAGTGCACTTTATTGTGGCTGAGCTTTCCAGATGAACGAGTACCTACTCTAGAGGCATATCACAAAACATCCCCGTGATCTCCTGTACAGGCAAGGTTCGTGAAAAACTCAGAACCGGGAACGGACGCTCCTCCGCGTTGTCTTTCGGGATTTTTTCGGGAAATTTCCCGCTACCCCTGTAACCTTAACTCAACCACGAGTTGTACCACCTGAAAATGCAGCGTACCTAGGATGGTGAAGGGCCGGTGCGCCCACACTTTTGGGGGGGGGGGGGTATTCTAGGGACCAGACGTTGTATGCGGTTTTGGAGAGAGTGTGTGGGGTGTAGGTCGGGATAAGTGGATTGGATTGGAAACTACACCGATATTGTACCGCTGGTGGTGGTGTACACTTTACACGGGTTTTGTGGAGGTATTATTACTTGAGTACTCTACTTGGGAGAACGTGGAAGTGCAGTTTACTATCGCATGGCATTCAAGCCGCAAATATTTCTAGAGTAGGCGCAAATCAATGAGCGACGTTGTTTTCCGGTTTCTTACGCCTACTCTGACCAGAGGAAAGTAAGTTCTGGACACAGAATAATATTTGTTCCGGAAACGGTTTAATTGACTTGCCAAGCGGTAACTAACACTGCTAGTGATGTCTTTGCCAAGCCTTATACGACACCTCGAACTCAGTCAGCACTTTTGCAACTTGAGATATCGACTGATTGGTGTATTCCTCTACAGCGCTTGGGTACGTTGTCTTTGGGATCACCCCAGAAGAAGGAATACAGGGGCTCGTGGGGAGAGCATACGTGACAGTCTCATCCACGCGGAAAGGAAAGGTGTCTAGTCCAGATTACAACTATAAGAAGCATCTATATCCTCGTAGGCCAATCAATTTATCGTCCTGTCTCGTCTCCAGTTTGGGGTCGAGACAATTCATCGAGAACAGCAGAGCCTCTTGTGGTCCGAGGAAACACTAGTCTACTGTCCTGACAATAGTTCGAGCATAGTATGGCACCCCTTTCAAGTTCGTAGGGTTAGTGCCACCGTTGGTGTACTTCTTGCGTCTTTGGCAACAGATGCAAATGCAAGGTCTTCCAAGCTTACTAGTACACCATTCATTATGATTTCCGCACACTTAGAGACCGAATAAAACTGTGTTGAAACGGTCAAAGCAGCCGACATTCATATCTTCCCAGCGGGCTAGAATTCAATTGGCTGACACCTTGCAGATGATGACGTGTTAAGCCAGCGGCTCCCCCCTCCTTCCTCAGAGTGAAAAAAAGTACGAAGGGTGATTCTTGAAACTCATACAGTGGGCCACAAAACGGCGTCTTCCCCTCCCCATACCAAGACTACTTCTCTATCATAAAATCAAACGAAAAACTGGTTTCTTCATAAAAAGAATTAATTCCCATTACTCTGGTAAGTTTACTTGAATCATGCTTGGTTGCATCGGGGCTTACGGATAGATTTGCAGCTGCAGGAGGTAAATTAAAGGTGGAATTCAAGTGTGACGTGCCCTCAGCGTCTGAAAATTCGTCCATCACACTACTTTCTGTACATCAGTCCTATATTGGTGCATCCATCCCCATTATTCAATCATCAACATTACACAATGATGGCTCTAATTATAACCCCCGATGGGCCCTCAACAAACGACATCAACCACTGCACCAGCTCCAACTGTCTCGACGTTGACTCCTGTCCTAAACCTTATTGCAAGCCTCAAAACACCTATATCGGGGGCCAATCCCCAACCTCTGTGATCATCAGAACTCAGGAGCAACTCGATCGAGAGGGCATGGAGCAGTCACACGTTATCCGTAGAAGACCAACGTGTAGGTTCATGAACACGGCATTCTTCAAAGATTTAAAGGCAATTGGTGGAGCGGAGGATCAAGAGGCGGAGCAGATGGATTATGAAGAAGAAGAGACAGAAGAAGACGACTACAACGATGAAGAAGACGAAGAAGAGGATCATCGTCCTCTGCAACTGAACCCCCTGGGAAATGATCTCCCACCAGGACATAACCCTCCACTTGGATTCGGGCATCCATCCTGGGAACCGATCGGGGATCTCGCTGTGCAGGAAGCGGAAGAAATTATTTCTAGTCTCGAAATGATTCCCGAATTACCAGAACCTCCGGACAACATATCGGAACGTCTCCTATACATTGAACGGACCATCAGCGCTTTGAGTGGGGAGACCAAACACTCTGAGCCCGGTGGATCTCAAACCCAGTCTGAAGGATCACAATCTCCATTTGACGAATGGTTGACTGCATCCGATGCCTCTTCCCAAACTTCCTGGGTGACCCATGTTACCTCTGAGCAGCGTCCATTGTGGGGGGAAACCAAACCGATCAGCACTAAGCTCATTATTTCTCGATTGAACGAGGAGGAGCCTAACGACCCAGAGGACCTGAATTTGTACTACCTCCCGGACTTGAAAGAGTGGCGTCCGTTCCCTGTTGAGGTTGAGGCTTGGAATGCACCGGAGCCTGTCCAAGTCTTGAAGAAAAAGTCAAGGGTTAAGCGCATTGCGAGCGCGGTTGCGACGAAGATCAAATGCGGTGCTTATGGCTATCGTGCTCATCATTCTCCACTTGATAAGAGACTCATTTCCATGCCAGTGGAAGGATCCAAGAGGGGGATGATTGAAGCTCTTCTTGAGGACAAGTAGGGACCTCTGTGTCGTACTCTTTTTTCTTGTTGATATCCATATAATATTTGGGAGGTTTATGATCTGGAGCTTTTATTCTTGCTTTTTCGCGGTACATTTTCTGTATTGTCTCATATCGTTTTATGGGGGACCTTTCATTGCTCTTTTCTGGATTACCATCTTCGGTTTTATGATAGCTCATTTCTTTTTCATTTTTTTTCCAACGGGATTGGTGCTCTCTTTTATGCCTGTTTACGAACTTCGATGATGCTTTTATGATTTTCAGATTGTATTTTTTCCCCTCTGCTTTAGTCATGTTTACTTACGATCTTACATGTAGTTACTGTTACTGCTGGCTGGGTTTATCTTCATCTTTTCGCTTTCTCTTCCAAAGTTTAAGATAACTTCTGGCTTTTCTTTTCTTTTCTTCTTTTTTTCACTTGGCTTCGATGATAAAATGTCTAGAATTTGACCAAGACGTTGTATACTTAATTAAACAGGGACATGCTAGAGACGTGGCTCTCTCTTGCTAGGAATTGTTATCCCACTTATCTAAACCCGGTCTGACAGACCCGATGTTCCGGAATTCGCTAGGATTTGAGGATATTGGGAAGGAAGCCAATTGGCCTAAACATGTACTAAGAAGAGCGGGAAAAATGAAGAATCGAGGTTCCTACCAATTATGTGCAGTGTCTCATACTTGATTTCCAGTTACTTGATTGGCCAAAACAGTAACCCCGTTGAAATGGTCACTCACCAATCACATCAGCAATGAAAATCACCTACTACGATCAGCCGTCATACACACATATAGTCTACTAGATGAGTCTAATATATTTCAAGTTAGGTTTAATTTACTATATACAAATGACTCCTCAGAGGAAATGAAATATTCATCCAAAGATCGTGCTTATGTACGCCCCTATAAGGAGAACACCTTTTTCCCAGATATCATCTCGCTTCTCTCCCATGCTCGGCCTCACAACAATTCTCTGAGCTTACTTCTCCTACACCTGGTTCAGAGCTGTAACTGCTACGTCTTGCTCTACCCTGAGCTCCCAGGTCCACCGATAGCTGGAGTGCTTGCTGGATAGATGAACCTAGATCTTCCACCTCTGAACGCTATCCTCTACCCTTAAATGTATAACCCCCATCCATAGGAGGCATCAACCTCGTGCAACAATTGCAATCACCGGATATCACTCGCAGATAATTGCTAGTCATAAGAACGGGCAATGGTGTAATATGTTTAGTGTAGTCCAAGAAGCTGCTCGAGGCGATCAGAGACTAGCACCCCGAGGTACCCCTGTCTCGTGTGGTTTATGCCTTTGCTTGCTCGTGTAGAAGGGGTTGATGCCTCGAGCTGCGCTCGTGGTAGATCATTACTATAATTAGACCTGCATGTCGACGTCGAAGTAATACCAATATCCACTTCAAGCGAAGCAACCTTAACAGGACTAAACCGGGGAGTGCAGGAATAATGGTCGAATATCACTATAAAAATATCAATTCACCCCACACATGCCACCAATACTAGTAGGATTATCTGAATCTCAGATAGTTTGCCTTGTAGACCCATGCCTTGAGCTCTCTCGAGGTAGAGGCCCCGAGGCAAGGCCTCGAGTAGCAATATCTCATGGGCTACACTACACCACGTAATAGTAACAGTGAATTCCTCAGTCAAGGGTAGGGAGATGTGCCCGGGTCTATCTTCTTCTGAAGGTCTTTGTGTCGATCCAAGAGATAGAGGTTCGCGTTCGTATTATCCAAGGCTAGTGGCCGGGTTAATACCGGCGGCGGCAATCTTAGCTTTCTAGAAATTCTGGCGAAATAAGTGGCGTCAGCTGTAGCTATAAAGCAGCCAGAAGTTTGAAAGATGTAGGGGCGTGTACTAATTCCTATGCCCTAATGAGGAGGGAAGGGGAACCATGAAAAATTTACCCTGACTCGAGACATCATTCGAATTCAAGCCTGTCATTGCTGTCGATCATCATGTAAAGTGAAATGGAGTCTCTCTGATACTGCCCTATCCATGGTCTTTCTTAGCTTTGCAAGCCTGTGATTCCAATTGGAGCACATATTTTTGTGCGCCATAAGTACACCAGCACGCGCAGAATGGTGAAAGATCTATCTCCGAAACAGAATTCCTAGGGGCGAAGGCCGAATTTTTTCCTTGGGTCAGCAGAAGAAAAAGCGGACACTGTGGCAGCTTTACCAGCGCTTCCGGCTGAAAGTCGTTAAGAATACGTTATGTCCGCGGAAACTCCAAGGGTTATAACCGCCCTCCCTCCCCATAAATAAAAGAAATTGCCGCCGCGCGGCGATCCCGATGTATTGTAGGACCAAGGAAGGGCTTTGTAAGAGTCGAAAGATTCATTTGTGAAACGGAGGAGAAGTTGGCATTGATGGTTCGCTAAACTATGAGTGGTTTTTGCCTATCCGGAACCTAATTTAGGCGATGCCCATAGACAGACTCTGCCTCGGAGGCTCAGGGCATGAGAATTGCATAAATCGAGTGATAATTCATGTGAGGACTGCAGTTGTTGGCTGCATACTTAGCTAGATCATTTAGAGAAGGTCGGTGCGTAACTCGGCAAGGGGCGCAGACACTAAGCCTCGCAGGAGACACTAGCGACTGATCACGTGAGTGGGTGCCCGGGCCAGGGGATTAGATTCAGCTTAACAGCAGAGAGCAGATAGGAGTGCGTTATATACATGTATTTACATGAATAATAAATTGTTAAGATCGAAGACCTGATCAGATAGCAACCCAGCTGGCCAGGTATAATTGTAGACATACATGTATGCTTGTACAGTGGGCAGAATTAATGTATCAATTAATCGTCAATACGAGTGATATTTCGTGACCCAGACTGCTACTTGAAATTGCACTTATATATCTGAGGGCAGCTTGATCTTGCATAAGTACGTATAGTTCTCACCTCGGTCACGTGGCACGTAAGTTATTCCTCACCTCGGCGAGGTGACTTACACATGTACATGTAGTTCTCCACCTCGGTGGGGTGGCTTATACAAGCTCCTCACCCCGAGGAGACAGCGAGTAAGGTATTTCAATGTGGATACATGCATGTACGCATACTTCCAACCATCAGTAAGGCTTAGAGGGCTCACAGTCATCGCAGACGATATATTTCTCGCCGTATGGTTATACCTTGACACATCCAGCACGCAGGGTTGCTTTCGTTTCTCCGAGGCATGAAAGGGGAGTTGAACAGTGAAAAGCTCTACGACAACATATAATGGTTCTTAAGGTCTACCATTGTGCCTCAGTTTACATATATGTGTAGTGTTAAGAGTAAAGAGAAAGAAAGTCAATACATAAATACACACATAGAGTCCGGATCCCTTAATCGAAATCTAAGAAAGCTGTGCATATATTCCAATATGATCTTTCCTCAATTCACATCTATTTCTGTGGTAGAATCTCCCATGAATATCGGATCCTATATGTCGTTGCTCAAATCATGGGACATTGAAGGGACATCCAAACTAGAGATTGATATTCAAAGCCACTTTCGTAATAAAACAGCAACCCCCTCTCAATTGCTGCCGCCCGCCTGGCTATAGCCAGAAATGCGCTAGCCGCTCCCCACAACTGAGCTCCCTTTTGCCCAGCTATTCTTCCACCCCACTCTCTTTCCCGCTTGTTCCCATTTTCTCTACAAGCCCCATAATTCTGGTGAGGTTTGCCTTAGAAATTATTGATCATTCTTCAGATCTCCAAAAATCGCTCCCCTGAAGTAATTAACCTCGTCCGAAGTAGGTGGAGGTAATGATCTCCGAATTTCCCACTTGCTATCGATTATATATCAATTCGTCAGTGTATTGTTCTTGAGCTCACAAGGGATTGCGCAGGCTTTATCACGTACTGTGCGTGTGCTGTAGATTAATTTCGAGTTAAAGAAAATTCAGAGCAACGATCGATAAGTAAATAACCATGATTGATCTTCCAATGATTACCCTCGTTTTTTTTAAACTAATTCTCATTCAGCTAGCCATGGAAGACCAGAACCAAGCTTATGGCCAGATGAACGCCACAAACAATTCTGCAAGCGGTGCCGAACACACCAACCAAAGCCAACCGCAAAAGATCGAAGACCAAGAACGCCCTGAAGGTCGCCTTTCAACCACTCAGGAGCAGCCTGAACGAGTCAGGTCCCATCTAGCGAACCGTAAGCATATATCCTCCATAAAAATAAAACAAACAGAAAGAAGAAACATGGCTAAGATCTTCTAGTTCCCCCAAGCGCTTCCACCAATACCCACCACGCGCGCTTCTCAAACGCCAAGAGCCTCGATTCGGCACCTTCAACCACACCCCCACCTACTGAGTGGGAGAAATATTTCGAGGCTAGGTCCTCCCGCATCCGCAAGGAACGAGAGAGGAAAGCGGCAAGCACTCAGCGTGGGCCCGGGAGCTACTGGCATGAGCTGCTGCAGGAATACCGGGACATTCCTCCTCTTCATGAAGAAACGGAGGAGGACCGACTTCAGTCGGAAATCATGAGCCGGAAGAAAAGGGACCTAATGGAATCCCGCTCCAACGGTTCTGGAAAAAGGTTTCGCTTTTGGGAAAGGTGATTCGGGTGTAAACGCACCATCATGTAAGTACGATGTATATCAGCTCGCAGCTAAGAATATGTGCTGATGTTTTCTCAGACGTTCTATCTCGGTGAGGTACAATTGGCCTCTAAGGTTAATTTCCCCGCGCAAAGTAGTAAGTTCCGATCCCTACATGGTTTTCTATAGCGGCTTCTTCATGGTTTTCCACCCGACTAACCTAGATAAATCGCAGGAACGGTTCAACATATATTTTTAGTCCACTCTCCTTTCAGTATTTTTTTAAAAATAGGAGAGTTTAGAAGGAATTGGGGTAATAAAACATAGCGGTTTCTATGGGTTCTAGGTGTTCGATCTAGCTTGTGTGTGCTCCCAACTTTTGATAAACTGGCGTGAGGTATAATATCGTGACTGGCCAATATTCTCCATGTTTTTATTCTTCATAGACTATTCATAAAGATGTTATTTGGCTTAGTATCTATATATTAAGCCGCGAAGAAGCTTAAGTACTTTGGGATCACTTAGATACATGACCACCACCTTAAATAAACCGAGGCCTGCGTTGGTAATAAAACTTGTAATTAAAACCTTAAACACCTCCCAGCGTATGCGTAACTACAGTCTTAGAGGTTTACAATTGCTAGTCTTGAAGTTAAAAGAAAAAATATGTTTCGAAGCTCTGTTATGGCATATTCAGTAGTCTCCACTCACACGTACTATTTTAACAGAATATTAGTTAAGCCAAAAGAAGAGGTGAAGTCAAGTTCTGCTTGGCACACATAAATTTAGCGTTGTGAAACCCAAGAACCTAGTAGCCCAGCAGATCGCTTGGCGAAAATTCCCACTACAATCCAACTGCACCCCACCATCACAGAATTTCTTACTATTCACCCCATTTCACCTACAACCGAGAGCTCAAGCAACAATGGGAAGGAACAACAGGAACAACTGGCGCGTATGTTTCCCTTATTCTTTTAACTACCTATGGAATCTTCTGGCTGATCAATTCTTCTTCAAAACAGTCGAGGAGAGGGAATAAGGACGGACAAGGCTCTGAGTCGAAGGGCGCGGACACACGCGGCAGTGCATATGTCTCGATCCCAACAGAGAATGAAAAATATGAGAAGTTTTACAAGGAGTCTGGCCTGATCCCAGAAGAGGAATGGGAGGAGTTCTGGAGCACGTTGAAGAGAACTTTACCGACTACCTTCCGGTTCACTGGGAGCAAAGGGTAGGAAATTTTTTTTTTGTTCTTATCTTATAGCTAGACTGGAGAACGAAACTGACTAGTAACTATATAGCAATGCTCTAAACGTTTTGAAGACACTCCAAGAAGTTTACGTCCCCCATCTCTCAGGAATCATTTGGGAAGGCCAACCCGTCGCGCCTCCCACCCCGCTCCCATGGTTCCCTGACAATCTTGGTATTTATTTCACTCTTAAGTTTCTAGAAACGGTGCTAAACTAGACTCTAGCATGGCAAATGACCGCCGGAAAGGCAGTCATCCGTCGCTGCGCTCCCTTCAAGAAATTCCAGAATTTCCTTGTCGCCGAAACCACAGTTGGTAACATCTCTCGTCAAGAAGCAGTCTCCATGATTCCACCACTATTGATGGACATTGAGCCGCACCACACTGTTCTTGACATGTGTGCTGCCCCGGGATCAAAGACGGCACAGCTCATCGAGGCTATTCACGCTGGTGAGGAAGCACGCGTCGAGGCGGCCGTTGCGCAGGGGGACAAGGTGCCCGAAGGGAGTCCTGACAGCGGCGGGAGACCTACTGGTCTTGTTATTGCGAACGACGCAGACTACAGGAGGAGTCACATGCTGATTCATCAGACTAAGCGTTTGAATTCCCCGAACTTGATCGTTACCAACCATGATGCGACATGGTTTCCTAGCATTCGGGTTAAGGAAGAGAACGGAGCTGTGGAGTACCTGAAGTTCGATCGTATTCTTGCAGATGTGCCATGTACTGGTGATGGTACGCCAAGGAAGAACTATGGCATCTGGAGGGACTGGACTCCCAATGGTGCTTTCAACCTGCATCTCACTCAGGTCCGAATCTTGGTTCGTGGGTTGCAGATGCTGAAGGTCGGTGGAAGAATTATTTATTCGACCTGCTCAATGAACCCCGTCGAGAATGAAGCCGTACTTGCTGCTGCTATCGATAGATGCGGTGGTGTAGAAAAGGTGAACATTGTCGACGTCAGTGACAGGCTGCCAGAGTTGAAGAGACGGCCTGGTGTGTCTGAATGGAGAATCTGCGACAAGGATGGTGCCTGGTTCTCCACCTGGGAGGAGGTAGAAAATGATAAGAAATCCGTGGAGCGAATGAGCAGAATGACAAGAGAGATGTTCCCCACCGAGAACAAGAAACCCCTGGATGACTCAACGAGGATACCTCTTGAAAGGGCGATTCGTGTCTATCCCCATCTTCAAGACACTGGCGGATTTTTCATCACAGTGTTAGAGAAGAAGCAGGAGATCAGGGCGATCAAGCCTGAGACAGGCGGAAGAAAGAAGATGGCCGCCATGGCCAAGGCCCAGGCAGGCAAAGAAATTGATGGGGATGTAGCCAGCGAGGCTCCTGAGGCTGCTGAAGGCGCAGAAATTACGCCCGGAGAAACACCTGCACCAGTTACCCCCGCTGTAGTAGAAGAGTCGGTGCCTTCTGAAGCTCCAGAATCCCCCACAAAACGCAAAATCGAGACTGTTGACGCCGCCCCTCCTACACCACCAGCGGCCAAGAAGACACGACTAGAGGAAACTGCTGAGGCAGAACCCAAGGGCGAAGCTTCTGAGCCATGGGCTTCAAAGAAGACCAGTGAAAAGACAGAGGCCAAACAAGAAGGTGCTCCCCAAAAAGTGGGCAGGAAGAACGGCGGTCAACCAATCGAGGAGCCTTTCAAGTATCTCTCGCCCGAACACTCAGTAATCAAGCAAATATTCGACTTTTATAGTTTATCACCACGCTTCCCCCGCGACTGTTTTCTCGTTCGCAACGCGGAGGGAATCCCAAGTCGTGCAATCTACTTCACGTGCAACCTGGCCAAGACCATTCTCACCATGAATGAAGGGAAGAACATTAAGTTCATCCACTGTGGGGTCAAAGCGTTCTTCAAACAGGACGTCCAGGAGCCTGACGTATGCCCATGGAGAATCCAGAACGAGGGACTTCCAATCATTGAAGGTTGGATCGGCGAGGGCCGTGTTGTCCGCGCCAAGCAGAAGAGCACCGTCAAGGGTCTCCTCAAAGAGCTTTTCCCGAAGGTTAATGCTGAGGGATACGAAGGCGATGCCAGTACTATCGCGGAGATTGAGGAACAGGTCAGAAACTTGAGCATGGGATGCTGCGTTCTCAAGGTCGAGAAGGGCACTGGAGAGGAATCATTTGCGGACCCTCTAGTCCTGCCATTGTGGAAGAGTCGTCACAGCTGTAACCTCATGTTGCCTAAGGATGAGCGAAAGTAAGCTTGCCAATTTTTTTTAGATTGTGATAATAGGCAATTTCTAACAAAAACCAATTTATATAGGGCAATGTTGATGCGTCTCTTCAATGATGAGGGAGAAATCATTGACTCAACCAACAAGAACAAACACTCCTTTCAGAAGAAGCCCGACACCTCAGTTGACACAGAAATGGCCGAGGTCGAGGAAGGGAATGGTGAGGGCTACGGTGAAGAGGAACCTGGAATGGGTGAACCGATGCCTATGAGTGTCTTCGAGGAACCCACTTCAAAGGTGCTTGAAGAGAATGACGTCAAAGAAATTGTCAAAGAAAAAGAGGACAAACGCGAGGTCGGTATTTTGAAGAAAGAGGTTTTGCAAGGCTCGGAGGAGGCGGCAGCTGAAAAAATGATAACTGAGGAGATTATGAAGGAGGAGCTTGGCGATGCTTCCGTGTAAAACATTTTTCTTTTATTTTTCTTGTGGGATTTGACGAGCGATATAGCACTAAGGTAAAATGTTTGAGTGCTTCAAAACTGGGATGGGAACAAAGGGATTTTTTTTTTTTTCAAAAGTATGACGAAATAACATAGAGTTTTCTCGCTCAGCAATCTTCAAATTTCTGATAGAAAGGCCAAGATACAAAATGTTCTTTTTTTTCTTTTTTTCTTTTTTTCGTGGAAGGGCCAGAATTATAACGTTTATCGAATGAGTGACCGTGAGTGGTTTATCTGCTGTGTTGAAGGCCTGCTGTTCATAAGTCCCATACATCGCACAGAGTATTCTTCGGAATTACCCAGAACTAGATGGCACTTTCTTCATTTGTTGAGAGAGCTTAAGACAAGTGATCACAGATGATTTTAATGTGACAAATGAATAGGATTTATCAAAGGTACATGTACCTAGTTATCCACACATCATAGAGCTCTTATTTAGCTCTTCATATAGAGCACAATCCAAGCATTCTTGGTCTATCCAACTTTCAACAACAAGTGTTTAAAATAGTACAGAATTCTTCCTCGGAACAGAACAATCAGCTACTCTAAACATAATCTCCCTTGAAGAAGTTTACTGAGTGCTAGTTTCCTCCCCCAGTCTTCTCTCACTCCAATCTCTCTACATAGTTCTTCATAATCCTTCAGCGGGATCTAGCTACCAACTCTCATTATCTTGTCCCCGACCATGTTGATTCTCCCTATTATCGATGCCAGCTAGATCCGGTTCACAACCTCCCCTCAAGTCTGGACAACTACTCCCTCTATTCAGAGGTTGGAAATTCGTCAAATTATCGAGTTGTTGAGGAGAGATTTCACGAGCATCCGACTCGCCGTTTCTATCAGAACAGAACCAAAGGTCTCTATCTAATGAGTTGACGGTACCCACAGATTCTTCAGAGGGAAGCCTAATATCAAGCGCCACACCAGCTCCCCCCATTGCTTGCGAGAGATTTACCGCTGCCCGGTCAAATATCTCACGTATCTTTGCGGCCAACGCTTCACTTTCAGCCGAATTTCCCTCCTCGTTCACGGTTGGAGCTTTCTCGGGGGTTTTATTTCCTGAATTGGATGTCCGGATGGCGCTGGCTCCTTTCCCGAATTTACAAAGGTTCTGCGTCACACTGCTTAAGCAGCCAACTCTATTTACCTGAGGTCCAGAGAAGACATTTATTTCATCAGAATAGCCTTTCTTGCTTCTATTTATTGAGGGTACCACGGGATGCGAATTCAGACATGGCTGGTGGCTGCGTCTATACATTGGTAATCGTTTATCAACCTTTTTTGAGTACCTGGCCTCGAGAGGATTTGCAATTGGGTTAAATGTCCCGTATGGCACTGAGCATTTATTAACCCCAGAATGAACAAGGGGCATGGTCTCCTTTAAATTTTCCCTGGAGAGCCTTCTTGTTACTTTCGATAATGGTACGGGTCTAGGCTTGGATTCAGCTTCACCGCCCAAAGATACTGTCAAGGGTTCAATAGACCGGTCGCCCTTATTCTTTTTTCCTATCGATTCCTCTAAGTTAACTCTTGATGTAACGTCCTCTTTTTCGTTTGATTCCGATAACCGCAAATGGTCTATCAAGTCGTTATTACGAACAGATATTGGCGACCTTTTGGCACTTTCCTCCGTAGACGACTGGTTTTGACTTGATTGTGACAGCGCGGTATGATATTCTACTCTCCGTCTTATATAACTATTTCCCCCATAGGTTCTCCAGCTAATCCCGAAGTCATAGAACAGCGTCTCGAGTCTTGATGGAAATTCACTAATTTTCTTTGAAATGTGCCCTCTCGCTCTTTGAGTCAAAAACAAAAATGCTTCTTTTTCTTGTGCCGCATTTAGTTCTATCGTATCAATATATGCTAACATCAATGATTTGTGGTTAGTCTTCCGTTGACACTTTGGGGTCGAATCTCACCTCTATTCGTGAGTATCAATTCTTCGGCCCTATCCAGATAGAGCTCGGTCTCATCATCGGTATGGTTTTTTGAGTTCGATATGACTATTGAGTTTTCTTGGGGGATATTCCTCAAGCATAATAAACACCGGCACCAAAAGCCATAAAAATAGTAACAATGATCTCTGACGTCTTTTGCGTTTGAGAAGATCAAACTTGCAAACTTCTCGGAATAGTCTATGGTAATTTCCACATCAGACATGGGAATATCCCGAGCAGCAATAACCTCCATGTATCCACGCCGCTGATTCCATTTGAGATACGCATTTGCGGCGCAAGCATGGTTGATTCTGGATATATCCTTAAAAACCGCTGTACTGTCATCATGAATAAATTGTAGATTCGTCAGGTATATTCCTAATAATTCAAGTACGGATGTTGGCCCGGGAGCAGTCCTACAACTGCATACATGATTCTGAGCTCGTGTAAGCAGCTTCTGCCGTGCATTGAAGAGCATTAGAAACGCACTTTGATCCTCTTTCGATAATAGTTTGAAGGCCTCGACAATTCGATGTTCTTCTTTACCAGCTCGACTCTCCTTCCTGAAATCCTTCGCGAGTACCTTCCAAAGATTTTTCATGAATTGAGCCTCAGGCTGGTTCTTGATTATGATAAAAGGTTTCTCGGTGAAGATCAATTCCCCGGACCGGAAAGCTCGTCTGCTATGTAGGGTCATACCCGTTTTAGCTGGATTATTTTCTGCGGATACCACAACATATTCTGGTGCCATCTTTTCGGTTTAGAAAAACCAGCCTATCGTTTGAAAATATTTCCTTGTTGTATATTGCGGTATTCTTGGCGGCAATTCTTTACTGAAATTTATAGAGATTCGTAGCTTATACCATTGTAATAGCTATTCCGGGTTGAATGTGAGCAGTGATAAATATGTTTTAGGGAGAAAGAAAGGGGGATAGGAAATTTCCTTGGAGTGATATGAGGACTTTGTGTTTTTAGCTGCGAGGACAGATTTCAACCATTGATCATTTCTTTGGAGCTCGTTTGGCAACAGGTCGAGCAGAGCTTACAAGAGCGGAAGGTTGCAACTTAGCGACTCTTTTGTTAGGCTCACCATTCTAGACACCAATACAGGATTTGGCCTCGTAATCGCTCAACGTCAGCGCCTGTATTAAATTAATAAAAGTAGATTAGAGATGAAGGAGCTAAAGATACGTACTTAGTATATATGTCGTGATGACGGGAATAGGCCGCAGCGTCAAAGGAAGAGATATACCTGACAACTGAATTCTAAAAGGGGTAGGGGAAGTTAAGTTGACAAGTAGGTGGAGATGAGAGAGCGATATGGCGGAGCAAGAAGGTATACTTAAATCTAAAGATAAGTTCATCATGAGGTATCACTCGATCGCTAACGAGACAAGGTCTGTTTGAGGTCCATGTAACCATCATTCTTCTATGAGTGAGAAGGTACATGTAGTCCCAAGTTCCTGCCATTCTCAGTCCCATTAGCCTCCCCCTCCTCTCCTTCTGGCCTTCCCCCAATTCCAGTACACAAGTGGTCCGACCCTGTTTATCATAAATAGTAGACGCTAAGTTCAAAGTATCCCCCACTTCACAGGTACATCTCATCTCTTTTTTCCTCGACCGATACAAGAAAATCTCATCCATTCGTTCCATAGATTACATGTTTGTAGAGAGGGAGGGCATCAGAAAGTAAAGGAACCTGTCCAAGATTTCCAGCACAACACAGTTGTGAATACAGTAGTCCAATCGAAAGAGGGATAAAGCTGTTTAAAAAAGAGTAAAGATAATCTCGGAGGCAACTCTTTTTTACCCACTGAATTCTTCCGTTCGGAACAAAGACCAGAGTACAAGAGGTAAAAAGGAGAAGAGACCCGAGAAGAATAAGAATAAAAGGGGGATCACATTGTATGACGCTATCAACAGGCAAAGCCAAACCATGAAAAGCCCAGTGAAAAAAGGATATTGAAAAAGGAACCCTGAAGAAACATCGGTTGGGAGAGCCCGCGGCCGTGATAAAGATGGGAAGTAAGGAGGTAGAGAGAAATAAGACAAAGATATCAATAAACGCCGTGGTTGTGCAAAAATATGCAATGCAAGACCGTTTTTCCAGCCCAACTAAACTATATAGGTAAGAAAAAAAGAGCCCAAGGAACGGTTACCATATAAAACCCTTGAAAACTAAAAAAGAAAAAAAGAAAAAGCAGAATTCCATATCATATCATGCCACACGACACGCTTCCCCAAGAGACATAGAAAATAAAGAAGCCCTTTTACATAAACTGCCCTGACTGGGTAGGGTCCAGTAAAAGGTCTTTGATGGTCGAGCTAAGTTCTTTGAAGTCAACCGGCTTGGACACGTATCTCGAGAACCCTGCAGCAATACAACGGTCTGCAACATCGGACATGACGTTTGCTGACAAGGCAACTATTGGCACTCTCGGGGCATTGTGTGTCTGTTCCCAAGCTCTAATTTCCATCGTAGCTTGGAAACCGTCCTTTCTCGGCATATGAAGATCGCACTACCACATCGTTAGAATTACTCGGAAACTAGTCATCAGGGTGGGAAACATACCAGGATGAGACCATAGTGTCCAGGGTTTTGAGAAAACACCTTTTCCACGCATTCCTCTCCATCACTTGCTGTATCCACCTCTAGCCCCACCCTTGCCAGGAATCGTAAAAGAACCTTCTGATTAACCGTGTTGTCTTCCACGAGCAGGACGCGATGTCCTCGGTTTCCAACTTCCTGCTCCATCTGGCTAAACACTCTCTTCTGAGTCTCGACAACTTGTTGAGCAGAGTCTCTGTTCCTATCCATTGACGCATCTCTTTCATTCGCCGGGTCAAAGATAACACCAAAACGGGAAGGCTTGATTGGCTTGTAGATGAACTGCAGTCTTTGTCCCATATGCTCGCAATTCTGCGGCGCGCCTTGCATTACCGCTGTACGTTGCGTGGGGTTAGTCAAGACAAGCATAGTTGTCAGCGAATGAATTGAGCTGCCCAGTATTTGATCTATGAGCGCAATAATCTCCGTGTGTTCTTGGAGGTTGACAACGATATGGGTAAACACAACCGGGTCATCGCCACCGATCAAACTTTTGCACTCGTCGTATTTGGAAGCCGTAGTAATCTGGTTGGGGATATTCTTTGGCAATGTGATCTTGATGTGATGGGCTATAGCGATACGAGAATAATGTTGTTCCGAGACAATCAAAATCGAGAACATTGGCGGAGTAACTGCACGTCCGAGTTCCGAATCGACTGAGGGCATCTTCTTCACCGACGCTTCTGTTTCCGAAGGCGTAGCAGTTGAAGCAGGTGGGGTGTAAGCTTTGTATTTCTGTTGGGCCTCTGTGGGGAGGGCAAGCCGCATGGAGACAGGATCTGCAGAAGAGGACATTGGAAGGTGAGCCAATGCTGACATAGAGGACCCAGTTGAGGCGGAGCGGAACGAACTTATCGAGGGATCCGAACTTGCCGATGATGCAGGAGCAGATGAAGGCCCATCACTAAAAGTAAGGCCAGGCGGTGTATCAGATGGGAATTCCGTGATCCTTTCGGTGATCGTATCCGACTCTAAAATACCCTGGCGTCTGCCCTGAGCAGCGAGGTTGGGCGTGATTCCGGGTGGAATGCCTTGTGGGATGGGCGGAATAGCATCAGGGGTAGCAACTGCAGAGGACCCTTCACCTGGTGGTTTCTCTCTAGGCAACTTGAACTTGGCGCTGCAGATAAATGTCCTATGAATAGTTAGCAAATATTGTACCGATTAAAGGCTGGGGCGAAACATACGATCCCTTGCCCTTCTCACTACTAGCGGACATTCGCCCCCCGTGAAGTTCGACCAGCTGTCTTGAAATCACCAGCCCTAAACCACTGCCACCATGTGCCCTAGTACTGGACCCGTCAATTTGGCTGAAAGGCTTAAACATTAACTCTTCATCTTTTTTATCAAAGCCTGGGCCAGTGTCATGGCATTCAAATTGCAGCATAACATCATCATCTCCGATTTTATCGTCTTGGATAACAGAGCACCTAGAGAACACTTCGCCCTTTGACGTGAATTTTATAGCGTTCTGAATCACCACGAAGAGGGTTAGCCAATCATGCCTCATGAAAAAAGCTTTCCTAACCAATGCGGCAGTGCCAACTTACGCCAATGACATTCAAAAGCACCTGTCTCAGCCGCACACGATCTCCGCACACGACAGGCGGCACATCTTCTTCGACAATAAAGTTCAACTCTAGATCCTTTGCTATTGCCATGGTACTCAAAAGCTCATTGGCATCTTCTATCAGGGAATGAATCCTGAACCACTCCGGATTCAATCTCATCATTCCTGCTTCAACCTTTGACAGATCTAGGATATCGTTGATTACGCTGAGCAATCCATCAGAGCTCTGGGATATTGTGTGGCAGTAGTCTAACTGCTCCCCATTTAAGGTGGTATCAAGCAAAAAGTTGACCATTCCAGAAATCCCGATAAGAGGAGTTCCTAAAGATCAGGAGGAATCAGCAATGCCGAATTTACTGCTGCGGGTAGATGATACTCACGAATTTCATGACTCATATTGGCCAAGAACCTAGTCTTACTCTCCATCGTCTTCTGCGCTGCCTCATTCGCCTCTTTTAACTTTTGCTCTAGTAACTTGTGATCGTTGATATCGGTACAGGTACCGAACCACTGGCCTTCTCCCGTTCCAAAATTTGTCTCAACACTAACGCACCTCACCAAATGCCACCTATAGTTTCCATGCTTATCCCTTAAGCGCAGCTCGGTTGAAAATGTGGGCTTCTCCTCCTCGATATCTACTCCAGTCGGACTCTTAAAGCCACCATCAAATGTGGAAGACCCGTACGAGTTAGGTGAGAACCCGGAAGTCTCAAAGCCTGGACTAGTCATGCCACCACCAGGGCTCACTGACCGCGGACTTACTGAACCACCTCCACCACCCAGACCCGGCAATGCACACTTGTATCTATCATTGGGATGGACGTGTTCCATAAAGCCCAGTCTTAACGCCTGTGCTAGCGTCTGTCCAGAATATCCCAACCACTGGGTGTTTGCATATGAGATGCCGTCGACGGCCGTAGCAGCAAACACGATTTGCGGACTTGAGTTGGCAAGGGACCTATATTTACTTTCTGATTCTGCCATTTCCGCCTGCCTTGCCGCGTCCACCTCTGCAATCCGCTGGTCATGGATGTCCATATTTGTGCCAAACCAGTGAACAATGATACCACGAGAATCACGCAATGGGACTGCCCGGATCATAAACCACCGGTAGACACCATCAAATCTGCGAACACGGACTTGATGAGAAAACGGCTCTCCCTTGCGCACAGCGATCCCCCAGCGTTTGATGTAATCCTCTCTATCTTCTGGATGAAAAGCCTCCCATGGTCCTTTCATAAACTCATCAACAGTAGCGCCTCTATAAGCTAGCATCCGAGCATTCACCCATGTGGTTTCACCGGTGTAGGGAGCCGCGGTAAATACATGTACGGGGATAGAGTCAATTATTGTCCTAAGAAGCTTGTTAGACGGAGGGGGCATCTGATGGTTCTGTGAAGTTGCGCCTGCTGAAGACATCCTGGTTGATCCACGCCTTCCTGTTCCCAGCGGTGTTCCAGGCAACGAAGTCGTCGCAGCCAGCGATTGGAAAGTGGCCGAGTAATCTGCACCGTATGAGTGTAGCAGGGTATGCGGATAATTGTGGCCCACGATTTTGAGCGCAGGTTTCCTTTTCCTCGGGAAACGACGTCGATTCGGTGCCGATTCTGATCCCGGTGACACTGAGGGCGACTCCATAGTTCCACTGCTCTGGCTTCCAAGGTCTTCCAACACTGGTGTCTTTTCCGAGTCTGCCAAGTCCTTCAGGACATGATCCGGCAGTGGCGAGCTCCTGGGTATTTCCCTCTTGTGCGTCACGGTGCCCTGTTCTCCCTTCTTAAACTTGACCGTCCCGGCCGAGCTAGCGCCTTCGTCCTCCTCCGTCTGCAACTGCACTTCCAAACTTACCGTTGAGCCTTCATTTTTGGTCGTTGCCATCGCTACCGCTGCTGCCGCTCGAATACTAGCATAGGTCGGAATATTACCACTGTTTTGTCTACTAAAAATCTTTCTCTTTTCGCGGGGAGGCTGAAAGTACCCTTCCAGATTTTCACCCCCGGGACTAACCGGCGTACTAGCCTGAGACCTAATGCTCTCCTGGTCACTCCCTTGTTGTCTCGGTCCTCCTAATCCTCCAATATCCCATCCCGGACTGGCGACTCTCGATGTGCTGTCTTTGGACATTGTGCTGAGCTCGCTGGGACTGGTGACACTAGCGCCCTCGACAATATCTGGTGATTTCAGCCCATATCTCAAAGATGCATGCAGACCAGAATCAATATCGGTTGCATGTCTTCTCAAAGGTCGTCTATATTGTAAATGACTTAACTGATTCACAACGTTCGAGTGGTTCTGTGCTAGTGAGAAGGCTGTGGCTGCTAAAGGTGCAAAATGGGACAATGAGTGAATCAGGTTTCTAGGGTAAGGGATAACAGGGCTCAGCATAGATAATATCGCTATAGGGGATTTTTTGTGTCCTGCCATGTTGTGCCTGGAAAGGATATCGTTACTTGGCAGGCCGAAGCTTCCCCTGAGAAGAGATTCGCCCCCAGTAGTAGAAGTCGTGGTTCCCCCACCGGCTGCCGCAGAAGCTGAGGGATTTAGTGACTTTGAAAAGCTTGGGTGTATGAGTGGAATGTGGATTACTGTCCAGGCACTCTCGAATCCAATTGCATTTACGGGTTCCTGTGCTGAGTATACTGGGCTGTTGGTCTGTGGGTTAAATGTCTCCTCGTCCACTTTTGGCGGGGCAAAAAATGGGTTCTCGGCGGGGTCCTGCTTCGGCGCCGGCGAAGGAGCTGGGGATTGGCTCCACGGCGACGTCAGGGCTTGTTCATATTCTTCATACGAGGAAGCCCTGTCGAGACCTTGTGAGTGAGATGAGACATTTTGCAAATGCTGCTGTGTGGAATGTAATTGCAGCATAGGGTTTTGGGTACGATACCCGTCCTTCTGGGCACTCTTCTTCTTCCGACGCATTCCCTTCCCCACAAAATACAGCGGTGTCGGTGGCTGCGAGGACAGTTGTAATGGCGAACTGATTGAGCTGAGATCTAACTTTTCTACCCCTTGAATCGATGCCTGTTCGGGGATCGATCCCTTCTTTGGTTTAGGGCGCTGTTCGTTAGAAAATGCTCGGGACGGGGAAGACTTTGGGGTGTTAGCAGCCACGAATTCTGCCTCTCGCCGGCGTTTGTCCCTCTCTTCAAGGTGTGTTTTGATATCTCTATATTCTCGCCCTAAAACAACAACTTTTCCTCTCTGCAAAACCCTACTAACACCAGTTCCATCCAGCAAAGCATCCGCCTCATAATTCAGCGGCTGCAGAGTCGGAAACACCCTCCCACGCTGCTCATCCTCCTCTATTCCCTGAGCATATGCCATATTCTGTTTCTGGCGCCCAAACTCCGGGGGCAATGGTGGTGGCTGTGGGGGTTCTAATGGAGATAGGCCACTCGTCTCTGAGAGCCAATCGGAGTTATTCGCATCCTCGTTTTGGGGGTCTGATGGGCCAATAGTGACTGGCGCAAACGGTTCATCTGAATTTCTCTCAAGCTGTATAGGCTCGGTATTGTCCTCATCCGGATCGCACATGCCACCAAAGAAGCCGCCTTCCATCCTCCCATTCATATCCATTGTGTTGTTTCTTTCTTTTGAAATCGGAACACCATGGTTTCCGTCACTGTCCTCCCCCATAGACACTTCCTCCTGGTCACCCACGAATCCCCGCTCATCGCCCATATATGTCAACGACAAACAGTCGTCCTCGGCTACGTTAAATGTTGCCTTTTGCCCCCATGGGGTATTTTCGAGATCTGTGGAATCTGATGGCACTGCAAGAGTAACTCTCTCCGCCTTATAGCACGTCGTGGCAATCTTTACAATATTGCTCCAAAAGGCATCGATACCGGCCTCAGAATGAAGCAACAGAGCAAGATCGTACATGTTTGGGGTTGGGAAATCGGGGTTCTCAAAGGGGGTAATTGGTTGGGTACCTTGAGGCTGAAAAGCAAACGACGCCGGCGTAGTAGTACCGGACGGAAGGATCCTGTCATGTGGTCCCATCCCAGGGGACATTGTCGTGTTGAACGCCGTGGCTACACTATTCCCCGTAAGGCTCCTAGGCATCTGCGGGAATGGGTATGATGATGTTGCTGAGATGGATGATTCCTGCTGTTTCGACTTTGTAGCCGCTGCTGCGGCGGTGTTGCTGTTATTCTTCACCCCGGCAGCAGGCGATCTAACCATGTCTCCACCGGCACGGTTTTCCTTCGGCGTTGGGGGCGACCCTGGCGACGAAGCGGTGATGGTCTGGTCTAGGCGGCTTCTCCTGCGATTCCGGGCCTGAGAGCGTATCACAGCCTTCCGAGAAATTAACATTGCAAACAATCGAGAGACCAGCAACCCGGCCGTGAGCAATGAGAACAGCAGTAACAGGAGGGTTGCCGGAGGAGGAGGATTCGACAGCAGGAGGTATACCTCTTTCAAGCTCTCGATCTGTGCAGCACCAGGTCCGTTGTTTCCGTTGCCATAGGCACCCCCACCACCAACACTGGCAGCAGCCGCTGCGTCCCCACCAGCATTATTACCCCCACCACCAATCACCCCTCCTCCAGGACCTCGACTACTACTACTTCCCGCACCACCAGCTTTGTTCGATGACGAAGACGATTGCATTGAATTTTGGGCATTTGTTTGGATATTTCGTGGGAATACAGTCTTTGGATACGCGGGTGGCGACGCAGGCGGCGATCTCATGGCGGGTGGTTTCCCCCCCTCTTTTTGTTTTGTCTTCTTTATTTCTCCCTCTCCTGGCGTTGTTGTCTCGCGCGCGGGGGGGAGGCGTCCTGTGTTTGTTTGTTGCAGCTAGGTGGTACTTCCTCTTTTCTTCGCTCTTTCTGGGAAGATATGACGTCGGTAACTACCGGCAGATTGACAGCGACATTAAAATAATAAATAGAATAAGACTGTATGTTTCTCTTTTATCTGGCCCAAAAAAGAAGTGATTAAGACAGAAGCTTTTCGTTTTTTTTCTCTCTTTCTTGGTTTTGCGTACTGCACAGGGTGTAGTAAGTAGTAGTGAGTAGTAGTGAGTAGTAGCAGCAGTAGTAGTAGTAGTAGTGACGACTATTCCGGTCAGCCAAAAAGTGGATGGTAGCAGTAATAGTAGTTAGTGGGCGGGTGTGGGTGCGGTAGGTAGGTGGTAGTAAGTATCTGGTTTACGGGTTACCAACTTCCTGTTGCAAGCAAAGGCACACACACACACAACAAAAAAAAGGAGAAAAAGAATTCCCGCAAAAAAAAAAAAAAAGAAAAAGGGTTCCGTGCAAATGGGTAGGGAGCAAAGTAGAGCAGAGAGGCTGGAGAGAGGGAGAGAGAGATGTATGTGTCGATGACGGCGATGACGGGGGTGGCGGGTTTTTTGTGTGTGAGGAGCGTTAAAAAAGGGAAAAGTAAAAAAAAAACACTAGGGTATGGCTGGGGAGGGGGTGATGATGATGGGTTGGATGGATCTGGGGCAGGCAAGGACCGGCAAGGGCAAATTGATATAAACTGTTCTGGTCTTCCTTCGGTCTCTCTCTCTCCAGATCCCCTATTCTCCTCTGCTTTCCTTACAACTCAAGCTGATGCTTGGTATATCCTCTTTTTTTCTTCTGCCCTTTTTTTGCCTTCCTAGCTAGCTAGGCTGCTCTTCCGGATATCCTTCTGTACAAAAATAGGAATAGATATAGATTAGGGGGTGGGTATTAATGGGAGGTATAAGTGGGAGGGCAGTGGTAGAGAGGATTGGAGGATTGAAGGATTGAAGGGAAACGAAGACTGCAATTAAATGAAAACGAGAGAGAGAGAGAGAGATAGCCAGAGGGTCGAAGTCAAAGGGAAGGGAGGAGGTTTTTTTACCAGTCAAGAAGATCAATAATATTCGAATCGATTGTTTTTCTTCCTTCCTCGACCCAGCTTCCGGATATCGATAGATGTATATTACCAAATCCTGAACCACCAGAAAAATTGTTTTTCCTTTCTTTCTTTTCTTCTATCGATGGAGAGAAGAATTATACTAGTACCAGTTTTCCTTTTTTTCTTTTCTCTGGTAGGAAAGAAAGAGAGAGGGGATCGATGGGATGGGAATGGGTAGTAAAAGGTAGTAGTAGCAGCTAAGTACTTACTTACACGTATGTATGTAGGTAGATCTGGGGGGTTGTTGCGGTACGCGCATGCAGCAGCAGGCAATCAATCAAGCAGGCAGACAATCAAGTAAGGGATCGAATCTTGAACCGGTGGTTTGTAGACGACGGTAGAAAAAAGGAACCTAAGACGGGTGCGGACCGGTGATGCAGCGGGAAAAGGTTGTTATGAAAGGCCAACAAAAAAAATGGAAAAGAGAAGGCACAATTCACAGGTAGATTCAGAGAGAGAGAGAAAGAATGCTTCCCAGCAGTACCAACTCCGTGAAAGGAAGGGGGGTTGGTGGAAGGAGGAGGAAAGAAGAGAAAGGAAGAGGAAAAAAATTAGGACTTGCAAAACGAAATCACTTTTCTTTCTTTCTTTTCTTTCTTTCTTTCTTTCGTTCTCTTCACACGCACGCACGCAAGCAAGCACACTAGGCAGGTCGAGAGATGGAATGGATGGATGGACAGATGGGGGGGACCTTGGTGCAAAGTTCCTCCAAAAAGAAAAAAAAAAGGAAAAACAAATACGTCAAACGCAAATGCAAACGAGGTCTCTGGCTGCAAAAAACTTCCCTGTGGGAAAGAAAAAAAATACTACCTAGCTAGGCGAAAAAGCCCCGGGACTTCTCTCTTTTGGGGGAGGGAGGGGATGGGGAGGGAGGGCGGTGTATACCTAATACGCTGGATAGATGAAGCGGAAGAGAATTGGGAAGGAAGCTGGGTATATTACGGTAGAAAGAAGACGTTTGTCAAGTAACTAGTTGCTCTGCCTTTTTCTTTCTTTCGATGAGGTTGTGGAGGCGGAGGGGGGGGCAGGTTTGTGGAGAGCTAGCTAGGTAGTGGTTTGTAGGCAAGTAGGTCCAAGGGCTGCAGCAGAGAGTCCTGACAAAAGTCCTGGACACTTGAAGATCCCTATTCAACCTATGCTGTGTGCTGTGTGCTGCCTTAATTTCCTCCTATTTCCTATGTATGTGGTGTGTGGATTATGTAGATACGCAGGATAAAGAGGTATCTGTACGTTGTGGAACTGCTGCTATTCGAAAGATACCCCGTAGATAGAGAGGTAGATTGTAAACAGATAGGTACGGATTGTATCCAGAGTCACACTTTTGCAATAAGTGTAAGTAGTAGTGTGGTATGTGTATGTATGTGCGACAGATTGATGGTAGCAAGTAGCGATCAAAAGAACCAAAAGGGTCGCGAGATTCGAAGCAGAGCGTTCTGTGCTGCCTGCCTACTACCTGCCTGCCTTCTACAAAGCGCCTCCCTCCCCCCCTCGCTCCCCTCCACACGGGAGGAAAGGGACTTGCAAACAGGGATGCACATCAAGATCCAGTCCGGGGCCTGGGAAAACGAACACAGAGAAAAAAGAAGATTTGGCAGCAACCGACGTCATTCCGCAGGGTCCTACTCTATTTTGTGCCTAGTGGGAACACGCCATTGGGGTGGGAGGGGGTTGGAGGGAGAGAGAGTGAGAGAGGCTGGCCAAGTTGCAGGGTAACCACCTGACTTCTCGATTGAGAAATACCTAGATAACTACTAGCGTCATAGGCAGCAGACAACACCTGTCCTTGACAGACAGAGGGGGATGGATGGATGGATGGATGGCAAAATTTCGAGAGGAGGGAAAAAAAAACATTCAGTTTGGTTAAATTTGTTGGATGCAGAGTGAAATTGGGCCCCGTAAACTCGCAATGTAGAGCTGATGATTGAATAAAGTACCACATTATTTTAGCTCGCTGTTTCTAGATCTGCCCATGACGGTCTGAATCGTTTCATGCTGCCCGAAATATAGCTCAAGGATGGCATCTCTAGCCAATTCCATCGACGTAGTTTAGATATCGTGCCTTAGTCGAAACTCTACTAGTAAAGTACTGCTTGCTTGCCTAATGCTCTACAACTTTGAGTATGTAGTCGTTAATTAGTTGGGCAAGAGAAGTACATACGGTACCTATACCTATCTATGGAAGGAATTAAGAAAACCTCGAGATGCCGTCGCTAGCTATGAATTAAAAAGGCAACCTCCATCCACCATCACCACCCCCCGCACCTCAACCCCCCGGGCCCTGTGTCTCATCACGGTGTCGAACCTGTTTCCACCCGACCAGCCCCCGCTTCTCCTTTGCTAGAAAAACCGATCACGATCATCGATCGAGAGATTACTTACAGTACCGGCGTATGTAACTCTTCTCTACCTACCGTCCACCAGCGTCAGTCAGCCCTCTCTCTCTCTCTTTTTTTTTTTTTTTTTCTTTTAACCTGCTTATGCACGTTCCATAGCCTATTTTATCTATGTATGCGGTGGTTATGATTGTGGTTGTGGTACTCGTGGTGGTGGTGGTGGTGGTGCGTAGGTCTAGAGCAATTAGATGCAAGTCTGTGTTTGTAGCTATTGTAGGGCTCGAATCAATGCCAGACGTTAGGTAAAGTAGAGTAGGTACTGTACCGTACTCTACTAGTAGTTAGTAGATAGAGCCGCATTTCCCCAATAACATTAATCGTACCCGCAATTTTGCAAAGCCTTTTTTTCAGCCTCTGACGTTGGCCTGGCTTGCCTGGCTGGCAAGCTGGTCCGCACACACATAGCACCTCGGTAACGAAAAAGGTCAGGGAGGCTTGCACGGAACGCCCCGTACGTACTTCTACTCTGGGCTGCTGTCCTTAGTAAAGTACTCTAGAAACGCTCAAATCTCGTGACGAATGTGGCTGTTTCTGCTTCTGTACCTTACTAACTACATCTCTGTAGGTGCCCTTGGATTGAATTGACTGGCCCATGGGCTCTGTGAAGGGATGGATACGATACGATACCGACAGGGAACGGGAGAAGTAACCCGAGCCAAATCACATCAAAGGTACACTCGCACAAAGATTAATATTATAACTCGGATATCAACCCCAGAGAGCAGTACTCCAGAGCAGAGCAGAGCTGATAGCTGCCATCCCCGGAAATTGTTTCCCAGGGCAATTTAAAGACCATATCTTATTTATCGACACCCCCTATGTCTAATGTCTACTCTACAGGCTACCCACTATCTTCCTTATCTCCACAGGCAGCAGCAGCAACAGCAGAAGACCCCCACTCCGACTTTAGCCACACCAATGTCTGTACCTTCCTCCCCGCCAGAAAGCCTCAATTCTGCAACGGCTAGTTAATTAATTACCAGCACACGGGTAGAGCAGATATCATATCTTTTTGACCACCCGGCCGGGTCCTGCTCTATCTACATACATACCAAGGATGGACTGGCATTAAAACTGATCGTCGAGCAAGGTAATTGTTTATTTCACTATTATTACTATAGCTACATGCACGAATGGACCCTATGTCGTCAGTCGCACGTAACTACACATTCTGAAATCTAGTTATGTAGCCAAGTTACCACAATCCGGATCCCAGCTAAAGTGCACATTTCTCTTTTAGGTCACACACAACCGGGGGATGGATTTTCGGATTTTCACAAGCAAAGCAAACACCAAAAGCAACAACTCACAAGGGGATCTGATCTGTCTATCTAGAGGCACATCAATATCGTCAACCCCACCGCCTCACCTCCCCGACCCCAAATTGGCTGGAATACCTGCCGCCGTCGGCGGCCGTCCATCCGGGCGTGCGGTACTCCTTCTCTTTCCTGAGCATGTTTTCAGTCTTTTTGCGTTCTGCGGCTTCGCGCTCGTCACGCTCGCGACGCAATTTAGCCATTGTGTCTTCTTTTTCTTCTGCTTGGCGGGATCTGGAGGGGCGGTGGTGGGATGTAGTTGTGGTGTTGTCGTGACGGCGAGAGGAGTCGTGCTTGCGTGAGTGGTGCCTGTGATGCCCGCTTCTGTCTCTGCTGCGGCTACGGCTATTATGCCTATGCCTCTCCCTATGCCTACCTTTTTCGTGATGGCCTCTATCAGGGCTCGCACTCCTGCTCCTATCTCTCTTTCTCTCCCTGACTGTATTCACATCCCTCTTGTCCCTCTTCTCCCTCTCCAACATCTCCAACACGCCCGCCCCCATCCCAGCCTCCATTTCCCGTCCTCTCCTCCACTCCCTCCTCTCCTCTTCTACCTCCCTCACACCCTTCACCCCCCATCTTACTATTGCCAATGGATCTCCCCAGTCCTTTCTTTTTTCCTCCCGCTTTTCCTCCCATTCTGTCTTCTTCTTTCCCTCATCCTCCCCGTCAAGCGTTGAGTACCACGGCCGCCGCTTATCCCCTACCCTCCCTAGCCCGTTGGTAACTGGCCCCTCTCGTGCCTTACGCTCCGCTTCGTGCTCACCGTTTTTCTCGGCGACTTTGGGCGGGGCCCCAAAAAGGTTAATGTGCCCATCGGCGCCTATGAGATCTGGCTCGATCTTACGCTGGGGTTTGTCGGGCTGCCTACTATCCTCAGGCACAGTGTAATCTCCACGGTCCCTTCTCTTACTGCTGTCCCCTGTAGACCCTCCTATTACCACTGCCATCACTTCTTCTTCTTCACGGGGAGGTGGAGGAGAGGCACGCCCCTCGGCGCGCGCGCGGAGAACACTTATGCGGTGCTCTGCGTCGGCCTCCTGCATGCGCTGCTCCCTGGCCTCCTCGGCGGCGCGGGCGGCGGCCTCGTCCTGACGGACGCGCTCAATGTTTTTTGTGGAGTAGACATGGTAGGATTTGTGTTGGAGGAGGTTCAGCGGCATCTATGCGAGTATATGTGAGTATGGTGGTGGTGAACGTGGTAGACTTGGTAGACTTGGTAGACTGTGAGAACGTTATGAAATTCCGACCCAAGTGATGTCACGTGAATGGGTGTGGGAAATGTTGTGAATATTCAGTCCGAGTGATGCCCTGTGAGTGTGTTGCGATGATTCGCGATGTTTGTGGTTGTGGTTGAGACGCCAACTCTGAGCAGCGGTGTTGATGGATGACGTTGAGGCCCAATGCGGACTAGCCAGCTAGCGGGTAGACGAGATGCAGGTTAGTGTGGGGTCAGTCAGGGCCGGGGCTAATGAGCTCAGGGTGGCTAACCGCGATGGAGCAAGGAGAGTATGGCTGAGACCTTGACCGCACGGGGGAAAGATGGATGGATGGATGGGATCGATGGAGACGGGTGGGTGGATGGATGGATGGGGTGGGAGAAGAAAGTGTCTGAGGGTTGGTAGTGTTCGCTCCCTCTTTCTGGAACGCCAACGGACTGTGGGCCAATGATGTCATTTCCTGCAAATCCCCCCCGTACACATACATAAAACCTTCGCCCCCGCCTAAGCACAGCAGCAGATGCAAAACCGTTGACAGTTACCTACCGTATGTACTCCAACTAACCAGCTCACAGGTCAGTCACATTCACAACCAACCCCTTCCTTGGTTGCTATAAGCTTTCGGTCCTCTTCGTCGCCGTCTTCTTCCTAGCTACGGGGAACCGTCTAGAAATTACTACATACCAACAATCGATCATGCGCATCTCACTACATAGAGTAACTCGTACTCTGCCTACATGTACTGACTGATATACATGGGGTTGTTTTGATGAAAGCATAAATCGCTTATCCGGCGGCGATGCTGGTGCTCGCGCGCCAACATGATAATCAATTCTGAACCTACCACCACTGGCGGCGTAAATAATCCATCCCTCCTCCCCCATCGATCCATCCTCCATTCCCCCCTACGCCCTTCTCACTCACTCAAGGTCTCACACCACGGCCCGCTAACGCAGCCTCCGACCGCAACGGTATTCTGCCCGCACACACACCCTCCCCTCTCTCTCTCTCCCACACACACACGGCGGATACAGATACCTGGGAGGGAGGGTATCTTTTTTTCTCTTCTCGACACAATAAGTGTTTAAACCTAGTTGTGAGTTTTTTTATATTTCTTTCTCCTTCTAGACCCTGGAGTGTATGACAATATGCGACCTGACGACATACACGCTGGTTTTCTATGAGCTGGCCCGGTAGTTGTGGAGTTTTTACCCTTTGATAATGACGATGACGACGAAGGCGTTTGAGGTGTGTACTAGTAAAGTACTCTACTTTAAGGCAATGGGGGGCATGGGGCGGTGGTGGTGGTGGGTGGTGGTCGTGGACGCCGTGGTGGTGGGTTGTAGATCATGTGATGGATCATTTTATATCCGTGATGATGATGATGATGAGAAGAGAGGAAGTCGAAGGCGTGAAACACGTGTACTCTACCTACCTGTACTGGAAGGAGAAGAGAAAGAAAAAGTGACAACCTCGACAGCAACGACACTGACATTGTCGCGAGATTCCATCCCTCCAAAGCGGTCGGTGGTGGTGGTCTACATAGAGAAACCAAACACTTCCCCCATGCAGAAAGAGTCCCTGCATCCCCTCTCCCTACCATGCGGCTCTGTCTGTCTGTCTCCCCATGCATGACATCATCGACAACAACGACAACCTTGTGCGTGCAGCTCGCAGCAGCAGCGGGACTTTCCGAGCTCCGAAGGTTGGGGCGATCGGAAAACAGGACCAAAACCACCACCACCACCTACCTAGCCAAGTTTTTCTTCTTCCAACTCTTTCGTTTTCCCTAAGCTTCTCTACCGTTCCTTCCCTTCGCTGCGATGCATATGGGTTTGGGTTGTCTGTCACGCGCAGAGAGGATGTGGTGGGGGGGCGAACGAGTTAGATGCTATGTACCGGTATGCCATGGCAGGTACGTATGTAGACGGTAGAGCTCATCTCCTTCCCTCTTCTCTTCCGTGGCAGGCAGCTGGCGGGCGGGCGGAAAGAATCAGAGGGTTGTGGAAAAAAACAAAATATGAAATGAAACATGGCCAATGATCGGGCTGGAAACGACACACACCCCCACCATGCAGCCAGGCAAAGCAAGCTGGCCATGGCCAGTGTTCCTGCGTCCTTCGGGGCTTTTATTTGTTTTGTTTTGTGATGGCGAGGAAGAGGGCCGAGGGACGTAGGTGGGTGCCTTGCATCTACGTACTTTGGTGTTTACTTATCAATTTGCAATGTGCCGTCCGTGTGGAGGGGAGGCTCGTAAGTCTTGAAAGAGTATCTGCTGGTATCTACTACATACATTCGCACTGTAAGTAGTCGAAATAGAGACCGCCGGTTTCGGTAGGTAATACTAATAATATATGATTTTAATATCCCCATTAGAATCAGAACGTCATGTGTGCTTTGTAACGCATTTCTAAGGCCGCACGCAGAGTTGCTTGACTTGACTTGACTTGCTTGACTGCGGTGCAACAAACTTCAATCACCTTTTTTTTCTCCCATGCCCTACCTAGCCTTCTGATCACGTTCGTCGCCGAATATGGGACACCTCCCAAAAGAGTTTCTGAGAAAAGAGAGAAGGGAAAAAAAGTCCCGGGAGAATGATACTGCATGAGCATGACTCCATGAGCCAATGACCAGGCGCTAGCCTTTCTCACGATGGAATTATTTAAGAAACCCTAACCCACTACATACATACATTCTCAGCCTACTTATGATCTAGGCTACAGCATCATCTCTTCGGCCGAACTCAACCCGTAGCAGCTTGCAAGTGCAAGTGCAATGCAAAAAAAAAGAAAAAGAAAGACACCAAGCTTAAGGCCCAAGGGAGAGGTGGGAGAGGCGCCGTTTATCGTGGTCGCGGAAGAGAGGGAAAAAAAAATTCTACTTCCTACATACCGCTTGGAGCTGCAGGCTGCCCAACAAGTTGGAAAATGCCCGAGGATCCTGTACCGAATGTGGCATAGGGCAGGGCTCAATGTTATTTAACCTACAAGGCTAGAAGTGCTCGCAGCTAGGGAGGTGGGTTAGGCCAGGGTGCAGCGCATCGAGAATGCTAAAATCCTCCAGCCGCGTGTAGGCTTGCGGCCTTGTTTAGTGCCAGTTCTTGTTTCAACCTCCTTGTACGTTTGGGCTTGAGGTGGAGGGAGAGAGAGAGATAGGACTGGTTGGGGTTGTGGTATGTTGTTACTTGTTGATTAGAAGATTGTACGATATGATCTGAGCAGAAGGGCCGAAAGGTTTCTTTTTCTTTCAATTCAGTTTTCAGTTCAGTTTTCATATAATATTTTGTTTGTATGGAACCAGTTGACTACTAGATCTATAGAGGACCTACGAACCCGTTAATTCACTACATGTAGACCGTGTGCACCTGTGCCGAGAATGTACCTGTGCCGAGCATCTTATCTGATCTCTAGGGATCCACTCCAAATGGTGGCTAAAATGCTGCCTTTATTATAAGGTGCTCGGCACAGGTACATGCTCGGCACAGGTGCACACGGTCTAGTTAGAATTAGCTTTCTACTAGCTAAGAGCAAACCACCGCCCAGTTAGGCTCCCAAGAAGCTTCGAAAAGTAGCGTCTTGATCACCAGAACCGGTGTTTCATAAATTTATAAAGCAGCCTAGCTAGATACCACCATGATCTGAAGAAACCACAATGAACATAGGCTGCCAGCCAGTAGAAGTTAAAATTGAGCACTTGTGTGCAAAGTGTACTTTTGGGTTGGGGGATATTACGTACATGTATGTATCTAGCTAGACATTGACAGAGGGGAGAAATGTATATCACGCATGATATATGATGCTTTTGATGCCCTGCTTGAGGTGCAGTATCTCATCTAGTCTCGTGCCCAGCTAGATTGATCCTTTCTGCCCAAAGAGTGACACGAACAAAAGTCTAGGAATGAGACTATATCCCCGTCCCCGGCCATTAACGCTTGATTTTTTAAAAACCCGTTTCCAAGAGACACAGGTCATCCATGAGTAGCACAGTCCGAAAACGTTTCCAAACTCAACCACACGACACTACAGGAGCTCGTTCGATCGAGTAGCACTCACTGAAAACAAACACGGCATTAAAACCCAATCAAAGCTGCTTTCAGCTCTGTGGAGAGTATGGAGCTAGCAGTAACGTTACATACTTGCACGTACAACACTTCCCTTCTCTCACTTCCCTCGTCAGCACCGATGTAGAGTACATCTGCGTATACGTAGCAGTAGCTAGCTGATCATAATCAGTAGCACTCGTACTTGCACAACATCACCTCTCTGGCTCCTTCTGTCTCCTCTCTCGTCAGCACCGCTACATTCAATTCCTGTTTTTCTTCTTTCTCTTCCTTCCCTTCCCTGGCTTTATGTCACACTGTCTAAGCGAATACGTTCCGGAAATCTTGTTTTTATATGCAGTGTGCGCAAACCAAAAAGCATATATCTGTTCCCCTCCCCCCCCCTTCTCCCTACCAGCCAACCAGCGGTCCCATTGGTTGGCTCTCCCCCCAATCTTTAACGGTTCTGGCCTGGCAATGCACGATAGGGCTGCAATGTACGTACATACATGTAGGTAGATTCAGCTGTCATCAGCTCCCGGAAGGCGCTCCGTGTACGTATGTATGTATGTAGGCAGAGTAAGTACCTGTGCGCAGCTACCCTACACGATATCCTGTCGGCTGTTTTATCGAGATGTGCGGTCAGTGCTTCTGGAGTAGCTGTACTGGTATGTAGGTACAGTCACTCACGGGGTGAAGGCGGATCCTGTCTGATGGCAGTCAGGAATTTGAGGCCAATAAAAGAGTTAGGTTTTGGACGCCAAGGGCAAATTACTGCAAACAGAACCATCAGACAGGATCCGCCGTCAGTAGGTGAGCGACTGTACCTAAGCTACCTCCTCAGGCAGTGAAGAATCACGAGGCGAGAGGTGGAGCACCAGTGGTAAATTGTGGGAGGGGTTGAGTGCAGTTTCGTGGTTCGGCTGGCTTGGAAGTGCAGTTCTTACTGCCGGCAGTACTAGGTTTGATATGGTACCTTGGCTACATTTATGTAGTTGATAAGATGACAGTTGTTCCTTCGACCAGGAAGCTAGGCTACGGGTTAGATGATCCTCCTCGATAGAGATAATGCTGGAGAATAAGCCTTCATAACATCAATTCCTAGATCTCAGTGTAGGTATATGGCAGCAAGTAATATAATTAATGCCCGCGGCCATTTTACTATTTGAGCACATGTGCATATAGGTACACCCCGCCGATACAGTACGCCCGAGACCGGAAATTGGTACCCTTATAGGGCATGTACCTTTATAGTAAGCGGTATTTTGTACTTAAAAGGCCCAATAAGGGCGGAGAAGCTTGTGCGATTACCCTTATATATAGGAGGCACCCGGCCTTATAGAGAGATTCGACTATACTACCTCGCAGTGGCAGATATATGAAGTTAAAGTCAGTAAAGAACTGAGATGCTTTGAACAAGTATATGCATGTGCCTACTACATGTACTTCGGGGGTAGGGGTAAGTGAGAAGACACCCTTCACGCAATCTTGGCATCGTGGTGTCTTCTCACTTACCCCTACCCCCGAAGTACAATATATCTGCAATTGAAAGCAAAGATGTGGAATATCTTCCAATGCGTAAATACCCAATGCGTAATATACTTGGCCGCTATCCATTCATTAAGCTGTTGACCCTGACCTGCTTTTGTGGGGGTTAATAAGCCCCGAGTGGTTGGTGAGAAATTGATTGATTGACCCAGCCGAAATAATGAAAAGAATTTTGTTGATAAAACCTTACTTAACCCCACCCCCACGAAAAGGGCCGCGCGGCATGTTTCGATAGCTTAATTAAGGGTCCACATATAGTGAAAGCTCTACCGATGAGGATTGATTGACAGGCTCAAAATGATGAGTGTAATTGTGTATAGTTATTGCTCGGGCCTGACTCTCTGTCAGAATATGGTGGGAGCTAGGGAATAAACAACCCACACAGAAGAAAGCATAAACCAATATCTGTTCTCAACAGGTGTTCACTTGGATTCTAGTGTAGGTGTCAATGGTCACTCGTAGGTCGGTGTACGTACCCATACCTGATCCGAACACAACACTGATAGACATCTGGAATCAAGCTCCGATATTGACATTGGTATCCGCAACCTACAACGTGCACACTAACAATATAAACTATAGTTAGACCCTTCATGGCCGCGCCAACTCCACCGCCCCAAATTCCAGTACTAGTACCCAGTACAAATACAACAAAAAGAAAAAAAGTTCCTGCTTTGTAATTTATGAATCATGAGTCATGACTCGGCCCATTATCCAAGTTTGATATAGAAGAAAGAATCTAACTCCACCCATTTCCCAGCCAGAAGGTTTAAAAAAGGAAGACTATACAAAATAAATATAAAACGCGTATAGACAATTGCAAATATTAAGTCAGCAATCGGAAATTCGAAAAAAAACAACAAAAGAACACAGTTCTAGTTTTCTTATATCACACCCAAAATCTGCGCATGCGCATTCTTGAAAATGGCATTTATATTTGCACCCTCGTTCGCATCCGTTTCCGTGGTCGCCGTTGTGGCCGTCTCTGTAGTTTCCGTCGTGGTAGGCCTGCTTGAATCATTGCCGTCACCGCCCTCCGTAGAAGAGCCAGCCCTCATATTCAAACTGTTTCGTGAGTTTTTCAAAAACTCGGACCCATCCTTCGTGACCGCGTCCAGCCCAAAGACCGTCGACGTGTCGCTGCCATCATCGTCGCCGTCGTCCTTCTCCCATACCACCTGCTTCCTCACGCCCGCCTCTTCCTTGATCGAATTGATCCTCTCCTCGGACCCGCCTAATGCCAACCCATCCACACTCCCCCGGAGAAGGTCCCCACTACTTCTTCGTAGCAGGTCCGCGCTTCCCACAGTCCGCATGGATCCCCGGCGGCTGGAAGACGGTGGGAACTCAATCGATGTGGGCGTGCATATACGTCCGATACTCGCCGTTCTCACGTGCGAGTTGGCTGTCTTGATCTTGATCATCTCTGGTTTGGTCACTCCAGGTGACCGCGGCCCTCCATCTACGGTAGCCACGGCATTGGCGCCAGAGATGAACCGCCCAACCGTGGCTGTCCTCTGGAGCTGCATCTCGTAGTGGAGTTCCTCAATGTCATCGACCTGCGGCGAGTACGGGCCCATGTAGACACGCGCCACTGTCGACCCCTCGGACTGTCGCCTGCGGTGTTGGGATTGTCGTGAAAGACGCTGGAGGAACTCGGGGTCCTTTTCCGGGAGATCGGGCGAGAATGAGGTTACGCTAGGGGTTGCGGTCTTGGATTCGGAGCCCGTGCGATTGCTGCTCTTACCAGATGCGAATTCGAGCTCTTTTTCGTAGCCATAGCTACCAGCATGAGGAGGAGAAAACGGGGTTGGTTTACGATCCCCTTCTGCGAAACGAACGGTAGGCTTGTTCCCGTCCTCCGGTCCCCCGGAAGATAAAGCGCGATCCCGCCGGCGCCGCAAAAACCACATCCATAGTGCGATTCCACCAATGATAACCGCCAGGCCGCCAAGTATTCCGCCTACCATGGGTCCAACGGCTGGCTTATCGCTTGTTCCCGGGGTAGTGTTGAACATCTTTATCGAAGTGCGGGAAGCGGGAACTAGGGATTTTGCACTCGGGAAAGGAGAGGGAATGGCACTGATGAGGAACTTGTTAATCGTTGGAGGGCCATTTACGAGGTACACGTGCTGAAGAAATACGCGCCCAAGGTATGCGGGGTGTTCGTCTGAGCTGGCGGAGAGGCGGAGGTATGTCTGCCCAGACTCAACCCGAGAGGTCAATGGGTTGTTTGAGGATGTGTCGGTCCCAACAAGAGACGATGCAGGTACAACTATTGTGCTTGATGATGAGCCGTTCTTGAGTGTGAATTTGAGAGAGTAGTCTGTCCTTAGTGAGTCTGAGCCTAAGTAAATGTACCCATTGACATTCTCATCAAATACTGGATCACCAATAAGCGGAAGAAGGGCTTCTAGAGCCTTTGCCGGAAGCTGGATATTGGGCGAATCATAGGCTAATGCAACCTTTGACTCTGCTGAAGAAGTGCCAGCATTTGATACAACGACTTCCTCGCTGTTCGGGCCGATATATGTCACATCAGACAAGACCACCTGGAATCCACTCGTACCATTACTATTGGTCCTAGAGAATACCACTTTTTGTCCATGGTCAATGAGTGCATCATCATATCCCCCCATCACCACTGATCCAGTATTCCCCCCTGTCCCCAAGTTCAAAGACACCACATCCATTTCCGGCACGCTTGATTTCCTTGCTCTCTGCAGCAAGCTCAACCCCACAGTCCCCATTCCCAACGTGCTCTGCCACACCAGATTTATTGGCATTCCCTTCAACTGAAACACGGCTGTGGAAATGTCACTTGTTGTCGACCATGCCAAGGATGTACTCCCAACCGCTAAACTCTGCATCTGAAAATCTGTCGCAGTATCACTGATGCCGTTCGCGGATAGGACGTCTACGACGAAATCTGCGTCTCCGGTCTGGTTGTAATACCCACCAGCATCTGAACGGAGATAATTCAAACATTCTGAGTTCTGGGTATTGTCCTCCGAGCCTCGATTTGATGTGGTGGTGGTGGTGGTGATAGTATTGTTGCTAGAGAGGCCGAGAGAGAAGTATCCTGATATTGACCGCCTTGGTGGAGATTCTGTCCACAGCATCAGGGAGTAGTCGGAAGCTGCTTCGAGATCCTGTTCGCTGAAGGTTTGGGCTGCATCCCAGGGGTATTCACCATCATTGGAAATACCTCCTATTTCAAGACCTGTTTAGCATCTATAAAAAAGAAGAAATTTGGGGTAAAGCTAATGTTAAGATTCAAATATTGCGATAACATATAGCTAGCTAGATATACCCACTTTCGATCACGGTAACATTTACCGCAGCGTCTCCGCGGCCCTTCCTCAGACCAATATTAACCTTCTTCGAATTCGTATCTGTACTAGCTCTCCATTCGACCAGCTGCACCCCCGCCAATGACCCGTTTCCATTAGAGGATTGTATGAAATCCCCCTCGGACGGCTCCAATATCTTATTCCAGTCAGTACCCGCAGTACTACTTGTGCTACTTGTCGAGCATAGCGCGCCGGCTGGTATATATGCTGACGCCTCGCCCGTGTAAAAGGAAACTAGAAGGTCGATATCTTGTGGTGGTGAGCCAAAAGACATAGTTATTACGCCTGGGAGAGAACTAGAGTCATTTGTATTGAGATCGAATACGACCATTGATGCGGTTTCTTCTCCGAAAACTTCGAGGCATGACAGAAAAATTATCAAAAGGCCGAATTGGAAGGTCCATAATCGAGTCATTGCGTTCATTGAGATTCCTTTTTTCTCTCTCTTTTTTTTCAATATTTCGTCAACCCCTCCTCCAGATCCGAGTAGAGTCGCTAGGACACTGATATCGTTGCCCTGAAACAGTACGTAGGAGGTTGAACGAGAGCAGAGGGCCCGGGACTGGGGGGAGCGGAGAGTAGAAGTCACACTTCCCCATTTTGTTATATCTGGCTGTCCGCCTACAAATGTGGACCTGGACCGGGTTGGATGGTGGTGGTGGCTGCAACTGAACAGCTATGTAGCTGCTGTACCCGAGAGGCTGGTTCACTGGGCGGTAAAAGGGACCAATAATGGTCTTTCAAAGGGTGTCACCCCGGGCACCTTTTTCTTTTTTTTCGTTAGGGATGATGTGTGTATGTATGTATACCCAAGTAGCTTTTGATCTAGAAAAAAAAAAGGGCATAAACGTCACACCTGCTGATTTGTGGAGCGGTTGCGTGTCTCTAGAGAGACGCAACTATGATTCTCCCAGGGCCACGTCGGACATTGCTAAAATATGTGCACTCCAAGCAGGCCTCACTTCTAGAGTACCTTTGCGGCTTTGCCTAAGCAAGTCGAGTACATAATGTGGTCTTGACAGCTTCTGGAAACCAGGGCTGCGCGTGCCATGGTTTTATTTAACCTGGGCGTAGAGGATCATGTTCCTATTTAGACTCCTCGTTTAATATTTCGACAAAGCGTGTAAGATCGAAGAGCAGGCAGTGCCTCGGTGGGGAGGGGTGTGGTAGAACGTGTGCCTAGTCCAGTAATTACTATCGATAGATTGCTCCTCCAGCGCATATATTTGAGCAGTAGATCAGTCAAAACAGGCAATCGCGCCCTTAGACTAGTCCCCTCTAAGGTATTTAGTGAACAGCAGCCCTGCTGATCAATGCCTAGAATGGGTTATAGATATTGATTGACCCTTTCTTATCTCGTCAGGTAGAACGGCGCCGACACACCTATTCCGTCTGAATCTGCATGATGAATTCCAATTCACGCTTTGACGCCTACCCCGGCGCATTCAGAACATGCGAATGGGAAGTTGAAGAATTCCCAACAGCGTGAGGAAACGACGTGCGATTGAGCACAACAGTTATGTATATTAGCTCCTATGCTGGAGATTAAAGGAATCGGGGGGAGGAAGGTACCGGTGTAGGTACCTACATGTTGCAACTTGACTGCAACGTTGGCTTTCTGCAAGGGTCGTCGTTCATGGCATGTCACAAGCCGACATACAATTGCAACAGCTTCGCTTGTATGAGGATCAAACGTTTATCCCCCCCTTTATTTGCCCTTCGCGCACAAATCACATCTGGAGAGGAGTATCGGCCACTGCGAACTACCAGGCCAATCGCTCACCCCCCGCACACAACATAACGGCCGCACTGCACACACTGAGCCAAGACCGAACCGACACCACCGCAAGCTGCACAGCATAGCAACGTTACTTCTGAGGCTGAAATCGTCTCATTCGGCTCGTTCATCTCGATTTGTGGGGAGGCCTTGTCCTCGCTTCTAAATATATAGCAGGGTTGTTAACTTGATGGGTTCGGCATTGGCCGAAAGACTCCCATATACGCATAAGCTTGGTAGGCTTATGTTATGTGAGCTTTCAGTATGACATGATATGCAAACTTACAGTGTGGACTTGGAACTGCATTTTTTGAGGACTGAAGATGTTTTTTTTGCAACTGAAACAAGGGCTGGTCGTTTGCTCAACTAAAGACTAACTGTTCTGTCCTACTGACCAGTGCTCCGTGCCCATAATGTGAGTTCATATGTAAGAACTATCAGGCTTACTCTTACCCTCGTTACACTAATTCTGTCTGGGCTGTCTTGGGGTACGTACACAGGATCCAACATACCTACATTATCGACATGTTTCATCAACAAACAATTGTGTCATGACAGCTTCGAAATTGCATATTGACTGGTCATACGGGTTATTAAACCTTGATGGTCTAGTGACTGAAGCCGCGATCCTATCACCAACGGCTATCACAGAAGAAATAATAAAAATTCAAGTTTTTATCACATCGCGAAACAATTCTCAATATTTCATCCCTGGGATCCTTTCAAATGGGACTGCCCAGTTGATGTATTTGTCTGGCTGATTGGCTGATTCGGTAGACTGAAAACCCTTGTACCCTGTCTTGTCACTTGTTTCCCCCTGAAGTGCAACAATCCGATACTGTACCGACTCTACCCTACTACTTAAGGCTGAAAGATAGGCCAATCGGAGATATCTTTTTAAGGGCAAGCAAGCGAGGGAAGATACAGATGGATAATGACATTGGTGCAATTTTTGTATGTACCATGGTAGGAAACATGGTGGGATTCAGATGGATAGACAGGTACATGTAGGTACTTTGCAACGCCATCTCGAAATAATAATCAAAATCCTACCTGCACCTAGGCACGCATTTATTTCGAAGAAAAGCATCGTCCCTGGGCTATCTATGTCTTTGAACGGGTAGCTACTCCGGTCCCTATTATTTGATAACCGAAATACATGTACAATTCCTGACTGTGAAGGACCTACTTACCTATTAGTGGTCTCTTTTGAAAATGTGACAAAGACTATTTATATCTTAAGGAATCTGACGGAACAAAGAGGATCAGGGGCGCTTTAAACTGCTTTTAAGATGCAAAATTGATGAGACGCCGGTAATGGTGTATCCATCCCAAATAGCAACAAATCATTTGACGCATCAATGGCCCCTAAGATTTCAAACTTGTCGAGTGATAACCGATGAGCCTGTCCAAGGCCTGTCATTCTGTCCATTGCAAGGCCGAGATGGATATATTGGATAAATATCTGTATTTGTTCTGTGATTTGAGTTGAATCTGCCAACTGCAAAGCACAACTATGGTGCGCTGTCATAAGAAAGTAGTCGCATTGTTTTTTGGGCCATCGGTGAGCTGTATACTGGCTAAACAAGAACATTCCGGTTGGTTATTAAATGCTGGGTTAGGGTTATGAAATGAACGATGAGCCTGATTAATCCGCGGATGAGTTTTTCTGGTAGGCTTCCATGTATCGGGACGTTCACACGGAACCTAGCACCTAATGACCTCGGGCCCAGAAACTACACCGTCCATGTCAGTCCATGGGTATTGAATGATAGGGGACTAGTGGCAGTTGGGTCATGTAGTATCACTCGCCCATGAGTGACATCTCTGTTGAAATTATTGGGTGCAAGTCTAGGAGCAGTGTCCTGCGCGTCAGAGGACGCTCATGTATGTCAACTGTAGACGGTGGCCGTGCTTTCTTAATTCTATGGAAGTCCTTGGTAATAAATATTAAAATAGAGTTATTAGTATCGACTTATCTCTCCTTAGCATAAATTTCGGAGTATAAAAGGGCCTCGATATGCCCCTCTATATGATAGCTATATACATAGTCAAGCAAACAAAGTAAGCTACTTAAGAAAGCTAATATCTTCTCCATATACTCTTTTATATTTTAATTCGATAAGAAAGCTCCATTTATCTACTCTTCAATTCCTGTCTCTCCCATGATTGACCTCGCCGCAGAATTAACAAGCCGGAAATTTAGTCTTGTTAATCATTTCGGTCCACAGTTTGGTCCATAATAAGGAGCTAGAGGCGGTCCGCTTGAAATACTCCTACTCGTACATTTCGATCGACCGAGTAAAGATCTGATCCGCATACTGTTCATGGCTCGGACTAGGCTTCAACGAGCTTTTTTTTTTTTTTAGGGAGTGAGAAGTTCGTTTTGATCTCTAGGATACCAATGAAAATAGATATACCAGCTCATATTCCAGATTTGTTAGTGCACTAAGGGTGTTAGCGAGTCATTCAGGCGTGTTAGTCATAAATTATCACTCGATCAAGCCAAGCCGTCCGTTGAATCTAGAAGCACAGCTCCGCCCCTCAGCGAGCATCCGCTCAAATCTTTGGTCTAACTACCGAGCCGCTAAATAAGTGCAGCTACTCTCTAAGACAGAAATCTACATAGGCCTGTCATCGCTTACTCATATCGAAGACCTACTGGGATCTGCATGATACTTTAAGCTATCTACATGTATATCCTAATCGTTGTGGAGATCCTAGGGAGGGATTGTCAAACGCAAGTGAATATAATGATATTCTGGAATCACTCGCTTCCCCTGCTAAATATTCATGGATTGAAAATTCCACTGCAGCTCGCCCCCATGTGTGCATGAGCTGCAGTAGGCTGAATTCAGACCTGCAGGAAATGGGCACGAACCAGTATATGCCTTTAACGTGCCTCTCTCCTCAACTTCTAAGATGATCAGCTAATCATCTCAACCGCCCCGAAGATTGACACTGATAAAGATCGGAAACTTCGGAGTAGCCTGAGCTGAAGATATGCACCGGCCGCCTACACATCAGAATACTCCTGCTCATAATTACCGCTTTCTGCGGCTTCTAACATATATATACACGTGCGCAGGAAGCTCCTGGAAGGTTAGCGGGTGTTGAGAGCTTCTAGGAGACGAGGGGTGAGAGGGCGAGAGCTGTCGGGCCATGAAGAAAACGAGGGCGAACATGCACCTGCCTTGGCCAACCCCTCTCTTATCATCATTAGCATCATTGACCAATTATCAAACAATTCGTCGATTAGGACCATACCCGTATCTAGTGCAAGATAGCACTCTAGTGGTGGGAAATCATCTCCTTTCTGGGGCGATGTATCGCAGAGACCAAGCTACAAACCAGTGGATTCTAAGACCGGGGAGCCGGCACGAAAACGGACCAAATGTCTCGCTCTGCCCAGTCAAAGACTCGATGTCTTGAGGCGTTCGGGAAACATAAGACAAGGTGATACCACATGGATCAGATCACATCATTCGTCCATGGCTACGGTAGCCCATCAAATCCTCTCGCAATCCATCCAATCATCTACCATAATTTAATGTTTGAGCGACTCCGAGATAACCATGGGCCCAGACAGCAGTAGTCGGGAGCCAGGAAGGCCCGTATCCACATCCAAATGCCTTCCGTACCACTTGATAGTGTTTCCGAACTCACTCTGTATAACCATGGACCAGTCAACGCACTTTACCGGAGCAGTTAGTATTTGTCAGTGGGTAAGTTCGAATTTAGATGGTCTGTTGTACTAAAGTATATCGTTCCCGGATAAGACCTTGTAGCTCTTAGAAATGCTTTCATATGTAATTATATTCACTTATCACATTCTTCAAAAGAGTCAAGTCTTTAAAGTGTTAATATCATTCGCCTTAGTGGGTTCTATAACACAATGATAAAGCAAGTGGTATATTTACAACCGAAGTACAGAAATAAGAACATAGGAAAGAAGAAGAAAAGAAAGCGCTAACGCAGAAGAACGTCTATCAAACGTCTAAAAATAAGCCAAGGAACCAAGCTCAACCTACGCCATGGTAACGATAAAGAAGCACAGAACCAGTCATCCAAGTCTCTCCCAGCTTCCCCCCCTTTACTCGAAGTGTCCGTTTAATCAAACATCCTGTTCATAGCTTTGTGCGCCAATTCGACACCTAAGAAGGTGAATGCATTCGCCGGCACACTTCTTGCCAACGCCGGTCCAAGACCGGGGAAGAACGCCTTGTATCCTCCACGTGCATTAATCTCCCTCACGACACTCCCAATGGTCGGCTTGCCCTCTGCACTCTGCAGCCTACTCTTCACCGTATCGATCGGGAAGATGAGGAGCCACATGGCCATACCAGCTCCACCACCGGCAACCATAACAGCACCCATGCTCGGGTCTTGTCCGCCTGAAAGCTTCTTCTTCAGGATCTCATAAGTCGCAAAGTAAGCGGCTGAGCCGGGGCCATCACGGGCAAGTGTGGCGGCGGACCCGCGGAAGACGGAACGGACACCGCCTTCCTTGTACAACTGACGGACAACGTCGAAGCCGCCCTTGTACTTCTTCTCTCCGCCGGATTGGCCCTGGATCTGGAGAAGCACCTTCACGCGCTCAAATGGGGCGGTGATGGCAGTCATGGGGATGGCGGAGAAGAATCCGGCGGCCGAGATCTGGGCAACGCTGAGAGTGTTGTTCTCGACGGTGGAGAAACGGCGGACGAGGTTCTTTCCGACGTCGTAGCCCCAGAATGAGACAGCGAACATGGGCGTAACACCGATTAATGGCGCAGAAACACCGGCATATAGACCCTACAAAAAAGTTACTCTTATGCTCACGGCTTTGTAGTGTTCTGCGCGCTTGGAACCTACTCTGAACATGCCCTCTCTGGCTACAGTCTTGGCGACTACATCGAAAGCACCTCTGTACACTCCCTTCTCCGCAGTCTGAAGCCGTACCTTGACCAGGTCAAAGGGGTGACCTACGCTTCAATGTCAGCTCCACACGCATCATGGGAAGTGGTATCAACGCGAACAAACATACCACTGATCACAGCAAAGACACCACCGACACCTCCGGCGACCAGCGAGCGCAGTCCAGCCATGGACTTTGCTGCGGCTTCTACCTTAACCTCCTCGATCTTGGCCTCGACCTTCGCTGGCAGGTCTACTGATACTGATTTTGACATCTTGATCTATAGGAGGTAATGTCTACTTCTTCTGGAGGAATGACTGGCAGGATGAAATGACACTTGGAGCTTGGGGACTTGGGGACTTGGGACTTGAGTGGAGTGAAGAGGAGAGAGGGGGGACTTCTGCGCTTTATGTGTTCACGGGCCCCAGCGACAAGATGAGATCGGATCTTTATCTGCGGGGAATTCTAGGGCTCTCCCGTCCCCACGGTGGGGGTATCATTGCTGCAGGTGTCTGAACCTTGGTTGGTAGAGCCTCGGTGCGAACAACAACCAGCTGCCACCCGCCCGCGCCAGCACGTGACTTTCACATGCAAATCCTCCCTTTCGTCCGGCTGTGATATTGAATCAGCTCCTCACGAGCGACGGATGAAAGGGGATTAGGAAAAGTGTGATGAAATATGAAATGGTTGGCGTGGGGGTTCGTTTGGGTGTTTGAGGCTGGTTTCGGGGTCACGGCCTGTCACTCGTACTGAGCTCTCGGGTTATGGGAACCACGGGTAAGGCATATCGATCGATCTCACTCTGAAGTGGGGTCCAGGCTTATCTACTTATACTCAACCATTGTTATGCCTCGAGAACATAAAAGGAGTTCTATGGAAATTCACGTGTTACTTGCGAGTCTCTAAATCTGGGGTAGAGCTAATTCCCCACACTGCCCCGCGTTTCTTATCGGACGGTTTATCTATATTCCGCGCCACTGAAAATCTGGCCGAAGCTCATGAACTTATGTACCTATTTAGGCTATTTAGCAATGAATGCCTTCCCTAAACTGTCAGAATTTCTGCATTGTCTGAAACTTTATCGCCTGGTAGAACCTCTTAAGTAATCTTTAATTTCCTAATCCGAAGTCTCGCAGGGCTTGGTGGTGCTTAATTTGGTAGTGCGGATACTCAGACATCTATCGAAAAGACCATGAAAGGATTTTTACCAACCTTGTTTGCCAAGTAGACTTTTTTTGGTGGCGTCTATGGATTTTTAAGCTTATCATTAGACTCTGATATATATCGCGTTGTAAGATCTTATGTGCTCTAGATACCTCAGGTTAGCTATCAATTCATAGAGCCCATATGTTGACTTTCCTAGAAGGGTAGACTAGCTAGGTAGACTAGCTAGGTAGACGTTGTCATAGCTACCGGATATAATAAACTTTTGAAACTGTAAGGAAAACCGTGAATCATCGGGGCAACTTACTGGTATCTAGCCAAGCTAATTTCGGAGATGGAGACGCCTCGTTTACCTCTAGCTACACCTTATGTGTAGTTCAAAGATGGGGTATATACATGTAGTTTCGTTAGGACAGCATGCGTAGTATGGTGGATGCCAACTGTAACGACTAGTTTCAATGGCTAATTCAAGTCTAACCTCATAAATATAAAAGGATTCGTGACCATAGGGAGGTAGAGCTTGAATCAACGTATAATGCTATGGTTAGATTTTGTAAAAAAAACATTTACTGCAGATTAATTAGCAAAATTCAGTGTCGGAAGCATTTCACTGTGGTGCCCGTTATAGTCTGCATCCACAATAGCTCTCTAGCTGGGAATACGCCACGCCCAAACAGGGCGCGATCGCATTTTCAATGCACATGGATGTAGTAGTACATACATGTACGTACGTGCGTACTTGACGTAGTGATCAGTGAAACTTACATGTAATTTGTGAAGTGATTTCTGGCCTGTTCCACTGCAGCGGCAGAACAACATTTTTCCCCAACTCATCTGGACATGCCACTCATGATCAACCGGGAACTGGCATAGGAAGCTGAAAATCCATGTTACGTCTGTTCAACTTATGTTAGTCCATTTTTTTTTCTTTTTTCTTTTCTTTTGGTTAATTCAATAATTGTGGCAATTATGTTAGTCCATCCGATTTGCTCAAAAACCAGACACCTCTGGTCCCCCCCAACTCACCAAAACAGATTTTAGCATCATCATTAACAACGAAAATGAATAGATGATTTAAATGCGCTCCTGTTGGATATGTGTCTTTCAAGGCGTAAGGTCACGGTGTCGTGTAGTGAAAGACCCGCTCTCAAGTATTAGTAAAGGACCCTCTGCCAAGAGGAATGGTGTCCTATCTGGAATCCTATGATAACTAGCTTGCATTCGCTTAAAGCTTTCAGACTCGTCCTACTTTCAGCAACCCCGACCGGCGAACAATAAACGAAATATCAATCAACCATCAATCAACGATCAATTATCAATGAATTATTAATCAATTGATTAATCAACTCCGATAGCCGATAGGCGAGTGATACTTCATGAAGAAGAGAAGGAACGAAATGCTATATTGACGCTTCAGTGACATTAATCCTTTGACCAGAGAGCCACGCTACACAATATTCTTCTTACCGAGAGCTGCCAACGTTGTCAGCTGGCCTAAATAATCACAGGGCTGGAGCAGGTTCGGTGCCGAAGCTGTCTCGCAGTCCGTACTTATCTCCGAGCACCTGTTCTTAGCATACATAGAGCTATATAGAAGCTTACTTTTTCTTACTTTTCTGTCTTCTCCGGTTTATCCAGGAAACCTCGGTACGCTTTGATGAGTCGATTCGTGGCAAACATATGTAGAATCCACAATGCACATCCCGTCTCCAGAAGGCACTTAAACCCGGTACGAAACAAAACACAACACTAAACCTATGATATATTAGATCATGAGATTAACCAAGGGCAGATAGATGATATCCGGTCACACTGGCTAGCTACAAAGTGACTATCCACCTAAAGGATCGATATCAGCCTAATTGGGTCCATCCCTACCCTTTCGTTTACGGTGGAGACGATCTATTCAGTCATGCCACAGGCGCTTGGACCATCTCTGACTAATTTGGCAGACGACATCACTTCTCTACATGGCTGATCTAGAATCTAGATGCCCGTCGTGGTCGGGCTGATATGACACCTGGCCACACGCTTGAAAAGCTTCACGATCCACAAGTCTATAGACGCGTCGGACGCGTCTCTTCTTCGCTCTGATCTAAGGCAAAGCGTGCTGATTCGTACTCGTACATGCGTCTACCCCTCTCTCTCTGCTCTACCTACTCTCCGTCTTGCATCTTATGCGAGTGTAGAGGACTCTACTCTAGAGTAGCAATTGCATCTCCCTGGAAGAGTACTCCAGGCCGTACCCCACCTCAATCTACTTCTCCTCTCCACCAGTAGAGCAGGTCCATAGCTACCGACTCTAGTCCCCTTGCTCGACCTCCACCCCCGGCATCAAAATCTCAACAATTTCACTGCCTACCGACAGGACAGGCAGACAGACCTAGCTAGGGCAACTTGCAAGTTAACATGGGAGAGGCATGTAAGTCATCCATTCGCTCACCTCCCGAGCCGTGCCCTAAAGAGGTGACCCCCCTCCCCCTCGAAGCGTTGATTCGCAGCAGCACGAATCATCTTCCGTCACTCGTTACATGCTGTTAGCTAAAGGATTCCCCAGGGAGTAAAGAAGGAAAGGGAGAGACACTTGCTTGGCTGACGTGCTGCATACCATCCCGTCTGTCGTGTCGTGTCGTGTCGTCTTCCCATCCGCGACATGCAACTGCAGGAACCGTTAGCTACATGTACCTACAGACACCGCACGGACAAAGAACACTGGAAAAGCGCAGCACAAAAGCTTAGTGCATTCTGTACGTCTCTCTCTCTAGATCTACCTCTAAATTCACATGTGAAAAAATTGAACAATCAGCACCACCACACCCCGCCTGTGCTCTCCGGTTTCTACAAGTTCTGCAGTCAGGTCAGCGCTGGCTGCGTGCGGGCTGCGGCGAGTGATTGCGAGTGATTGCGCGCTTCCCGTCCCGGGAGCCTCGGCACTGCAGTGGCTCGGATTTACCGTTCTGGATTAGAAAAAACCCGGGGCATGGCATGGCATGGCATGGCCTGGACTGGATGGACTGACATTCTACAGCTGGTGGATTATATTATGTAGCTATGTAGCTAGGCTTCACATGGAATCCCGCTCCTCACATGGAAAAGATGGATAAATATGTAATCACTTGTTTGTAAATCAGACGAAAGAGTAAAAAAAAAAAAAAAAAAAACACCAGAATTCGAATCAATAAGTAATAATTTTTCCCACAAGTATGTAGTCCCTAAGCCAGCTAGCTAGATTTTGATATGTGCAGACAAACTTTCAAACTTTCCATTCCACCACCCACCCGTAACCAACCAACCAACCAATCAATCAATCGATCCGATCCCAACCAATATCAAAACCAATACCACAGAAACCGTACCGGGTGAGCGAGTAAGAATACAGACGACGAAGAAAAAGGGGGGGGGAGATTATCAAGAACCCATATTGATGCAAGTTAAAAAAAAAAAAAAAAAGTAGTAGAAAGATAAGATCGCAGACCGCCGTATGTATGCCAAAGGGGAGAGATAGAGAGATCGCAGACCGCCGTATGTATGCCAAAGGGGAGAGATAGAGAGATTTCATAAACGCCAATATAAAAAAAAAAAAGAGCCCACTCCAAACAGAAAAAAACAAAAGGGTAAAGAAAAGAAAAGAAAAAAAGCGCAGCAAAAAACAAAAACAGATACCGCCCAGTAGCAAACTAAATGGTCAATGTCAATATAATACAACCGAAACTTTTCCCCACAAAACCGCTCCCCGCTCTCCTCCTCCTCCACTCTCAGCAACAACACTCCCCCCCTCCATCCTAATTCTGAAACTCACTCCTCGTCGACGCCGTCCACCTCCTCTTCCTCTCCCACCCAGCAGCGGCAGCGCCCGAATCACCACCCCACAGCCCACTGCCCCTCACAAGCCCCGTACTCCCCCACAGCCCCGCCGCCCCCGCCGCCGGCTCCTCCGCAATGCTGCTACTGCCCTCATCATCATCCTCACTACTACTGCCGCCATCAATCGCGCTGCCAAACAGCATGCTGCTACTCCCAAAGATGCCACTCCCGCTGCTCACGCTCTCATCCTTGCTCGTCGGCCGGCTGTCGCCGCCGTCCACGGGGCGACTCCACAGCCCCTTCGGCGCAGGCCCGGAGCTAGCGGTGCTGGCGCTCCGCTTGCCGTGCCCGAACATGGCCATGCCTTTTCCGGCGCCGGAGGCCGTGAGTGTGAATCCGCCGATTGTGGTGGCGGCGGTGCGCTTCGTGGTGGTGGAGCGCAGGTGTGGGGAGACGGGGGGCGTGGAGGTGGGTGTGGCGCCCGTGCGGATGTGTTCGTTGTTTGCGACGATCTGAAGGGAGTATTTTGCGGGGGGGTGGGCGGGGAGGTCGGTGTTTGTTGTTGTTGTTGGGGGGGGGCGGAGTGGCTGTGGTGGTGGTGTGGGTGGTGGTGGGAGGAGTCGTGGTCGCGGCGGACGGCCATGGTGACGGAGGCGATGCCGATGTCGATTAGGACGGGCTGGTGTGTGATTGCGCCGATGAGGGCGTTGCAGCCGGCGCCGTGCGTGACGAGGATGAGCACCGTCTCGATGTCGTTCTCGCTGTCATCGCTGTCGTCGCCGCAGTCTGAGAGCGGCGGTGTCGGGTTTCCGTTGACCGGCGTAGGCGTAGGTGTAGCCTGCTGCTCCTTCACGGGTGTCGGGGTCGGTGTGGCCGGCTTCGACACGACCTCGCCGGCAGCGCAGCGCTTCCACTGCGTCGGCGCCGTGGCCACGTGCTGGTCCTCGGTGGCATAGTACCACAGCAGGCGGTTCCACCCGTTCTTGAAGCGCTTGTGCATGGCCGTCCACTCCTCCTTGTACTCGCCGCCGCCGCCGAGCTTGGTCGAGTCCCAGCCGATGTCGAAGTCTGCGTACTCCTTTGCGTGCGAGAAGTAGCCGCGCGGGATCGGGCCGTTGGGCGAGGTGGCCCAGGTGGGCGTCGGGGCGACGAAGCCGCCCGTAAACGTTGTGGGCAGCGCCGCGGCGAGCGACGACATGTTGTAGAGCGATGATGTGTGGTGGTGGTGGTGGATGTGTGATGAGGGCGAGGAAGAAGCAGAGGAGGGGCGGATGTAGTCCGCCTTTGCAGAGCCGACGAGCAGCGGTGTGGGCGGCGGCGGCGTGATGTCCGTGTAGTAGTCCTCCGCCAGCCACTCTCCGAGCCAGGCGTCGAGGCGCAGCAGCGGCTTTACGAATTGGTGTTCTGAGCGGTCGTGCGGAGCGGGGTCGACGGTGAGCTCGCCGTCGTCGGCGTGGACATAGTGGGTGTTTGTGACCTCCTGGTGGTGGTGCTGCGCGATGCCGGAGGCGATTGAGACGCTGGTCTGGATGCAGCGCAGGAAGGGGGAGGAGTGGATGACGATGCGGATCTTGCGCGGGTGGCCGCCGTTGGCGCGGGAGGTGGCGGAGGCGGGGTGCGGGGTGTTGAGCTTGTTGGCGATGAGGGTGGCAATGCGGCTGCCGAGGGAGCGGGTCTGGGTCCAGCCGCCGTAGGTGAGCGGGGGTCATAGGGGGTGGGGGAGGAGAGCTGCCATTGGGCGTCGGCCATGTCGAGGCGGGCGCCGTGGCGGACTATGAAGACGGTGGTGGGGGTTGAGGAAGGCATCGTGAGGGAGAGGCCTTGAGTGGTGGTGGTTGTGGTGTTGAGGTAGTAGATATCGATACTCTTGAGAAGTTGTGTCTGTGCCTGGGACGGGGGCTCGGGGGTGGGTATATATATCTAGCAGACGTAGTAGTAGTAGCAGTAGCAGAAGGTAGGATTGTAGTAGTAATAGGCAGCCCTCTTGAGAATCGAATCGATGGCGATATATTATTCTGCGCCCTGCTCTTTGGGGGGGGGGGGATGTGGGGGATTGGGTCGTATTTGAAGTAGAGTAGGTACGATGTCTCTCTCTCTGCTGCACAGTCGAAGGCGAAGTCGGCGACGACGACGACAGACAGACAGACGTCCACCACCCACAATCAACCACCGCTCGATCCAATTGGTAATTTGTAATGGGGAAAACGAGTCTTAGGAGGACTAGGCGTGTGCGTGCGGTGACGATATGAGGCTGAGGGGCTCTGGTAGTAATCCACACTTCTCACTCACACACTACAAGGGCTGCAACCTCGGACTTTATCAATGAAAACAACGGAAGAAAGATTATATCCTCGACCAGCACTCGCACGGCCTCTTGCTCGCTCGCTCGGTAAGCAAAAGAAGAAGAAGAAGAAGAAAGAAAAAAAAGCAATTAAAAAATGGCTTGCTCGGGTCTGATCGTCCAGTTTCGGCTCCCCGGGTGTCTACCGTCTCTCTCTCTAATTTTTTCTCTCCTCTACCTTTTAACACTTGTTGAGATCGGAGAATTCCGAGCTGTCTTTTTTCTCTAGAGTAGGTCTCACAGTAACAAAACAGACAAGACAGATCCGGTACTCCCGCGGATTTGGATGCGCGGTATGTATGTGCGTGCGTGGGCAAGGTAGGGTACTGTAGGCAGGCAGGCAGGCGTGCGTGCGTGGGTGGGTGGGTGGGTGGGAAATTCAAGATCTGCCTGCAGGGAGCCGTCCGTCGTCGACGTGCGGAAATACGGGATGGGGATAGGGATTAAGTAGGTAGGTAGGTAGGTAGGTAGGTAGGAGGGATGATGTCGAGTACAGTAAGTATATCGTGCGTGGGTGGGGGGAGGAGATGGGAGGGGAGCGGAGAGGGAGGACGACCGTTCAAATAGTTATGGATGGAAAAGAGAAAGCAGAGGGAGGGCACGCGAGCAGTGATGATGAGACTACGGTCTCGTAATATTTTTTTTTCTTTTCTTCTTCTTTGTGCTTATTTAACCTTTGTGAGGAAGAAAAAAACTGGCCGCGGGATCTGGATGGGAGAGTAGAGGAGGTAGGTAGAGTAGGCAGAAAAATGGCAACGGTCAATTAACCCCCGAGAGCACAATGCAATGCGTGGGAATCCAAGAATTCAAGCAAGAAGAATATGCGGTCTGTAGAGTAAATACAATCCGGGGGTTATGTCATCTTCATAGCACATACACCGGGTCCGAAACCTAATATCATTCTCTCGTCACCTCCCAATTCAATTTCAATTCGAGGTGGTGGCAAAAACTATCGTGACTTTACTTTCCGGCTGAACAAGAAAGAAATGTGGGGAAACTGGCTGGCTGGCTGGCTGGCTGCGGGTGGAGAGTGAGTGTAGGTAGGTACCACTAGGTACTCGGGGGGGCAAAGTCAAAGCAGGAGGAGGTGGGAGAGAGCGCGCGGCAAGAAAGCAAGCACTCTCTCTCTCTCTCTCTCTCAGCAGCGGTTAGTTGTGATATTTCACAACGTACGCCCCCAAAAACCTGAAATATATCGAATCACATCACCCACCAACCACCAACGAACGGTCCACGGATATCGATAACCAGCCAGCCTGTCTGTAACCCATGAGTGAGTGCAAATGTTTCGATTCCCCGGTTATCAGCCCAATTATCGGTTCCAGTTCTGAGTGAGAGCAGGTGTGCGGTGCGGTGTGGTGGTGGTGGTGCGATCTACAGTGCCTAGCTATCCAAACCGTAAATCTCAAATTAAATAGACACAAATTTCCTGGTGTATGTGTTACAGTTGCACCTCCTCAACCCCATGCTACCTACCCGCCCCATGGCCGGCCGTACCATAAAACACACACAAGATTCTATTTGCCTACCTCGAAGGGTAGGTAGTTGTACGTAAAAAGAAGAGAGGAGGAGGAGGTGGTTGTGTGGTGTGCGTGCCTGTGAATTTCGTACATACATTGTTTGCACTGCACTGCATACAATCTAAATGCCCCATACCTATCGGTATCAAAAATCTACATAAATCTACAATCGAACATTGGCCTTGCTGTATCTGATCTGATCGTGACAGCTCTTCCCACATACCCACATACATACAGCCTCCCCGTTTACAAGGCCGGCGGTTGGTTTACCCTGAAAGCAGAGGAACAAAAAAAAGATGCAGCACACCCTTCTTTCTCCCCCGCAATTACGAATCTACCGACCCTACATCCTCCCACACAGATCGAAACAAACGACCCTTCTTCTGCCTGCTCTCTCCCCACACAGAACCCTGTCGAACTACCCTCCCTCTTCTGAAATGAGGAAACAAGCAGTCAGGTCGAGACGATGCGCCACCCCTCACCTTAGAAATCTGGACAGACATGACGCCGACCTGCTTTTCGAGACAGAGAGAAGTCCAGCATGTCATGCAGGCTTTCCTTGCACCCCTCCTTAGCTTCATAGCTTCCCTTCCCTTCCCTCCCTTCCCTTGCTCACCTTCTGTACCCTCCCTACGCTGCCTACCCCCGCCCTCGCTTGTAACGCATGTGACCCCTCTTTTTTGATTCATCCATGCCTCAAGCCTTCTTTTTTTTTACCAGATGAATGGCACTAGAAAAGCACAGACAACAAAGACGGAAACATTTTTTTTCCTTGTGAGTGGAGTGGAATGAGTTCGTCACCGGACATAATGGACGGTTTTAGCTACTATCCATCCGGATGCACAAGTCAAACCACCACACAACATCGTGACTTTTTTTTCGGCCGCGGTCCACGGTATCGGCTCTTGGGTGATACATAATCACGATGGAACATTTGTAACCACATAGGTTCAGTTATGTGCGACTTACAATCCAATCCGAGGGAACACCTTTTACCCCGGCGGCACGAAACATACATATGTAGATTTCCGCCCTAAATAAACCCCCGGGTCAGATCAGAGTGAGCGTCAAGGGTAAAAAGAAAAGAAAGAGAAAAAAAAGTGTCAGGGAAAAACAGTCATGTGTTGCGTTTTGCCTACCGGTATGTAAGGTACCACTGCAATTGTAGTAGCCGTTGGTAACCAACTTCTAGAAAAGGGAGTGGGAAATGTCCAATAGCACTTCTACCACCCGAGCCACCGCAGTACTGCTCCGGGGGAGGCCACGATCATTTCCGATGCCTCAAAGACCAAAGACAGCAACGAAAGCAGCCTCAACCCGGCAAAATTCAAAAGCCACCTAACGAATTTTTTTCCCTCCTAAAGCGCAATGGATTTCGCCATACCCACAGATGTCACGACTCACGAAGGCCTTTCCTTTCACTTTGGTCCTTACTAGATTAGCTATTTGGAGCCTCGAGAAAGCGGCGCTAGTTAGTACTGCATGTTTATATAAATATAGGGTTAGGGTTTCTTACCAAGTTAAACATCTCCAAACAGGCAAGCCAACATCTCAGCGTCAAGGCTCATCATCTAACTACATCCTCATCCCCTTTATTTCTTTTTTGTCTCGTCTCGCCGTTCCTTTCCTATTTGTTATTTGCCCTGCCTCGTTGCAACTTTATAATTCCTTTTTACTGAAAGTCAAATCCTAAAATCCCCATCCAAGCAAAGCGCATTGACCTTTCCCCTAGTTGGTTGATTAGTTGTCTCACTTTTGCTTTTTCCCCAAGTTTGCTTGCTCCCCGCGATTTGTTTTGCTTTGTTTTGTTTTCCTATTGTGACGGATCGATGTCTTGCCTGTGATGAATTTTGCCCATCCGATCAACAGTGCATGCATGTCCTACCTAATTCAACCTTTGCTACCTTCTCCAGCGTAGGTACCGATTGTTAGTCTGCGTTTTGTTTTGTCAGTCGAATTGAAAACTGCACAGCTACTTTATGTAGGGGTCCAAAAGAGTTGCGGCTTGAAACATCGATATCAATTTTTTTTCCTGAGTGCGGGGGGACCAGTTACACGGAAATGTCATTGAAAACCGTAATACGGCCGGGAATGAGTATCAGCAGTCGAGACCACATCGCTGACTGAGAGCGTCGATGGGTCAATGATCGTTGGTCGCAGTCCCTGGAGGAACCTTCGGGATCGAACGGCTGTTAAATTTCTTGCCAGTGTCTGCATGCTTCGTAGAGCTGCAGTGTGGTGGCTTGCATGGTGGGCTTGAAGCGAGTAGGAACAGAACCAGTGAACTCTTCTCTCCTTTCCTCTAGCGAGTCTCGTGAGCCAACAAGTCCCGCAGAGTACGAGCGGTGGGTATGTACGGTACTGTATTTCATACTTAACCGTAATCCACCGGCATGGAAAAGCAACACTTCTAAACTGCGCAGTGCTTAGCCTCATAACGCGCGATTGTTAGCTCGGCCCACTGTAGGGTCTCAACTCACGGTACTATGATGGCCAGTTCCATATCTCCGGTTGGCCAGCTATCACAGAGCTCACAACTCGTAGTTCTCCAAAGTCTTTTTCCTAATGTCATTGGAATTCCGTGGTTAATTCCTTAACCGGTCCGGTCGACTTCAAGACTACCAGTGTCGCCCTAACTCGCTGCCATAGTCTTGTGAGGCCATGGCAAGCCTGTAAGCTGATTTTGTATTAGACGTTTGCCAATAACGTAATTTGACTCAACCGACGTTTAAACGGTTAGGGGCAGAGGTCAACTCTTCGTCCCAAAACCCTCTTAATCTATCGATACCATAAGACCCTTAGAGCTGTTTGGCCCTCTAAATCTCCGAGTGAGTGACTGTGACGAAAATTTCAGCCAAAACCAAAAAAATAATTCTTTTTCTATCCCGTACCACAGGTGGTTATACCAGCCCCGAACTGAGCCGTACTCAAATCTGAAGCATGCA